ACAAAAAAGATTTAGTATTTTGCACTAGTAATTTACAACTCTATTTTTTATAGTTTTGCTTCAAATTTCTTAACATAATCACCACAGTACGGTGACACTAAGTTTTGATAGAATTTCTCTAAGTTAGCAAAAACACCTTTGGAACTATGAAACCATCTTGCGGGGGCAAACATCTACATCAACAAAGCATGCAAAACCCCACAGCTTCATCTATTTAGGACTGTCTAGATACCCATGTTTAACAGTAGATCAATTTCACCAATCAAATTACAGAAACATGTGAACCTTCGGACCATTGTTTTGGAAAGACATGGAAGAACAAAAACACTATCTCTGATGAGAACCAGTCGAGTCATTAACATTATGAAGGCTCAGCAAGATAAAGTACTCACAGGTAGAACCTTCACAGAGTATTTTGTGATATTTGAATCAACAACCCTTCCCTGGGTGGCTGCCTGCACCAGAAGAACAATTATCATTGTAAACAGCTCTGAAATAGCAATATCAAGAAAACATGCTGATCATAGCACCATGTGCCCAAATGAACCTAAAAAGAATGCAGGGTAAGATTATTCATTCCATACTTTGTTTATTAGGCACAAAAGGATTAGCTCAAAATTATTCTGTGCCCAAAAAGCTCATTGTAACTAAGAATGTAACCAAAAGCCTTTCATTGGAACAACTAACGAGCACAACTAGAAGACACCAACAGCATTTCTGTATTTCTCTTGCCAAAACCAAAGATAAACTTGGGCAAAATTAGTAACCTAAATGAAAACAGATTTCTACTGAGCTCTAGATTTAAGCCCTTCATAGACAATCATCCACCCATCTTAATCAGATGAGGACAACCTTCGTCTATTACAACTGGTTGATCTATGAAACATAGATACGGTACAGTGACATGAAGACCTTCAACAAAGAACTGGTAGAGAAGGAAATATTACTTGTTGAGGGCTATGGAATATTTCAATGAATGGATATTCCTTCCTCTGCCGTGTTATACAAAAACCAGGATATTTTGGACATTCAACCTGGAAAAAACAACAGCAAAAATCATGATTAACAAAATATTAAGGATGCTAAATAGGCTGAAGATGACAACCGTGAAACTTGTGAAAATTATAGAAGATATTCCTTAACCAAGGACGTCGTCACATGGATCTAAACATGTAGAAACAGTACCCAAATTTTTAGGTAGCATTTGATCCACAACCAAATGAGCTTCCTATCATCAGAAGTCTAAATTTTATACTGGCATTTGGTGGCTATCTTCATCGGCTTCCAAACGAAACCTATTTTGGGTGTTCACTTAGGAAAGCTCCTCCAAAAAGAATTCAATTCCTCAGGTGGACTTTCCATGCCAAAAATTTCTTTCTAATGCAACCTTAATTTAAAACCATAGCCTACCACTCATTTATAAAAATAAAACCATATCAGGTTTTGATAATTTCAATGATGTGAGAAATAAAAATTTCGTTTAATACATTAAAAGATGAGCTCATCAACCAGAAACAACTTACACGCAAAAATTTTACATGTGGATAAAACTCAGCAGCGGCTTCCTCAAGGATACGATCAAGGTGTTTGGTGTAATTGCCTCTGCATTATCCAAATTGAAGAGTCAGAGAAACGACATAATATAATGATGATTACGGGAACACACCATAGGGGGAGGGCATTCACTTCCAAGTCACCTGATGGTAAAAGCTACCACCACAGGGTGCCCTTGATGAAGAAGCTGAACAAACTCACGCTCTGATGTAAAGTGAATAACCCGTGATGGCCCAAGATCTTTAGGATACCCAGTATAGTACCTTAAATATCAAAACAACCAGACAAACAAAGATAAGATAAGATGCCCCTTTGCATAAATTTCTGAAAAAACATAAGCCAGCTTCTTATAAGAATCTACAAACATTTGAAAGAATAATTATAATTAGGGGGCTTTGAATTCAATCATGATTAAAGAAATTCATCACACCTAGTAAAAATGGCAACAAACAAAAATCTATCACAATAAGCAATAGAGTGTTACAAAATGTACTGCATAAAACATTTTAAAGAAATGACTCATGTTGACACCAATAAGTTACCACCAACAATGAACCATAAAGCTAAAATCAATCTTACTTGCATGATTCCCGTAGATGACCAAGCATTCTATCCAAAAATGTTTTCTCCTCCATTTGATTGATAAAAAAAAGGAAGCACTTTTCAATTATCCTGTGCAAGACAAAGAAATAATTTTTGTTATTAAATCCAGCACACTCTCTCTTCAATATATCAATCCAGAGAAGACATAAACACAGCCCCCAAATATATTCAAGATTTGCATAAAAGTAAAAACCATGAAAAAAAATTCCCAAAGAGTTTTCCGTATGGAAATGAACATGAATTTGTTTGTGTCATTTTAACAAACAGGGATCAGACACAACAGAAAACGAAAAATTCTTGAAACCATTTCATCGAACAACTAACGTGCAATTAAGCGACAATCACTACTAACACCGAAAACCCTTTAAAGAGCTCAATGAATGTGCATCGTTTGTTCGATAAAATGCTCCGAAGAAAGAACGTAAAAGGAAAGAGAGGGAAAGCGGAGAGAGAGAGAATGCGATTATCTGACCGTTAAAATGAGAGCGGCGCTGACAGTGAGGAGCGCGCGCGGAAAAACCATAGATTGTTACTCGTACTGCTCTGTTTGTCGTATTTATAGTCCATCATGTATTGTTTGATTCTCCCTTCCATCCTTATATAATTTCATATGTATACTTTCATCCTTATACAATTTATGTTTTCATGTTCACCTTTAATATATCCTTATTTTCCAATTTATTCCTGCAGTCTAAGTCATTTTCAAAATTATTTTGTTATATTGTATAGAATAATGGAAAACATTTACAAGCGTAGACTAAATAAAAACAATTGAGAAATTATGTCGCTGTATATTTTACGTTTTCACTTTCATACTTAATACAACCTTATTTCCCAATTTAGTCCTTCAGTCTAAATCACTTTCATTCTTGATATTTTAAGAATTTTCAACTGAGAATATTTATAGTTTTGGGACTTGACAAAGTCACAAAGATCTGTGGTAGTTGGGGTCTAATTTGACATTTTCCCTTTATATTTTGTAAATTCAAAATACTCAATAAAAAAGTGTAAAATAAATAAATAAATAAATTATCTTTAAATTTTTATTTCAAATGAAATTTTTTTTTTTTGCTTTATCTCATTTATAATTCAAAAAAAAATATTATCATTTTTTTTTTTACTTGGCAATGAAAAATGGGGCAAATTCTGGTAGCCATTCATCGGTATTGAAATTAGAATAATTATTGAGAACATATATATAGCCTAAGAAAACTTAAAATATAGCCTAAAAAACCAATTTCACTTGAGTCACATAAGAAAATGAATATGATATGAAAACTCATGCTCATCTTATTGTCTAATCGAATTTATAATAAAGGTTGGGTTATTAGAATTCTGCATAAAAAAGATATTTAAAAGCTAATCTTTTCAATTTTTATTAAAAAAATTGTGATATTTTAAATTGAGATATTGGAGTAAATTTGAGAATGATTTAGCTAATGGTTATCATAAAAAGTTGATAAATGTGTGATTGAAATAATTTAAATTTTTCAAAAATGAGGTTTCTTTTATCTGAGACTATGCATATAGATATTATCGGATTTTTGCTGAATTTGAATGTGATTAATTACTGAAAAATTCTCCATTTTGAATAGAAGAGGAAATAAGTATTTGAAAAATAAAAATCTTTGTGCAATAGATACATTTGAGTTCGTAATTAATAATGTATATGCCATTAATTATACTAATAATTATTTTATTTTACTAAAAATATAACAACCTAATTATTTTCAACCATTTAAATACTCTCAATAATATAAATTACATGATTTTTTTTTTTTCAGTTTAGCATATAGTCTTAGAATTGCTAGCTTGATAAAGGATGTGCCAATGTTCATGTAACTTAATTTTTATTAATATAAATTGAAGTTAACTTAACTTATGTTATCTTAACATATCTTTAATTTTGGTTAGCTTATTCTCCATTCAATCTTTTTTATGATATTAAAACGTTACAACACCTAAAAAAATAAAGTAGAAATAATTAAAAAAAAAACAAAATAGATTTACAATATAATATCTCAACTTTACAGCTTTTAGTGGACCGATGATTTTTATCTCTTATTAGTTTTAAATTCAATTATTTTAATTGGGTGAGATAAATAAAATACAACAAAATTATAAGAATTTATTATCGATAATCAAGTTAAATGAAAGCAATTAAAGCAAAACATCAAATTTTTATTTACGAAATAAAAATTTTAATGAGTTCTAAACCAATTTCACGATTATATTTGCCAAAACAATTAATACATGAGCAACCTAAGGAAATTAACTTGACATGAAAATCATGCTCATTTTATTCATTATCAAAATTTATTAATCATAGTTAAATTATGAGACTTTTGAAAAACATTTTTATCACTGTAAAAAAAAATTAATTTAATGTTTATAATTATCAGAAGAAAAATGTTTTAGCATTTTCAATTGAGATTTTGGAGGAAATTCTAAAATAACTTATTAAATAATTTAGTTAACAACATAGATATTGTCTCGTTGCAAAACCAATTTCACGATTATATTACACCACCATAGAATTAACCTACAATATAACGAAACTTAGGCATTATATATGTGTGTGTGTGTGTGTGTTAGAACCTAGGTGAATAGATGAAAAGGAAATCGCAATATAGAAATCGTAAACATATTTATTAGATTACTAAACAAATTAGCAAAACTTATAATTGGAAGAAACTGGGAGTATCTTCCATGCATTGGTTATCTTTACAGCTATTCCACATATATATATTTCGAACAAATATATCTAGCCTTATATCTTATTACCGCATGTTACAAAGAATATTATAACCATTAGCCATAATTTAGAAGACACCCAACCCTTTCTATCGCCAATATCCCATAGCTACTACTGGGATCCTTACTTTGTGTCCTCGGTTGCCTTTCATCAAAATTTCACCAAAACTATATGTTCCAGTCACTGATCGAACAGTGAGACTTACTGTGAACTTCCGTGATGCACCAGGCCTCAGAGTCATCGCTGGAGGGTTAGCTTCAATGGCAACGGCTGGTTGCATTCTGGCTGAGATTACATAGGTTTCTTCCTCTGCAACATTTGTGACGGTGCGAGTCACTGTTTGAGTTTTCACTAGATGGGAGACGGTGATTGATGGGACATTGAGATTTGATGGGTGACCCATAGTGAAGTTGCATGGTGTGTTTGTGTAGTTCCGTATCTCATGGGCGTCAATGCCAGGAGTGGTGCACAAGAAACCCAAGTAATCCTCATAACCTTCAATAACACAAAGTTCAAAAAGGTCAGGAAGTCATTTTAGATGTTGGTCAACCATGCACCAAATTGAACTGCCAAATGCTTATAAACACAAACTATCAACTCCAGGCAGAAACTAGTAACCCTAGGTCCCTTCAGCGTTGAGTTCGAAACCATCATTGTGTCAGCAATCACTCTACCACTCCTATAAAGCATGGGCAAAATTATTTGGGTTTGGTCTGCTACAATTCACCGATTGGATAGATGGCCTAAGAACATTCAAAGTTAATGTTTTTACATTGAATCTCTAGCATAGTTTCCTCCATTTTTCGTTTTTGTCAAGTTTACTTTCAGTTTCTGTGTTTACATCATAACCCCTTCACAACCTCCAAAATTAGTTGACATACCACCTTATTTGTGTCAAGTAATATACAACAGAGAAAATCATGGGTTTTAATCCTTGGCTGACTGCCAAAATTTTGCAGTAAAGAGACAAAATCCACTGTGAAATGATAGCTATAGTTGTTTGATAACTACCAGGTTTTTTTGTGCCAAAACTAGTTGGACATGGAGCTAAGAACATTCAAAGTCAATACAGCTAGCTTTAAAGGACTCCATATTGTGAAGCTAAATTAGCAATAACTTGCATGCAATCAACCACACCAAAAAATATCAAGGGCAAGGATCATACCAGCATCAAAAATAAGTCCGGGATTCAGAGCAGCCCTTGGGTTAACATGACCACTCCCATAATCGAAGGGTGTCGCTGCAACCAGCTTCATGGCTTCAGTTTCAGAGTATTGCTGTGCTTGAAGAGGCCTTCCTGCTCTGTCCAGGTTTGTTGATGTCGTCAATAAGGCTGATTTGATGGCAGCAGGACTCCAATGAGGGTGCTTCTGCTTTACAAGAGCAGCTATCCCTGCTATATGTGGCGCTGCCATGCTAGTTCCAGATATCATGGCAAATCCTTCTCCTGCTCAAATTCAATAGATGTTTAGGATGCAGAGATATATATTTCAACAAGTACAAAGGTATCTTTTTTTTTTCTCCTCTAAGTAGGCTCCTTAATCTCTTTTAAGTTTTAAAAATGAAAACAATAAGTTTTTGTTTAATTGATTTCACCATTTCTCTACTTCCTTCCATACAATGAGAGATAAAATATTGCAAGAGCTAATAGTCATTTCATAGTGACCCATGTCTCAGATAAAATTGAAGTCAAGAGGCACTAAACTCCCCAACTGCCTCCCCAACCCCAGAAAGTTAAAGCAAAGTTCCTTGGATTGGATTGGTTGCACTTCTAGACCGAGCAAATATGATGAGAAACCAAAGATTAATACCTTAATGAGACATTGAATTTGATCTATTAACTCACTTACCGACATAATTTGGCTCATCTGTTCCATTAGGAGACCAAGCAGCCCAAATGAGAGATCCAGGAGCCAAGATATCTGGTTTAAGAAGATCAGCATCTTGGAAGCTGAAATCTTTTATGTTGGGCCCTCGAGCAGAGAATAGTGCCACTTGTGGTGCTGATTTATGAAGAATAGCCGTCAAGCCATCCCCAATGCTTCCTGTACCTTTGAAGCTCTTCACTCGTCCGGTCCAATCTCTTGGTGTAGAGGTGTTGTAATAGTCTATAAGATCCTACAATGACAAGATGCAAAGCACCAATTCACACTATTATAAGAATCCAACACAACTGCTAACAAATTCTGTGTATTTTGGCAAGACCATGAAGATATACGAGAATAACAAGACAAAGGCAATACAAAAATAAAAAACTTATGAAACAGGAAGGTGTGGACTGGGTCAATACTATTGTTAAATGAGTAAGAACATACCAGTGATTTGGTAACATCCGTGATTAGAATCCCAGGAATACCAACAGGGACAGGATCAAACTTCGTTCCAGGAGAAACATTTTCCACAGCAAGAACAAATCCAATAGCACCAAGACTCTTGGCTGTTTCTGCAACTTTCTTGATAGATGCAGTACCAACAACAAAATTAAAGGAATAACCGCAAAGAAGAATGTTCCCCTCCACCAAGTGCTTGTTCAATACTTCTGGTCTTTGGCAGTCTGAAGGACTGTACTTCATCACTGAAGAATCCAGCAGCACATCATTTGCAGCAACCAAGGTATATGTTTGATTTGGATGTGTACAAGCTGCAGAAATCCATTGGACCTATTTGAGATTCAGAATCCAGATACTGGTGGATAATTATCAGCTGCTATGCAATTACTAGCTACAACATGCTTAAAGCAATAACTATGAATTAATCAACCAGACTGAGATTTATTACAAACCGAATAACCAAATTCAAGAAACTGTGATGGTAAATTGTTGAACTAAATAAGGGCACATATTCAAAAATACACTCTTCTGAACTTGAATAGGCAAAAACAGTTCAAGTGTGTATAAGCTTATTGGGATTTAAGAACATTTAAAATATTTTAGTTCAACAACAGCATGTCTCTAAAGTTGATCATGAAATACACTAACTCCTAGAGGCTAGAATATGACAACAGACACTTCAGAAGATTTCCAGTTGCTTCTAGACTGTTCATTGACTTTTGCTGCAACTAAATTTTAGCTTGTAGAGCAGTAGATAAAGCCATAAACTATTTTCTACTCACTAGGTAGATTCAAATTCGATCAGCTACTTAAATATCCCAGCATGCACCCATAGCAGTTGGGTCAGGGAGCTACTTTTATACTGATGCTCTGCCAAAGAAGCTATGCAAATTTTCAACAAGAGCTGGATGATCTTAGCAACAAACAAGAACCATTTGAGATGACTTCGAAAGAGGTTTTAACAATTTGAAAGGGTAACCAATCAGAAAATCAAAAATTGAAGAAAGAATTTAGCTTGAAGGGAGGACATAAAAAACAGTTAATGAATCATAGTTCAATCAGCCAACACCACATGAATGCCCATCCCTCACTGTGGCTGCTTGAATTCATATGAAAAGAAAAGAAAAAACCAGTAAAGGAAATTACTCCAAACTTGCTATTGAAACGACTAAAAGCAATCATACTTATGGTGCATTGTCTTTGGTCGATCACGATAAACCTTTTCCAGAGATTCATTTTCACACGTGATTTCACTAGAAAAAGCGGTACCATTTGATTCTTACATGGAGTTACAGAAGATTTCAACCAGAATCCGAAGAATATCAGTATACCAAGGAAACATAAATCCAAAAAAAGAAAAGGAGAAGGTAGATATAAGAAACAACAAGGTAAAAAACAAAAACATGCAGTTAGTGCTTAACCACTTTAACAAAAGGACAGAAGTGTCATTCTAATCAATCTTTCCTAAAAAAATACAATATCAATAGAATAGGTTGGGAAAATTTATAGTTCCCACATTTAGTTTTTGCATCAACATTCTTTCTCGACTGTTGTCGAAGAATTACCCCACATCATGCAGCATCTCTTCCTGAAGGCTATCAAATAAGAAGAACCAAAAGCTCGAGTTGGTAAAACTTACGTGACAAACCGATTCCAGGTAAAATTTTGTCATTTCCCAGGTACAGATGGTTCTTGTATCTTCGGTCATCAATTGCAGCAGCCACAGATGTTATCCAAGGGCTATAAGATACCAGAGTTTTTGGAAAAGGACCACCATTTCCAGCTGCCTGTGCAACAAATACACCTGCTTTCACAGCTCCAAGAAGTGTAGCATCAAAAGGGTTCAAATATGTTGTCTTGGTTGTTGCTGGAGGACTATTTGGACCCACTGAGAGGCTGAGTATATCAACTCCATCATGAACAGCCTATTCACAAAAGTTTTTACGAATTAAAGTTGTTCAATAAAGAGGTAACCCGTCAAAAGATGTAGCCTAGATTGGAAATTTGGATGCTTTCTAATATCACGTTGATAGTAGATCGAGAAATCATAATATCTTTTGTTTCTTTTTCAACCGTGAATTCCAAATCCAAAACAGGTGTGTCACATTTTTGTACTCAATGTAACAGGGCGATACCCCAAGAAGATTTTTATAGTGTCAAAAAACGAGAAAAGGGAAGCATTTCTTTGTAGACAGCTTCAGAGCAGTCATAGATATCTAAATGCACATTGTTGCTAGCTCATCATTAAGATGGGAGCAAATATATGGCCACAAAAGGGCCCATCAGATCTCAGTACTCTGAAGGTGTTGATTATATTGTAATATGGACAAGAGCAAAAGCAATATTCTGCTGCAAGAAACTTAAGTCTTGCATGAAAACAACAAGAAGAGCAACAAGTTATGCAACAGTATCATCAAATCTGTTATGGGCTGTTAGCAACCATATGAGAGCGAACCTGATCAATAGCAGCCACCACATCCGCAATAAAGCCTCCAAAAAGCCTATAAAGTGCCTTGTACACAGCAATCCTAGACACAAATAAGATCACTAGTCAAAGAAAGGACATGATATTTTAGGAATATGACTAATTGAAGCTATTGTTATGCTCACCTAGCACGGGGAGCCATCCCACTTGCTTTCCCAAATTCATGGCCATGAATTCTCACAGGAATTCCATTATTTCCAGCTGCAATAGCTGCTGTGTGACTGGAACCCAGTTACAGAAAAACAAAGGTAATGGTATTAGATTGAATTTTTAAAAAATATAAGGTTTTTTTTTTTTCTCTTTCACATGCGCGGCCCATCCAATTTATAACATTGTCTAATCAGTATTGCAAGCACTAGTAACAGATTAAAATTCCCATCAAAAAAGTTCAAAGGATTATACGGTATCACAGTTTTGGATAAAATTTGCATGTATTGATGGCATAGGAAACAACCTTCCGTGCCCATCTCCATCCATGGGAGAAGCAAAATCAACGGAAGGATTGAATGCCCCAGCTGCAATTGCAGCTTCAGCAAAATGTTGGGCTCCAATGATCTTTCCATTGCAGAATTCTTTCTTGGTATCAGGATCAACTTCACATTTTCCTCTGTACTTTGGAAGCGGCCCATATGGGTCAGTGCTGGGAGATCCGAAGCTTGGATGGCGTGGAAAAATTCCCGAGTCTACAAACCCTATTATAATGTCTTCTCCAGCCCTATCAAAGCCACCCCCTGTTGGCCAAACCCCAGTTGGAAGCCCCAGAAATTGTGGGGTGTGAGTTGTAAGTCTCCTCACCTTCCAATCTCTCTCCAAGGATTTCACATCAGGGGCACGCCTCAGGGTTTCTGCCTACTAATATATTGGAACAATGTAAGGATATAAAAATAGAAAGAAAAATTATAAATCAATCTTTAATGAATATCATCAGAGAAAGAGGTACAAAGAGAGTAATTCATGGTTTCACCTGTTCAGGGGAAATATGAACTGCAAAACCATTTATAAGATGCTTATAGCTGTAGAGCTTCTTGTAGGTCCCACGGTCAAATAGAGAATCAAGAAGCATATCATGTTTCTGTTCAAGGTGATGGGCATAGGAAGTGACCAATTGACTGAAAAACAGCCCAAAGGTAGAGAGTGAATGAGTGATGAAAAACAGTTTTAACCAATTCTATTCCTTTATCAATTATGGTGTTAAGATCTTCTATCTGAAAAAACAATATCATGGTGCAAGGTAACATGACAAACGAGTGCAAAACAACAAAGCAACAAAATTAAATTTGATGAAACAAGGCAAATGAACCTCCAATTGAATTATGAGAGACATTGGAATAAGACTTCATCACAGAGTGCATGGTTGGTGTTAGAACAACCTCATATCAGGCAAGCCGCTAGCTGCAAATAAACTGTTCAATGCTTGACCAGACGACTAGACATGCATGCATGTTTTAAAATCACAACCAAATTCAAATAAGATATACAAGCCTGTAAGATTTGCACTAAAATCTCAAAGCAGTTGTAGTCTACCAAAATAGGCTGACAATAAAGGCAAAGTCAAAGACTAGAAAATCAGATGCAAGGAGGAGGTAATCATGGGGCTGAAAACACACAGTACACAGCCTTTACAATGCCCTTTATTTCTATTCCCACGTGGCTCTGAAGTGTTTATTATTAATAGCCTACTGCCGGTGAAGAGGTATGGCTCATCAAACATTATGATCCATATCAAACTGTGAGCATGAAGAAGTACATGGTCACAACTAACACATTATGATCATTTGAAAAAACAACCGGTAAATTAAAGTTCCAAATAGTCATTTCACTGGGATGTTTCAAATCCACAATACATTTCCCAGCATAAAAAATTAGTCTAACAAAACTACAGGTACACAAAAGCAGAGAAATTTGCAATTTGCAAGTCCCTACCTGGTGGTGTCAAACTTCTCATCGGATTCCACAGCAGTGGCTTCAAAACCAGGGATACCTCCTGTATAACTTATGACAGGCTCTCCCTTCATAGTTACTATATAAACCTCTGCTTTCCCATTTATCAACAAAGCAAATAAGACAAGAATTGTACACCAAAGCTCCACCACCCTCATTTTCACTAACCAAGTGACAACTTCTATTATCTCCCACAATACCTGCTCCATCCATCACAATCAAAAACCAGTCAGCTCCATATTGTAACACTAATAACACTTGAAATCTTAAAAATCATGACAACTTGAAATCTAAAAAATCACGACAACCCAATTTTTCTTGTTTTATCTTTTTGACCAAATAAAATAAAATAATATTTTTCCTCGTCAAAACACTCCATTAATTACTTTATTAATAAATTAAACAAAACCCAAATCTCAACCACTTCAGGAACTTGAAACTCATAAATAAAACAGTATTAAAAAACCACACAAAAAACCCCCCACAAACCCCTTAAAAAGAAAAAAGAAAAAAAAATTTCTATAAGAGATCAGATTACTTGCACAAGCACTTCTAACATAAGACAAACTAAAAGTTTAAAGAATAAAATCATCAGTTCTTGATTACCACAGTTAGTTAGTTACTAATAAATCAATCACCAAACTAAACACTAATTAACGTCACTTGCCAAATAGAGAGAAAGAAGCTGATCTGATCAAAGTATAGTAGCAGCTAGCTGTCTCTCTCTTTTCTTACATGAATCACCACACCAAACCGAATAAAAAGTTAGCTTAAGCAACTGAATCTGCAGCAACAAAATCACATCCATCTATCAAGAACTTGAACAAGCAAAGAATCTACATTTTTGGGTACTAAAGAAAGATCCCATCAAATAAAATAACCCAAAAAAGCAGGTCTTTCACTTACAAAGGCAAAGAAGAACAAATAACTTCACATTCACATAGCAAAAGCAAATGCAGCTTTAGATGCTGATGACCATTGCCATTTGGATTTGCATTTGCATTATTTATCACAAGAACGAGAACGAGAGAGAGAGAGAGAGAGAGAGAGATGTTGTGTGTTTTAGAAGCAGTGATGGAGATGGTGAGGGAGAGAGGGAAAGAGAGTGAGAGAGTAAAGAGAGAGTGAGGGTTGTTAGGGTTTTTACATATATTTATTTAATTAATAATCATAAAGAGAGATCAGTGTGATTTACAGACAGGGAACCGAAGATGATGGAAGACTTACATACTTATTATTAAATTAATTAATAATGGTATTTTAGTCCCTGTTTGGTATTGTTGTAAAATCATCCCTAGAAACTCATAGATACATTAATGATTAATCCATATGTGAATAGCATATTTAAGACTTTATAAAAAAAAAAAAAATTGGTATTGTTTTTTTGATAAATAAAATGGTACAAGAACTTCTTTTCATGGCTAATGGTATTTTTGTGATGATACTAATATTTCACGTCCATTAACGAGAAATTTTATAATACATCGAGAGTAGCTAGTGATATGTATAGTAGTTATTGCATAGACTCACTTTGAGAGAGAGATAGATATACAAAAAAAGAGAAAGAGAAATAGAAGAGAGAAAATAAAAAAATTTGAACGGATGTGAAAATCTTCTTATCACTTTTGATGGATATAGATGTAATTTTTATTTTTTATGTGTCTATCTCTCTTCTCAAAATGGGCACATGGAGTAATTACTATACATGACACTTAGTTACTACTTGGTGTATTATAAAATTTTTCATAAATTCATATTCTAAAATTCATTTTGGAACAATTGAATTTTCTCAAAATGTTATTGATTGAGAGTTTAGAGTTTGAATAACTATAAGCTTTAGATACCACCTTTTTTCAAACGACATTTTTTTCAAACAAAAATTACTATAAACTTATAAGTCTGAACGCAAGAAAATATATTTTGAATAGCCAGCCCTGTAGCAAATTTAAGCCAGATTTTTCAACATTAAAATTGGATCCTTCTATGTTATTTGAATAATATTCTCCCTGAAATTTTAATCTTAATTCTCCAAAACGAATAGGAAAAATAAAAGTAAAATTCAACTACAAATTAAAAAAAAATGCAAATATTGTATTACTTGTTTGGATTGGGAAGATAAATCTAAAAACAATTAATGTGATTATATTGTGTTTCTAAAACTAACAATCATTATAGAATTTAATGCTAAGTAAAACACATGATCTTTAATTATTGGCTCGCATAATGCAACACAAGCATGTATGTTTAATTATATAAGTAAAAAAGATGATAAGATTGGATAATAAAACTATCTAAACTAATTTTCTTCAAATACTGAAATTTTATTTTAAAATACTAAATTAAATTATCCACTAACTATTTTCTTACCTTTTTTTTTTTTTTTTTGTCTACTGATATTTTTATTGGATCTTGTGTCAAATATTATAATCTTATATTTCATTATCAATCAATAAATGTTATAGTATTTCTAAACATTTTTTTTTCTTGGAGGTGGAGATGGAAAGGAGGAGAGAGAGAGAGAGAGAGAGAGAGAGAGAGAGAGAGAGAGAGAGAGAGAAGATTGGCGCGTACGTCACGGGTAGTTTATGACAAAGTGACAAAAATAGCCTTGAATTTTTATCACTATGACAGAATAGCAACCTGAGTAGGGATTTTGAAAACCGGAAAGGATTTATTATTCACCAATCTCCAAACACCTCGTGCCAAAATTTATGGGCTGCAATTTAATTCCCATCAACTGCAAAACAGCTAACATTTTAGCATATCTCTTTGGTTTTCCCTTTCATTCATTTCTTTTTTCTTTTTTTTATCCAATTGATCTATTAAGCTATACAATAGGATAATCATTCTTATTATATAATCATATAAAAAATTAAAATTATTAGAATTCGAATCTTAATTCACTTAAAAAATAACTTGATACATAACCACTAAATTAAAAATAATTATATTACTTAGCTTTTTTTTAGTTTCGTTTTAAAATAGCATATTCGGATCCGTTTATGCATTTATCAATATTAAATTTTTTCTTTGAATAATTTTAAAATCTATAATCATAGTGACACGATGTCTTCAAAAACAAATAAAAAGTTTTGAATACTGTAACCAAGGTTTGAACTTAAAAAAAAAATTGTTGAATTTTAAATCGGGATAATATCATAAATAACAAACCAATTTACTATTTGAACTGACCTCTTAATGAATACTGGGCAGAGGTGCTGGTTAACAAAATACTGGATAATTTAAATTAATAAGAAATTTATTAAAGATATGTAGTAATACTATGAATTTTTAGAATAAACAAAAGTTTAGAAATCCTAAGGATTTTTCTTTTAACAGTGTTAAATTTGTTTGAACAATGTCATTTTCTTCTTCTACTTTTTTTTTTTTTGGGGTAAAGTTGATGAAAGAAATAAAGCTAAGACCTAATAAATATCATAAGTAAATTATAAATTAGTTCCTCTTGCTTCGAGAAATGAATTAACTATTTTTTTATAAAAAAAATTAATTATTTTAGTTCTTTTAACTAGTAGTAACTATGATTAATTTAATATTTTTTATTTTATAAAATATTTTTTCTCATCAATCTTTCTATATTTTTACTTATTTTTTATTCCTTTTCTATTTCTTAAAAAAATAAAAAAGATATAAAAAAAGATTAAATAATTAGTTTTTGAAACTAAAGAGATTAATTGATTTGTTTCTTGAATAGAGAGGGACCAATTTATAATTTATTCTAAAGATCACACCTAGAGGAATCACCGGGCAGGTAAGCCCGTGAACCAGGGAAAGGCTGACTGCTCTAGCCGACAAATACTGCCATTTTCTTCTAATAACCTTTTTTTGTATAAATGCTTTTTGCGAGTGCTGACAAAATATGGTAAATGATTCTAATGAAAGAGTTTAATTTTTAAATTTTTTTTTAAAGAATTTAACAAGACCACCAAGCTAATAATAAAATTTTCACCAATTCTTTAACCATAACATGAAATAAGTTTTTAAAATTAAATCCCAAATGAAATCTTCATTTCAAGACATACAATAACGGGAAAAAAAATTATTTTGATTCGGTCAAAATCAAAATCCAATTATTAATATTTAGAAATAACTGATCAAAATTATTTTTTAATAATCTCAGGTTTAGCTTGGTTTGATCTAATAACCAGCATTATTTAGTTTTTATTGGAAAAAAAAAAAAAGAAGAAGAGAATTTAACAATATCATCGTATCCGAGAATAAAATTTTTATAAATTCTTTAATCGTAACATAAAATAATTTTTTAAAATTAAATACGAAATGAAATCTTCGTTTCAAGACATATAGTGTAACGGTAAAAAGATTATTTTAATTCAATTAAAATCAAAATTCAATTACTAATATTTAAAAATAATTAGCCATAATTATTCTTTAGTAATATCGAGTTTAGCTCAATTTAGTGTAATTTTTACCCAAAAAAATTAAGAATTTAACAAGATCATCGTATCTAAGAATAAAATTTTCCCGAATTCTTTAATTATAGCATGAAATAATTTTTTAAAATTAAATCCAAAATGAAATCTTCATTTCAAGACATATAATATAAAGATAAAAAAATTGTTTTGACTTGATCAAAATCAAAATTCAATTGGTATTATTCTAAAACAATTGACAATAATTATTCTTTAGTAGTATTAGGTTCAAATTGGTTTGGTATGATAGATAATACCATCGTCGACTAAAGATTAGAAGTGTTTTAATGCTAGTTTAATCTAAATAATGATAGACTTAGTCTCAAATAATGCGAAATCTAATACAAAAATATCATAATACATATAGATAAAAAATAAAAAAATACACGAGAATTGACCCAAAAACACCACCATTCTAACTATTTAAATAAATAAAATAAACAAAGGCTTGATTGGTTGCCTTGATTGGCGCAGGCAACCGAAAGTTCAAAACTTTTAGCATTGAGTAACAATAATGATTTGGGTATTAAATTAGCATAGGTTTGATAATTAATTTTAGTAACCTTTATGGGTGTCAAGGGATGGATGGACCCTTCCCTTTTAACGTGGGACTTCCCACTTAGAGTGATTATCCCTTTCCTTTTTTAAGCTTTCAAATGTTTTTTTATCATTAAAAATTGTTAAAAATGCAGCAAATCTTGATTGTCTACCTAATGTTGCATTATGCAAGTATTATGGTCAAGTCAATCTCTACTCCATAATTATTTTTGTGGACTAAAAAGGCAGTGGAACTACGAGTTAAACGCACATAAACAAGTAAAATGGAGATATTTTGTTTTTAGAAAAACAAATCATACTAAAAACCCATAAAAAATAAAGTAATGTTTTGTATCATTAATTTGATATTTTTTTTATTTTAATTTTATCCTCTAAACAATATGAATTTTTTTAATTTGTTCATTCTATTAGGATTCGATTGAGAAATTAATAGAAAAGCACTTAAAAATCCTCTCAATTCCTTTCTTTTGTTTATTAGCAAACATATTTTTCTAAGTTAGTGGAGAAAATGGTAGGAATTGAGAGGATTATTTTTATGAATTTTTTCTGCCAATTTCTCCACAAAAGCCTAACAAAAAAAGCACATTAAAAAAAATCATATTATTTATGAGATAAAATCAGATATTTTTCTAGTTCAATGATAATTAATGGGAGAGGTTTTGGTTAGTTTTTGAGATATAATATGTTGGTGGGGACTGTCAGTGTGTCTGTTTGCATGATGGACTGCCTTGAAAGTCTTGGACGAAAAGGACAATTACTCAGACCCAGCAATTCCCAACTAAATGGGTAAATACTAAATATAGTCAATTATAATTAGCCCCTTTATTTTAATAAAATAATTAATTAGTCCTTCGATTTTAAAAACTCATGATTTAGTCTTTTTTGTTCATTTTATGTTCTTTCTAATTTGTTTTGTTTTTTTAAATAAAGAATAAAAAAAAATAAATTGATAGTATGGAAAGATTGATGAAAAAAATATTTTTTAAAATAAAATAATATTAAGTTAAATATGATTAACACTAGTCAAGGGATTAAATATTAATTTTAAAAAAATTAATTAATTCGTTTTTTCAAAATTAAATGAACTAATTTGTAATTTACTCGTACTAAATAATATCTTGTTTATGGATGTGACAGAATATATTTCATTTGAAGAAAAGAAAATTTATCTTGTTTGGCTTGCCGTTCAAAAAGAAAAAAGAAAAAGAAAACATTTTACTTTGCATTTTTTAGAAAAATTGAAGAGGAAATTGATGATATTGAACTATGAGATTCGATGACAATTTAGACTTGCATATGAAGTTTCATAGAGAAATTGCTTTATGGATCATTTGAGATTTTGCTAAAATGGAGAATGTAGGTAATTAAAGATTGTTTTAGATTAATGTAGAAGAAAAACGTAATTATCCTCTTGGATTAGAGCAAATGACTAAAATTATATATTACTTACAATTTATAGTTAGATGATTGACAATACAGATTATCTCTGAAGTCCTTAATTTTACTATAAAGTTTTTATTTTTCATCAGAATATTTTTAGACTAGCTTTTACGAAAATTGAATATTTTTCAGTCGGGATTTTAGCAATCCATCCATCTTGATTCTAAATTTATAGTACATAATTTTGACAATAACTGAGTAATTATGAAGTGCAAGGAAGAAGGTAAAATGGGATTAAATTAGTCAAAATTTCTGACTTTAATTACAACATTCTTTGCCTCCAGGTGACTCATAGAATATGGTCAAAATGGAGCAGAAAGGTAATGAAAAAAAATCAAAGACAGATCACGGAAAGATATTGTAAGACAACCGTGAAGGAAGGCATTTAATAAGCACATATAAAAATATAAACAGTATGAAATTAAAAGCTCAGATCTAATCATCGGTCAAAAAGAATTAAAGATAGCAAATTAATTCAACAAGAAAGAAAAGAAGGGAAAAAAGGGTAACAGAAGGCGTATTTCTTAATCTAGTTACCATAACTTTGTTCTGTCCTTTTCCTTGCTGTCTATTTTTTGTGTTTGCTTTCCTCCCTCGTCAAAATTGTCCTTGAAAACTACTAAAAAAGGATAAGAAAAAAAAACATCAATCTAATGTCATTTTCAATCAGCCAAATGAGATTATTATTATTATTATTATTCGACCAAGCTTTCGTAAACACGGATTAAGTTTGGCTAATTATGCATACCTAATTAATGCATTCATAAAAAATCTCATATAATAATAAGATTTTGTATTTATCGAGATTCGTATAATTTGAATTTTTTTATCTCGAAATCCTAAGTTTTTTTATATTCATTTTAAAAATTCTATTTTTATTTTGTTATTATTTCGGATTCTAATATGCAATGCAAGCACACGTAGCAAATTATAACCAATGATAATTTGTCACGTATTATGATGAACTTAAATTATATGGTTGAATTGGTGATTTGGCAAGATGTCATTGGCTAAGGTCTAAAACAATAATAATATAAGAGTAGAACTCTTAAATTATATATATAAAAAATTTAAATCTCAATAAAAAAATAAATTATATAAAATCTTGATACGCGTAAAATCCTATAATAATAAGAGAAGCAAATTAATTTCCTACCATAATCAACATCCTAAAAATAAATATCATTGTAACGTGTAATTTGTATGTTCTTTTTCTGCTAGTTTTCACACACTTGGATTCAGTTTTATTTTAAAAGACTTTTCGGCATATTATGCACACCAAATCAATGCATTCGAACAAAATTTTATGACCATTATTTGAGTTTGAACTTGACATTGTAATATGAGAAAAAAAAATTAATTTATCGGCAGAATCAACGCCACAAAAATAAATATAATTTTTTTTAGATATTTACAAGTAGTGAGATAATTTTAGATTAATTTTTACATTAATTGGGATTAAATTTATTGTTTTTTAAGCTAAATCAATGCTAAATCACGTCTAATTTTTTTTATCGATTTTAATAACTAAATTCTTTAAACTCATAGAAAGTCTATATCTAGTATTGAAAAAAAAAAAGTCTTTCAAGAGTGAAAATCAAATTTTTGAGCTGATGGCTTTTATGTTCTTTTCGTTTTTCTTTTTGTCTGACATTGTAATTTCAGGTATCCATCTCTGGACAGGATAATAGAGTTTTGGAGCTTTCTAACCGTCCAGGACATGTGAGGGCTGCCCCCACCAAAGGTGTCGTGATGCTTAAACACCGCATGTGATTCGAGTAAGAGCATTTCGTTGTCTGAAAATGATTCCAAACATTAGAAAGAATTTCTATCCCATTCTTTGAAATGTATCCAAGAAATTTTCTGACGTGACTCTTATGTGGTTCGAATCTTGAGCTACACAATGAAAACAACTTTCCTTTAGTACCTAAATCGAACGCCTTAAACTTGAACTTTTTTATAAAAACTTGAAGATTTTAACTAATTGAATGTACCTTACTGTTGAGAATTCCATCTAAATCTTGTGAAAATAAAAAAAGTAATTTTAAAAGAAAACTCATAAGTCGAATTTATCCGAGTTAAAGTTTCTCTTTTATAATCCAACAGGATTGGTTTGGACGAAAAAAATTCTAATAATTTAAAAAAAAGATTTCAAATTTGATTCTTTATATTGTATATGTAAAATTTTTTTAATTATTGTACTTATTTTATACCTTCGATGCAATAGTAAGATATAAATCCAAACTTTTAGATCTGAGATATTTTAAGGATTAAAAAAAAAAAAAAAAAAATCCTTCTTTGTAACAAAGTTACAAAGCATTGATGTTTATATGCTTATTCCATAACGACAAAGAAAATTATTCGATTCACCTAATGTACATATTTCTTCATCCATTTTCACTATTTTTTTATTCCACATGAATTCAAGTGACAAAACACTGAAATGAATGTAGGAAATAATTTTCTGTAGTTCTATGTTTCTCTTTTCTCTCTCTCTCTCTCTCCCCCTTTTTTTTTAGTCACTTCTTGTTCATTGCAAAACAACAGTAGTAATATGTGTTTTACTCTGAACATTCATTCATTTCCCCCAAAAAAAACATTGATTATTATGGATGCTTAGAATTCAAAGTGCTATGATCATGAAGTGGGGTTGAAGAGATAGACAAATGTTAGGACATCATGGGTAAATTGGATTCTATGTATTCTTGGTCAGAAGTTGGATGGCAATTCCATTATAAGTCTTTTCTTTTTCTTTTTTGATAAAAAAAAAACGAGATAGATAGTTCCCAACTCTTGGTAGATGCATTACTTATATAGCTTCTATATATTTATATAGGATTTTTATTGTATTGAAATTTTAAATACTTTTAAAAATAAGACCAAAAGATGATACAAAATTACCAAAACTGATTAGTTATAAAGTACTTTGAATTATTGGTCAAAAAATATATTTTTTCTAATTTAAGTCTCTAACTTTTTTTATTTGCATTTGGGTTTTTTTTTTCTATTGACCAATATCAAACGACATAAAAGATACATAAAATCATTAAAATAACATCACATGTCTTGAAAAGCTTTAAATAGATGACATATGTCATTTTTTTTTATTGTCTTATAAATTTTTTATATGCACCTAATGCGATATGTTACTGGTCAATATAACGAAAAAAATTAATTACAAACCAAACAAAAAGATCAGAGAATCTTTTTTATATTGAACAATAATTGAAGATACTTTATAATACATTAAATATAATATCAATTTTTGTTTATGATAGAACTCGAACCCAAACATTGAACTATGAGATAATTCATGACATGAACATGACCTCTTGATGCCTTTTTTTTAATATGTGTGTGTAAATAGGACAAGCAAATGGGCAATAGGTGGATGAATAGATGAAAAGGACTATCACACATGTTTTGGTTAAAAGAGGGAACAAAAGTAGTTGTCAATGGGACAAAAGGCTTTAGACTTTTTCTTTGGTGATCGATTACAAACCAAATCATCCTCAATAATCCCATCTTTTATTTGCTTTTCTCTCTTTTGGGATTTGATGAATCATAATCATAATCACAACATTGAATTTGCTGCATGATTGTGAGGGTCCATTTGATCAATCCAACCTTGGTTTTACGAAGAATGGATGCTTCGAGTTTTTTATCTTTTTTCCTTAGGATGTTAGAAGTTTGATATCCAAATCTGTGATTTTCATTAAAAGCCAACTTTTATTGGGCTAACCTATATATTTGTGGAAATTAACCGAAAGCAAACCTTAATTAGAGGTCCACATGTATTTTTATCGTTAGAACATATCCCACATTGAATAGTTAAACCAATAACAAATAATATATAAAGTTGAGAAGAGACCACCTACCACAAGCGCTTAAGTTTTTGGATGGAATCCAATCTCAACTATTTAACTTAATATGGTATCGAGCCTCAAAGAGGCCTAACACCCAAGAAAGATGATAGGCTGCAAGTGAGGAAGAGTGTTAGAACATATCTCACATTGAATAGTTAAACCAATAACAAATAGATGGGTTAAATTTTTATGTCTGTTTTTTTTTTTATTTGTTAGGAATTTTTAATTTTTGGATTGTTTCGATGGGTTGTATTAATTTTTTATTAGAGGATATTTGTAGAATTGTAATTCTTAGACATTGTAAGTTTATTTAGACTATTTAGAGCCTTGAATCTTCTCTAAAAGGAAAAAAAATCTACTTTTATCATCCATACTAAATTAAAAGAAAAATATGTATTAACGAATTAATTTGTAAGGAAAAAAATAACATTATTTTCAATTCTTTAGTTTTAACTATCCAAATTCATTTGATTGCAACGAAAATATAAATATAAATAACACTATCTCTTTTATATATATATATAGTTGTATTACCATATTCTCTATCTAAACAATGATTTACTTTGAAATATTTCATCCCCAATAACAAATAATATATAAAGTTGAGAAGGGACTATCCACCACAAGGCTTAAGTTTTTTTTATGGAACTCAATCTCAACTATTTAACTTAATACTTACCACTCGTTTCAATTAACCAAATTACATAACCCATTCAAAAATATTGAATTGTTTTACATGTAACCAAAAAAGTTATTCTAAATATTATATTAACAAATTTACTCCAAATAGTATTAGGAAAAAAAAACTCTATAAATTAAAAAACTTTTCTATAGAGCAGTGGTCGTTTATACTTTGCTAATTTTGATTTGAAAGATTTTATGATCAAAATCATTCTAGAAGACTCCACGAATTTTCTAACTTAAGAATTTCTTGTTTAGTTTTTTGTAGATGATTAAAAAATCATATTATTTTGAGGGTATTTGTTTTCTCGTGTCATTTGAACAATGATATTTGTCACATTTAATATTTTACTTAGCTAGGGACAAACTGATAAGTCTGTTGGTTTTTTCTTTCTTGTGTTGCAAGTAAGTCTTAGATCTTAAGACGATATAAATAGAGGAGCATTCTCATTGTATTTTCTTTGGCATGTTTCGATACAACAATTTCAATACAAACTTTCTCAAATTTTAAACAATTTATCTTTCTTGCAATTTATTTTTTCATAAATTAATTGTTTATAACTCCATGCTTTATCATTATGCTTGCCTTATTGCGGATTTATTTAATTTATTTATAGTTTTATTTGTAATTTCTTTTACGCGTTTTCTTTACAAACTTTTAGTATATTTAATTGCTTTTCTTCAATGCAATTTAATGTTTTTTTTTTTTAAATTTCGTTTGATATATATTTCTTATAGTTTTTCCTTGTAAATCTCTATAATTAATCATTCTTACAACATTTATAGTAACCTCTAGATTTACTAGTTGATTACTTAACCTAGATTCACATGTCTGCTGCTCAATAAAACTTAATTGTTTAAAACTAATGTAGATCTTTACTGTTTTTTATAATAGGTATAAGTCTTTGGATCTATATGTTGATTTACTTTTTGCAATCTAACCCTGATGCTTATTTTTATATAGATAATTGTTATTTAACCAGAACAACATTGCTAATCTTTACTTATGTAGACTTATTGTATTTATTTATTTATTTTTATGAGAATCCGCAATTTATTTGATTAGGAGGGTTTTGCCTCCTCGTTATTGATCAAGCTTCATGTATTAAAAAATTATTCCAGATCCCAGAAGAAAGGAAGAACTTTATATTAGCAATGGTAACAAGAGATTCATGGGATCAAATCATATCTTCCGCACTTCCATACACCCAAATCTATATCTCTTACTTACCGACCGCCACCTCCACCTCCATGAATACAAAAATCCCTTTATACCGGCCTTAACTGAGATACTTGAAACCCATCCCTGTAGTCTCAACCTCTTCAACAGTAAAGTTTCATTGGGTCTCTCTATTTGAAACCACAAACCCTAATGGCCCAACAAACAAAACAGAACTAGGCTTAATGCAACAACAACCAATTAGGTCATTGAAGACCCAACATTGAAACCAAACCAGCCCAGAAAATTATTGTTGAGTTCTTCTCTGTGCGTAAGCTCAAGCTGCTTCCCGTTGCAATGAAATGATGGTCCCAGAACTTCTTGGATCCTTAATACACCAGTGTTCAAAAACCAAGGCGCTAAGACAAGGTCTCCCACTGCACGCAATAGCTATCAAAACAGCAACAAAGTCCGATGTTATTGTCTCTAACCACATCCTTAACATGTATGCAAAATGTGGCAAAATAAGGGAAGCTCGCCATCTGTTTGATGAAATGCCTGAAAGGAATCTTGTTTCATGGTCAGCTATGATTTCTGGTTATGAACAGATTGGGGAGCCCATTTTGGCACTTGGGTTGTTTTCAAAATTGAAACTTGTGCCTAATGAGTATATATATGCTAGTGTTATTAGTGCCTGTGCTAGTTTGAAGGGACTTTCTCAAGGGAAGCAAATTCATGGTCGGTCTTTGATGTTTGGGTTTGATTCTGTTTCTTTTGTCTCTAATGCGCTTGTTACAATGTATATGAAGTGTGGCCAGTGTAGTGATGCATTTTTGGTTTCCAACGATGCATTAGAGCTCAATGTTGTTGCTTGTAATGCTTTGATTACTGGGTTTGTTGAGAATCGGCAACCTGAGAAGGGTTTTGAAGTGTTTAGAACGATGTATCGAAAGGGTTTTTTGCCTGATAGATTTACTTTTGTTGGATTGTTGGGGACTTGTAATAGCAGTGATGATTTGAGAAGAGGGGAACATTTGCATTGTCAAACAATAAAGCTTAAACTCGACTCTTCTGCTTTTATTGGGAATCTGATAATCACAATGTATTCAAAGTTAAATTTGTTAGAAGAAGTAGAGAAGGTTTTTAGATTAGTTGAAGAGAAAGATCTTTTTTCATGGAATACTTTTATAAGTGCTTGTTCTCATTGTAATGATCATGAGAAAGCTTTGGGAGCTTTTAAAGAGATGCTAACTGAATGTAGTGTGAGGCCTGATGACTTTACTTTTGCTAGTGCTCTTGCTGCTTGTTCTGGGCTTGCATCAATAGGCAATGGAAAGCAGATTCACGGTCATTTAATTAGGACAAGGCTGTATCAAGATGTTGGTGTTGGTAACGCCCTTGTAAACATGTATGCTAAATGTGGTTGCATTGGAGTGGCTTTTGATATTTTCAGCAAGATGGAGCATCAAAATCTTGTTTCATGGAATACCATGATTGCTGGATTTGGAAATCACGGGCTTGGAGGGAAGGCAATTGAACTCTTTGAGAAGATGAGGACAAGGGGAGTAAAGCCAGATTCTGTAACGTTTGTTGGACTTTTAACAGCTTGCAATCATGCTGGGTGGGTGGATGAGGGGCGACTTTATTTCAATTCTATGGAAGAAACTTATGGGATTTCCCCTGAAATTGAGCATTTCTCTTGTCTCATTGATTTATTGGGACGAGCTGGCAGATTAAACGAGGCAGAAAAGTACATGAAGAAATTTCCTTTTGGGCATGATCCTGTTGTTTTAGGTAGCTTGCTGTCTGCATGTCGGTTGCATGGAGATGTTGATATCGGGAAACGTTTAGGTAGACAACTTCTGAAACTTCAGCCAGTGACTACGTCACCCTATGTTTTGTTATCAAACTTGTGTGCTTCAGATGAAATGTGGGATGGTGTTGCAGAGGCATGGAAGCTGTTGAAGGGCAGCGGATTGAAGAAGGAGCCAGGTCATAGTCTGATTGAAGTGAAGGGAACTTTTGAGAAGTTTACTGTAGTGGATTTTTCACATTCAAGGATTGAAGAGATTAAGGACATGCTCAAAACTTTAAGTTGGGCAGTGGTTGAAGTTCAGTCTCAATTGTTTAACTCAGTCCTTTGACGCATATGTTTAATGTAGGTATCTTTCTTAGTTATGCACCATTTTGATTAAAAGCTCAGATTATAAGCGCATCAATTGAACTGCTAATTAATTAATGTGGATAGAAAACTTTGTAGCATGATGGAGGATACTAAGAAATTTAAATCTGCTGCCATGCCTTTTAAAGTAGTATGCCTCAAATGTTAGAATTTTATTTCACTTCATCATTGCAAGAAATGCCATTGGTTGCTCTAGAAACTTAGCTTCAGTTGCTGTTATGTCTGCTTTTCCATTAGTGTGGATTTGTTCACTACCAATTTGCTTCACGGATTTCACTTTTGTAGGTTGAATTGGATCCGAAGGATGACAGTGACGATGTGGCATGCAAATGCATAGCTTCCTTTTTAGATGACGAGGAAGCAGTGGTAAGAAAAATTTATGCATTTCTTTTTATGGCATTTTATACATTGTCGTACTGTTATTTGTTTACTCAATATTTGTCATTCATTGCTCGTATTCCAACTCAACTAAGCTTGGTTGTATGGAGTTGAAGTTCACCAGAATGATTTCTTTAATCTCTTCCTTGAAATAAAGTATTTCGAGAAAGCTAAAGTATGCTAAATAGGCTGCAGATATATGATTTGGGACCTTCTTATAGGTTATGATTTATCCTCCTGCAAATATAGTTTCAACACAGTTATGGCCATAGAAGAGTTTTTAAGAAAAATTTTCCATGCACTCATGCTGTAGCTACAGAAAAAAATTCTGAATAAAATACTGACCAATTATGTTTCACTGTCAAACAGTTTAGGTAGACTTGATTGCTTAATCCAGTCTCAACGTGATCGATGTGGCTTATGTGATAAGAAGGTGAATGCTTTGAAGCTCAGCCAAAGGCAAAATCTTAACAGTCTGCAGTTAAGGTAGTTGGCTTCTTGAATCAGTATTTACACCGACTACTGCACATCGATTTGATGTTAATTTATTCCTGAGGAAAGAAGGTCGGACTCGGGGGCATCCAGGTGAGCTAATGCTTGTTGAAATGTTAAAAGTTTCGGAAAATGACCGCCGAACTGCCGAAAATGTGGATTCGGTGTTTGATGGCTAAGGGGATTGTTTTATATGGCAGAAAGCTGCTGAATATGGAGTTGGAATGATACTGCAATGAATAAGATTATTACCTACAATACGAATAGATGAAATTCTTGGGAATAGAAGTTCAGTATATGCAAGTTTTTCAATAAATCGCTGCAAGGATTTTGTTCTTAGTGTCTCGTATTGTGGACTTATCCTGAATGTTTTGCTTCAAATTTAAACTTTTCCCTCTCTTCAGGAAGAAGGCGAAACTGATTGAAAATATCATGATGTATTCATTTTCCCTTTTCAATCTCTCATTTGGATTTGTGAACTAAATCAGAGAGTCCAATGAGTCTAAATTAGTGTTTTTAGTTAGTAGTTAGCGAGATAGAAGAGTCGACAAAAATTTAATTAACTATTATTACAAAGATGGGAAGCTATTATTACAAAAACAAAAAGCTACTCTAACTTTATCTTGCAATAAAGTTTTTATTTTTTTATTTTTATTTTTTGGTAAATTCAACTTCTTAAAATTAGGATTTGAACATTTGTGTAGCAAGTAATAACAAAAGCAAAGCAATCACTTTTCCCATGAAAAGCATTTTCTCCTCCTTCAAGTCTAGTCTTTCTCTATGACAGGAATGATGCCAAGTGGGCAAAGAAGAGCTTGGGTTTTGAAAATGGACCAGTTCATTATTGCTCTCTCTTTCTCTCTGTAATGCCCGTTCTAAATGGTTTTAACTGGTAGTTTTGAACAGCGGTTTTGAATAGCGGATCATGGAACATGGACTTCGAGAATGTTGAATAACTATCGTGGTTATTATTATCATAAATTCAATAATAGTTTTTAGAAAACTTCAATATTGCAAGTTTTCTAATAATTTTGCTAAATAAATGCAATAATAACAATTCGAGTAGGTAAAAGTTATATAAAAAATACATACTATCCATATAAAAACGGTGAAATATGAAAATATGAACTTATAATACAAAATATAGCAAAAAAATTAATTTTATAAGTGGATAGTTATTTTCAATATATCACCAATAATAATAAATAACGATCGTTATCGTTAGATAACAGTATTATAGTCGTCATTTTTATGAATTGCTAATAACGGTACTATAATGTTAAATTACTATAACAGAATATTCGATCCTATTAAATAACGATAATTATCTAAAACTATATTCTCAAACCATGATCAGGTTATTGAATCATTTCAAGTGAATAAAGACTAGAGTGTTCCATGGACAGTGGTGATCCCTTGACCTCAAAAAAGTTAGTACGGTCTTGAACCAGTGGTCGCTATTTCAGGAAATTATCAGCTCCTAAACAACTACCGTTCTCAAGATCAGCAATGCTAGCTGGTCATCGATCTAGCAATAGCATGGTCGGTTGGGCTCAGCCAAAAACCATATCTTGAGAAGATTTTCGAACACATGATCCACATGCTTGAGTGATTGTTGGATGACAGATATAACTGAGAAGTCAAAGAGTTACAGCAGAGTTGATCGCTGCCGGGCTGTGGTGGACCCTCATCAGCCTCACGACTCTTGGTCTGAAATCAATTGCCGGTGATGTAGAAATATGTTACTGCCTCCTCCTTCTAGTTATGGCTAATACACTTAGAAAATGAACCCTAATTGTGACATGTTAAATCGAAAATTTGAGACCAAGGCACGAGTCACAACTGATGAGCAAAACCCCAAAAACCAACCAATGGATCCTTTTAAAAAATTGGCGTTAGTGGTTCGATATGTTATTATATAATAAAATAATTTTTTAATTTATTATTATATCCATCGTTGAATCAATTTTATTTTTGAATATAAGTTATGTTAAGTGTCTATTGTATTATTCTAGTAAGATTTTCAAGATAAAAACTATTAAAATTAGTCACACGACTCGCATATAAAATTTTTTTATTTGACTTATTTATAAAGACATTTTAAAAATAAAAATAATTTGATGCAAATTACATGAATAATTATGATAGCTTGACTTGAAATTCTTGACAAAAAATATATTGAAATCTTAACGTATATTTAAAGATAGAATTGGATCAATTAGAAATATAAGAATAAATTAAAGAATTGTCTAATTATATAACGATAGGTTGAACATCAACTTTTTTTTTTTTTTTGAAAAAAAGGGGGTAATAATCAAATTTGAGTAGCTTGTGAATTATAATATTGCAAACGTACGTACAAGAAAGCAAATACAAGCCATGACACTAACTATACTTGTACAAATGAAAAAAAAAAAAGAAGAAGAGTTATATATGCTACAAGTTATTCTAGTAAGCTTTCTATTTTTTATTTTTCCTTGTGGTTCTCAATAAAATAATAATAATAATAATAATAATAATAATTGTAGCAATAACAATTGCCTTGTAGTTAATTGCAAATATCCGAGAAAGCTGGAAGTAACTTGCAAAACCAGCTTAAATGATTGAAATCTCATAAATTACCATAAGCTCCTTTCATGTGTCTTGTTATGGCATCATTTTTTCTTGTCCTAGGAAGCACCATAGGTGCATGATTGATGCAGGGTGACCCATGTTTGTTCCTTGATAAACTAACCCTTTTTAAAAAATAAATTAAAAAATGGATCATTTTTCAATTATTTTCGATGAATATTGTTCAATTTTAAAATAGAAAATTTCAAATTTTTTACATTTTTAAAACCAAAAAAATAATTTTAAATTTTATAATAATTATAAAAAACGTGAGAAGTAAGATTTGAACCATTTTTTTGGTTAATGTTAATTCATGTTTATCAAATTAAGAAAAATTGAATTGCTCATTGATTTGTACATTTTGCATTGGAAGACATAGGTAATGATCATGTTTCGTTCATGCAGTGGCATAGTTAATTATGATTATCCAACACGACATGATTTCTCTTTTTCTCCTTCTTCAAGACTAATCAAACTATGTTACTGCTGAGACAGCTATAGATCATTGTTAACCCCAAAACATGTTCTAATATAATTGAAGACTTGTACGAGAAAAATTAGAAAATTGCCTCTACTTTTGGAAAAGTTGGTAGGATTTCTCGTTTCACGCAAGTTAAAGACCAAACCGATAATTTGCATCTGTATTTTCTATTTTAATCAATGAAGTATAATTAGTCAATATATATATATATATATGTGTTCGTTCATTAGGAATGGAGGAACGAGTGATTATATTAATTGGAATAAAAGAAAAGTTAATTATAATGAAATATGTAGTGAAAAAGAGTATTTAATTGGTTGAGATAAATCTTTAACTTTTTTAAAAAATTGTATTTAATTGGCTGAAATAACAAATTCACGTGTTCAATTCACTAAATTGATGATAAAAAAAAGCTTTTTTATATAATTGTAAATGGTTGGAATTTTTTTATCAATGAGACCAATCAATGAGATACGTTTCCTTGTTGATCTACGGCAGTGCCATCCTTAACTATGTGCTTGATTCATCGTAACGTTTGGATGAGTTTTTATTATCGTTCATGAAGAGATTATTTATTATCTATTACTTACTAGAAATATTATTATTTGTTATTATTATAAAACAGTTTTGTCTAATTTTTTGATATAATAAATTAAAATATTTAATTTAATTTTTGACATCATTGTGAAAAAAATAGTGATGTATTTATACAAGGGAAGAAACGATTTTCCAATGATGATAATATGCTTTTTTGAAGGTCCCATAAACCTAATGCTTCGTAATTAAATATTCAAGCATGCATTAAGTTGACCGATCCTGTTTCTCCTGCATATCCGTTTCTTCTTCCTCTTTTCTTGGAATTTTTTTTTTTTTTTGATAACCCAAGGTGTCCGAGCCAGCTTGCACGTACCACGATTAATCCCCGAATCCATTAAATACCCCGTAAGCCTAATGAGTAGGTAAGACACCGCGAGGGTGAGAGGCGTGCGCGGAGAGAATCGAACTCGGGTGGTCATCAGGCAAGCTCTCAACCACTAGACTACGACCTCAAGCGCTAGATCTACTTTTGATAGGGAAAAAGTTGGACCTCTTTTTTATAAATATATGCTTGGTGCTTTATCTGCTAATTAATGATTGAAGGCATAAAATAAACACTATGGTCAAGGCAAATTATAGACAGGCAAACATACTATAAGAATTCTATATTCTGTAGTTTTTTTTCCACAAAATAGGTTTGAGTCTTAATAACTTTAATTTATTTGATTATTGTTATATAATAGAGAAAAGAATATTTTTATTGCATGTATAGTTCAAAATTCGACCAACCATTTAATAAACCAAAAAAAAAATAAAAAATCAAGGCATGCGTTATTAACACCAAATTCACATTTTGAACACAAAGAACTAATGTAGGCAATAAAAAGCATCTACGTGGCTTAACTGCTTCTTGAATTTAGTGGACGGGTTAAGTGGAGTAAGATTTTCTCAGCCAAAACATAATATATTAATTAGTATGATTAAGTTGTTGGCAAATAATAATTAAGAGATTATTACTTAATCAGGTCTTCTAATGGAAAACCAGATTGGTTCTTCCTTTTAGGTGAAATTTTAGTTTCTATTTAGAGTTTTCCTAAATCTATCCATAATTTTTTGTAAGTGGTTTTACCAGCATTTATATTTTGAATTTTTTTATTAAAATCTTTTATTTTATTTTATTTTTAGTTTGATTGAGATTTTTTATTCTTCAAAATTTTTTATTTTAGACCCATTTTGTAATTATATTTCTCATTTAATTAAGTTTCATGAATTACTTGTTAACTTAAATTTTAGAGAACAATGTAATTAAATTTACGATATATCAAATTATATCAATTTGGTGTGATTTCAAGCAGGTTACTTTTGACTTTTAATCATAATTCAAATGTTCATTGTTATATATATTTGTAACTAAAATAATTTTTTGAAAAATGAAGATGGTATGGATTATCTATGAGTCAAAAGTAAATTTTAATTTTTGACTAAGCAAAATTTTCAACTCCAGTTTACAGATAACCTTTTGATTTAAATTAAAAATTATTTCGAACCAAATATACTAATAGTTTTTTATTTAAGATAAAACTAAGTTAAAAAAACATAAATATAACAAAAATCTATGGTTTAAAAGTGGATAATCGGACAATTTGCTACTTGGCCCCTTGACTGAAATCCTTTATCATAAATTACTTGTGTCAGTATCTTTAACATCATTCTTAGGTTTAATCACTTAGAAATCCTTCAATTTGGCTTCACAAATCTCTTATATATAGGGATATTTTTATATTAATTTTTGTTTCAATTGGGATTATGTTTGTTATTTCTTGATTAAATTAACACCGAATCATGTTTAGTTTTTAATCGATTATAAAAACTAAGCTTTTTTAATCTATTGACAAACCTATATCCAAAAATACACATAAAAAAAAAAAAAAAAAAAAAAAAAAAAAAGATGAGGTTGTCAAATATGAGAATTAAAATCTTAAACTAACGAGTCAGAAATATTTTTCTTATCATTTTATCTGCTTATCATTTCATATACAACCTTTGACGTTACTCATAGTTTTTCATATTACAGATTACAAGTTGCTATTAGTAGCTAGCTAGCAAAGAAATTTCCAAAATCAGATTGAGACAGTTCAAAAGGGGCAGGCAGCAGCCTAAAATAAACAAACACATCTTGATCAATTCAATTCCAGACGTCTCTGCAAGCATCCCTTTCTCACCGTACAATAATTTATAATTGTCTTTTCTAACTCGTGGTTACAAGTTAATCCAGATAGTTTTAGCTAATGAGATTTGAAGACCAAAAAAAACATTAAAAAATCCTTGTTTGACCAGCCAAATTAATTATAAAATTAAAGCTTAGTCGTAGGATGACATAGAAATTTGGCTGCTTAGTCCTTTGATTGTTTGGTTAAGGTGATTGAGAGGATGATAAGTTGATAACTATGATGATTCAATAGTGACAAGGGAGATGATTTGCATGCTTCTCTATCAATTTGCAGTTTCTACTTGTCTTCTATAGAAGATTTAGAACTAATTAATTATATGATTAGCAGGTGTAATTGGGCTGCTATAAAATAACAAATTAGTCTTCCAAGTTTCAATTATCACTCAATTTCCAATTTGCTCCCTGCACTCCAAATCCAAGCAGTCTTATCCTTGAACCATCCAAGATTGTTCATTGCCTGTTTATTAGGGCCATAGACTCTCCAAGTTTACAAAAACCACAAATTGAAGAGTTATACATTTTCCCCATGTCTCCATTGTTTATTAATTATTCTTAAGCTTGAAAAAATTTCAAGATTAATTGTTTAATTTATCCTTGCATAATAAGGTAATTCTTTAATCTGTTTCTATATTTTTAATTGAGTTAATTTTATCATTGAATATATATTAAGTTTATAATCTATTCATTTGGCAAGATTTTCAAGTCCAATCATGAGAATTAATCATATGACTTGAAATATTTTTTATTTTCAAAATACACTTGCAAATCACGTTCACGTGACTACTTTCGATAGTTTGGTCTAAAGATTTTGTTAGAATAATAAATTAAAAACTTAACGTATCTTTAAAAATAAAATTAGCTCAATTAAAAGTATAAAAACATATTAAAAAATTACACTATGATATAAAGATAAATTGAACCATTAACTCAAATTGTCAAATTAAATTGAAGAATTACACTATTAAAATTATTTTAATCAAATAGATCATCCATATTCAATATATCCGGTGCATTAACTAATGGGAAAAAAATTCTTTCTCCCTTTCAATATAGGATTCGAAAAGAAAATATAATAGGGAAAATAAACTTTTTTTGTTCCTTGATATTAATAGGTAGTGTGATAATTTCAGATTAATTTTTACATCAATTGAGATTAAATTTATCAAAGATTAAGCCAATGCTACAACTCGTGTAATATTTAATCAACTATTAGGTTGTTTTTTAGGCTAAACCAACTCAAATTTGATGCAACTAATGATAATTATAACTATTTTTTTTATAAATAATGAGAATTAAACTTTGATCTTAATCAAATCAAAACAAACTTATTATCGCGTACATTATTACGGAGAATAAACCAATTTGTTGTCGGATCTAATATCTATAAGGATTTTGTTACGAATATACCACAAAAGTTGCTAGAAACTGCTGCTAGTGGACATATACGTATATTTGTATATATTTATGATGGAGCATTTCATATTTGTTTCTTCTTCTTTTCTCTGGCTAGGGTCCATTGTGACTCATTTGGTGCCTCACATCAACATCTAGATGAGACAGACTCTTGATCAAGCATGTGAAAAATTATTGCCCATATCTAATAAATATAGTGTATAGTCTGATCTAGCACAATCCTCCAATGAAATTATATACGAAGCATGACTAAGACATTACACTAATCATTTCAACCTTCCAAACAATATGATTGTTTATTGTAGAAATGTGACAACAAAAATCTTAATTCTTACACAAGAAAGTATACTCGATCGATTGTCTATCTAATAATTTTTTTAATAGTTTTACTTTATTTTGTTAATTATATAACGAAAAAGAGCTACTTTGGTTGTGTAGTACAAAACCTACGGAACTTTTAATAATAATAATAATAATAAAAGATATTAATATTTATGTTTAGAAATTTCTCACCCAAATCACCATAAAATAAAAAGCAAAAATAATTAATAAGAGGAAGTAGACATTAATTTAATATATTGCATACAACAAACACCTCTTTGAACTTCTGATTGGTTGACCATCACATGCATTAGGTGGAAATTGGTTGATTTGTCAATCCTCAATAGCAGAATCATTAATTTTTTTTTTTGGGATTTCATGGCTGATCCGAGCCCAAAAACAATAATATTTTCCTTTCCTTTTTTTTTCCCCCCATTAATACTCTCTTTGTATGCTTATTGGGATAAGCATTTTTCTTAATTTAAAGATATTACTCTCCCCTGCCATAGGCCAATTTTTTTTATTTTTTATTACTCAATACGAGCATATCGAGAGTAAATTATAAATAGTGCTCTATTTTTTCAAAACAAATTAATCAGTCTCTTTTATTTTAAAAATTAATTATTTAATCTTTCAATTTGTACCGATTGTGCTTACTTTAATATTATTTTATTTTACTTTTACTATTTTATTTTTAAATTAAAAATAAAATAAAATAAAAAATAAAGAAAGTGATTAAATTACAAAAAAAACTTAAAGTATAGAAACTAAATAATTAATTTTTGAACACACAAATAATTAATTCATTCATTTCTTGAAAAGCAGATTGACTAATTTATAATTTACTCGGCATATCAACTTAAAAAAAAAAAAATCCAACCAAAAGGCAACAAGAATATGAGAACAGTGCCTTAGGGCTCCACCAATTTCTCCACCTTCGTTTGGTAGCCACTCCATGAGAGCCAAATGCATTAGGTGGATAATCAGTTGGTCGGTTTGTCAATTGCAAAATCCTTTTTTAAGGAAAAAAAAATATATCAATGGAGTATGAGTGTGAAATTTTGTCTTTCTTGCTTTGCTTGCATTGGGTGGAGTACTATACCTTTTATTCTACTTCCTTAAGTATTTCCTAAAACAATCTTTGATCAAATTTTATGTTAATAAGTTACAATGAGCAAACATTTTGCTAATAAAGCATTGCAAAACACCAAAAATTATAAGTAAAATAGTAAGAAGAGTGTTTCTTTTCATCATATTAGAAGTTTGATTCTCATATTTGAAAAATTCTTTTTCTCTCTTTTGCGTAGCATTAAACATGAACTGTTGATGAATTTTAATATTTTAATTATTGAAATTAATTAAAAATTAAATGTGATTCGAAAATGATACAAGAATGTCCTATTAATTGTAAATATTTTTTTTAAAAAAAATTACAAAAGTAATGTCCAATTGGTTGTTCTGTGGAAATTCTAAGCCTAACAATATTTCAAGATTAAGTCTTCCTCAAAGGCTCCAAGTACTTGAATTCCTGTAGTCTATTCATTGTGTTGCCGTGGAAGAAGGCATTTTGTAGTAAGGCATGGGCAATTTTACCGTATTCTGCTTCTAACTCTGGTCGCCATGGGACCAAGCTATAATGCCCATGAGCAAAATCATCGTTAACTGAGTAAATTATAAATTAGTCCCTTTAGTTTTAAGTAATAAATTGATTAGTTTTTCTTGTTTTAAAAACTAATTATTTAGTCTTTATATCTTTAGATTTTCTTGTAACTTAATCCCTCTTTTTTTATGATTAGTTATTTATTTATTTTTTTAAGAAATAAAAAAAGAAAAAAATATGAAAAAAGGATGACATTTTTTAAAATAAAATAACATTAAATTAAGTGTGATCAAACAGTAATTAATAGATTCAATAATTAGATTTTGAAATTAAAAAAATTAATTTATTTATTTCTTGAAAATGAAGAGACAAATTTATAATTTACTCTCATCAACTCACTATTATTTTCTGTCTGAGGATTAAAAGAAGCGATGATTTCATGGTCAAAAAAGGAGAAAGAAAGTTGCAATTATATATCTACTATCCCTGTGACTGAAGAGACTAATTAATTAGTTCAAAATATTTTTGGATTTGACTATGAACATTACAAAATTCTTTTATGCTAGTAAATTTGCCCAACTCCCTCGATCATGGAGCCATCTCAAAATGAAAAGGGAAATTGAAATCAATTCACACATCAATCGAAATTAAAGCTAAAAACAGTAGAAGCATATGATCAGTCTAGATGTCATAAATAGCATATTGAAATCAATTTATACACAGATATTACACTTTAAAAAAAAAAAAAATTACAAGGACATATCTCTACTAGTAAAGTGCATATAATTTTTTTTTTTTCATGATTTGAACTAGAGAATTCAAAAGAGGAAACAAACTTTCTCAATCATAAAAGGCTTATCTCTTGAAATTACTTCTTTTTTTATTTATTTATAATCCCTGACATTATTTTAGAGGTGAATGAAAAATGTAATCTTAACTTGCTTCAAATTCAAGTGATTTTACTAACTCAATTAAATAAAATATAAACAATATATGGGCGCTCTTTTTTGTTGTATGTAAATCAATATATTTTCTCTATAGACGCAAGCAAATGAATGAATAAACAAAGAAATAAAGATTTAGACAGCATAAAGAGATGAGAACCATAAATGTTTTCGTTATGTTTTTTTATTAGGAAGAATATAAACAAAATAAATAAATAAAGGTAGAAAACAAAAAATAGGAAAAATAATGATTACAAAGAGCTTTTGTGAATATGATAGGAGGCAAACAAACAAAAAGATAGAAGAGAGAAGGATGGGCTTGTCCCCTTGGACACGCAAGGGTACCAATCATCAATATGCATCCAAAAAATACCTGAAGTGATGCAATGTGGCAATGCCTTTGTGTGTTCATTTAGGATAAGTTTCACTTTTTAGGTCAAGATTTTGTAATTCTTGTTTTTCTTTTCATAGCCTTGCCAATTGATGCCAAATTAGGAATCTAGATTTAGTCTGAAATTCATGTTTCATCCTTGATTTCCTAAGTGTGTGTTTGCTTGTGTGATTGGAAAAGAAAAAAATAATAAATTGATGGTTTTCGTTTGAAAAAACACACTTTATGTTATTTTCATGCAATTTTTTAAATAGTTTTGACAAATTGACGTTTTATTGTATATTTTTGATAGTTTTGAGTTTTGATTGTTCACTATCAAAGCCATAAAAAACACTATGTTTTAAAAATCGAAATCTAACTTTAATGTTGTTGAAAACTTTTTTTATTTAAAAAGGTTGACTTAAATGAAAAAAAACTCTAGTTGCTTAATCAAATAGTCTCGTATTTCAGTCCTTGCAGACGCATACAGCGAGCAAAACTCTTTGGATAACTGTTGCTTGCTTTATGTGTCACGCTGAATAGCGAATGAATACCCCGAGGATAAAAAAATATATTTCTTTTTAAAAAAAACTAAATTAATTATTTTTTATATTTTTGACAATTTTTTTTATTTTTTTTATTTTTTATTTTTTTTTTACAGTTACCCATTTTAACTGTACCAAAATCATCGAAAAACATTCCGAAAAGCATTAATTAAAAAATAAAATAAAATAACTTCAAAGGCAGTATCAAATAGTTGAATCTTTACTATAATTATAAGTTCAACCTATATATATATATATGGGATGTAACTAAATTAATCAAATATATACGGTACATGCATATATATATATGAGAGTGATTTAATGCACTAAAAAATGAGATGGATTTCCTAGGGCAATTACTCATCATGCAAGGAAATATAATGGATAGCAATTATTCATAATTTGGTAGGTACACCAGGTGGGCTTCCCATTGTTGAATCTTTTGATTGAGAAACTATTTATACAGAGGTGGCATTCTCATTCTTTTGCATTTATTTTATTTTATTTTTATAATCATTCTGCATTTAAATAGTGTTTCTCGTGCCATTATTGAGAGTGAGAATGACTGCATGCTATTTACGGGTCAAATTCAAAACAAAGATTAATAGCCAATTGAGAGTGGAAAAGAGAAAGGATATCTATGGATCAAAAGAAGCTAGAAAACCAATTACAAATTAACAGTACAGATAAAGCACTAAAATAGAAGATTTCTTTACCTATATCCACAAGGTGAGTTGGATTCAAATCATAAAATAATTGGAACAACAATATGCCAATTGCTTTCAAAGTTACTTGCATTAATTTGATCAAAATTCTTGAATTCAAGTCCTTTTTCCTTATCGAAGAGAGAAACTTTAATTTGGTAATTTGATAGCATTAAATTGATACAAGTAGAGAAGAATGCTCGTATGTAGATTCGGATGTAAAGCAAATTTATTTTCCATATTATTATTTTAAGTTTAAATTCAAGAAAAAAAAAATGAGAAGAAAATTTATTGTAAATAGATACCCTACTCTTTCTGTCTCAAAAATATTCGCGTCTTTGACTTTACATTACATTTTTCTTCGTACTTTTTTTAAAAAATTGTATTTTGAATTTTTTTACAAAATAAATTATAATTTTAAATATTTTAAAAAATATATGAATTAAAATTCTGACCAAACAAATATTTCAGAATAGACATAAATAAAAAAATAAATATTTTTTCGAGACGAAAGCGTATTAATTTGGATATTAAACTCGATGGTTGAGTTTCGGTGCGTAGAAACGGATCTGAGAATTTTGAAGGGAAAAAAAAAGGAAAAAAGAAAAACTCTTTGCCACGTCAGATGGTTCAGTTTCGTGTTTGACGTGTCTTGTGGAGATAGACAGATGAGTCAGATGTTACTTTCAGTTCCACTAATGTCTGATTGGCAAGAAACAGACACATCTTTGCCACGTCACGTAAGGATATGCCTTTAGAATATCTTTAGGTAATTTAATTTCCACTTTGAGCCCTTTGACTTTGTCATATTTACATAATATCCTCATAGTATGCTCAAATAAAATCGAAGGTAAAAGAAATTAAAAAAATTGCATTTTTTCTTCACATTTTTCTCATTTCCCATGAAAATAAACTTTGACTTTTATTGCTTGCATTTGATCAAGACCTAACTTGGAGTTCCTTGCCCTAATAAAAATACAAATTAATGAATCGATGTTACGTTTGTTTTTATTAAAAAAAAATTAATGGATTTTGGCTTATAATAAGACTAATAAGAGGATATTTCACATTAGGGTGACAATGGTAATTTTCATCATAACTAAATATGTGAAGCTTTTTTTTTCAAAAAAAAAAAAAAATGGATAAAAAAGTTTGCTTCTTTGCTTGACTTCTTGAGTTTGAACTTCGAAATTTAATCACAAGAATTTATTAAGAAATTGTTTTTAAAATTATTTGTAAAAAAATTTAATATTAATTAATATAAAAAGTAGTATTTTTATCCTTGAATGAAAAAACAAAAAGCTATAACCTTGATTTATATTTTATTTGATAAAATCAACCATCTCAAACTCTCATAACTCATATATATCTCATATGAAAATCTAATTAGGTCATAAAAATAAGGTTTTTTTTTTTTTTACTAATTCTTTAATCTCGATATAAATAACCTATTTTAGACATATTTTTGAAAATTGTTCTGAAAATACTTTTCATATATATATATATATATATATAGTATTTTTGTTTAATTCGAGAACAATTATTGGACAAGTGGATTCTACCTAATCAAACCAGTAATGACAAACATTCTTTTCAATACAAGAAAGAGAGAAGCAAAGCATAGAAAAGTCTTCATGTTCTTCAATTTTTCGAATTGAAGAAAAAGTCTGTGTGTTAAATCTCCAAGAAGTTTCCATCAAGCTCCTTAGCAAAGTCGCAATTTCAGCAGGGACCCCACCCCACTACAGAAGAACATGCTTTTGGCACTACCAATTTGGTCCTACCATTCTCCAAGAGCCGCCATTAACTGCACTGTTTAGAACATGAACTCCCGTTGTCGTGATCCCAAGTTACTTAGCTTGGTCTCCTTTCTTCAAGAGTATGCAATTGATAAAAGTAAAATTATAAACGAGTCTCCCTCCTTTTAAAAAATAATTAATTAATCTCTTTTGTTTCAAAATTTAACCATTTAGTTTTAATATTTTTAAATCTATTTATAACTTGATTTTTAAAAATTTATTATGATTTTTTTGTTTTAAAAAATAGAAAAAAATATGAAAAATTAATGAGAAGTTAAGACATTTTGTAAAAAAAAAATATTAAATTGAAGGGTGTTACAAAATTCATCAATAAAATTGTTAAATATTTATCCCGTTAAAATTTATATTTTTCTAAAATATTCTTAATTGATAAAAACATAATTATGTCTTCCATTTCATGTTTTTCATTAATAAAAAATTAATATTTTTTTATACTTTCTCCTTACATATGTAAATACCTTTAAAATAAAATTTCAAAAGAAAATTCTTTATTACGTAAAAAATAGTTATTTTCATAAAAAATTGACTACATATCAAAATTTTGAGAGTAAAATATTTTTATTAAAAACTTATTTTTCTATTGTTGTTTTAAATTTGATTGTAAATTAACTTAATTTTTTTTTTACTTATCACCTTAATTTTGAATATATTTTCTCTTTAAATTAATATTAGTTTTACACAATATATGATTAATTTGATAACTAATAATTTTAATAAAAAATACTGATATGATATAATAATTAATATTTTTTTAAATTATGTGAAAAATCAAAATGAAGAATTTTTTGAAAGAGAAGAAGTATTTAAGTTGGTCATCCAAAATATAGTTGTACTATTCCATTTGTAATTACCATAAAAGATAAATAAAACTTTCACATGCGAAAAATAATTTAAGAAGGCAACACAAATATAGAAAAATGAAAAAATGCAGTTTCCTTCTATAGATTGTCAAAAAACAGGGACTTATTAATTACCATTTTCCCATTTTATGTCTTCACTCATTAATTACTAAATACCAACCCTTAAACATTATTAAATAATTTAACCACCACCCAAAAAAGAAAAAAAGAGACAATAAATTTATATATTTGAAAAAGACAACTCAACTCCCCTTCTAATTCATATCCTCAAGTTTCCCACCAATCGGTCAAACCACTCTCCTTATTTTTCTTTTTCTCGATTTTTACCTCCCTTGTCTCTCAACAAACAAACCATAGTTCTTGAGACCAACACAATATTATTTGCTTTTTGATAATATATATTATTCAATTTCAATAAATGATAAACAAGAAAAAAAACATTTTCAATAAAATAGGAAGTAAATGATTTTTAATAGTAATATAGAATCTAATTATGAATCTTACTTGTCTAGTTTTTATTTTTTATTTTTTAATATTGAGTAAATATTTTTAATAATTTATATTAGACAATAGTCATAATTGGACCGTGATCTTAATATGGAATTTAACAACGAGTCTTTCAAATGTAATAACTCATTATTTGTTTTTTAATTTTTTTAATATTCAGTATCTCTTATATTAATATTTAGTAGTACCATTTTTACATTATTTTACAAAAGTAAAACGGGAATGAATATAAAATAATAATAATTCAAGATGGATACAGGAGGAAGAATGGTATTACTTTTGTTTTATTTATGAAAAACAAAAAAAGAAACTACCATAATTTCCTTTTGTTTCATTATTTTCTATTAAAAGTTTTTTTTTAAAATAATAAATAACTACTAGTAATAAATTTATTTTATTTAACTATTAAGATTTCTCTCTCTCTCTCTCTCTCTCACTATCTTCATTATCTATCTCCCATCATCTTCTTCGTTTCATTATAGGCGCAAGTCTATAGCCATTTTTTGGAATTAAATTCCTTCCGCACTCTCTTTCCTTCCCTTTCCAAACCCCAAAACTCTCTCCCTTTGATTTTCCAATCTTTGATTTTCCAATCTCTTTCTCTTTCTATTTCTGCTTAAAGTTTTCGTTTTTAGCCATAAATCAACCTCTTTTCTGTGTCTGCTTAAGAATGGCATAAACCACACAGATTTTGTGACTTCATTGATTTTCAAGGAAAATAATTGTTGGGTTTCGCTTGGTTTTGTGTTTTGAGGAACTGGGTGTTTTTGGATTTTGATAAAAAAATCATGGGGTCAGCTTCAATTGAGCACGAAATGCCAGCTGAAGAGGGGACTCGGCGTCGGTTTGAGAATTTAAGAGGCGTTCAATGGAGGATAGATCTTGGGATTTTGTCTTCTCCTTCATCTTCAAGTGTTGATGATCTTCGTAGAGTTACTGCTGACTCTAGAAGAAGGTGAACCTTTGGCCTTTTTTCTTTTCCTTTTTTTTTTTTCCTGAGAAAAAAAGAATGGAATTTTTGTGATATTTGGGTTTTTATAGATTATTGGAAGCAGAATTATGGGTTTTTAGTTGTTTTAAAATTTTTAATTTAGTTTAATTAAGAATCTAAAGACGGTACCAATTAAACTTTTTATTGGTTTTCTGAGGATAACCAGTTGATTATCTTTGGAAGTCATAATTTAATCCATTGTTGTTTTTCAGGGTTTGATCAATAGAATCAAATAGTAGTGGTTTTGGTTGTGATCGGTTGGCTTAATTTTCTCATTTTTGCCTTTTTTTTATGGTTGTTAAAACTCAATCAATTAGGAGGAGCTTTCCAGTTGGATTTCAAGCTTAAGTCTGTTTTGTTTGCTGATTTGTTGTTGCGCTAATGGAATCAAAATGGTTTGTCTTTGTCAGTTATGCTGGTTTGAGGAGGAAGCTCCTAATTGATCCACATGTGTCCAAGGGCGGACGTAGTTCACCTGATCCCGTAATAGACAATCCACTGTCACAAAACCCAGGTAGCTATTTTGTTTCTCATCTATGCACTCTTTAAGAATTATTAGTTACAGTTAACTCATCTATGGTATAAATGCTCAGAAAATTGGATATAATGTGCTTACATTGAGAGCCGCTGTTGCTTCTTTCACTTCTCCTAGTGCTAGTTTTTGATACTTTTTTTACTAGACTACGACTATCTTTTTAATGTAAATCCATCATATTTTAGATGGCTGTAGCTTAGGGTTGTGTCTAGTTTTGCATTCCCTGAACATGTTCAGGCATGTAAGATAGACTGTTGCTTGTAATATAGGGCATACTATAGTTATGCCAATTGCTGATCTTATCTGCTTTGTTATTCTAATAAATTTATTGTGACTGTGCTATGTCTTAAGAAAATGTTGTCAGTATATTGCATTAATGTTGATTTACAAATGCTGCATGCAGATAGCACCTGGGGTCGCTTCTTTCGGAATGCTGAACTTGAAAAAACGCTTGATCAGGATTTGTCACGTTTGTATCCAGAACATGGGAGCTATTTCCAGACCCCTGGCTGCCAAGGAATGTTAAGACGAATATTGTTATTGTGGTGCCTTAGACATCCAGACTATGGTTATAGACAAGGTAAATTGAATTGTTCATCTGAAAGAAATTCATATTCCCATCATCTCTTTTGGCATTCTTCTTTGTGTTACACCGACATTCAATCATTAATTGGAACCTGTAAGCTCAAGCTGTTCATCATATATTGTTAACTTGCATTTCAATTATTATTTTCTTCATTTGTTTCCCAATATTCATTCACGCGATATCTATTTACTGGGAAATTAATTTCTCCTTTGTCTTTCTTGTTTTCCTTAACAGGAATGCATGAACTTTTGGCTCCTTTTCTATATGTTCTTCACATTGATGTGGAGCGCCTCTCTGAAGTGCGCAAGGAGTATGAAGACCATTTCACAGACAAATTTGATGGTTTAGCATTTCAGGAAAAGGATCTTACGTACAATTTTGATTTTAAAAATTTTTTAGATTCAGTGGAGGATGAAATTGGCTCCCATGGTAATGCTGTCAAAGTGAAGTCTCTCAATGAGCTTGATCCTGAGATACAAATGACTGTATTACTAACTGATGCTTATGGGGCTGAAGGTGAACTGGGTATTGTCATATCAGAGAAATTTATGGAACATGATGCTTACTGTATGTTTGATGCATTGATGAGTGGGTCTCATGGTTCAGTTGCTGTTGTGGACTTCTACTCTCACTCACCTGCACGTGGGTCCCATTCTGGCTTACCCCCTGTCATTGAAGCTTCTGCTGCTCTGTACCATTTGCTGTCCGTTGTCGATTCATCTTTACACAGCCACCTTGTTGAGCTGGGTGTTGAACCTCAGTATTTTGCACTTCGCTGGCTACGGGTTTTATTTGGACGAGAATTTTCACTTGAGAACCTCTTGTTAATATGGGATGAAATATTTGCAGCAGATAATAATATCATATTAGACAAAGTGGCTGAAGATGATGCAGACTCTGGCTTTCGTATCTTTAGGTCACCCCGGGGAGCATTGATCCCAGCTATGGCTGTTTCTATGATTCTTCATTTGAGGTCTTCCCTGCTTGCCACTGAGCATGCAACTACTTGTCTCCAGAGACTGTTGAATTTTCCTGCGAATATAGATCTGAGAAAACTGATAAACAAGGCAAAGTCTTTACAGACCCTTGCATTGGATTCTAATATGTCCTCTGTATCTCCTCCATTTGATGGGATTTATAACCACAGTAAATCAATGGTGGTAAGAGGTCATACTCATACACTTTCATCTGATTCTGTTTCCCCCAAAACTCCTCTAAATGCGATGCCTGACAGCTATTGGGAGGAGAAATGGAGAGTGGTGCACAAGGCAGAAGAAGAACTCAAGCATGATAATCTAGGGAAACTAAATCCAACCCAGAAAAAACGGTGGACAGAAAAAGTAAGATTGCACCTATCTAGGAAAGGATCTGCCCCAATTCCAGTAAAAGTAGGGAGTGGGAAGAAGGATCAGAAGTCATCTGTTAGGCGTAGTTTGTTAGACGATTTATCGCGTGAACTTGGGCTGGATGAAGATATTGGAAAATCAGATTGCCATGAAGTTTCAGACAAGAAGGACCATCATACTGCAGAAGTTGAGGAAGGGGGACCAGACAATGTTAACAATGATTCCACTTTCTCAACTGAGGAGAGATCTCTTAGTGGAAATGCAGGCAGTGAGGAAAATTCATCTGTGTTCTCAGACCCGTCTAGTTCTCTTAGTGGTGGTAATGACCAAGAAAATGACTATGAGAAAAGTAGTGTTGCCTCAAATATGTCTGTTTATGAAAATGATGATCAACCTGAGGCTCTTCAGGAAGATTCAACCCTCGCTGTTTCCCATCCCCCTGAAGATGCGTCTTTAAATTCTGGGACCAACAATGAAACTGCTGGAAAGCAGGTTGCAGTTCCTAAGGAGAGAAAGATTCTTTCGGGTAAATTGCAATGGTTTTGGAAGTTTGGACGGAATACTGCTGGTGAGGAGACATCTGAAAAGGCAAGCGACACACTTGAGGCTACAAAACCTGGCAATGATGCCAGTAATCAGATTAATTCAATAGGATCTTCATCTGTCAATGGATCATGCAACTCTTATGCCAGTAGCAAAGGAGAAAGCACAGACCAGAATGTGATGGGTACTTTGAGGAACCTTGGACAATCCATGCTTGAACATATTCAGGTAACCTCTCAGATTATTGTTGTGTCAAGATTTCTGTCAACAGATCTTTCTACTTTCAAAGATAGTGCTTTCAAGGCATAGTGCTGTCAGAAATTACAAGAGTATGATATGTTTTGGAATCTTGTTTTGATATATGAATAGGTTTATTTCAGTGTCAGCCTCGGTATTTATTCTGCTAGGGAGATGGGTCATAGTTTGGCCGCTTGCTGTGATTTTCCTTCTGCTCCACATATAATTGATGTAGCTTTCAAGTTTCTGCAGAATCATAGAAAGTAGTTTTTCTTGAATTATCAGCGAACTAAACCTTTAGTGACATAGTATATAATTTTTTTTTTTTTTATATGGTATTCAAGCTGAACCTTTCTTAATTATGTGTTGCAGGTAATTGAGTCTGTTTTCCAGCAAGATCGGGGTCAGGTAGGTTCATTGGAGAATTTCTCCAAAAATGTTCTAGTTGGCAAAGGACAAGTTACAGCCATGACAGCTCTTAAAGAGCTTCGGAAAATCAGCAATCTTTTATCTGAGATGTGAGTTGAACTTTTATTATATATACCTGTATATACATTTTGTAATTACAATTCTTTTAGTGCAAATAAAGTGAGTCTTGGCTTCTCTCTTGCTGTTATCTCCTCCAATCCCCCCACCACCCCAATAATAATAATAATAATAATAATAATAATAATAATAATAAAACCTAGCTTCAGCCAGGTCTGAAGACTGTCATGACCTTGGCTATAATCAAATGCTTCTTGATACTTACTTTCACTAACCCTGCCTCGTAAATTGAGATGCATCATTACTTTTTCCTAAAGCTACGGTTAAGTTTGACTAGATCTTTGAAGAATATGCTACCTCTGAAATTGTTAATTTAATTCTTGAGTATACACAGGATCACATCCCATACTCTTGATGCTTGACCAAGCCAAGGGTGAGACAATGCTTAAAAGGAGAATCATAACACCACAAGAGTGGACTTCTTGTATGGATTGATGCTGTGGGAGCAAACTCACTAGAACTGTCCCTTGCAGTTATAACCAGCCTGGTCTGAGTTGGCTCACCTTGGGTTCAGGTTTTATGACATAAACTAGCATACGTGCTATACATCTAACGATTTAGAAGGATCAAATGCCAAAAAGAAGTAAAGATGTATCGTCAGGAATTGAAGGATTAAGCATCAAGAATTGTTTGGTGGTTGGATTATAATAGTGATACTTACCATTGGTGTCCAATGTAGATGAACTTGAACCAAGGATTAAGCCATTGCAAAGCTGCAAAAATCTTGATGCCAAGAGGGTCTTTGGTGAAAGTAAGAGAAGTAAAGGGACCTTGTTGTTGTTCTTCTTGTTGTAAATTGAAATCATCAGCAAGAGAGGAATTGGAGTTCTTTAGTACGTTGGTTTGTGCAAGAAAAAGGAGGCTGAAGTAGTTTTGTTGGGAGTTTCAAGTGTGTTGGAGCTAAAGAACTGAGGGTTGGAAATGAGGAAAGGCCAGTGTTTGGATACGGATTTGAATCTGATAAGAGGTTTTGTTGGTAATCTTATGAGGATACAATTTGGTCCACTGGACTGATGACTCTTTAGTTTGAGAAGAGACAACCTGAGAAGCAGAGAACCAATTCCAACTCCATCTGCCCTCGAGGGATTGGTTCGAGTGATTGTTGAAATATTCTTTCCGACAGAGGTTTTCAGTTCAAATGATTTGTCAGAGATGTGACATATCTATATCCAATTATCCCCTATTTATCCAATTAATTTCATCCCTAAAAATACTAGTAACCTTTTTTTTTTTTAAAAAAAATAGAATCGGTATCCTAACAAATTTTATTAATAATCAACAAATAGAAAAATACAAGGAGGAGATAACCAGTCTTACCCAAACGGAAGACAGAGGAGCCTAAAACCCCTGAAATCAGAAAACAAAATTAATCTAATTATTTTAACAAACAAAAACAATGTTGAAAAAATATGGAAATTACAATGTTTTTTATGCTCGTCTGCCTCTGCTGTCAATTTGTCAGCTACCATATTCTGCTGTCATGGGAAATACTCTAAACTTTAGCTATGATATTAATATTAATAAATATATTAAAGCAAAATAACTTTTTACCTTAGCTAAGTTTCTGTTTTGGCTTTTAGTGATTTTTTTTTTGTTTTATTATTCATAAATCCTTTTTGACTTTTAGTGATTTTTTTTAAAATTTTAATCCTTATTTTATGTTTTTTTTACTTTATTTTGATTGGCTAATCTTTGTTGTTTGTAATTTTTGTCTTTATTTTTCACCAAATGAATTTTGAAATATTTTAATTTCATCTCTATTTGACAATTTTTTTTGAATGATCTTTTTATTTTATTAACAAACTACAGATATGACCTAATCTTGTGACAACATTATTATTTTAATTAAAAATTATTTTATATATTTATAATAAAATGCATGTTTGTATCAAACAACATTTAATCAGCAACATTATATTGTTTAACTTTATAGACGTTTCTTTAACTAATCCTATGACAACACACAAGATCTATGCTCTATTTTTTTATTCTCAAAATTTTTTAGCATTATTTTTAAACTGTATATTTTATATAAATGAACAGATAAAAATACTAAACAACAAGCAGAATACATACTAGTCTATATCTAAACTTCAGTTCCGATACAGACATGGTGAAAATCCTTCTAAATGTATCAACATGCGTAAAGATAATGTTCTTATTTTATGTACCAAAAAAAAAAAAAAGGAAAAAGAAGAGAAATTCAACTTTAGAGTAATGGCAAATTTGACCGTGCTCTTGGATTTATTAGAAAGACTGAAATTAAAATGTCAATTTCCGATACAATAAAAACAAATTTTCTGACACAGTTTTTCAATGATTTTGGATGAAAACATAAATTGCGAGATGAATGCTGACAATTCACAAACAAGCCTTTCCTATATCGGATATCGTCATTTTATATTTTTATATCTCTGCATACTGAAAAAAAAAAAAAAAAAAAATATCGTTGCCTTGCATTAAATCAACCTAGTCGAGCCCATAAGAGTTAAACACCGGGAAAATGAACTAGTACTTTTGACATTACAGTGAGAATGCGACTGAAAGAGTTGGAAAAGATGCAGAATGTAAGAAGCAACAGCAACCTGAAAATTAACTTAGCCGCGCAAGAATTTACATGAAGATGTGCCATCCTAATCCACAATCATCGAACTATTCTAGTGAAGCCATAATTGTACAAATACATACACTATGTATCAAAGTTATCACTGTTGAAAAAAGGGGGACGGAACACTTCAAATTATTTTAAAAGGTAAAAGAAAGGAAGAAGACGATAGGACCAATTTTCTCCCGCTTCTAAGCTGGTTTAGAGGGTTTTGTTGCCCGCTAAAGTATGACCTAATCTATGTTATGAAAGCCTGGGAGAAGAGAGGTAATAAAGCCGAAGACAATCATCTTAATCTCCTTCACAATTACCCACCAGGTGTGGCCACCATTGTCTCCACCAGGTTCAGCAACATTCTCATTCTCAGCTGCCGGATTACCATCCTCTGCAGGCCTATTCTCATTCTCAACCCCAACTTGTCCCTCTGCAAAAGTTGTCCCGTGATTGTCAGAAGTTACAAAAGAAAAATCAGAAATATATTTTCCTCTCAAGTCTAGACTTCAATTAACTTTCTCTAATACAAATTCCAAATCAAGTTTTCAGTGGACACGACAGAATGAAAGACAGAGAGAATGACTTGGTTCAATGACATCCCTAAAAAGCTACCAAGGTGCCCTGCATAGCACATGTTCTCATTGTCTGGAATGGTTCATATGACAATATTACCTGTCTAATAGACTATGCAACATTGGTACAATAATAATAAGACAAGATTGGAAGTATGATCGAACTGGAACAACAGGGTGATATAACAAGAATGATGTGAGCTTATGAAAGCATTGCGTTCATAACTTGCTTTAACACTTCCCATGACTATTAAACTTCAAGAGATGAGAAAGATGCTTATAAGGCAGTTCATAACCACATATTTCGCACAAACAGTTAGCAATTTGAATGTATAATAATTTAACATTCTATCCCGATATGAGATCAGTCAAAGGAAACCTCCATTCAAAACTAACCCCACACATGGATACTTCGTAATGAAAAAAAAGAAGTCATTTTCTTTGCTCACAAGCACACAGTTGTACCCATGTTTGAGCAAGAGCACTGCATGAACTCTACCTGTATATCTCATAGACAAGCAAGGCTCTTCACCACCAGGTCAAGAAAAAGTAAACATAACTTGAGCGATTAAATCATTCGAACCTCTTCATTTTTATTGATACAAAGGAAAATAAACTTCAGTTAGTCGGGTTTAGCTGATACAGGTCTAAGTTTCATGTTTCTGTTACTTGTGCAAAAGTGCACCCTTGCATACCATACAACTGGGTATGACATATCAACATCAATCCCCCTCGCTAAAAAAATAAATAAACAAAATTAATTTAAAACCCATAAAACATCCAACATCCTTAGAATGCATTTGGAAAATGGAAAGTACCTGCCAAAGCAATATTTTCATTCTGCATTGCAGCATCAGCATTTTCCGCCCTGACAGCGGGCCTAGGTGGACGGGGAGGCGCAGCTGCCCTCTGCATGCTTTGTGAGAGCCATCGTACCAATGGTGTTAGAGCTCCAGTTTGGTACCTGCAGCAACACACATTGAAAAGGTTGAGCTTCCACTTGCAGAACTTACTGAAAGTAGCTTCATGTGAACAGTAAAAGGGCTACAAGGAATACGCATCTATGAGCTTGACTGGTTAACTTGAGAGCTTCTTTTTCTCCAGAACTTAGAAAGAGCATCCAATAATTGAAAAAGGCCAAGTGAAGAATGTATCTCAAATAACAAATTATTCCAAAATTTAGAACTTACAAGTAGACAACTGAAGCAAAAAACACAAGGACAAGAAGCCTTTGTCTTGACCCATCTTGGTTGAACAAAAAGATTACAGCTGCCAGCTTAAGTATCAGCAACAAATCCAAATGAAATGCAATTTCAAATCTCCTAACAACAATTTGTCTTGGATGTGCAGGCTGTTGATGCTGCTGTGGTTGTTGTTGTCCACCTTGCGCTTGATCACCAGCTGCCCCAGCCTCAGGACTTGGCCTACTGTTGAACGGAGAATAAGAAAAAACAGCAATCTTTATTTAGAAGTTCATGCAATTCACATTTAACAACACAGATAAGTAGCCATTGTTAACCATCAACAACCATCATTACTCAGCAGCAGGTAAATGAACACAAGGAAAGACAATGTGATGAGTAGCATTGATTACAGTATCTAAGTATATATGCAAGTATCGTATTGCGAACAATGTTATCAAGCTTAGCTCTCAACAGTTAACACAATACTTACGTAGGTATATTGAGCGTGAGAGGAATTAGTGTGTTGGAAGGAAGTCCAGCAATTGGTCCCATAAATTGTGGAGCAGGCACTGCATAAATTCCCGGCCCATGATTCGTTTGGTCTTGATTTTGCATAGTATTTAACCCTGGAACTAGTGCAGGATACATGATAGGAAACATCTGAAAACCACCATTTGGATATGCTGGAAAACCAGAGAATGCTGGCGGCGCCTAAGGTAACAAAACCACCAGAGAATGATCAATCTCAGAGCACAAGAAGAAAACCTCTTTGACTAAAATCAGCTAAAGTTAAACAAACTTCACTTCATTTCATTTTCTTGTCAGTTTCACAATTTTCTTTCAAAAAATCCTTTCTTTCTTTGTAAAGCTCCAAACTTTAACACTACAAATCGATCAAATTTCAATCTTCTCATCAAATTCCAATTATGCAAAGAAATAAAACCCATAAAATGACTGGTTCCTAATAAACCCATTAAAATGCTACAAAAAACAAAATCAAAAGCCCTCCACTTTCTTAAACCTTTAAATTCCACCAACATCAAATATCTCAGTAAAATAAAAAAACCATTATAAAAAATGACCAAACAAGGCAAAGACATGAGAACCCATCAATCCTATTTCGTTTTAAAGACTAGCAATTATTCAAAAATAAGACTTGATAATAAAAATTAAAGAAATATAGAGGTTGGAATCGGAAATTGAGAAATACCGATGGTTGCTTGTGCTTATCTTCTGGAGAATTTTGTGGGCTAGAAGATTGATTCGCACTTGACGACACCGGTTCTGATTGTTCTGCCATTGTTAATGTTTTGATCTCTCTCTGCCCGTGAGATCAGAGTTTCTTTCTATTTTGTTAATATATATATATATATTATTCTGCTTTTTTTGGTTCATAGTTAACCAATAAGTACATGCCACGTGGACAAGATGATGTGGAAATATAAACATTGTGGATAAATTTTTTTGTCGTTTTTAACTGCATGGTTACAACTTTTTATTTTTTATTTTTTGGTAGATGCCTGGTTAAAAGTGGAGTAAATTATAAATTAGTCCTTCTATTTTTAAAAAATAAATAAATTAGTTTTTTATTTTAAAATCTAATTATTTATCCCTAATAAGTATTTATCATGTTTAATTTAATATTATTTTATTTCATAAAATACCACATTTTCTTATCAATCTGTTCATGTTTATTTTTTTTATTAAAAAATTAAGTTACAAAAAAATTTGAAAATCTAAGGATTAAATAATTAGATTTTGAAAAAAAATTAATTCCTTTATCAAAACTAATGAATTATAAATTACTTGTTAAAAATGAGTAAAACACTTTCTATTATTTTTTTGATGTGTTCAAATCCTTTCTTATTTTCTTTATAATGAGCAAAATCTTTTTATTTATTTATTTATTTTTAAAAATATTAATTTTGTCTATTTTATCCTCATAAACACTTATTTTTTGAACAAAATATGCCTTCCAATTTGATTCGACCAATAAAATCGACCATCAAACTTTGATTGTTAAGCGACAAAAAAAAAAAACGATGACGTTTTTAACAATGATTTCAATTTTCATATACTCTCAGAGATGTAGATAGCACATTGATTATATCACAATTCACCATTCAAATTGCAAGCACATGTCTCCTTTTGCATAGGCATAATAAATCCAAAGATGATTGTTCAAGAGTTCGAGGTTGTGTGTTTACTTTGTGTGCAAAGCTCAGAGAAATCATACACCAATATTTAAATTTATTCAATTATTCTAATTTTAATTTATACATTTTTAATAAATTTTTTAATTAGACATACCAATAACATATTTAATATATTTAATAGTTTAATATTATACAACAATAATTAAATTTATTCAAAAAAAAATTAATAAATTAAAATCATACAAAAAACTAAAATAGAATACATTACAATTTCAAGATATGCATTACAAAAAATTCATCTCCGAAAGGACTAAATAATTGCTTTTTGAAACAGGGACCAACTATTTTAGTTTTCCAAACTAAAGGGACTAACTTATTATTTACTTAATTAAAGCCTGCCTTCCTGCAAAGCCTGAAATTCTGAATACTCTGTGAATAAATAGTAGGCACTAGGCAGAAAAATAAGGCTTAAAAGGAGGAAGTTCACCATATGAAAAGCTGATTTTTTTTTTATTTTCCCCTTTAACGTGTATAACTCCGTTATACATATGAAACCGAATCGGGCACCCATAACGCTAGAAAGGTAACGCGGTGCCCCAAAACCGTTATGCAATGGCCATCAATCTATTTGAATCCCTGGGTGGGTTAGAAACCAGAATCCCTGGGTGAGTTAGCAACCAGAAAAGTGAAGTAAAACAATTCTCCAGACGATAAACAACCAGGATTGCATCTGTACAACACCCCATTTTTGTCACTGTTTATGGTACTTTATCTCCTTTCTTCAACCTGGAGAGCTTTTTCGAAGCAAAATGGACCTGAAATTTCAGAACAGAGAGAGATCAAAATAAGCACACTTCAGATGCAAATTTCACCTGAATTTAAGTGTAAAGTATTCTGCAGGCTATTGGCTCAAAGAGTAAAAGGACCTCATATTGCCAAAAAATTTCTCAAATGATTGTGCTATGATCATGGATATGTGTTATGATGTAAAATGTTAAAGAACCACATTGCTTAAACTGGATGGCCAATCGCACTACCATAAAGTCACTATTACAAAAGATAGCGATGTCTTGGAAACCAAAATACCTAGGCCAAGTCAACATCAGGAATGAGCAAATATAATCTCAAGGAAATCAATTGAGCCTCATTCCATAAAATCTAATGCTGATTTGGATGTCAAATATGTGATGAATCATTCAGAACTAGCGAGTGCAATTAACCTGAGAAATCAGTTGTCACGGGATATGAATCTCATTCTTCCACATCCTCCAAAGATGAACCTGCCAAAATCAGCACCTCCACTATCCCTTCTACTTCATCTCCCTGCACTGACACTTCCCTTTCCACCTCATACCCTTCCTTTGGGATCCCCTTAACATCCACTTGTCCCTTCTCCTCCTTCACCTCCACGTGGGTATAAGTTGCACCGATCAAATCCTGCACTATCACTTTCCCTTCCACCTCCTCTGGGAGCTCCACCTTCACCTCCGCATGATCCTCTTCCTCTTCCTCCTTCATCTCCACATTGATTCCAGCTGTATCAGCAGTCGAGAAAAGTATGCATCAGTATAAAACTATTAAATTACCCAGACACAAACATGCATGCACACAAAGTATTAGGAATGATTACAGCACTATATAATCATTGGGCAACGTCAAATTTGAGATTCAGGGATCTCCTCTCCACCCATTGAACTTTTGGCTTTCATAAATTATAAAGGTTTTGAAAAGAATACTGTCACGCAGAGTACATTTTCATGAAGGAGGAAGAAAAATATTCCAGCTGCCGACTTCAAAGCATTCAACTTTCAAGTTTTTTCTATTGCCTGTCTCCGTATCGTCCACACATGCTGAAAACTGAACAAAAACCACCAAAGTTTTGCATCAATAAATGCACTTTTTTCCATTTTCTTGTCTTCTACATACATTCACATTTAACAGCAGGCAGACATCTGTGCCATTGACCTACTGGCTTTTTAATCACCAAAGGTTGTACAGTGTTTTCCTTTAAACTCAACTACAACTTAATCACATGGAAGTTTCAAGAATCCACCCATAGGTAACAATAAGAAAAAGGCTTTCCACGAAATTTATGATGATAAACAATTGGGGACATGTTAATACCCATAATAATTCAAGTGATTCCTGATTTGTATTCCAAATGCATCACCTCTTCCTCGTTAATAGTAAGCTATCTCATGATATTAACTGCAATGTAGAATTCCTCGATTCTGATATCTTAAACTCACTCATCCCATTTTCACATTACGTATAATAACTGAATAATGATTGAATTGGCAAACTTCTCAATTAAATATTTTACTTAACTTTTACAACTACACCGAGTGAGTAGCATTAGTTTAGGCGACTCGTACTTTTTCTACAGCTACAAGGATCAAGAGCACAAACCAGTATAAAATAATCAAGTAGAGACAGCTAAAGAAGCAATGGGGTTTCACAAATTACATTATCAAATAGTAGCATTCTTAAAAAACAAATCTTGCAGAAAAGCATCACTGTCCAAAAATCAAACAAAAACAGCTGGCATAAGAAATTCTAAAAAAAAAAAAAAAAAAAAAACACAGACACACAAACAAGAATCCATTTTAACCAACAAAAACACAAAATCAAATAAAAAGAAGCAAACTCCCATATCTCCAAAGCTCCAAATTAGCAAATAAAATTCGCAAAACACAAAAAACCCAAATTCAAATTAAAAAAAACCAGTTTTTTTCCTTCAATATCTCCAAAATTAAACAAACCCCATTTCACAATACCTCCAAAAACAGCCATACCTTTAATAAAATAAGAAGAGGAAGGCCATCCACAACAATTCGCAAGCGACAGCGTTTGTTCATCACTACGACTATTAACAGCATACTTATGAACCACATCTTTAACACTTATCATAGGTGGAACCCAAAAAGAAGACCCAGGTCTAAAAGGTAACCAATCAGGTGTTGATTTTTGAAGAATCACACGGTGAAGAATCTCCTCAAGTCTCTTTATCAGAAACCCATCATCTTCTTCACTCCCATTACCACCGTCTGATTTCAATGACGGCGAGGAGAGATTGATTTCGAATAGTTGGGGTTTTGATGAACGGTGACGGTGGCTGAGGTAGAGAGGTATTAACGGTGGTGATTTGAGGGGAGTATGATGGCGAGTGCAGTGGCTGATCAGGGATTTAGAGACGATTGTTGCTGCCATTACAGCAATTTTTTTTTGGAGAGGGAGAGAAATAACCGAGGGTAATATATTGTCTTGTAGATATCTATAAATGGGGAGTATGGCACGTGATATAGGCGTGCGATCAATATGCCGTGGGCCGGTTCTTTCCGGTAACAGGTTCTATCCGAGCTTTTTTATGTGAGTATTTATTCGTATCATTCTATCTTTTATTATCAAACAATGATTAATAATTTTTTTAAACTATTTTTGCTGAGGGTAGAGTCTCACACTATGATGATTCTCACATAAAAGAAAGATAGTATAAAAATAAATTTTATTATCAAATTCTATAAAATATAGTCTCATCAACATTAAGTATTATCATATTATTTTCATGAGATTTTGTTATTTTTCATCTAGTTTTTATAACTTTTATTTTTATTTGAATTAATATGATAATGCTAAAAGAAAACTCACCTAACACTTGAATTTTTTTTCTTTTGGTCAATTTCGCTAGATAATTTTACTTAATGCTACTATATTTTACATATTTACATGTATTTTTTTAAAAAATTTATTATACCATAAAAGCATAAATTTTTCAACATGTTTTCTTAAAAGTAAATGAAAACTAAATTTTTTATAACTATTTTAACACCGAAGGAATTTTTTGTTTAAAATTTTGAATTCACATGCCATGATATGACATGTAAAATATTATTATGGATAATAATTCCCGTAAGATAGAACGTAATCAAAAAATTAAAATTTTCAATTAAACAGATGACATGTCGGCCACTAATGCAAAATCAATTTAAAAAACTAATTCTCACAATACAAACTTAAATCAGTTCATAAAAAAACTAAATTTTTAATCTTTTTCTCTTCTCTATGGGACGAATAAGCTCAAATTCCTAATCTTCATCTCTTTCTCAACTATTAACAATGATTCCAACCTTGAAGTCGTATGTCGGGCAAAGAAGAAAAAAACACTATTGGAATGGCCGTTGTTCAAGTTCATCAGAACCACGACTTCGCTGCTTGATGCACTCTTTCCTCTTGGCTTTTGCCACATTGTCTCCCACACACCTTCAGACTTTGTACCAAAGCCATGACTTCTCTGCGTGATTGCCGAGATCGCTCGCGCTGTGGGGTCCACAGCCATGGCTGCTGGGCAGTTCCTTGACCTTGAGGGCGACCTGGGATAGATTTGGAACATGTTCTTCATATGAAATTCTAGGTTGGATAGGTTGGAACGTATATGCTTCCATCTATGTGGTAATACACTTGTTCTGACGGCATTTCTCAGTGTCAAATTCTTGAGAATCTATTCAAGAAGTTCATCCGGGAGTTGACTGATGCAATCCCTTGTGTCGCGATACTGACGAACGAAAAAATTAAAAATATTAGCAATCCAGACCTCAGCTATTCCAGGAAAAACAGGTTAAAAAAAAGATAACCAGATTCAAGATACCTGCTTGTCAGCTGAAGAAGAAGAGCCACATTTGAGTAACTTACAGGAGCTCAACATTGTAGAATAAAACCAGACGGTGCAACTTGAAACCCTAATTCAAAGTTTTTTTTTTGGCTACAAAATGTGCGCATGCATTTTCCTAGACTAAAGCACGATTGGGATGACCATCCATGTGGGTTCGCTTGAGCCATGATTAGCATCATTAGAATCTGAAGCTATATTGTGTGAAGTTTAAGATAACCAGGCTGATGAGCCAACTGGTTCCCCTGCCAAAGAGCCTAGAGTTCTGCAGTCTTGTTAATGGTTTTATAGATATAGCAGGAGAAACCCTGAATCCGAATTGCGGCAATGATTGTGAGCTCTGCCAGCAGCACCTGCATTGCAAGGATTTCTGACCCCGTCAGCCTTAAGCCTCCACTAGACACAAGTTCTTGGAAGCCATGGTCCCCGAAAGAACTTCTCGGTTCCAAACACATCACGTGGCAAACTTAGCATAGAACCTGAAACAAATAGAAAGTATGGAAACCATAACTACATCACTTAACGACAAATCAAGTTCCTGCAGAGAAGGAACGGCTTTGAGAATGGAAACCATCTTCAAGATATCAAATCTTGTTTTTCCATAGAAACACAAATTCAATTTCGTCACGCTGCCGAAGTTGGTCAAGCTTTCTGGTATGTATTTACTCTACACAGAAAGAAAGAAACACACCTACTGACAAAGCTTTCTCATAAGGTTTAGAAAATGTAAAAGAAAAGAAGATAAAGATACATAGACATACCTAATGCTACCGGTGGAAATATGTAGTCTTCAGAATCGGAAGATTTTGCAAATTGGAGCTAAAGATGGAGTGCATTTTCTCTCCAGTTACACGCCGATCGTTAAATCTCTCTGACTTAGGAACTTCGTTTAAGTTGAATTCAATCGGTCGAGAAGAAACTTTCTCTAAGTTTTGAACTCCATTCACGTTTGTTACAATAAATAGAGGTGCAGAAGAATCAAGTTCGAAAAGGTTGACATTAGACAGCATAATATAACTTATCCGGAAACATCTTGAAACTCAAAGAATCTTAGAAGGTGCAATGAACTAAGGCAAAATTTCTTCAGAAGGATGCATCTATGAAATTTCAAAATTCTGAGGCTGATCGGACGAGCAAGCATGCTTCGGAGATCCTATTATGGATGCATTTCAAGATGAGAGACTCTAAACTGTTCGATTGGCTGGGAAAAAGATTTTGTCCCAATGTGCATCTAGTCAAGCAAAGATTTTTTTAACCACATTTTGTCCCAATGGCTGGGAAAATCTTGAGCACAGTACCTCATGAAAATGAGACAATAGAACCTCCTCTTGAGCTTGAATTACAAGTATGTAAAGGGAAAATACAGGAAAGATGAGATAACTTGTTAGGTGAAGTAGAAGAGCCACCTTACAGGTTTTATACTGTTGTGTTTCAGCAGCATTAGCTGTGTTTTTCTCTAACCATTTTAATTTGCTTTTGGTCTACAAGGTTTTTTTTTTTTTTTTTTTACACGAAACTTATGGTCAGAAGGAAGTTTTCTCCAACCAGGATAGAAGGGAATTATCGTCCGGCCAAAACGGTATGCATTCACTGAAGAGAGAACAAGTTCGTGTAAATCCTTTTTTATGCTGAACTTAAAAGGTCAAGTCACAAGTTTTACAGATATAGCAGAAGAGACCCTGAACCTGATTATCACCATGATGATCGTGAATAACACCACCGGCACCTGCATTACCAGGATTTTGAACTCTATCAGGGTTGCATCTCCACCGTGCACCAGTCCAGTACTAGACAAATATGGTCCCCAAAACTCTATAAGAGGTACAACATTTTCAATTTCCTCATGAACATCTTCTGTTATAGTCAGTTTTATTTATGATTGAAAACAATGTCCAAACATGTGTCGGAGAAATTACATCCACGGGTCCAAAATGAAGGATCAATTGTTCCTCAATACAAGAACAAATGAAGTTATTATTCACTAGCTGAACAATTAATGAGCTTTCATAAGGAAAAAAAAAAAGGGAATATACTAATCAAACTCTGTAGCAAACAAAAATATTTTCCTGCTACTCCAAAGAATCAAAGAATAAAATCAGATTGGCGAAAAATGGATTTCTAAATTAGCATGTGGTTCCCTTGTTGTTGTGCAGAACTTTGTGGGAGACTTGAAAATGGATCTGCAAATGGATTGGCAGGACCCATCAGTCCCATCTGCGGCATTTGCTGTTGAGGATATTGTGGTTGATATTGATAAGGTACCATCATCGACTGGTTTTGTTGTTGGTGCTGTTGCATCATCATTTGCTGCTGTTGGTACTGCTGCTGTTGCTGAGCCATCATCACCATCTGCACATTTGGTGGGGGTGCTATGCCGTGGGATGTTGCAAATGGATCCTCCTGCTGTTCAAATGGATTGTGCAAAGCCGAAGTTCCGTATCCATACCCTGCATTTTGCAACTGTATTTGCCTCCTTGCAATATCATCTTCATATAGGCTATCAAGTAATAGCCGGTCAAAACCACCACCCTGACCCAAAAACCAGAACATGATCATGAGCAAGTTAAAAGAGTTGCTACATTTTCATCGAGTGCACTGCTGCAACGTCTCAGCTGCAAATGGGATTCGTAGACCTTCTATAAGGCAATACGTAACTTTAAAGCTACTAAACTGGAGTTGGTGAATCCTACTTAATTCATTTGCAAACAGGATTGGTGACTTTCAATGAGGCAATAAGCAACAATAAAGCTACTAAGTGGAGTCGGTAAATCCTATCTGAATTCTGAGTTAAAAGAAACTTAGATTGAGCTTGCTCTAGGGTCAAGCGTTCCAAGAAATCAGCCAGGCTCAGTGTTTCAAATCAATTCCATCAATCAAAATGCCAATTCAAAACTAAGAAATAAACTACCTAATCCTAGAGCAAGCTCCATCTAAGTTTCGATTTACTCCATTATATTACAGAAAGACTTCGGGTTTGCGATTTTCAGGAAAGACACGCTTAAAAGAATCAACTTCAACAATAACGAGCAAACTTTTCTAAGCCACAAAGAATAAGATATTACAAAGTGAAAGTCATTTGCTTAGTGCTTCTCATAAAACTAAAATGGAACCGGTATTCATGTGAATAACAAATTTTTTTGTTATGTTTCTCTGAGAAAACGAAGAGCATAGATTCAAAGTCTGAAATTAAAATAAATAAATAAAAGGATAAATAAAACTGACCATTTTGCTTTGTGCTGGTTGGCTAGTTGGGTTGCTTGGAGTGGTAACAAGTGCTAGCTCCCAACCTGTTGCATTTGGCTTGCCAAGTTCACTCAAAGCATTTGATGAAGAGAAAGGATCAACACCTGCATCAATGTAACAGTAAGTATTTTATAACATACAGGACATGCGATGTACAATAAATCGGATGGTCAAGAGGCATCTTGCATGATTGGAAAATAACTTTTACGTTCCTAAAATTTTTTGTTCCAAAAAGGAAACTCAAATTCAACTGTTAGACCACAAAGATGGTGTCACCGGAAGTACAATGAAAGAGAACAACTCCACAGGTTCTTATGTGATGCTAAGCACTGCACATAATCTCAATACCTTTTGCTATGTCCCACCAGCACTTCAGAAGAGAAACAGCAATATAACCATTTAAACAAGGTGCAATGCATTTCTATATCGTAAATTGGTGATCGATAGAAAATGGAAACACTACTGCCAAATGAATTTCAATAATCTACCGCACACACGAACTAAAAATTTCTTAATAAGAACAAATCAATCTGATATGTGCACTACCAGGTGGAACAATTGCAAGAGCCAATGCATTGCTTTCCTCTAGCTCTGCAGCCTTTGGATTTATTTCGTTCAGACCCTGTGGCAAAAAATGTATAAAAGCAATATGTGAATGAGAACTCAAGAAATCAACTTTGAAGGAAATGCAGAAATTTGTTGATGTTACCAGCAAATCCCCAGTAGCATCGGTTGATATTAATGGAGGTTCTTCCACCCCTTCCTCGGGCTTAGTTTCCTCCTCCATATCTATAAGTGTTTCCTCATCATCAACTTTTTCAACTTGTTCTGCAGGTTCTGAAGGTTCTGAAGGTTTCTCGGGCTCATTGTCTGTATACTCCTATTAGTGAAACAGCACGTTTATCGCAAACCCAAAACATAGAGAAGGTGTCACATCCAGTTTCTCATATTTCAAAGGTCATTTCAATACATTTAAATAAGAATGGAACAATTGAAGAAAGAGTTATCAGAGGAAAAAATTTGTTCAATCATCTCATGTAAAAGCAAACTGCCAAGTGAGTAAAATTTCTCACCAGTCTCTTGTGGACAGAACCCGACTGCGGTGCTTCCTTAACATATTCTTCCATTGTTGCCAGAAAAGTTGGAGGGGGCTGCTCAGCACAGAGAAGTTGTAAGAACCAGCTATGAGCATTCACTTAATATTTTCAACTCAGTAGAAAAGAGAACCTGTCTCAGTGTTGGAAACTGAAAGTTCCTTGCAAGCTCCAAGCCTTTGCAATATTCATAAAATTCAGCAAGATTTTCGGCCTGAAAACCAAAATTGAATTAAAAACTAGACAAATAAGTAAAACTATAACACAAAAATATAAGACACTCCTATTTGACACTGAAAGCAGTCGACTGCAACCCCTATCGGCATACAATAACAAAATTTCCAAAGAGTGACATAGTTGTAAAACCTGTTGGCCAGCTCTTTTGTATATATTAAGAGCTTTGACTGCATCGTGTTTCGTCATTTCAAAAAACTGCATAAGTATTTTCAATTTATGTTGATGGTGGAAAAAAAATTAGAGGAAAAATACAAGTAATTAGCTCATTACACACTTAGAGTACAAGGTTTACCATGTCCACAAGATTGATGATCCCATCATTGATTGCGCAATAGATTTTAAAGCTCTCCTTCAAGACCTGCATGAAAAACAACATTTTTTCTATCGAAGAAATTGGATGAAATATGAAAATACCCCACGGAATAACAAAGGTGTCAATTGTTTGTATCAACACTCCAAGAATCATGCACTGTGAGCAGGCTTCCCCTTTTGGTCTCCGTTAACAAGAGAAAGGAAAAACAAACACTTAAAGCCAACTTTTACTCTATCCCTAGCAAGTTACAAGAACCAAAAAGAAAACACCATAATGCTTTAAGAGAATGATTTAGAGAACATGAGGGACTGCAGCTCACTGCACAATCTTACGCCACAGATGAGGCTGAAGAAAGTTCATCGCCACTGGCCAGTACAGTTAAGAAAATTCACAGCTTAACTGGTAAATGGAATAATTTAAGTTTCACTTATATATGCACCGTTTTTTCACTGACAAAATCCTCATTCATGACAAATTCCACCAAAGTACTTGTGCAAAACATGCTGCCAAAAACACTGTTGTAAGAAATACATATTTTTATCATGCATACCAGGGCCAAGGCATACTGTACAAGATAATTGTTATAAGCTCCACCTTCAGGCTGCAAAAATTAGAGGAAGTGAAAAGGGAAGGGCAATAAAATGGAAGATAATTCAATGGTTATGAGATACCAAAGGCACACAGAGAAATCCAATTGTTCCAAGACCAAATTAAGCACATCTGTTACTAGAGTTAACCCTTGCCTGGCAACCAATGAGCCGATAAAGAAGCTGCTGCAATGCAGGTAGCTGATCCAACAGATCCTCTCCATTCAAAAGCCGTGTTTTACTATGCACCTGATATAATTAATGGATACTTAATGCCATTCCATGATAATAGCATACCTGATGCCAGGTTAGAATATGATTCCAAATTAATGCACAACACAGAAGAAACCTTGGTTGCCGCAGGTGACGCCTTTGTCAAACGCTCGGCCTCAATGTCGTATTTCAAAGTCCTAAAACACTCTAATCTTTCCTCTAGAAAAAGAGCATAAGTACGAACCCATGCGGAGCAATCCCATGCTGCATTTCAGTAAAAAAAAAAAAAAACATCTGTTGATATTCAAAATTTAAAGCCAGTGCACATCTGCTGACAAATACAAGAATGAACATAGGCTACATACCCAGCGGACTAGAGTCATCTTTGAAATTGGATATTTGGAGAATATTTCCTCTACGCGAGTAGTTCAAGAGCTCCTCTCGGAATGTAGGATCGCCCTCTCTTAATGTCCTGTGAATGACTATCAATGTCTTGATCGCAACCTGCATTAAGACACCCAAATTTCAGGAACCAGGTTCCATTTTCTCTGTGGGACATATTTCATTGTTTAACAGTCACATTACAATTCTGATGCGACAATGCTTAGATCAAAATTCATTAAAACAAGTTCAAAAGCTCCCCTATAATCTAAGAATTCGATAAATACGTTCTTAACAAAACAACAATAATTAATCAAAATTATGAAATCTAAAAAAGAGGGCAACATTACAATCCAATTCCGCGTCTTGGCTAATCTCCTAGAAATTGCATGAATGCAGTATGCTACATCCGCTCGAGGTCTTATTACTGATGTTGCCGAAAATATTTCTATAAAATCACCAACAAAAACAAAAAATAACATTAACATAACAAACATCAACAAATCTATGTCCTAAAAAAATCAAAACCATAAATCAGAAAATAAACCCATCTCCACATTTCAGTTACACAATCACAGATACAAATAGAAACAGATCAAAATCTTCAACACCCCACATCAAAATATAAACTTACTTCTAACATGACGTTCCTTAGGAGGGCATTCAACATGATTGGTAGCCTTTACAATGGCAATATCCAAATCCTTCCATTCAAAATCCAGAAGGAAAAAAAATCCCATAATTAAAAAGAAATCCATACAAGAAAAGAATCCATTAAACAAAAAGGGATAAAGAATCAAAAAACAAAACAAAAATCTCACCTTGTATTCACTATTGACCTTTGCAAGGCCAACTGTTGTTGTATCCTTTAGAGCCCCATAAGCTTTTCTAAGACTTGTAAACGATCCCATTAATAATTAAAAAAATATATATATATATAACCTACAGATTTTATCTTCTTTGATTTCTTTATTCTTCTTTTCAAGATTTCAAAGAGAAACAAAAGAAAGAGAAAAGACGAACAACAAAACTCCAAAAAAGAACAGAGAGAACTCTCTGTTTCTCTCTCTTTCTGTTTCTGTTTTTCTGTTAATCTCCAAAATGTGCGCAAAGGATTGTTTGGTAATTAGGACAAACTGTCGGATGATAAGATTACTAATTAAACATAATTAAGGAATTTGATCGTGATTTACTTCAGTTTTGAGAATAGAAAAAGGCGGGTGATGTTTTGTTTTCTTGGAAAATTACGTAAATGACCATGCTTGTTTGATTTTTGGAGGGTTTGAGGTATGGTCTGTTTTGTCACTTAGTTGGTCCAACGTGGGGAACTATACTTCGATATCCTTTGATAGGCTGGCAACGCCTGCCCGGTGTCGCCAAGGCACCAACGACTAACTACCCACAAACTGAGGTATAATACCAATTTTTATTTAAAAAAATATATATTGAAATTGAATGATCCAAATAACATCATATTGGGTTGACTTTTTGTTCGTAAAAATAATTTACTTATTTTTTTTATCTGTAAGCAATTGTGTTATATATAAATATATATTTTTTGTATTAACCGAAATTACATTTACGAGAGAGACATTATATTTATAAATTACATTTACGAGCAATCCCATGCTGCATTTCAGTTAAAAATTAAAAACCAAAATATTTTTTCAAAAATCTTTGAGGTCAAAAAAATCCTTATAAAGAAATGACCAAAATGTAAAAATATATATATATATATATTTCTTGAAAAATATAAGGATTAAACTAAATATTTTTTATAAATTATTTTTAATTGTATTAAATGGGTACTAAATAGAAAAATAAACTAATATAGACTCGATAAAAATTTATATAGTGATTTTTAAAAAAATAATGAATATGATATAAATATATTAAATTAATGGGTTGATATCCATGCATTAATTGTTATTGGTTATGCATAAAAATTGATACCGTGCAACTGTACAGACCTTAATGCATGTGCTTTGTTAAACATTACCGAAAAGTTTCGATAAGTAACTCAATTGAAAATTTTTGAAAACCTTAAGAATCCAATGCAAGCAAAATATTTTGTTGGAATCAATTGAAGTTACGTTTAATCGTGTGTGCATGATTAATTAATTAATTAATTACTTGAAAACACCAAACTTGTTGTATGTCTCAACTTGCAGCTAACAATACGCTTGAAAATATTAGGGTTAATAACTTAATTTTTCTTCCAACTATTTTTATATTTTTATTCGAGTTAACTTTATTTTTAAATTAATATATGCTAAATTTTTAATCTATTCATCTCACAACGTTTTCCATCAAAATTAGTAACTTAATTTACATATAAAAATCTTTCATTTATCAAATTTACAAACTCATTTGGAAAATAAAAAATAATCATGTACAAATTACGTGACTAATTATAATAATTTGACCTAAAATTTTTATTAAAATAATATATTAAAAACTTAATGCGTATTTAAAGATAAAATTTATTCAATTAAAAATATAAAAACATATCCAAAAATTACTTTAACAAATGACGAGCGATATTATTAACTCAAAATATTCATTACAATCAATTTTTTAAGCAGGAAAACGCAACTGGAAGTGGGCAAAACAATACATGGTACTAAACCCAAGTAGAACTTGATAGCAAAATTACATTAATTATTCCTCCAAGAATTGGACATGGATGTAATGGGGTCAGACAACACTTAAGGTACCTATTTATGATAATAGGTACTACTTACACTTTATTTATTCAGAAGTATTTCATATTAAATTATTCAAAAATCTTGATAAGGACCTTGACACAATCTGGTTGCTTCAGTAGCTCAAAAGCTTTGTTTATATCTTCCAATGTAACTTGATGGGTCAAAAGCTCATCAAGAGAGAATTCCTGCCAAAATCATACAAATCTAGCTATCATCAACAAAAATTTCATTCTAATGGAACCTGTAAATAAATAATCCTCTTATTTTGACTGAAAAAAAAAAATCTAAATCTAGTTGTTAGATTGATGGTCAAAAATTAAGTTAATTAGTAAAATAGGAGAATTGTATTCTCACAGCATATTAAATTAAATTATTTTTACTTTTTTCGATATTTTTTAAATTCGAATATTCTAAAAAAAATTAAAATTTGAACTTGTGATCTTATTATACGTATAAAAAAACTGATTAGTGCTAGATTAAAGATTTTTTTATAGAAAAACTATAAATTTATTGGTTATTTATCGCAATATCATAATGCATATAGTTTGATATTTTTATCATATATGAAGTTAGTATGTAACTCACCTTATCTTTGCATTTGTCAAGCAAAATGGGAAGATCAGATTTAATTTTGAGCCCTCCAAAAATAGAACCCTTCAAAGTCCCACCAAACAAAAGAGGTAGGAAGTTGATGGGCACAGTAAACTCAGTTCCTACACCAGCTACTAATGTTTCTCCTTTTCCCTGATATCAAGGAAAAAAAAAAAACAACGGTCAATATAATTCTTTAAAAATTTTTAGTAATGAAATTAGTAGTTATTTTATAGATATTAAAACAACATATATGGGTTAATTATGGCTCAACCTATTCTTGTATAGTAAGATAATTTTCCAAATTGTTTTTATATCCATAATTAAATTAATTTTACCCTTAAATATACGTTAAATTGAAATTAGTCATATTATTTGTATATAAAATCTTTTTATTTAACTGAATCGTAATGATATTTTTAGAATTATTCAAAATTTGTGTTAGTCTGCAAATTGTAGTTATAAAGTTGATATAGTCTAATGTTCAATATTCTAATTAAGAGATTGGGAGTCTAGGATTGTTTTAGGGAGCGTTTGGTATGGAGACATTCAAGGTTTGTTATGACAAAAAGTCATTTGATCATCTATCAAGACTTCATGCATTTGGTAGGTTAGAAAATCTAATTAAATGCCCGAGAATGTAATATTATCTAGAGCAATACATTTACTTAAAATCAAAGGAATGTGATTCTCTTATATAATAATGGGAATCGCAATTCAAAGGGAAAAAAAGTGTTTTGAATTTAAATACCTCTATAATTAATATTGATTGGACCGATATACTCTTAATTTTTATCAATAATAACACAATTATTTTAGATATTATGTCCACATATATGCTTTTAAACATCTTTAGTGAATATCTATTTGGTTGAGAGTTACAATTTCATTATGTCAATTTTTTAATTTTTTTAATTTTATCAAAAAATTTCGTTTTTTTAATATAAATAATTTTAATTTTTAGTTGAATCTATTTCAATATATTACTTTTCAACATGAATAAAATGTATTTTTTATGCGTATAATGTTTAAACAAAAGGCATATATTAATATTTTCAAATTTAAATATTGTGAGTTTTAAAATTAAAACCAAATTTATTAAATTTTCTCATGAATTTGTAAGAATAAACTTAAAGACACATTACCAGTAATTTTTCTTTCAATATATATATTTTTCAACAATTAAATTATAAAAAAGACATAAAAATCCGTATACCAAACAACTCCAAAACGACTGAATGGGGTGCATCTGTTGCTTGACATCTTAAAAATACTTGGTTAAGATAATTATAAACAAATTTCCATTTTTGTCCCTCCCTTTGAAAATTCTATATATGAATAATTGATTAATGAGAGTGATGTCGTTGTGTATGCAAGATATACATATGCGCATGAATGTTTTTTAACAAAAATAATAACAAATACACTCTTGAATTAAATGGACAAAAAAGTTCAACAATATTATAATATAAATTACAAACTAAGTTGATGGAAAGATATAAGGGCCTGAGTATCAAAGATTCTGCCACCGATATAGAGCTGTACGTTGACAGATATGTAAAAATGAAGGACAGTCCAATCCCAATCCAATCTTTGGTATGTCACCCTACATATGCATAGACAAACACATATACCAACCTCAACCTGCAACATCCATCGATCTCTAATAACGCTAATTAACAACGTATTATGCACTAAATCGAATATTTCATAATGTCTTAAGGCATCAAATAATATAATAACTTTCATAGGCATCAACCCCACCATTAACTAATCCATGTATCTTGTCTCCCACTCCTTTCTTTTTTTTTTCAAACAGAAATTGTAATCAAGCACCCCATGTGCATGCAAGCTAGCTATTTATATTTCTTCTTGTTTTTTTCCTCTTATTTTCCATGAGTATGTGTATTGAATTTAGATTTTCAAAATCCCATTAATATATTACGTATATAAGTATGCATGTCATTCTCTTTATTTGTACATACGTTCTAGCATCCCATCCTTCAATGTAATTATTTTACAATGACTCCGCAACTCAAAATACCATGGCTACTAGTTAATTTATAATGGAATATAATTAATCTCTCATTTTGCAGCAAGAAAGAGTTTACCTAAAATTCGTAAACTAAAATAAGGCTTGTCCACTACATAACCTTCTAGCTTCATTGACATCTATATTAATTTTTCTTCTTTAAAATTTTTTGTTTTTAAAATCTCTCATTGTAATAGAATAAAATGAGATGGGACGAAATTTAAATAATGTAATTAAACTTAAAAATTAAGAAAAATTTGAAACTTAATATATATATATATATATATATTAAAGTTACGTGTAAAGATGAATTGAACATACAATATAAATAGTAAGTGATTAAGTGACCAAACATGATTAATTTAATCCCAAATCACTATAGAAACATTGCACAAGCGCAATCAATCAATCAAAGAATTAAAGATTCATAAAAATGCAAATTGGCAATGAACATTGTCCACATATATGGGTTAATATAATTCTTTAAACATTTTTAGTAATGAAATTAGTAGTTATTTTATAGATATTAAAACAACATATATGGGTTAATTATGGCTCAACCTATTCTTGTATAGTAAGATAGTTTTCCAAATTGTTTTTATATCCATAATTAAGTTAATTTTACCCTTAAATATACGTTAAATTGAAATTAGTCATATTATTTGTATATAAAATCTTTTTATTTAACTGAATCGTAATGATATTTTTAGAATTATTCATATGATTTGTGTATGTATAAGATTATTTTTATTTTTAAAATATCTTTGCAAGTCTTTTAAATAGAAAGCTTTCAGGTACAAATTGTGTGAATAATCTCGACAATTTAATATAAAATTCTTACTAGAAGAGTAAATTAGATGCTTAATGTATATTTAAAATAAAATTAGGTTAATTAAAAATATAAAATACATTGAAAAATTACCCTATTATATGAGAATATATTTAGCCATTAACCAAAAAAAAAAAGATATAGACATACTGGTTTTGTTGCTAGGAGGGCTTCATTGATCAAGGGTCCAACACCGGTGCACTCAAGGCAATAATCCACACCCATTCCACCTGTCGAGTCTTTTATCAATTCTGAAATAGGTTTTTGGGAATTCCCATCTGGGTTTATAAAATCAGTCATTCCAAAAGCTTCCCCTTTCTCTATTTTCTTCTCATTTTTGTCTATTCCAATTATTTTACTCGCCCCTTGCTTTGTAGCTCCCTCTATGGCCTGCAATTTCCACAAAGAAACAGCATTTCCAACGTCTAATTAATTACCAGTACGTCAAAAAAAAAATATTAATCAATGAAAGACCAAAAGAAAAAGGATTTGCAATGTTACCCCTAATCCAAAGCACCTAGACCAATGACAGCAACACTTGATCCTTCCTCAACATTTGCTTCCCTCCAAGCTAACCCAAATCCAGTGGAGAATCCACATGAAAGGAAGCTTGCATGAGGAAGATCAATGCTTGGATTGATCTTGACAACATAATTAGCATTTATCACCATGTATTCAGACCATGTTGAGCATGTCATAAGGTGATACAATTTTTGTCCATTAATGGACATTCTTGAAGTGCCATCAGGCATTAGCCCATTGAGGATTAATGGGTACTTTAAGCATAAATTGGTCTTCCCAGATTTGCAATTCTCACATTCTTGGCACTCCCCAATGAAGGTTGGAATCACAAGGTCTCCCTCTTCAAGATCCTCTACTCCTTCCCCCATGCTTTAATTTCCACGACTCTAATACATACAATATAAGTTTATAGACATATAGTTTTAAAGATTGCTCAGTTGCGCACCAAACCTTTCTTCGGATTTAAAACATTACATATATAAATATAAATATTTAGTTTAGTTAGGATTTACGTACCCGACATCTTCATGGCCGAGGACTCGAGGAAAAAGAGGCTGAAATACAAGAGGAAGAATTTAAAACTAACAAATGTCGATCAAAACTTCCAATTACCTCCCAAAATAAATTAAGAAACAAAGTTGATAACTAGCTAGCTGCTGAGATTAGAAGTAATTCTTACAATAGGGAATCCTTTAGCACATATAATATCAGTATGGCATAAACTAGCGTACAACATTTTAACACGAATTTCGAAAGATTGTGGTGGTTCTATTTCTATCTCTTCCACAGTCACTGACTCTTCTGCTCTCCAGCAGATTGCCGCTGCATGCCACAATACATCCCAAGCAAAAAATATCAGAAAGGTATTATAGTGACAGAAATTGTCTGTGCGAGTTTGCAATAGTTAATAGCAACTAATGAGCAAGAACATGCATGGATTCTTAGCAAATTGTGAACATACATACCTTTGCATGTTATCACCTGTGAGCTGCTGGTCTTTGACATTGCTGAGGAATTTATGACTATGCTTGTGCAAAGCTAGCGTCTATTTAGAATCTTGATGTCACCTATGCTACCACACCCGCAAATTTCTGCTTATATTTAAGATCAATAATTGTAACAAGATGTGCCCATCCCTACTATACGCTGGCACAATTAATTATTCATGCATCTTAATCGAAAAAGTCCACTCTAGGTAGGTTTTGTGACCAAACATCTAACGATATATCGGTCTTGTAATAATGTACCTCTCAAATACTAAATGCAAGACTCAATCTTTTTCTAGAAACCCAAGCCAAATGGACCCCAACAATAAAGTTCTTTGAACCCAGTCGATCATGATCAGGGTAAGATCCACCTCACTTCAGACTCTACAAGTTACGAGGCAAGAAGCAAAATGTTTAGGATAGATAAATCTCCTTATACATCATGAAAAACTCTCCTTAAAATGATTATAACAAGGCAACTGATAATTACGTCAAGAGGATTCGTCCATATCAAAAGACAGATTTTTATAACCCAATTTAACAAAAATCTCTCTCCATATTATAATTTTAAATAACGTCTTTGTGTAAAGTAACGATCGTTATATAATTATTATTATTTTAATACGATAGAGAGTTGCGATCTACAATGGCAATCACAATCATTTTTTATTTATCGTAATTTAAAACTATGCTAAATTGTTTCTGATCGCTTCCTTCGAAAAGTTGATGACCCAGACTGGCATTTCCTATTTGATAATCAGCAAGGGGATTTGTGCACAATTTGATTTCCTGGAACACAAGAGATCGTACATGGAAACAAATACTTTGTTCATCTGATCGTACGTGAAACCTTACGGTTCAATAATGTGGTTATCATGCATGGTCAGTATTACTGCCGACACCATCGCGAACCCTACTTCATCGATCACACAGAATTAGGCCCATGATTACGCTTTGAACATGTAATTGCCCAACTAGAACAGACTCAACTGGTCAAGTCCAGTTGGCTACATATATCCCCAGGTTCATGGGCTAAGTTTGGGTAAATTATTTCAGGCTGGGCTTGCAAGATTCGGTGAAAATAGAAGAATTACCTCCTTTGAAAAATGAAATATATGAGATACTGACGGCAAATAGTCAAAGCATACAATCGATTCTTCCATGCAAGGTGCAAAGCTATATCATACTCTGTTAGGAAAAAAAAAAAATTGAAAAATCGAATTATATGTCAAAACTAAGAGAAATTGTCATTTAAATATTTTTCATCTAACTTCTGTTATTTGTTACATTATTTGATGATATGTTTATTGCTTCAGACTATTAAATAATGATTTATTTTATTTTATTATGAGAAAACTCTTTTTTAAATTATTTTTTTATTTTCTACTTTGTCTAAATTAAACAGTCAAATTTTCCTTACAATGAAAGGTCAAAATCATAATTTAGTAATTTAGAATAAATGTAATTAAATAAGAAGCAATTGACAAATTCTGAATAAAAAATACTTTATTAGCAATTTAAAAAAATCAATATATTCAAATAAAAAAATTAAAATTTATATACTCAATTAAAAGATAATATTTATTTAGTTATTTATTTATTTATTGAGAAATTCAAATTCAAAAGGAATTTGTACTGTACAGTAAGGATAATCCTTCCCTTCCCTTGTGCAAAGCATTGGGTCAAGCTTGTGTTTACAATTTCCAATAATGCGTACATATATATATATATATATATATCGGCTGCGTCAAGTTTTGACTATTAGAAAATGGAATCAGAATCTTAGGAGTCAAGTTGTCACGAACATCATTTATGATGTTGACCAGGGCGTTTATTCATGCCATTATGGAAAACACCTAACCGCTGCCTCCATCAATCTTGAAAAGCCAAATATTTATCATTTAGGGTACACCTCAAAAGCAATCGATGTTACATGATATCATACTTTTATTCATTTATTGTTATTGATAGTTAAATTTTTTAGAAGTAAATGGTTTAATTTCTAATTTATCTCTATGTTTTTATTTCATGTATTGTATGTTTGGATGATATTTAAGTTTTCTATATGTTTATTTAATGAAATTTTTAGATTATGGACAAATTTTTGATAAAAATATCTTTGATAGAAATGCAAAAAAAAAAAAAAATTAGTTAAAATCACATAATTTACATGTTTCATCTTTGAAATCTTTAAAATTTTTGAGTTTTTATTTATTTGTTTGTTTGTTATGAAAAAAAAAAAGTGAAGTCGGACGAGGAGAGGAAGAAGGTGGCAACCACGGTGGGGAGAGGATGAAGAAGAAAAATACCGAACGATTTTGGTTGTGGAGGACAAAAAAGGAGGAAGAAGAAGGTGGCAACCATGGTGGAGAGAGGAAGAAGAGAAAGAAAAAAAAATTAACGATATTTTTGTCAAAAAATCATATGCAAGTCACATGGCATTTTTAGGTAGTTTGATCGGAAAATTGATCAAAATTAAAAATTAAAAAACGTTTAAATGATAAAAATACAATTGACTTATTTCAAAATATGATGATAAATTGAAAACTCAAATTATTATATAAGGCCTCGTTTCACTACCAAAGAAAGTTAAAAATTTTGAATTAATCAAACGACTTTGGAGAAGATGCTAAAATGAAATAATTTATCAGATTTCATGCTTATTGTGGGACTAAAAAAAATATTACATGTATTTAAGATGACCAAAACCATTCATTAGATAGACATATAGTATTACCTACAATTTTTTTTTTAATTTGACTTAACTTATATCATCCACCTTCAATTAGGACTTTATTAATTCAATTTAATTAAATCTAAATCTATATATTACATATATTCAAAATAAATAATATCTTTCTAATAAATAATAAATAAGGATCCATGACATACAACATCAAATAATCTACATAGACATTCGGCTACGTCGTAAACAAAATAGAAATTCTGAAACTTAGGAGGACTAATTAAAGAGAGTTTGTAAGATATTATTCATTGAATGAAAAGAGTAGTTATTCTCTCAAATTTTTCTAAAGTCAAACATCAATAATGATCCAATGGACTTAACTTTCGAGCCCATGCTAGGGTTGAGGATTGGATTGAAAACTGGTACATAACGATTTGCTGCAGACAAGATCCATCGGGATCTGGAAGATGCAATTGCCTGCCTCCAAGGGCAGATGTGTATACATATATATAAAGAAATTTCTGTGGATGGCAGTATTAATTATCTCTGTGTTCAAATTTTTGTGAATTGCAGGGGAAACCCGCTGGTATACACCTACACCTACAACTTTCAACATTTAATGTTAACCCTCCCCCAATTATGAAAAAAAAAAAAAAAAAAAAAAAGAATGATACATGATATCAATAATGTCAAAAAAAAAAAAAATCATCATAATTTTACGAAAATAGTATTTTTTTAGGAGAATATAAGAAAAAAAAATTTTAAGTACTTTATTTAATTGGTATTATGTTATTTAACTTTTTTATTTTTTAAGTTCATTCTTAAAAATTTTTTATTTTTAAAAATAATGTCTGTTATCGTGATATCGTCAAGTCTTTTTTTTTAAAAAAAACATTGCCACTTTGCCAGCCGTTGATGACGGGCACAACTTAGGATTTTTTTTAGTAGTTCGTAATTACATACAATGTTGCAACTAAGATTATTTTTGTGAGGAGTTGGAAGGAACATTGCAGAAAACAGAACGAGAAATCCACCTCTAGCATTTTTTATACATATTCTTTCTTTGTACCAACTAAAAAGCACGCAGCATCAAGGAAAATCTCCGTTGTATCTAATTTTTTTTTTTTTAACTCACACATCTAAAATTTTTAATAAAATTAATCTATTAATATTTAAATACGTACTCTCTTATTATAAAAAATTACCATTACTGAGCCACGAGCTCTTTGCTCCTTGTATCCACATTCAATGCATCGTAGATTACTTTAAGCTTTCCTTGAATATATCATGTGGAATTTTTTGTCATTAGGCAGTATAAATTTCCCATTCAGCCTTGTCTCTTTTGAACAAATGAGAACCCAAAATTTGAAGAGCTAAAGGATGGAAGTCCTTCCCCTTACCCGACTACCATTACTGAAAGAGTCATCACAAGGCTCACTGCAATAAAGAAAGCTTTAATCACTGTTGGTGTTGATTAGTATTTTTGTCTTTGAAGTTTGAACAGAGGAGTTGGGTCTCATAAAGGCTAAATAAAACCAGCCCTTAAATGATTCAAGAAGGGGAAGATGCCAGTGACAGAGTTTCCTAACATCTTTAACCAAAATAAAGAGGAAAAAAAGATTTTTTCCAAGTAGAAATTGATGCACCCGATCACCCCAAAAACTACAATCCAATTTACTGCTTTTATAATGCATAAAAGCATTCCCATCTTTTCCTATGGATGATAAAACTGCACTGAGAAAGAGTACATTCAAGGGCCAAGTCATCACATTGCTCACCGCAAGCATGGCATGCAGGATGATCCTCTGTTTTTTCAACCAAAGCGAGAGGGTGAGGATGAAAGTCATATGTGTAACTCCCCCTAGCTTGATATATGGGTTTTTCCCAAGAGCGCATTCTGTATGAGCATCAAAATCGCATTCTTCACAACGGTAGAACCAGAGTTCTGGGTCTCTTTCTTTTTCACAAATTTGACAGAAAAATTGGTAGTCATTTGGATCAATGTAGGTGAGGAAGAGAGGGTGTTCGTCATATTTATGCCTTGCTTCAAGTGGCAGAGTTGCACACTTATGATCCAAGTTGAAGTCACAAATAGAACATCTGAATAAATATAGCTTGCAATCATGACGGCAGCCACTACAGCAACGAATTTCGTTTTGCCTGGAAAGGAAAAGCGGGTGCTTGTGACTTTCATGCGTAATGGTGCCTGAAGATGCATTAATAACACATCTAACATCACATACAATGTCAAATCCGGCATCGAAAAACCAGAACCCATGGCAATATTGATCACAAAAACCACAGCAGAAGATACCGTCATCTCTATATTCCGTTGAAAACAGAGTCAAAGGAGAATCCTGGAATTGTAATTGTCTCGGCAATTCACCACAAGCTTTGTGTAGAAAGAAATTACACTGTGGGCAACCATAAAATGGATTGGAAATTGGTAACATGCATCCTGCACATTTCATATTGTTGTTGAACTCTTCCACGAGAATTAAGCTGTGCTGATGACTAAAATGATCAATCTGCTGGGAAATAAATGTGCTTGAATCCATGGATTCATTATTTGTGGCTATGCCGGTATCAGAGCCAATAATCTTATATTCTTTACTGCACTTTACATGAGCAAAAAAGTTGCAGTCTTTGCAATTGTAACCTCCATGGCCTGATCTGAATCGATTCCCACAAACTCCACAACGAGGCTTTCCAGATTCATCTTCTTGAAGAAAATAGCTAAAGGTCAGGAGATGAGGATGTTGTCTGATTTTGAGAGTCTGTTGTAATGAAGTACAACGCTTGTGAACCATGAGTTGGCACGTGGTGCACATGTAGGGAGTGTCATCTTCTTCATCTCCATCTGCTCCACAGGCATTGCAAGTGAAGGAGATTGATTTCAAGGGAATCGAGTTTATTAAGCGTATAAAATTATGACCTTGACCTTCGACTTCAAAAATGCACGGCGGAAGAGCACACTTGATGTCAAGGTCAAATTTGCAGAGACAACAATGGTAAACAAAACTTGCGCAAGTTTTGTCGCACAGATCACAGAGGCATACTCCGTTATAAGGTGGTGGCTTTGCCAGTAGAAGAAGAGAGTGTTGAGGGTGCAAAAGCCGCCTGATCCGCCGAGGTAGCTCGGCACATTTCTTATGAAGAAAGAAGTAGCAAGAAGTGCAACAGTAGCAAGGACCCGATATTGGTTCCTCGCATCCAGAGCAAATAACCTGTTCACCAACATATTCTAGCATTTGATTAATCAAGGTCAATGAATGATCTGGGTGGCTAAAATGTTCAACCTCCATTTCTCTCTGTCTCTCTCAGTAGGGCATAAAAAGGCTTGAGATAAGGCGAGAGCTATGTACCCCAAATTCAATACAGGTAAAGCCACCGAATACTGTCTCGAATTGAAGATTAAATAAGAAGTATACAACTGCTCACCTTTTGATCTGTAGCTGATCTTTTCACCGTCGGCTAAGCAGGATCAAATACAGCTGCTACAGTACTGACCAACCAAAGAAATCATGAAACACGGCGAAAGCTCGTTAAGAAATCATCAACTGTTGAAGAACCACTGTTCTTCCTTCTTGCTATGCTGTCCATGGAAGCCTATATGAAAGAGAGCCAAAATCAAAATTAATTCAAGAGACTTAAAGGGAAAATGTCTGGCCTGTCACAAAATAGAAGAAGGAAGAGGTGGGAGGGAAGATTAATCGATGCATGAGGAAAGCTACTGGCTCATCTTTTTTTGTCGATCTTCTGTGGAGAAGAAACCCAGAATTGCCATGTTTTGCAGCGTTATAATAAAGCTAAGGTTATGAAGATAAAATAATAATAATAATAATAATAATAATAAGGTTATGACTTATGGGATGCCAGTCAACTATCGCCGGAGCCCGATTGCTGACGTGGTCCTGCTCGTCTCAATGTTGGGCCTGTGGGCCGCAGTTACAACTTCCTAGCCTGGATAGTCGATCAGGAACTGAACCATGGGCCAATATGCAATTGGTTGGGCCTGCGCTTCTGGCACAAAACCAATGGCCATTGGATAATTACGTTGCGTTTTTAAATCTCTCTCAATTGGAGTGAATTGCATTTAATTAAGTCGGCAATTAGAATCACAATAAAAACCATAAATTTATGGATTGAATATTTCATGTTCACATAACTGTAATCTTTAGAGATCAATTAAATTTAGCATATGAAATTGCACTATCAAAACATAGAGTTTTTTTTTATTTGATGATAAAAAAAATTTCAAATCAAATTATACATTAATCAAAATTAAATTTTTATAGGATGCGTGATCCTTCAAAGTGAAATATGATGATGGATGAGAGGTAGTCATAACTTGTGGGAGAGAGGGAGAAAGACAGTAAAGTCATTGGAGAGGGCAAGTCGTGAGAGAAGTTCATCTGGAAATTCAGATTAAGGTTTTGTACGAGTCATGGATGTGGTCTTAATTTAGTCCTCAAAGAATTTCCTATCTCAATTGAATCTCTTAGTCACTAAAAAAATTCTCAATCCATTTTTTTCTCAGTTAATTAATTAAAACTAATTGGAGTTAATCACACTTTTTTATTTAATTTTTTCTTATTTTTCATGTGTCAATCAAAACTAGTATGTGACAATTGAAAAATATCATGTGGCAAATGTTTCTAGACAAGTCAATATTATTTAGTCTTTGGTGACTACAAGTACAAAAAAAAAAAAAAAAAAATCAAATAATGGACATAAAAAATATAGTTATTCACGTGTCAATCAAAATTGTGTCGTGGTAGATGTTCTCAAATAAGTCAATATTATTTAGTTTTAGATGGCTGCATGCACCAAAACTAGAAAAAAAAATCAAAATTTGGATAGGGAAATAGACGAAATTATCAGTTGAGCACTAAAATAGGAAAAAAAAAATCAAAGGTTAGACATAAAAATACAATTTTTCTAAAAAAAAAAAACCCACTTATTTTATAAGCACAACAAGTCTCGTGCGAATTTGTATTAAACTTGACTTCTTCTCCTCTTTAACACTAACAAGTAACAACTAATCATATCGATTCATGTCTATGGCAATTAAAAAAAAAACAAAAAAAAAAACAAAGAGAGAAAGTAAGAATTTAAATTAAATATCAATATCAAGAATGTAGAATATATTATATATACATCTTATGATTTTTTTTCTTTTCTTTGTTAGAGATATATATTTTTTTTAATTCAAAGCCAAATTAATAATTAACCATTTTTTTAATTCAAGCTAATTCAATAAAAAAAAATAAAATTCTTTCCTTTCAATAATTTTGTTGCCACTTAATTTCTAGTGTTTATATGATTTTACTATAAAATATTAATAAGATGTAGAAATTTATATTTTTTTAGGATGAAAATAAAAAAAATAAAAGATAGAGTATTGTATGTATTATTTTTTATTTTTATTTAGTAAAGGCTAATTAGATATTAATATATGACCATGGAAATATTAATTTGAATCAAATAAGATAATTTTTGTAGTTTCTTTTATAATACAACTATTATGGATGTTTATGGCAATATGGCGAGATTTTTTAAAACATCTCTAAATGTAAGAAAAATTTGTCGTTTATATAAAATTTAATTTTTTTTGTATATATTGATAAAATTAGATTGAAAGCTTACAAGACAATAGCAGAGTAAGCAATGTATAAAGAGAGATATAGAAGATTAGAATCAACCTAAGAATTCATCTTGCAAGTAAGGATTATAAATTAGAAAGTCATCCAGTTGATAACAGGTAAGGATTACAAATTAGAAACAAAAGGAATAAAACCAAGAAAGATAACATCTTTGTTTATCCACTCATTGCTTAACTAAATTATTTACAATATGATGGGAAGATATAAATTAGTTATTTACTTTGTTTTTACATAACTTTTAATCATAATCATGTAATCGGGGTCAATAAGGGTCGAACCCACATGGAAAGAGAATCAGTCAATTGTTTCGGTTGTTTGAGCGTTTTTGTTATGTAAAAGAGGGTTTGTGTGTTTGAAATGCTTGAAAATAATATAAAGTAGTATGGAAAAATAATATGAGAGAGATCTTAACCATTTTTGCTTTGGTCATTGATCATTGATTAAATAAATATGAATATTTATCATAAGACAATAGTATGTATGTTGACCATAATCTTTCCTTACGTAGTCGTTAACCGAATATACGATACTCAATTAATTCTCTAGCTATTAAACAACCTACTAAGCACTAGATAGATTCAATCCAACAACAACATTAAGATGAGAAAGACAAGTGAAGCTAAGCCACCTAACGATCTTGAAGTCACAATCTTCACATTATGTATTCAATGAAATATGATAATTTTTTTCTTTTTTGATATTGAATCTAATATTTAAATCTAAAAAGTCGAAAATACTATTTCATTGATGGTTAAATAAATAATGAGATGTTAATATGAAGCTCACATATTGTTGCCATATAAAATAGAACATTTTTAGGATGATTAATGGCATGCAATGAGAATGAGAGAATGGTACTAATATAGTAATATCATGAAAATCTAATCCAAGCAATGCTAGTGTTTTATTTAATCATATATAAAGTGTTAAAATGTTGGAGGAAACTAATAAATATTACATCTATCTTTTTTACAAGAAAATTCACAAATAAATATTGCAACTTATTAACGAAGGAAAAGGAGATTTTGCAGAGTTGCATTCCATCCATTGATTCTTAAGCTCGTTTAGCATCATCTGAATTCGCAAAATTCACAAAACCAAAATCTTTTGAGTCCCCATTTTCATCCTTTGAGATAAGAAGGTTTGGTTATTTCTTCAAATGCAGAGAACTTTTGACGTTACATAATTATCAAATATTTTTACATACAAATTTGTGTATGTAGCTTCATAATCAGCTTGTATCCACTCACCTTTTGTCATGAATCGACAAACATAGCTATAGCTAGAGAAAAATGTAAATGTTAAAAACATAGAAATTCATTTAAGAACAATAAACATTTCATACAGAATAAAATAAAGCAGAAACATTTGAGCAAGTTATCATGATATTGCTAATTTATTGTTTTTTTTTTAACAAGAAAATGCAAGGGCGATATCGATACATGGTAAGTACTGATTCTAAGTGGAAATTGATAGCAAAATTACAACATTTAAAGTATTTATTCAAATATTGATAAGGATCTTGATGCAATCTGGTTGCTTCAATAGTTCAAAAGCTTTGTTTATATCTTTCAATGTAACTTGATGATGATCAGTGAAAAGGTTATCCAGAAGGAATTCCTGCACAAAATCATACATATCTATCATCAACAAAAATTTCATTCTAATGTCGAAAAAATAATGATTTTTTTTATAACATTCATAAAAAATTCTTATTCTTCACTTCTATTTTTTTTCAAGTTTATCATAACTTATTTTTCGGTATTATGCGTGTAAAGGTACTTGTAACGTATTTTCACTACAAACTAAATTGGGTGCTATTTTAATTTCCTCTTATAATAAAACTTTTTTTAAACTCAAATAGTATAAATGGAGGATTTAAAGTTTGAATCTGTGATTTCTTTATTGGTACAAAAAAAATTATTACTACTAAACCGAATAAAATATAAATCAGTCTATCTCGTTCAAGAAACAAATTAATTAGTCTCTTTAATTTAAAAACTAATTGTTTGATCCTTTTTATTATTTTTTAATTTATTTTGATTTTTTACTTTAAGAAATAGAAAAGAAATAAAATATAAATAATTAAAAATATGAAAAGATTGACGAGAAAAAAAGACAATTTATGAAATTAAAAAATATTAAATTAGTCAGGTCAGCTCTGATTAAAAAAACTAATTTTTGAAATAAAAAAGACTAATTAATTCGTTTCTCAAAACAAAAACGGCTAATTTATAATTCACTCCTACTAAACCATATGCTTTGCTTTTTTTAAAAAAAGAAAAAAACTAGAAGTTTATTGGTCATTTATCATAAGATCATAATGCACATGGTTTGATATTTATCTTATACGAATTTTGTATGTAACTCACCTTTTTTTTGCATTTGTCGAGTAAAATGGGAAGATCAGATTTAATTTTGAGCCCTCCAAAAATAGAACCCTTCAAAGTTCCACCACACAAAAGAGATAAGAAGTTGATGGGCACAGTTTGATGAGTTCCTGCACCAACCACTAATGTTTCGCCTTTTCCCTAGTATCAAGGGGGAAAAAAAAAAAAACCAACTGTTATTATAATATCTTTTTAAAAACATGGGTTGATGGCTCAACGTATTCTTTTACAATAAAATAATTTTTTCCATTTTTTAAATATTTATAATTAAGTTTATTTTATTTTTAAATATATATTAAATTTTTAATCTATAATTTTGCCAAAATTCTCAGTCCAAACTGCCGAATTAGTCCCATGATTTGCATAAAACATCATTCTATTTGACTAACTTACTAGGATATTTTAAAAATTATATATATGATTTACATATGTTTATTTTTATTTTTAAAATATCTTTGCAAGCGAGTTAAATAGAAGGATTTTATGTAAAGATAGTATGACTAATGTTAATAGTTTAGTATGACAATTCTATCATAATGATAGATTAGATATATTCAAAAACAAAATTGATTTAATTAGAAATATAAAAATATGTATTAAAAAAACCTTAATATATAAAAATATATTGATTTATTGACAAAAAAAAAAAAAAAAACATAGACATACTGGTTTCGTTGCTAGGAGGGCTTCATTGACAAAGGGTGCAACACCAGTGCACTCAAAGCAATAATCCACACCCATTCCACCTGTTAAGTCTTTTATCAATTCCGAAATGGGTTTTTGGGAATTTCCATCTGGGTTTATAAAATCAGTCATTCCAAAAGCTTCCCCTTTCTCTCTTTTCTTCTCATTTTTGTCTATTCCAATTATTTTACTTGCCCCTTGCATTCTAGCTCCCTCTATGGCCTGCAATTTGCAACAAAGAAACAGCATTTCCAACATCTAATTGATTACCAGTACGTCAAAAAAAAAAAAAAAAAAAATTAAGAAAGAAAGACCAATAGAAAAAGGATTTGCAATGTTACCCCTAATCCAACCGCACCTAGACCAATGACAGCAACACTTGATCCCTTCTCAACACTAGCTTCCCTCCAAGCTGACCCAAATCCAGTGGAGAATCCACATGAAAGGAAGCTTGCATGAGCAAGATCAATACTTGGATTAATCTTGACGACATAATTAGCATTAATCACCATGTATTCAGACCATGTTGAGCAAGAGAAAATGTGATGTAATTTTTGTCCATTAATGGACATTCTTGCAGTGCCATCAAGCATTAGCCCATCGAGGATTAATGGGTACTTCAAGCATAAATTGGTCTTCCCAGATCTGCAATTCTCACATTCTTGGCACTCTCCAAGGAAGGTTGGAATCACAAGGTCTCCTTCTTCAAGATCCTCTACTCCTTCTCCTATGCTTTCCACCTTTCTAATACGTATAATATCCATCGATGGATTATGAAAATTTTGAATATGATATCAGAAATAGATTATAGTCTTATGAGCATAAAATATAAACATAAATATTTAGTTTAATTAGGACTTACTTACCCAACACCTTCATGGCCGAGGACTCGAGGAAAAAGAGGCTGAAATATAAAAAGAAAAATTAAATACCAACAATTATCAAAACTTCCAATTACCTCCTTCAAAATAATGAAACAAAGTTCATAACTGGTGAGACAAGAAGTAGTACTAACAGCTGGGAATCCTCTGGTACAAAGGATATCAGTATGGCATAAACTAGCAAGTAACATCTTAACACGAATTTCATAAGATTTTGGTGGCTCTACTTGTATCTCTTCCACCTTCAATGGCTCCCCTATTCCCCAGCATATCGCCGCTGCCATCCCAAGAGAAATATATTAGAAAGATACTGTAGTGAAAGAAATTGTCTCTGCGAATTTGAAATGGTTAATAGCAACTAATTAGCAAGAACATGGATTTTAGCAAGTTCTGAACATACCTTTGCAAGTTATCACCTGTGAGCTGCTACTCTTTGCCATTGCTGAGGAATTGATGATTGTACTGCTGCTCTTGTGCAAACTTAGCAGATATATATATATATATAGAATCTTTTTATCTCACTTATGCAATGTGTTTGTCAGTTAGCTAGGCGGAAGTTTGAAGAGATAAAATTAATAGTGACGAAAGAGGAAGTCACGGGGAAGTTTCTGCTTCTTGCATAAGTAAATGTCGCAAGGAGGGAAAAAAAACTCAGCGAAGCATGAAAGCTGCCTAACAATAAAAATAGGAACGATATATTTATCAGTAGAGGTATGAATTAAAGTCAGTGGCTTGCAACTTGTCCTAATAATATCAGAACCGGCCAAGTGGTATGGTAAAGAAAATGTCACGGTCACGTTGCTTAACGCATCAATTCACTCTAGCTAGAACGTTGAATTTTGATATTTTTGATGTAACAAATTAGCCACTGAGAGAGAGAGAGAGAGAGAGAGAGAGTTAGTCAACAATGGCAAGGATTCCGGATAATGTATAGTATAATATCTCCGATAAATTTTATAATAATCAAAAAATAACTAATAACATATATTATAATTATTTTATAGATTTAACTAGATTTTTTATCCGCGTTACGCTGCGGATTGGATAAAATATATAAAATCATATAGAAAAATTATTTCAGTTTAAAAATCTATTTTATGATAAAAAATAATTATAATTTTTAAATAAAAAATTATATTTAACTATTTCTTATTTGTGTTTTTAAATTTTAGAAATAAATAATAAAGCAAATAAATTATTGATTTCTTTAAAATTTTAACACCTAATTAATTGCTAGTTCTTTTAAAATTTTAACACCTAATATTATTTAGAAATGAAAATTAAAAAAAATTCAATTTTTAGGGAAAAAAAAGGAGGCCAGCCGTTCATTGTTTATGTCAATAGTAAACGGACGGAAATAAAAAAAAAAAGAGGGCAAGCCGTTTACCATTCAAATGAACAATAAACGGGTAAAAAAAAGGAGAGGGGAAAGGCCAGCAGGTGCTGGCAAAAAAAAAAAAAATGAAAACTTAAAAAACAAAAAAAGCCAAAGTAATATAGCAATGAACAATAATTAACATTGTTCATTGCTACGATGAAAAATGATTTTTCTTTAGTATATAGTATTAGATTTTTTACTCAGCGCTATGTCTGCGGGTTGGATAAAATATATAAAATCGTTTAGAAAAATTATTTCCATTTAATAATCTATTTTATGGTAAAAAATAATTATAATTTTTTAATTAAAAATTTGGTATTTAACTATATATTTTTTTTAATTTTAAAAATAAATAATAAAGGAAATAAATTGTTGGTTTCTTTAAAATTTTAACACCCAATTAATTATTGGTTCTTTTAAAATTTTAACACCAAATATTATTAAGAAATAGAAATTAAAAAAAATTCAATGTTCAGAAAAAAAAAAAAAAGGGTGCACGCCATTTACTGTTCATGTGAACAGTAAATGGATGGAATTTTTTAAAAATTCAATGTTTACAAAAAAAAAAGGAAGTCGTTTACTGTTCAAATGAACAGTAAACGGATGTGTTTGGGGAGGGGGGAGCGGGTCTAGCAAAAAAACGATTAATGAAAATTATAAAAAAAACAAAACACTGTAGCAATAAACAGTGATTGATACTGTTCATTGCTACAGTGAAAAAGCATTTTGTTTTAGTATGTAGGATAATTTAAAAAAAGAGATAAATATATAAAAAGAAATAAGAGAGAAATTTTTTTAAAAAAATTAGAGAAACGTAAAATTTTTTTATTATTTTTAATGGGTTTGGATATAATTTTTTTTTATGTGTTCATCTTTTTTTTCAAAGTGGATCTATAAAATAAGTATTGTACATACAATCAATAATTCTTAAGTATTATAAAATTTCTTTTTAATAATATCTAAACACGAAGAAAAATTAATTTCAAGACTATATGGTCCATCATTAATTGTCTAGATAGAACCCAGAAAAATACTGTTCTTTTTTACTTTTTTTAGAAAAATTCTTCGACCGATATGAATTAAAATGTTTTTTAGTAATATTGCATATAATAGTTCGTTGACTGCCTCATCTTCATCATTGCATAATAATAAAAACAAAATGATCTGTTCACATAATACCTATAGTCTATGAATTGCATCGAAGAGATGTCATGCTCGTGGAACAGATCAAACCAAAATTTCATGTAGTTGCCTGCAGGTAGATGCAGTACCAAGCGTAGTATGCCAAGAGTATCTCCTCTATCAATCACTATGAACCCTAACTTCCAACTTATACAGAAAGAAAGTTTAAATTATCCAAAATCTTGATAAGATGCTTCTCTGAACTTAGTATGCCAAGAGCAGGCCATTCTTTAACAATTTTATTCTTACTGGACAGAAGTAGCTACCGACCTGCAGTATCAACTTGTACAGAAAGAAACTTTAAATTATCCAAAATCTTGATAAGCTGCTTCTCTGAACTTAGTATGCCAAGAGCAGGCCATTCTTTAACAATTTTATTCTTACTGGACAGAAGTAGCTACCGACCTGCAGTATCAACTTGTACAGAAAGAAACTTTAAATTATCCAAAATCTTGATAAGCTGCTTCTCTGAACTTAGTATGCCAAGAGCAGGCCATTCTTTAACAATTTTATTCTTACTGGACAGAAGTAGCTACCGACCTGCAGTATCAACTTGTACAGAAAGAATAATAGTCCCAGCTTGATCAGTCGTTTTCTTAATCGAAACTATCATTGTTTAAGCCTTAATTAAGGTGCCTCTGATTATCTCTTTGCTCCACCAGAGTCCAATCCAAAGAAGACGGGCATCTTTGATTCTGCTTTAGCCTTCGCTTGTTGCCACCGTCCCTGCTAGCTGTGCAATGTCGATGCTATCCTTATCATATTGCAACAAGCAGTGAAAGTTTTAAGTTTAAAAGAAAGTTTGGTAGTTGATCAGAGCGCTTCATTTTCTCATAGTCTTAAAAAGATTTGCATCTTTTTCTTTTTTTTTATTCTTCAAAATATCTCAGATCTAAAGATACAGATTAATCCCTCGTTGTTCTGTCCTATCGGAAGCATAAAACAGAAACAGTTATTCAGAGAGATCCCATGAGTTAACGATTTGCATCTTTATCAGACTCTTAAGCAGAACCTTGACTTCATGAGCACATAACCATCATTTCCAAACTCCTTTTCTGTGATATTTGTCATTGTTCTTATACGACTTTGGATTCTGAATGAACACGCAAGAATGCAAACTTGCGTCAATTCTTCCTTCTTCCACGTCCTTTTTTCGCAACCAATGGAAAGCATACCATCTTTCTCGCGTTTCCACTTGTCCGGGCATGTTTGGGAAAGTTTAGCTGGACTTGCCAAATTTGTTTGTTCCAATTTAAATTGAAGGGACCCCTTGTTTAGACCCTTTACCTCCACTGATGCAGGTTAGTGACGAATTTGTACTCAACATGACAATAATTAATGCTGATGTCCAACTTTTAGGACACAAAAAGATGTTTAGAATTTGTAGAACGAAAATCAAATCATTATTGGAGGATTTTATTTTTTAACCTTTTGAAAAAGATCTTGGATTAGTAACACTCCATGTATGTTTTTGCAGTGATCAGTGCATGCAAGCATCAGTAACAATCCTCGATTCATGAACAAATATAGCTTCTAGGTTGGATCATGGCCGTTGCCTTGTTCACAATTTATCATCACTAGCTTGAAATATATATTCATATTCCCATTCTCTCCAGAAACAAATCTAATATTTCCCTTCCCTGCACATCCCATTTGTTTATGTCAAATTTTTTCTAACCTTGCCCAGCTGCAATAATCAAAATATGGCTGCTTATATGTCATGATGTTCTGTGAATATATATATATATATATATGAAAGTCAAACTCCAATACAGTTGCTTTATTCCATTATTGATTTAGCTACCAAGCTGGAACTCTACATTTGCTTTGTTCCTATCAGTCAATTTCTCCCCATTTAATAAATTTCTAACCATCATCATTATTGTTATATATATATATATATATATATATGAAAGTCAAACTCCAGTACAGTTGCCTTATTCCATTATTGATTTAGCTACCAAGCTCGAACTCTGCATTTGCTATGTTCCTATCGGTCAATTTCTCCCCTTCTAATAAATTTCCCCCAGTACAGTTGCTTAAATCCATTATTGATTTAGCCACCAAGCTAGTCCTCTGCATTTGCTTTGCTCCTGTCAGTCAATTTCTCCCCTTCTAATAAATTTCCCCCAGTACAGTTGCTTAAATCCATTATTGATTTAGCCACCAAGCTAGTCCTCTGCATTTGCTTTGCTCCTGTCAGTCAATTTCTCCCCTTCTAATAAATTTCCCCCAGTACAGTTGCTTATATAATATATAATATTTTTGCTATATATAAGCAGATCCTTGATTCATCAATAATGATGATTAGTTCTATTTAAAGATTATTATAAGTTATTGCATATGAAAAAACATGTTAAATTAGAGATATTCTCACATCCTATTCTAGCGTAAGCTCGTCTTTTACTACTTTGTGATATTATAATGGTAACAATCAAGAGATTTCTATCGAGTATGAAGATAGAATCAAAAGGGTAGAAATTATCATCCAACAACAGATCAATCAAATTAACACGACACACTCAGCTGCAAATAAGGATGGAGTTATTACGAAACCTGCAGTTGAGAATTTATTGTTTCACCTTACTGAGAATTTAAGCATTTTAATTAATTATTAAAGTGTTACCTATTTTTTTGCTATAGAACGTTTGATGTTAAAATTAATAACATGATATTTAATTTTACCATTCAAAATTTAAAAGACAAATCAGGAATTATATTTCTTACTTAATTTGGTGTAAAATATATGAAAAAATGAGTTAAAATTTTTAATTTTATATATGAAAAAATTAATTTATATATTTTTTAAAGCCTGTCTTTACTGTAACTTAGGCTTATATGTCATTAAAATAAATAATCCATTTTCAATATATAAAATAAAGTTTTAGATTCAAATCTTATATATGCTTTATAATTTATTCTTTTGGCTAACATTTGCCCTCATATCTTGTTTTTTTTTTTTTTTTTTTTTTTTTTTTGCTCCATTTGCCTTCATAAATTTAGTTTAATACAAAAGTGCCGCCACCAAATAATTGATGTTCTGAAAATACATGTTTTTGACAAAAAGTAAATTTAGACGTGTATCTATTTTTGGGTTTTTTTTTTACATTAATTAGTTTAATTTATATATAGAGATGCATATTCATGTGAATATTTTTTGAATAATTCATAGTAAATTTCTTTATAGTAAGAAATATTTCTGAACCTACTTCTAATAGTATAGATGCCGAAAAAGATACATAAATACTCCTTAATAATAATAATAACAATAATTCTTTTTCCAAAAAGTGACATCCATGGATTTTGCAGCGTTATAATAAAGCTAACGTACGTTATGAAGATTAAATAAATAAATAATAATGATGGGTATTAAATAGAATAGGATTCTGATACTGTCCGATCGAGTTTTGATTATGATCATAAATTTAGCATATATAAGATTTTAATTTTTAGTGCAGAAAGTATTTTGAAAAAAAGGCATAACAAATTAAGTGAATCATCCACATTTTAAATTGATATATTTAGAAGTAAATATTTTCTTGGGATTTCCTTTAAGATTTAATTTTTTTATTTTTTTAACGAGAAAATGCAAGGGCAATATAATTAAACATGGATGGTAATGCTGGGATACGACATTTAAAGTATCTATGATACTTAATATAAAAAAACTATCTTATTTTATAAGGACAATTGTTAACTAAAATAAAAAAACTTAATTTAGCTTAGAAAATTGAAGTTTAAATAAAAAATAATTTAACACAAATAAAATATCTTAAGAGATAAATTTTATAATTAAACTAGACATATTATTTTTCTTAAGAAAAAATGTTTTTAAATAATCGATATATTCCCAAAACGTAACCAACTCTTTATCATAAAATCTCTACATCAGTCGTTATTTTTAGATTTCTAATTCTTTCAATATTAAGTGACGGCTTGAAACTCCATAATAACTCACGTTTCCAAAATAAATCATAAATACAATAAGAATTTAAATTTTTTTGGAATTCTCTTCTGATGTTATAATGGTGGGATACAACATTTAAAGTATTTATGATACTTACCATAAAAAAGAAAGGTATAGTTAAAGTCTAAATCATATTAAATTATTCAAATCTTGATAAGGACCTTGACACACTCTGGCTGCTTCAGTAGTTCAAAAGTTTTGTTTATATCTTCCAACGTAACTTCATGAGTCAATAGCTCATCGAGAGGGAATTCCTGTACAAAATCATACGTGTCCATAACCGACAAAATTTTCATTCTTATTTAAAAAATAATAATAATAATAATAATGATTTTTTATACTATTTAAAAAAAATCATATTCTTCATTTCTATATTTTTTTAAAAGTTTATCATAACTTGTTTTTTGGTTTTATATGTATAAAGAAACTTGTAAATAAATGATACTCTCGTCTTGACCAATAAGAGGAAAATATCTACATCTAGCCGTTAGATAATAATGCATATGGTTTTTTGAAAAAAAAAAAACAACTAAAAGTTTATTATAATGCATATGGTTTGATATTTATTTTATATGAAATTAGTATGTAACTCACCTTATTTTTGCATTTGTCAAGTAAAACGGGAAGGTCACATTTAATTTTGAGCCCTCCAAAAATAGAACCCTTCAAAGTTCCGCCAAACAAAAGAGGTAAGAAGTTGATGGGCACGGTTTGATGAGTTCCTGCACCAACCACTAATGTTTCTCCTTTTCCCTGGTTATCAAGCAAGGGGGAAAAAAATCCAGCTGTTATTATAATATCTTTTTAAACATTTAAAGTAACGAAATTAGAAGTTTGTTTTTTATATAGATATAAAAAAAAACATGGGTTGATGGCTCAACGTATTCTTATAGAATAAAATAATTTTTCAATTTTTTTATATCTATAATTAAGTTAATTTTATTTTTAAATATATATGAAATTTTTAATCAATGATTTTGTAAAATTCTCAGCCAAACTCTCGGATTAGTCACATGATTCATACATAAAATCATTCTATTTGACTAACTTGTAAGGATATTTTAAAAATTATATATGTTATTTACACGTTATTATTTTTATTTTTAAAATACTTTTGTAAGCGAGTTAAATAGAAAGATTTTATATACATATAGTATGATTAATTTTAATAGTTTAGCATGATAATTCTATCGTCATAATGATAGATAGATATATTTAAAAATAAAATTAGTTTAATTAGAAATATAAAAATATATATTAAAAAACTTAATATATAAAAACATATTGACCCATAAAAAACATAGACATACTGGTTTTGTTGCTTGGAGGGCTTCATTGATCAAGGGTGCAACACCGGTGCACTCAAAGCAATAATCCACACCCATTCCATCTGTTAAGTCTTTTATCAATTCTGAAATGGGTTTTTGGGAATTTCCATCTGGGTTTATAAAATCAGTCATTCCAAAAGCTTCCCCTTTCTCTCTTTTCTTCTCATTTTTGTCTATTCCAATTATTTTACTCGCCCCTTGCATTCTAGCTCCCTCTATGGCCTGCAATTTCCAACATCTAATTAATTACCAGTACGTCAAAAACCAAAAAAAAACAAAAAAAGAGGAACCAAAAGAAAAGGGATTTGCAATGTTACCCCTAATCCAACAGCACCTAGACCAATGACAGCAACACTTGATCCCTTCTCAACATTAGCTTCCCTCCAAGCTGACCCAAATCCAGTGGAGAATCCACATGAAAGGAAGCTTGCATGAGCAAGATCAATACTTGGATTAATCTTGACAACATAATTAGCATTAGTCACCATGTATTCAGACCATGTTGAGCAAGAGAAAATGTGATACAATTTCTGTCCATTAATGGAGATTCTTGAAGTGCCATCAGGCATTAGCCCATTGAGGATTGATGGGTACTTTAAGCATAAATTGGTCTTCCCAGATCTGCAATTCTCACATTCTTGGCACTCCCCAAGGAAGGTTGGAATCACAAGGTCTCCTTTTTCAAGATCCTCTACTCCTTCTCCAATGCTTTCCACCTTTCTAATACGTATAATATCCATCGATGGATTATGAAAATTTTGAATATGATATCAGAAATAGATTATAGACTTATCTGCATAATAATTTTTCTTTTTTTAATATAGAAACATAAATATTTAGTTTAATTAGGACTTACTTACCCAACACCTTCATGGCCGAGGACTCGAGGAAAAAGAGACTGAAATAAAAGAAGAAAAATTAAATACCAACAAATATCAAAAGTTCCAATTACCTCCTTCAAAATAATGAAACAAAGTTGATAACTGGTGAGACAAGAAGTGATACTAACAGTGGGAAATCCTTTGGTACAAAGAATGTCAGTATGGCATAAACTAGCAAGTATCATCTTAACACGAATTTCATAAGATTTTGGTGGCTCTACTTGTATCTCTTCCACCTTCACTGACTCCCCCATTCCCCAGCATATGGCCGCTGCCATCCCAAGCAACATATATTAGAAAGGTATCGCAGTGAAAGAAACTGTCTCTGCAAATTTGAAGTGGTTAATAGCAAGAACATGTATTTTAGGAAATTCTGAACATACATACCTTTGCATGTTATCACCTGTGAGCTGCTGCTTTTTGCCATTGCTGAGGAATTTATGACCATACTGCTGCTCTTTCCACCATTTTTCCTTTGTTTTATCCGTTTATCCTGCTTGTTTGTGCCCCTTGAATTGTGCGCTTAATTGATCTTTTGCCATTTGGACTTGCTGTTTTTTTCGATAATTTTGTCGCCATTATCGTCACTTTTCCTATTTTTATGGGAAGCATTAAACGCCGTGCAGGTGCTGCCATTCTCCTGGCCTTTTTCTTTCTCTGTGTTCCCTTTTTTGGCTCTGAGTGCTTCAGCCCCCATCATTTCGTCTGCAGTCGTTCTCCAACTCTCTTTTTTGATTGAAATCTAATATCAATAGGTAGCAATTGACACTGTAGTTTTTATCTGCAAGTTTTCATGACCAAGACTTTTTTTTTTTCTTTTTGGATCACAGAATATCATCATCCATAGCTCTCTCTTAATAATTAAATTAATTAATTTTTCAAATTTTAAATCTTAATTGGTGATTAATTTCATTTTTTAATTTCTGAATCATTTTAAAATTTTTGTATAATTAAACAAATAAATAGTAGGACATTTATTTTTCACTTATATTACTTTATTTTTTTCTTTCTACATTTTTATGAAGTAAAGTTCTTAAATTTTTTTTTATTTTTCTCATAATTATTTTTCTCGTTTTACATTTTTATAAGGGAAAGGCATTAGGCATGTGCCTAGAATAGTCCCAGCTTGATCAATCTGTTTCTTAATCGAAACGATCATTGTTTAAGCCTTAATTAAGGTGCCTATGATTATCTCTTTGCTCCACCAGAGTCCGATCTAAAGAAGACGGGCATCTTTGATTCTGCTTTAGCCTTCGCTTGTCGCCACCGTCCCTTCTAGCTGTGCAATATTGATGCTATCCTTGTCATATTGCAACAAGCAGTCAAAGTCTAAAAGAAAGTATGGTAGTTGATCAGCGCACTTCCTTTTCTCACAATCTTGTAACGATTTGCATCTTTTTTTCCCTTTTTTTTTTTTTTTATTGTCCATCTTAAAAATCTAGATTAATTTCTCGTTATTCTATCAGATATATAAAATGAAAATAATTATCAAGAGAATTTTTTACATATATAAATACTTGAATTTAAAATTATTTACTTAAGTGATTAAAACTCTTTTCAACTAAGTTAATCCTCTCAGTAACGATTTGCATCTTCATCAGACACTTAAGCAGAATCTTGACTTTATGAGCGCATAACCATCATTTCCACACCCCTTTTCTGTGATATTTGTCATTTTTCTTATATGACTTCGGATTCTGAATGAACACACAAGAATCCAAACTTGCATCAATTCTTCCTTCTTCCACAGCATTTTTAGCAACCAATGGAAAGCATACCATTTTTCTCACGTTTCCACTGCTGTATTGCCTGGGCATGTTTAGGAAAGTTTAGCTGGACTTGCCAAATTTGTTTGTTCCAATTTAAATTGAAGGAACCCTTGATTAGACCCTTTACCAGCACATCCCATTTGTTTATGTCAAATTTTCTCTAACCTTCCCCAGCTGCAATAATCAAAATATGGCTGCATATATGTCATGATGTTCTGTGAATATTACCTATATATATAGAAAAGGGAAATTTGTTAGAAGGGGAGAAATTGATTGATAGGAACAAAGCAAATGCAGAGGACTAGCTTTGCAGCTAAATCAATAATGGAATAAAGCAACTGTACTGGAGCTTGGAATCAAATACTTTTGTGGTCAAAAACAAAATTATGCCTACAAAGCGTTGGGTATATAAAATCACCGATTAATTATTCATATATACCGAGGGAAAAAAACCCTTAAAATATACATCATAAAAGTTTATTTTTCTCATATACTATTCTGACACCGACTCCTCTTATATCACTTCGCGATATCCTGACGATAATAATCAAAAGGTTTTTATCAAATACGAAGATAGGTTCAAAAGGATAAAGATTACTATCCAACAACACATCAGTCAAGTTAGCATCATACACACTCAGTTATAGATAGATGGAGTTGTTACAAAACTTGTAACAGAGTCATCTCTCTCCTACTGAAACTCAACTTAGGAATCAATCATTCCTCTCAATATGTAGCAGTCGGAAGATGATGTAGGAGATGATGAAGATTGGATTTTTTTTTTAAGCTTTTTAATGTTTTTATACACCTTAATACATTTATATATTTATTTGATTTCAATGTTATTAAATAATATATCGTATTTTAATAAGATGTTATTTTTAGCTATTTATTACTACTATTAACATTAAACGACTATTAATTTATATTAAAAAGAAAAAATATTTTCTTCGTTTAGCGACAAATGTGTAAGAAACTTTAGGAAAAGAAATTTAATGATGAAATTTTCATCTCTAAATAGCAATTGAAATTGCCAATTAGGTACATTTTTGCAACAAATTATAGACTTGGGGGACAACTTTTTTGCTATGCTTTAGCAACAGAAGGTACAATAGATGTTAAATAGCAGCAAATTTAGCAATAATTGATGTTATGAAGATACATGTTTTTGACAAAAAGTTAAGGACATGTATGCATTTTTGGTCTTTTTTGACATTAATTAGTTTCATTTTATATATAGAGATGCATATGCATGTGAATATTTTTTGAATAATTCATAGTAAATTTCTTTATAGTGAGAAATATTTCTGAATCTACTTCTAATAGTACCATAGATGCCTAAAAAGATACATAAATACTCCATAATAATAATAATAACAATAATTCTTTTCCCAAAAAGTGAAGTGCATGGATTTTGCAGCGTTATCATAAAGTTAACGTTATGAAGATTAAAAAAATAAATAATAATCATGATGATACTAAAGTCATGCAATGCACGTCTAACAATGGCAAGAGTCCGATTGTTGACGTGGCTCCTGCTCGTCTCGGTGTTGGGCCTGTGAGCCTTGATTGTACTGTGGAATCTAACGGTTCATCTATATTTATGATTTTTTTTAAAAAAATACTTATCAGTACTTATTTTAAATGGGTATTAAATAGAAATGGAATCTGATACAATCCGATTGAGTTTTGATTATGATCATAAATTTAGTATAAGATTTTAATTTTTAGTGCATACAGTATTTAAAAAAAATACATAGCAAATTAAGTGAATCATCCACATTTCAATCCACATTTCAAATTGATACATTTAGAAGTAAATATTTTCATGGGATTTTCTTTAAGATTTAATTTGTTATTTTTTTAACAAGAAAAATGCAAGGGAAATATAATTAAACATGGACGGTAATGGTGAAATATAACATTTAAAGCATTTATGATACTTAATACAAAAAAATTTCTTATCCGATAAGAACTGTTAATAACCAAAATAAAAAACTTATTTAAATAAAAAATAATTTGGTACAAATAAAGCACTTTAAAAAATGAATTTTAAGACTAAACTATGCATGATATTTTTTTAAAAAATAATATTTTTAGGTGATTGATATCTTCTCAAAACCGTAACCAATTCCTTATCGTAAAATATTTACATTAGTGTTATTTTTAAATTTCTAATTTTTTTAACATTAGGTGACGATTTTAAACTCAATAATAAATCATATTTTCAAAATAAATCATAAACATGATGAGATTTTTAAATTTTTTGAAAACTTTATCCGACATCAGATAGCGGTAGCAACATAAATATAACGATGGGATACAACATTTAAAGCATTTATGATACTTAACATGAAAAAGAAAGGTATCGTTAAAGTCTAAATCATATTAAATTATTCAAATCTTGATAACGACCTTGACACACTCTGGTTGCTTCAGTAGTTCGAAAGCTTTGTTTGCATCTTCCAATGTAACTTCATGAGTGAAAAGCTCACCAAGAGGGAATTCCTGTACAAAATCGTATGTATACATCACCGAAAAAAAAATTTCATTCTAATTTTTAAAAAATAATGATTTTTTATACTATTCCAAAAAAAAAATCATATTTTTTCATTTCTATTTTTTTTAAGTTCATCATAACTTGTTTTTTGGTTTTATATGTATAAAAAAATCAGTAAATAAATAATACTCTCGTTAGATAATAATGCATATGGTTTTTTGAAAAAAAACAACAAAAAGTTTATTGTTTATTTATGATAAGATCATAATGCATATGGTTTGATATTTATTTTATACGAAGTTAGTATATAACTCACCTTATTTTTGCATTTGTCAAGTAAAATGGGAAGATGAGATTTGATTTTGAGCCCTCCAAAAACAGAACCCTTCAAAGTTCCGCCAAACAAAAGGGGTAAGAAGTTGATGGGCACAGTTAGAGCAGTTCCTGCACCAACCACTATTGTTTCTCCTTTTCCCTGCCATCAAGAAAGGGGAAAAAAATCCAACTGTTATTATAATATCTTTTTAAACATTTACAGTAATGAAATGAGAAGTTTTTTTTTTTTTTTTTTGTAGATACAAAAAAAAAAAAAAAACATGGGTCGATGGATCGACGTATTCTTATGTAATAAAATAATTTTTTAATTTTTTTATATCTAGAATTAAGTTAATTTTTTTAATATATATTAAATTTTTAATCCATGATTTTGTCAAAATTTTCAGACTAAACTACCAAATTAATCACATAATTTGTATATAAAATCATTCTATTTAACTAGTTTGTAAAGATATTTTAAAAATTATGTATATGATTTGCATATAATTATTTCCATTCTTAAAATAATCTTATAATCAAGTTAAATAGAAGGATTTTATATAGGAATAGTGTGACTAACTTTAATAGTTTAGCATGACAATTTTATCATAACGATAGATTATATATATATATTCAAAAATAAAATTGATTTAATTAGAAATATAAAAATATATATTAAAAAAACTTAATGAATAAAAATATATGGAGCCATTGACTAAAAAAAAAAAACATAGACATACTGATTTCGTTGCTAGGAGGGCTTCATTGATCAAGGGTGCAACACCAGTGCACTCAAAGCAATAATCCACACCCATTCCACCTGTTAAGTCTTTTATCAATTCTGAAATAGGTTTTTGGGAATTTCCTTCTGGGTTTATGAAATCAGTCATTCCAAAAGCTTCCCCTTTCTCTCTTTTCTTCTCATTTTTGTCTATTCCAATTATTTTACTCGCCCCTTGCTTTCTAGCTCCCTCTATGGCCTGCAATTTGCCACAAAGAAACAGCATTTCCAACATCTAATTAATTACCAGTACGTCAAAAAAAAATATTAATCAATGAAAGACCAAAAGAAAAAGGATTTGCGATGTTACCCCTAATCCAACAGCACCTAGACCAATGACAGCAACACTAGATCCCCTGCTCAACATTAGCTTCCCTCCAAGCGGACCCAAATCCAGTGGAGAATCCACATGAAAGGAAGCTTGCATGAGAAAGATCAATACTTGGATCAATCTTGACGACATAATTAGCATTTATCACCGTGTATTCAGACCATGTTGAGCATGTAGTAAGTTGATACACTTTTCGTCCATTGATGGACATTCTTGAAGTGCCATCAGGCATTAGCCCATCGAGGATTAATGGGTACTTTAAGCATAAATTGGTCTTCCCAGATTTGCAATTCTCACATTCTTGGCACTCTCCAAGGTAGGTTGGAATCACAAGGTCTCCTTCTTCAAGATCTTTTACGCCTTCTCCTATGCTTTCCACCTCTCTAGTACATATAATATCCATCGATTGATTATGAAAATTTTGAATATGATATCAGAAAATAGATTATGTGCATATTTAGTTCAGTTAGGACTTACCCAACACCTTCATGGCCGAGGACTCGAGGAAAAAGAGGCTGATATAAAAGAAGAAAAATTAAATACCAACAATTATCAAACTTCCAATTACCTCTTTCAAAAAAATGAAACAAAGTTGATATGTGGTGAGACAAGAAGTAATACTAACAGCGGGGAATCCTTTGGTACAAAGGATATCAGTATGACATAAACTAGCAAGTAACATCTTAACACGAATTTCGAAAGATTTTGGTGGCTCTACTTGTATCTCTTCCACCTTCAATGGCTCCCCTATTCCCCAGCATATCGCCGCTGCCATCCCAAGAAAAATATATTAGAAAGGTATTGTAGTGCAAGAAATTGTCTCTGCATATTTGAAATGGTTAATAGCAAGAATGGATTTTAGGAAATTCTGAACTTACATACCTTTGCATGTTATCACCTGTGAGCTGCTGCTTTTCGACATTGCTGAGGTATTTACGACTTTACTGCTGCTCTTGTGCAAACTCAGCATTTATATACATGAATGTAGAATCTTTTTATCTCACTTATGCAATGTGTAAGGGATAATCACAGTTCAAGTATATCAATTTTATCGTTTTTTCAATCAAGTATATAAATTTTAATTTTTTTTAAGTATATTAATTTTTTGAAACTGCCAAGCAGATATATTTTATTTAATTTTTATCAATTGTTAAGTTATTGGATGACATGTCTTAATGATAAATTATGGTTTTGTTTTTTATTCTATAAAGACTCTTTCTTTTATATATATTTTTTTAACTTTATGTATAGTAAGCATCCAAATCGTCCTTATAATGAAAAAGTTAAAATTATGATTTAGTAATTTAGGATAAATGTTCGATCATCAAATAGCAAAATAATTAAAAAATTTTGGATGAAAAATACTTAATTGATGATTTTAAAAAAATTATATACTTAAATGAAAAAAAATTAAATTCCAAAATAACGCTGTGCAGTCATTCTCTTGGCCATTTTTCTTCGTTTGCGTTCTTTTGTTGACTTTGAATGCTTCAGGTCCCACCACTTCGTCGCCGGTCCATCTCCAACTCTCTTTTGATTTGAAAGCTAATATTAATAGACCGCAATTGACGATATAGTCTTTACCTGCAAGTCTTCATGACTAAAGACTTTTGTGTTTTTGTTTTTTTTAGTAAATGCTTTTTCCTTTTTTGTGTTCCTTTGTTGACTTTGACTGCTTCAGGTCCCACCACTTCCTCTCCGGTCAATCTGGTACTCTACTTTGATTTGAAAGCTAATAGTAATAGACAGCAATTGACTATATAGTCTTTACCTGCAAGTCTACGTGACTAAGGCTTTTGTTTTTTTCTTTTTAGATTATCACAGGGTGTCATGGACTTGGATCATAGAATATCCGTAGCTCTCTCTTGTTAATAATTAAATTAACTAATATTTTAAATTTTAAATCTTAATTGTTGATTAATTTTATTTTTTTTATTTTTTAATCATTTTAAAATTTTGTATAATTAAATAAATAATTTTTTTAAATTTTAAATCCTAATATTTGATTAATTTCATTTTGTTAATTTCTTAATCATTTTAAAAATTTGTAATTTTTGTTTTCTCATAATTATTTTCGAATTTTTTTAAGGTGATTGTTTCAAAATTAATTTCTTTGGTGTCTTTTCTTTTCAAATTACTAGACTACTAGACTTCAAAATTACATGCTGCGAAACTAGGATAGTTATTTTTTACTTATAATACTTTTTTTTTTGCATTTTTATATAGGAAAGATCTTAAAGTTTTTATTATTTTTACTGTTATTGCTCATGTGTGCAAGGGACCAGTTGTTAACTAATCATTCTATGCCATGTATATGTGAAAGCTATGGAGTGAGATGAATTTAATTTTTTTTAACTCGGACACCCATATGTTAGTATTTAAATTCATGATCTTTTGTTACAAAAGATCACTGTCGTTAGGCTATGAGATTTTTGGTGTGATATAAATTCTTTATACCATGTGTTAATATAAAAAAACATAAAATAAAACATTAGTTAATTTTTTTTAACAAGAAAATGCAAGGGCGATATCGATGGATGGTACTGCTTCTAGGTAGAAATTGATAGCAAAATTACATTTTTCCTCGTATAATTAAACATGGATGTAATGGTGGGATACAACATTTAAAATATTTATGATACTTACAGATAAAAAAATCTCCTATATGATAATGATTATTATTAATTAAAATAAAAAACTTAATCTGGCTTAAAAAATTAAAGCTTGAATAAAAAATAATTTGATATAAATAAAACACCTTAAATGATGAATTTTATGACTAAAGTATATATGATATCTTTTTTATGAAAAGATGTTTTTAGGTGATCGATATTTTTTTAAAACATACAACTCTTTATCGTAGAAATTCTATATCAGTATTATTTTTAGTTTTCTAGTTATTTCAATATTAGATAACAACTTCGAATTCAATAATAAATCGCATTTTCAGAATAAATCATACATGCAATAAGATTCTTAAATTTTTTTGAAAATCCCATCTGATATCGTGTAGTGGTGGGATACAATATTTAAAATATATATGATTCTTAACATAAAAAAGAAGGCTTAGACAAAGTCTAAATCATAGTAAATTATTCAAATCTTGATAACGACCTTGACACACTCTGGTTGCTTCAGTAGTTCAAAAGTTTTGTTTATATCTTCCAATGTAACTTCATGAGTGAAAAGCTCATCAAGAGGGAATTCCTGTACAAAGTCATACGTATCCATCACCGACAAAAATTTCATTCTAATTTCGAAAAAAAAATAATGATTTTTTATACCATTTTAAAAAATTCATATTCTTCATTTCTATTTTTTTTTTTAAGAGTTTATCACAACTTGTTTTTCGGTTTTATATGTATGAAGAAACTTGTAAAAAAACAACTAAAAGTTTATTGTTTATTTATCATAAGATCATAATGCATATGGTTTGATATTTATTTTATATGATAACTAACCTTATTTTTGCATTTGTCAAGTAAAATGGGAAGATCAGATTTAATTTTGAGCCCTCCAAAGACAGAACCCTTCAAAGTTCCGCCGAGCACAAGAGGTAAGAAGTTGACGGGCACAGTTGGATCAGTTCCTGCACCAACCACTATTGTTTCTCCTTTTCCCTGGCATCAAGAAAGGGGGAAAAAATCCAGCTGTTATTATAATATCTTTTTGACCATTCATCATAATGAAATTAGAAGTTTTTTTTATAGATCAACGTATTCTTATATAATAATATAATTTTTCAATTTTTTTTATATATTTATAATTAAGTTAATTTCATTTTTTAAATATATGTTAAATTTTTAATCTATAATTTTGTCAAAATTATTGAGGCGAACTACCAGGAATTAGTGACATAATTTGTATATAAAATCAATCTATTTAACTGGCATATAAGGATATTTTTAGAATTATAACTTGTAAACCAGTTAAATAGAAGAATTTCATGTACAAATAATGTGATTAATTTTCATAGTTTAGCATAACAATTTTATCAAAAGAATAGATTAGATTCTTATTATATATTCAAAGATAAAATTAATTTTATATCAAATATAAAAATATATTGAAAAATTATCAAATTATATAAGAATATATTTAGTCCTTAACCCAAAAAAAAGAAAAGATATAGACATACTGGTTTTGTTGCTAGGAGGGCTTCATTGACAAAGGATGCAACACCGGTGCACTCAAAGCAATAATCCACACCCATTCCACCTGTTAAGTCTTTCATCAATTCTGAAATAGGTTTTTGGGAATTTCCTTCTGGGTTTATGAAATCAGTCATTCCAAAAGCTTCCCCTTTCTCTCTTTTCTTCTCATTTTTGTCTATTCCAATTATTTTACTCGCCCCTTGCTTTCTAGCTCCCTCTATGGCCTGCAATTTCCACAAAGAAACAGCATTTCCAACATCTAATTAATTACCAGTACGTCAAAAAAAAAATATTAATCAATGAAAGACCAAAAGAAAAAGGATTTGCAATGTTACCCCTAATCCAACAGCACCTAGACCAATGACAGCAACACTAGATCCCCTCTCAACATTAGCTTCCCTCCAAGCGGACCCAAATCCAGTGGAGAATCCACATGAAAGGAAGCTTGCATGAGAAAGATCAATACTTGGATTAATCTTGACGACATAATTAGCATTTATCACCGTGTATTCAGACCATGTTGAGCATGTAGTAAGTTGATACACTTTTCGTCCATTAATGGACATTCTTGAAGTGCCATCAGGCATTAGCCCACTGAGGATTAATGGGTACTTTAAGCATAAATTGGTCTTCCCAGATTTGCAATTCTCACATTCTTGGCACTCTCCAAGGTAGGTTGGAATCACAAGGTCTCCTTCTTCAAGATCTTTTACGCCTTCTCCTATGCTTTCCACCTCTCTAGTACATATAATATCTATCGATTGATAATGAAAATTTTGAATATGATATCAGAAAATAGATTATGTGCATATTTAGTTCAGTTAGGACTTACCCAACACCTTCATGGCCGAGGACTCGAGGAAAAAGAGGCTGAAATATAAAAAGAAAAATTAAATACCAACAATTATCAAAACTTCCAATTACCTCCTTTAAAATAGTGAAACAAAGTTCATAACTGGTGAGACAAGAAGTAGTACTAACAGTTGGGAATCCTTTAGCAAATAGGATATCGGTATGGCATAAACTAGCAAGTAACATCTTAACACGAATTTCAAAAGATTTTGGTGGCTCTACTTGTATCTCTTCCACCTTCAATGGCTCCCCTATTCCCCAGCATATTGCCGCTGCCATCCCAAGCAAAATATATTAGAAAGGTATTGTAGTGAAAGAAATTGTCTCTGCAAATTTGCAATGGATTTTAGGGAATTCTGAACATACATACCTTTGCATGTTATCACCTGCGAGCTGCTGCTTTTTGACATTGCTGAGGAACTTAGGACTGTACTGCTGCTCTTGCGCAAACTTAGCATTTATATACAATCTTTTTATCTCACTTATGCAATGTGCAAGGGATAATCACAGTACAAGTACATCCAGTTTTAATAGTTTTTTTCAATAAAAACAAATGATTTTTTTTTAAATATAGTAATTTTTTAAAAAAATTTCAATCAAAATTTTATTATTTAATTTTTGTCAATTTCTAATTTATTTGATGGCATGTCTATTGCTCCACGCTGCTAAATTATGGTTTGTCTTTTTATTCTTTAAAACTTTTCTTTCTCAAATTATTTTGCTATTTCCTATTTTTTGTATAGTAAATATTCGAATTGTTCTCATAATGAAAGGTCAAAATTATAATTTTTTATTTTCATTATGGAAACACCAATCCCACCAATCTTGAAAAGGCCAAATTTAAAATAAAAAACAAAAATATTTTTTGGATTTTTTTTAATCCACACAGAATTAATTTATTAGAATTTAAATTTATAATTTTTTTCATCCACACATATTCAATCTCTAGTTATCCATCTGCGTCCCACACTTCAAATAAGCCTTATCTCTTTACATTTGAGTGGATCCTAACCTATTTAAAATCAAATTTGATGCTTTTAATATATGTTTTTAGATATTTTTTTGAATAGTTTTGATACCCTATATCATAATTATTTTTAAAACACTCAAAAAATTCATTTTTTTAATGTTTTTTAAGTGCAAAACATACCTTTACACCAAACATCTCTATTGCCACATTCTCAAACACATAATAATTAGATAAAAAAATTCATACCAAGTCCTTGGAAATTTCTCTGGCACTTCTCTTCGCTTATTCTCTTACTGCATTCTGATATTGGTTTCATTGGAAAAGAAGAAGAAGAAGAAGAAGAAGATAAATAGTATATCAAAATCTCTCATCATTTATATAATAAAATAAAGGGTGCAGAAACTTTACATTGAGGAGGTTAGTTGACATTAACTTTCTGAGAAAAACACTGACACAGGAAAAGCTTGAAGTATCTGGTACAAATCAAGAACGAGTGCAGGCAGTCATCCTAGAGATTTCGTGCATTCTTGTCTGAAAAGCTCTCACTTGCAGCCTCAAAAGGAGTGGTTTTGGGCCTTTTACATCTGAGATGAAAATTTATGTTCAGATAAACTTGAAATAAATCCAACAAACAAAAGAATGCTTACAAGATTACATTGCATTCCAGCTCTACGTACGTTCCATGAAAAAAAAGGAATGATAAACAAACTAGATTATTAAGATTAGCCCCACTTGAATTTTACAAGCCTCAATCCTAGCAAATCGGAATGACTGACACTCAAATTCACAAAACCATCAATAGGTTTTCCCTTGGCCAGTGCTTTTAAGATCAATTGACGCCATCTGGAGTTGGCCAGTGCTTTATAATTTTGGCAGCTGCCTGCTGGCTTTCATTTTTACTAATCCAATTCTCGATTTTCACAATAATAATAATAATAATAAATAAATATATAAATAAATAATGCCAGGCTTTAAGAAAACAGACTCCATACTTCAGGCCTGCGACCAGAGACAACCAGCTTGTGAGAGAGAAAAAAAGAGAGCAGAATAAGTTGAAAATGTCTCCCTCTTCCCGGTGCACTCCCAATTAATAATGAGAAAACAAGGATGTGCATGTCCAGAGCTTAAAAAAGGGTTTTGCAAATTTCAGAGAATTCTGACGATTACGATCGAAATTCTTTTGACTGAGACGTTAATTTTTTTTTAATTTAATTTAATAATTTTATTCTTATATTATTATTGTTTTAGATCATAATATGTTATGTAAGCATGCATGAAAAGCTTCTAACCAATAACAATTTATCACATATCCCGATAGATTTAAATTAAATAATTGAATTAGTGACGTGATAATTTATTATTAGCTAAAACTTAGCATATATGCTTACGAGACACATTGAAATCTGAAACAATAATAATATAAAAATATAATTTTGAAATTAGTTAGAAAAAATTTATGATCTCAATAAAAAAAAATTGAATTATATGAAATTTCCATATATATAAAATATTTTCAGGAAAGGAACATAATAGGTGTCTTAAATCACATATGGTTATAAATTGGTTTTACTTTACTGGTTGACTACTTTTGTTTTTCGTTCTTAATTCACTTTGATTAACAACTTTATCCCAATTAAAATTTAGGATTAGTTGGTTTCACTGAAATCTTCAATATATATATAGATATATATATATATATACACACACACACGGTACAAGGTAGAGACAGAGGGGCAAGTGGCTTTGTTAAAAATAATTCTTGACTTTAAAACCAACGAACGAGCCGAACTGTCAAAGTGCGTGCGGGTTGTCAAATACCTAACAAAATTAATTTTTCCCTTAATTTTAAGATTGTTTTAATAGGAAAAAAACAATCTTTTTGGAATGGATGAAGCAATAAAGTTATGGGATGCATGTCAACTATCGGAGGAGCATGGTTGCTGACGTGGCTCGTTCTCGTCTCTGTGTTGGGCCTGTGGGCCGTAGTTGCTAGCAAGTGTAGTTGATCTAGAACTGAACCATTCGCCGATGGGGAATTCGTTGGGCCTGCGCTTCGTGCACAAAACAAAAGGCAATCGGAAAGTGACGTTTCTTTTTCAATCTCCCTCTATTGGAGTGAATTGAATTTAATTAATTCGGCAATTAGAATCACACACAAAAAAAAAAAAAAACCATAAATTTATGGATTGAAAATCAATTAAAATTATCACATGTTAATTAACGCAGTCAAAAGAGATTTTATTAATTAAATAATATATGATGTCTCGAAAAAAAGCTTTCATTAATTCTAAAGATTTGCTCTCGATATTTTATTAATCTTAAATGTCTTGTTCTTGTGCCTTCATTTGATTCTTGTCCTTAACTTTATATATATATATATTCTCATAATATATATAATTTTTATATTTTAAATATTTTTTTATTAAAAAGTTTGTAATTCAATGGTAGTGACCTCTTGTAAAAGGTCACAGATATTATAAACTTATCCCTTATCTAACTCGATAAAAAAAACAAATTTTAATTAAAAAATAATTTATAACCAAATAAAGTTTAAATGAACTTGTAAGAAGTTAAATTTTAAACTCCATATTGTTAAGGTTGAGTAAAATTTTTTCCTTTTGGCTTGGTAAGGATTTCAACATTTTAATTAATTATTAGTGTTGTTTATTTTTATATTTTTTACCCTAGCACATTTGATATTAAAATCAATAACATGATAGTTAATTTTACCAATAAAAAATAAAGAGGTAAATCAAGAATGTCTTTTTTTTTTTTTTTTTTTGTATGGTAAAATTTTGAATGTGATATCAGAAATAGTTTATAGACTTATGTATAATAACAATGATTTTTTTTTTTTTATAAACTGTGATTGAGAATATTATAAGTTGTATTTGTTTTAAAAAAATTAAATCTTGTTATTTTCTAACATGATTAATTCTATTTTCGATGTTTAATAGGATACTTGGTTAAAAAAAAATCCATTTCGAGTACCTTTTGTAACTAAGTACCTAACAAAATTAATTTTTTTCTAAATTATAAGAAATGTATTAATAGGAAAATGAACAATCTTTTTGAAATCCATGAAGCAATAAAGTTGTGACTGTCGCAGGAGCATGGTTGCTGACGTGGCTCTGACTTGTCTATGTGTTGGGCCCGTGGGCCGTAGTTGCTGGCCTGGATAGTCGATCAAGCACTGAACCATTCGCCAATAGGCAATTGGTTGGGCCTGCGCTTCGTGCACAAAACAAATGGCAATTGGAAAATTCCGTACTTTTCAATCTCTCTCAATTTGAAGTCATTGAATTTAATTAAGTTGGCAATTAGAATCACAATAAAATCCATAAATTTATGGATTGAATATTGCATGTTCGCATGACTTTTATCTTTCTAAAATCAATTAAATTTAGCATATAAATTGCATGACCAAAACATAGAGTTTTTTTTTTTTTTTTTTTTACTATAAAAATATTCTCAAATCAAATTATAAGTCAATTGAAACTAAATTCTTATATGGACAATTTTAAAGTCACACTCTTCACATTATGCATTCAACAAAATTTCATAAAATTTTTGTTGATATTGACTACAAGAATTAATCTAAAAAGGTTAAGAATAACCATTTCATAAATAATTAAATAATAATGAGATATTAATATGAAATTCATGTATTGTCGTATAAAACACGATAGCATGCAATGAGAATGAGAGAATGGTACTAATATAGTAATATCATGAAAATTTACTCCAAGCAATGCTAGTGTTTTGTTTAATCATATATGAAATGTTAAAATGTTGGAGGAAACTAATAAATATTGCATCTATTTTCTATGCCTAGCTATATAACTAATAAATATATAAACGAGGAATGATTTTGAATCATACACAGTTGATAATTTGATATTTAATAGGTGATTTCACTATTTTTAAGAGAGAAAAAGTTTAGAAATATTGGGATAAAGATACAAATATAACATGCAAATTTCAATAATAATGATATGTTTTTGTTTTATTTCCACACAAAGGTAAACCAATCGTGAACAATAGCGATATATTTTTGTTTTATTTCAATACAAAGGTGAATTAAACATGTGTGAAGATGATAGTGATGCAGGATAGTTTCCGTCTTCTCGATGAAGTCATGCAGATTCTAACAAATTTCAATAACATAAAAAAATAACTATTAATTAGAAAGACTAATTTTCCTTTAGTGAGAAGCCATGTAATTCTAAATGTTTCTATTGTTTATCCAAATGTTAAGTGAATGCAAGCGAGCTTGATAATATATCGATTAACATTATATAATTCGTATTCATCTGGTTCATATAAAATTATGAACTTTGAGCAAATTTTGCTCATATATCGTGTTGAATATTTTATTGGTTTACAATATGTATTTGTGTTCATGAGTTATAAATCAATAAATTTATGATTCAACTAATACGTATATTTACATCTCTTAAAAATATTTTGAATGTGATATTTTTTTCATGAAAAAAAATATTAAAATATACAAATCTGCAAGTCAAATTTATAATAACATAAATAAATAAAACTATTATTATACAACTCAAATTTATTCTTTATATTGTGAATTTTCATACAATAATAACAGTAATTCATATTCTGAACTTTAATAATGAAATTTGAATACCGCAAAAGTAAAATTTAGAGAAATCTATGCAACTAAACTCAAATGATAAATAATAGCATTCTTTGTTATCAAATTCTTAATCTATTTTTAGGCTTAATTGAAAAGATATTTTAATCTCCATATGAAAATATTGTAAAAGAAAATTAAAATAAATATTTTTCTTTTTTCTTCTCCAAATAAAAGAAAAAACCTTTAATTTTTCCATCATGTGGATCCCACCAATGGCGACGGTCCTTGATTTTACACACACATCCAATTAACCGCAGCAAAATCGCTCCTTCACCCCCAGTCCCCACCCCCTCTCTCTATCTCTCTGTACATTTCTCTTCGATCATCTAAAAAAACCAGATCTCCCCATTTTAAAAATTAGGGTTAGGGTTTCATCGAACCCCACGATCCACACTTAATCAAATGGCATTAAGGAGGTTCTACAGCGAAATTAAGGGCTTGAAAGTGAAGGAAGTGCCCAACCATGTGAAGCCGATGCTGTCGCTTGATTACGTGAAGAAAGCAGTGCAAAGAGGAATGGATAATTACCATGCTAAGTATATTGAAACAAGTTCAGTTGAGCCACTTTTTCATGTTTGCTTTGGTGGCATGATTTTCTCTTACCTTGTTGCTCTTCCCGAGGAACGCCGTCACCTTGAGCACCAGCAACATGCTAAGGAACACGGTGGGCATTAGGGAGGAACGCTTTTTTTCGGTCTTTTGCTTAAAGGTATGTTTCGTGGTGTATTTTGACGATTTTTTTTTATGGGTTTTGTGTATTTTGATTGGATTTGGTTGATTGTTGGGTTTTGTGTATTTGATTGGATTTGATTGAGGGATGGATGGGTGTTTTCGGCTTTTTTTTTGGTAAGTGTTGTTGATTTTTGGGTTTTGTTTGTGAGGATGTGGAAGCTAAAAAGGGCTGGGTAGATTCGTTGGAAGGTTTTGTTGATGGGTTTTGCTTGTTTTTTGATTAATTTGATGTGTTATGGCATGTTTAGGTAGTTGATTTTGATGCCTCTCTGAAATGTTGGTAGTTGGGATTTTTTATGGCGTGATTGGTGATTTTGTTAGTACGTTTTGTTTGGTTCTGATTGAATTTAATTATAGATCGGTGCTTTTGTGGGTTTCATTGTGGTTTATCTAGGGATTTTGTTCGGTGGGTTTTGTCTGAGACAATGTGGAAGCCAATGTGTTGAATTTGTGTTTTGGGATTTTGATTTGGTGAGACACTGTGCTGGGTGATCCCCTCCTTTTTCTCCTATTAAACGAGCCAGGTTTCATGGATTTTACAGAGTTTTGCTTTTCATTTTGCTCATTTTGGTAATTTTGAATGTTTGGCTTGTGAGCAAGTAGCGTGGTTATCCTTAATGGTTGCTGTTATGTTCTTGGGTTTTCTTCTATTTCGCCCGTGGATTGATAGGATAATTGGTTGTGTGTTAATGTGGTTTAAGTGCTTTGCCTTGGCATTTCATTTTGTCATTTCAGGTCTAGGTTGAGGAGGAAGAGGGTGGGGAAGGGGGTGTTTGGAAAGTTTCATGGTGGGAAATACTTGGGTATACAGAATTTCATTACAAATTATGTGGTTGACAGTAATGTTTATTGATTTTTTTCTACATTTGCTTGCCACAATTCACCGGTTTTGAAGTTTGTAGTCCTATGTTTTAATAACTAGAATTTTTATTAATGCGTTGTAGACGACTCCTCTTTACTGTTTAGCTCTTGTTTTGTTGGATCCTTGCAGTACCCTATTTTCCGAGTATTGGCTATTTAGTTTTCTAAGAGAACCTTTGCAACATTTTTCTTAATTTTCTTCTATGCCCACTCTATGCTGTGCTTTTATTACTTGTTAGGGGGAGGGGGATTTAAAATTTTTCCGTTTGTATTATGCCAAAAGCTGCCTGTATCATCTCATGGTATCTGTCCTCTATGCAGCCTAATTTCATAAAAGCTTACCTTCTTCATGAACGTGCAGTTTAAAGGACATTCTCAGTATATGTAATCCATTTTGCCTTTCTTCACGGCAAGCCAAATTGCACTTGGACATCTCATTGACCTTCCTTTCTCTTCATCACCCCTTGCATAATACTCATATCTCCCTTATGGTGGCAGTTTGGGTAGCCTCCTCTTTACTGTTCAGTTATGCTAGGTGGGGATCCATCTGGCAGTGGAACAAGAAAATAACTTCTATGCAGTTTCTTTCGTGGAATGGAATCTTGAGTGCCTTCACATCCTTTCTCTCCTTTCTTTAAATTGAATGAAAATTTTCGAATGGTTTAGGTTAATGAACTCTAATTGTGGGGAATAGGAATTCTTTTTTTCTTGGAATAGGATTTTTTTTTGTACCTTCCCCCCCCCATATTTTCTTTTGATGGAAACAGGATAATCTGTAGTTTTTGTGACTGGCGATATAAGTTCAAAGAGGAAGAAGTGTATGCTGTTCACCGAGGCACCTGTTTCCATAAAAAAAGCCATGAACAACGCCGCACCCACCCAATTGTCATTATCCAAGTCCGTCTCTCTCATGTCTACTAAATAAATCTGTACTTGGAACTAGTACATTTTTGATAGCCAAATTAGTATATCCTATGTAATGAGTGTTGCCATTTAATTAGAAGAAAACTGTTTTATGAAATTCTTCATGAATTTGTGGTTATATATTGTTAGTTTTTAAAATATTTTGGAACTGAGCTCAGTGTGCTCGTTTGTGCTACATTTCCATACAACAGCAGCTTGAGATTAGCTGTTGTCTTGTGTTGTGTTGCTTAAAATTTCATTACATGAAACCTTAACTCTAACTAGATGTAACTCAATATAATGGATTATTGCTGCACCTGTGTGTTTGTGCACCTGTCCACGTCTGTTTGTAAAGGTCATTGCAATTTATGGAATTGACATTTTTACTTCTCTTTGCAGGATTTGGTGAATCTTGTGGGAGTTGCTTTGGTGACCATTTATTTGCTTGATGTTTTTTGGTATTTCTGGATATTGTAGGCAGGAAAATACTGTCCTTGCCAATGGTTGGCAGCCTGAAATGATGAAATAAAAAACCCTTGACTAGTTGAACCTGTTACTTTTGTGATCCACTGTGAAATGGATGGTTATAAGAAAAACAACTGTGTTTTTGCTCTTTCTGCGTTATTACCACTATTCAATGACAGGTTCATTTTAATTTCCATTTTAGGATGTTGATTTTTCTATGTGAAATTTGGCAGTTTGTTGAGGCTAACCTCGGCCATTAGACTGGCCTGTTCTTCTGTGGACCTATCTCCTCTTCTGGAACAAGGAAAACTAGATTCTTGGCGATCTTGATCTCAATGATCCTTTGTCATAAACAAATATCAAGCTAAGATCTTCTACAGTGTTTCAGGATCGCCTGTTCAAAATTCTTATAACTGTAGCTGTTCCATAAAAGAAAAAGGAAAAAATCTTGGAACTTTGGATTGATTATGCAAGGGTAGCTACCCTCCTTAGTTAAACCCTCAAGAGATTGGAACTCAAATTTCTATCCATCACCTTTTTGAAGCCCAAAACTATGTATTCAATCATGAAACAATCCAATCATTAATGTTTTTCTCTCTCCCTCCACTCAAGGTAAACACTTTAGAAATCCAACTTACCAACTTGTTTAAACTCTTGACTTCAATGATTCAGCTATATAATAAGATAATTTCAATTGAATACTATTAATTAAACAAGAAGACACCTCTCGAAGAGTATAGAATTACAGCAAATTAAATGCAACTCCCTAGCCTTGTCAAATGGAATCATTGAGGCATGGGCTCGGGAGCTTTACTCAGCATATTTTCTTTGTATTGATCCATTTGGAATCATCTTCTAATAACTTTACCAATTAGACCAGTTCTCATGTACAGCAAGTAATTTCACATCTTAAAGACAAACATAATCCTATCACAGATTGAAATAATTAGTTATGTTTCAAACACTAATTAGTTGTTCCAAATCATTTCAACACAAAAAAAGGGTATAAAAATTTCATTTTCCTTTTTTAGCACAAAGGAAATTAGTCTAATAATGCACACATTACAATCATTTACAACTATCATCTTAAGATATTTTGGTTTTAAATTTTTAATGATTTTGTTCCTTCCATCATCGTTGCGATTTAAATCTAAAAATGTTTTGAAACTTAAAACTTAAAAATTTGATCTTTTAGAAATTTAATCTTTCAAAAATACATGGAGGATTCCTATAATGTTAAAAAAAGAAAAAAAAAGAAAAGAGAGATTAGTAGTGATAGTTTTGCAACTTTTGGACAAGTAATCGCAATTAGTCACTTTGCATTAAAAGAAAGAAAGAGAGAGAGACTTGGAAGAGTTGCAGGACTGTATTGAAAAATAGAATTAAGAGAGAGGGGGAGAGGCAAGGCAAGGCAAGGCAACAAAACCGTTGAGTGGCGCTTTTCGAGAAACAGCCACCTCTTTGTCAAATCATTCCTTCAATCATCAAATAAATCTTTTACTTCACTTCCATTTAAACACGAAATCCCAGATTTCAAATTTCCAATTTCAAAACTTTGGAGCCCTTTTTAGGCCTCAAATCAATCAAGAAAACCTCAGTCGCTTTTTCGAGAAACATGCTCGCTGTGTGTTTTTTTAGAGTAGTGCAGCAGGTGGAGCTGTCTCATTCTTTAGTTTTTGAGGTAGCATTTTCTTTGTTTTTGCTTTAGAGCTTGCTGTCTTGGATTCTAGCTTTCTTCCTTGGGTTGCCATTCTTTTTATGTTTAGTTTCAATGTGGATCTTTTCTGAGTTCTTGGTTTTGATTTGTATTCTGGGTTCATCTTGAATTGTTGTTTTGGTTATTATAGATTGATTTCGATGCTAATGAAGTTTGCCTTTTGGCGTGATTTGTTTTTGATAGTTTTATTGGTGAGCATGGATGATTCTGATTTATGAATCAATAAATTATTTTTTGCAGCTTACCCGTGTTGTAATTAGAATTTAGAATGTAATTCAGTGATCACTTTGAAGGATATTGTTAATGAATGATCATGGGTTTGATAGTTCTTGGATGTCAAAAAGCATGAAATATTGGCTCGTTTCAAACTTTTTTGCTCTTTTTTGTTGAAGTTGTTTAGGGTTTCCTGATTTGGTTTTGTTTATTGTCCCTTATTTGCTTTCTCTAGATGTTTCAGTATTCTTTTCATTTTACTGGACATTGGACTTTACGTTTTCTTTGTTTATGAAAAAACATTTTCAAATTTAGATTTATTAATGCTGCACGATAATTCAATGTATGGTTCATTGTATTAGAAGAAACATGCTCAAAAAGCTGAATTTTATGGAATTCAATGGTGCTAGATTTTCATGTTTGTCATGCTTAAACTAAAACTGAAAAGTTGTGGTAACTGTGGAATTATCTATGCAGTAGATCTTGAGATTCTTCTTTGTTTGTGAGCGATGAATATATAACAAGATGATTGCTTATTCATCTGCAGTGATATTTTCATTTCTCACACATGAGAGATCAATATGGGTGGTTCTGGAGAGAAGTCAAACCAGGAAGACTCACCCAAATCTTCACCTTCTGACACAGTAAATGAGTCGTTGCTGATTAAATCATTGAAGATCAAGAAGGGCAGCAAATTTTCTCCAAAAAAAAGCCAAAAAACAAGAACGAAAACAAAACCAAAACCTCACCTAAAAACTATCATTGATTCAGCTGTATCAAAGAAAAAAGTTACTCCTAAGAAGGGCATTGGGAATGGCTCTACCAGTAGAAAATTGATTCATAGGAAAATTCTGCATAAAGCACTTGATAAGAAAGCCTCAAGGAAGGGGTCTTCTTCAGAGCTACAAGGCAAACAATTATCAACTATTGATTCTGAGAGGAATGGAAAAAATGCTGATGAAGGTACGATTGAAAAACACAAGAAGAGGAAGCCTAAGAAAAGGGAAAAGGACAAGGTAAAGCTAGATGAACCAGCACGCTTGCAGAGGAGAGCAAGGTACTTGATGATTAAAATGAAGCTGGAGCAGAATCTTATAGATGCTTACTCTGGAGAAGGCTGGAAAGGTCAAAGGTAAAGAATTTTCTTACGCACCATTCCTCTGGAAAAACAAAGAACAACTCCTAGCTAATTTTCAGCTTTTGATTACAAACCTATGGTTTAAGGAAGCTGTCTGAAGTCTAACCACTCCTTAATCAGTGAGAAAAATTTACGTGGAAGACATAAAGGTGAAATATAATTGTCTTCAAATTGTTGATCAAAGATGTGTTTCATTTCCTTAAAGCATGTCTTGTACAAGCAAGTTTAATCCAGGAAGAAGTTGGATGCCTGGATGAATATTTTTTGCCCCTTTCTTTTAATCCTGTTACAATAATTATTAGGAGTGTATATGTTTTGAACATGTTACCAGATTTGAAGCTGTCTGAAATATTTCAAGGAGGTTCTGATCAAATATTTATAGAGATGCAATACTTCCCTGCTAAAGTTGGGACATAGGGTTGGCTCAAAGATATTTTCATCGTAAAATTCAGCTGGGAGAATCTGGATTTAATTTTTCATCTGCGCATGCTTCTAGATGGATATTCCTTTTCAATCATTTATTATTCCAAATTTTGAATTTTTTACCGAATCTGTTGTTGGAATTAATGAATGATTCCCACTTTACAGCATACAACCTACAAAACAAAGCAACAAGAACTCTGCTGACTTGGAAGTTTGAAATTGTTTATGCTTTGAACTCCGTTTGTTCTTATCTTTTACTGTATACAGTCGAGAGAAGATCAGGCCAGAAAAGGAACTACTGAGAGCAAGGAAGGAGATTTTGAAGTGTAAACTTGGATTACGCGATATAATTCGGCACGTGGATTCACTTAGTACAGTTGGATGTATTGAAGACACAGTTATGGCTCCAGATGGATCTGTTTCCCATGAACATGTAAGCATGCTGAAGCAGAATCAGTTTTGTGAAATTGTTAAGAATTGTAAAACATTAAAGAAGAATTCAACCTTCTTGATGAATTCTTGCTAGTAGAGACTCGTACCTAGTATTTTCTAAATCTGTGGCTGCAGGTCTCAATGAGCATACTCCCTTCTTGCTTCTCACTTTGAAGAAGCTGAAAAAGAACATGCTCATTCAGTAATTGGTCCATGAAATTGATTGAGGCACAAAGAGAGAGAAATATTTTCTAAGAAAAGTTGAAACATGCTCATTTTTCCAAAAAATTTCGAAGTCATTTTTTAGTCAAATTTGGGTTTTCTGGTATCACATAAACTTAGGCCCCTAGCACATTTGGCTTAGTGATAAGCTGGCAGGAGGACCTTGACTAGCTTTACCTTGTGTTATTTTTGACTTGTATCTTTATATTTATATTTTCTTTTCCATCCCTTCATCTAGATATTCTGTGCGAAGTGCAAATTGAATGAAGTTTCCCCAGATAATGATATTGTACTCTGTGATGGGACATGCAACTGTGCCTTCCACCAAAAATGCCTCGATCCTCCTTTGGATACTGAAAACAGTCAGTTCTACTCACTTCTTTTCTTGTGAAATTTTTCTGCCAAGTTGTGAAACAAATAGATTGTTTCTAAGGTTTTCTGTACATCTGATAATTTGCACTTCTGCAGTACCTCCAGGAGATCAGGGATGGTTTTGTAAGTACTGTGAGTGCAGGATAGAAATTATAGAAGCTATGAATGCTCATTTGGGGACCCACTTCCCAGACGACAGCAGCTGGCAGGTTATTGTTAAAATATTCTAGAGTCCTTTTCTTTGCTGCAAAATTGTAAGGGAATCGAAGAATCTTGGTTTTGGTCCCCTGTAACTCAACTGATGTTCACTCTTTCCTGAAGTAGGATATTTTCACAGAAGAAGCAGCAACTCAAGATGGTGGAAATATGCTATTAAATCCAGAAGAAGAATGGCCTTCTGATGATTCTGAAGATGGTGATTACGATCCAGAGAGGAGAGAGAACATCATGAGTGGAGCAGGTACTGATGATGATGCATCTGATGACACCAGCAATTCAACCAGCTTGGGTTGGTCTTCAGATGGTGAGGTTTTTTCGGGGTCCAGGAGATGGGAGATGGATGGCTTGGACTTCAGAAACAACTCTATGTATAGCAGTTTAGATTCTGATGAAACCAGTGATGGGGAAATTATTTGTGGCCGTAGGCAGAGAAGAGCAGTTGACTATAAGAAGCTATATGATGTGAGTACTCTAAACTCTTGTAACATAAATTATTATAGTTTCACATAAAACCAAAAAGTTTTAGTTGGTGCGACAATCTAGAATCAACCTTATAGGCTGGTTTCTATTTTTATGAGAAGAGGTGCATCTTCAATGATTTTTAGTGGCAATGAACATGGTGGGATGGAAGTTCCGTTTTAAACTTTCAATTATATCCGTTATCAACAAGTTTAAACTATATTTGATCTGGAATGTTCAAGTAATAATGTATTTTCGAACTTAGGGGTCAATTTAGGAGAAGGCAAAAGAACCAGTGCCAAGAAAAATATCATGGATGAAATGTTTGATTAGACTTTGCTTTTGTTCCTCCAGCCCCTGGGACTAGTTTCTCGGTGGTGTTATTGTTGAAGGTAAATAGGTTTCTATGGCATTTTTCTTGAAGTAGCTTGCAGGCAACCTTTCTCTACATCATGATTGGAGGGGGAGAGGGAGGGGGAGTGATATATAGCTAAACCAGGCACTTCATAGATGCCTATGTATTGGATCAATGATTTTCCTCAAGAAACGTGAGTGATGAAAGGATCCAGCACCTTTTCAATTTAGCTCTTAAAATTCTTGTGTGGAAATTAACGATGTAAAGTTTTACATTTTAGTTATGGAGCTGTCTATTCCTCAAGAGATAGTTCAGACGACTTCATCTAATGCAATGTGATTTTCTTTCCTATCAGGAGATGTTTGGAAAGGATGCTCCTGTACATGAGCAAGCCAGCGAAGATGAAGATTGGGGTCCTGGCAAAAGAAAGCGACGAGAGAAGGAGTCAGATGCAGTCAGCACCCTTATGACTCTGTATGAAAGTAAAAAAAAAGGTAAAAAGAATGAGACGATTGAAGGGATGATGAAGTTTCCACAAGACCCTCAAATTCGAAGGCCAATCTTCAGGCTCCCCCTGATGCAGTTGAGGTAGTAGTTTCCTCCACACATGAATTTGTCTTGACAAACAATTTTTTCTGTTCTCACTCTTTAGTTTTACCTAGTAATTTAATTTGGTAAATTGCTTTAGTTATCTTTTCCTTTTCATGTGCTGTCCTAGAAACTTCGCCAAGTATTTGCAGAGAATGAACTTCCATCTAGATCTGTCAAGGAGAATCTGTCAAAAGAATTGGGCCTTGAACCTGGGAAGGTAACAACTTAAGCTACTGAATCAATGCATAATGATGCCTTGAAATTGAACTGACAGAAAGGTTACATACATATCAAAACAGTGATTTTAAAGTAGAAAATCAACCTTTTCTTTCTTTTCTTTTTCTCCGTAGAAGAGTAAAGCTTTACTTTAATGTGTTAGTACATTATATTTTCCGCTGGGATTACTCTTTCAGATACATGTTAGCTCTTCATTTCTTCCAAGTTCCAGTTATTTACACTTAAGTTGCAATTTCAGGTTACCAAATGGTTCAAGAATTCCCGTTATTTAGCTCTAAAGTCCCGAAAGGTGAGCTGGTACTTCATGTACATTAAATTCGACAGTTATATATTGTTGCAGTTACTATTTGAAGTCGCTTCTTCAGTCGTGCACTTTGATGATTCTTCTATCAGTTGCTAAGTTAAAACTTAAAAGTATAAATTATGTGTCAACGTGAGATATATCATTTGTTGTTATCAGATTAATGTGATTATTTGAGAGTTGAAACTTTCAAATCTTATATCTTAATGTCTTTCTATGTGTGTCAGTTTTGTGTCTGAAAATTTACTTGCACAACAGGTTGAGAAAGGAGAACAACTTCATTATTCTAGTTCCAAAGTCTCTGCCGAACCTACATTAAATGTCATGAAAGACAAAACTGCTGATATTTCACCATTGAAGGATAATACCCGGGCAGAAACTGGGGTATGTATCCCAAAGAATCTGAAAAGGATCATTCAGAGGAAGAAGCCGAAGTCAGTAAGCAGAAGTTTATGGAAAAATGAACAGAAAAGAGGTTCCTTTGAATCACCTACTAAAAGCAATGGGGTATTCTTTGTCATTAGTATTTGATTTTTTTCTTTATTTTTTTTTCTTCAGACCCAAAATAGTGCGCTCCCCTCTATCTATCTGTTTTGCTTCTCCTCTTTGCATCTCTGGTTGCACTGTGATTAAAAACAAGAAGTCTTACGTGATCAGATCAGGAGTTGACACTTCTGTATTATCTTGTGGGCTGTCTTGATTGTTTGTGTGGTGTGAGTTGGGTGTTGGGGGGCTATTCATTTTATCCTTAGAATCATGATCATTTAAAGTCTTGTTGTTGGATTGATGCGCTTTGTGCCTGCCATTCCCTATATTTCGACACAGAATTCTTGTTCATTTGTGTCCTCATTTTTTAGCATTTATTACTTTCAGATGAATGTTGAGAACAGCGATGATGTGAGCTTGAAGAAGCTGTTAAAAGCAAAACCAAAGGGAGTAAAGAAAAAGGTTAATCTTGTTTCAACAGAGGCTGAATCTAATATGGAGAGACTCTGTAGAGCGAAGGCTAGAGTAGAGAAGATGAAGCAGAAACTGGTGAAACTAGCAAATGACAAAGCTAGCAAGTCATCCAAAACCTGTCTGCTTGACGAGTCTGTTGTTTGCGTTCCCATTGCTGAGCTAAGGGAAACAGATTGATACACCGTGCAAACTATTATTATTTGCACAGCATTTTGCCTAACATTTGCAGGTAGGGTTGGCATTGTAAATCTTTTTTTGCTAATCTGTGGTATGCCAATCATTGGACACTCATACAAGTATTTATTTTCTTAGAAAGAAGTTGAAATACAAAAGAAAGACTCAAGGCAATTTGGGTCAGTAAAAAGTTCTCCTTTCGGCTCTATTTGTGTAATTGTGATTCTTCTTTGTACAATTTGGGTGTGTTCCTTAGAGTTCAAGCCTTAAGTTTTATCCTAAGGTATGTAGCCACTAACCCTAGCCTAATCTAACATGACTAATATGAATTCATACATTTCGTTTACAGCTTCAAGAATTCGACCACTTTTACTTGAGAAAGAGTTGGTCAATTTCTTTACAGCTTCAAGAAATGGTGTTTATACATCTTTACTTGCACTGCATAGCACTTGCGACCTTTGCTCCCTTGTAGCTCCACTCGGGGGGTATCAGGTGTACAAAAAGCTGTATTACTATTAGCATTTTTCATCTTTGCTAAATAAATGCAAGTTGAGATTAATTTGCTTGCTAGGACTTTTGAAGAGCAGTAGCTTCTCATTTATAACCCTTACCTAAGCCGCTAACATGTTCTTTCTCTCTTTATTATCTCTGATTTTGACCCTGACAAAAGAAGATTCACCTTCTGGAAATATGAAAATGGGGAAAGTGAGGGAGGGTGAAACTATTAGGTTCTAGGTTTTTAAGTTTTTAGTTTAATTGTCCAAATCTTTACCATCTTTCTTTGCCTTCAAACATGGAAAATAGAAAGTAGACAAACTATTGAAGTTGATGACTGACTGACAGTAGATCTGTTCCAGGCCCTAATGAAAATGTTATTTCCCTTTCTTTGGCAATCAATTTCATTTTACTTCTCTACGACGTTGACATTTTTGATAAAATTTGCTACCACTTATAGCATTGATTTGATGGGGGCCAAGCTATTTTCATTTGTTTGGCAATTTACCTGACTCAATCTCTCATGCTTGGTTTTTTGTTGAAGATTATTAGAGTTAAGGAGCTTAACCTGGATCACCATGATCATTTTAGAAGACAGATTTTGTCCTGTTCATTTAGCAAGAGAATCCGATACGCTCTTTACCTTTAAAACCCAATTTAGTGAAATATGAAACTATACATATGAACCCTAGGTTGACCTTTTAGAATTAAGGAGCTTTCATATTTACATTTGTCAAACAACGCCTCTATGCACAGCATTACTTGACGAAAAAGAGGTGAGAAAAGCAAGCAAAGCACATACAAGAAGGCTCACATAGATCATATTTTGATCATTTGAAACCAATCTACTGTCTCCAATAGTTTTGTTTGGACTATAATGTGAACTCCTAACTCCAAAATTCAGCTCTGTGGATTTCTATGAGAATGAATTTACAAAGCAAGCTGTATGGATAATTGAAATCATTGAACAGTTTTTTTCCCATTCTTGAAATTTTGTGTCTATCACACTCCTTTCAATCATCCACTGGATCACCATCGTTGGCAAGCTTCAATTTCCGCCGTTTAGCAGCTAGTCGGGGTCTCAGCTGCACATCATATGAAACGATAACTAATAAGGAGAAGAAAATATTGCATGTCCTTGATCAAAAGCATGACAAGGATCCTAAAACATTAGATGAACCATGCTAATAAGTTTGGCACATTATATTCAGTTTTATTCCACATTTATTAATCCATCCATCAAAGACATGCTCGATCATAAAATTCAAGGTCTCTCTACCAACTCTTTTTTCTACTCTGAAACATTATTGTTTTACAGAAGAGTAATTTGTTTAATAGATTTGGTCCTTCAGCACAGCCTGAGCAGTGTATTCTCAGAAAAAAATTAACTAGAGCAAGCAAGTTTAGATTACACGGACCATGATGTAAGTGCTAAAATTCTAAAACCATAACATATATGTCCAAAACATACCATCTGAATATACTTGAGCTGCTTCATAACTTCATCAGTTTCCAGCTCCTGAGGCAGATGCGTGGAACAAGATTTATTTAGGATAAAATATGAGATATATGTTAAGTATAGCTCGAGAATATTCAATCACCTCCACGAACTTGTACTTTTAATGACAGTGAAGAAGACAATAGAAAACCCAAAACAATTTGTTTGCAACATAGAAAGTTCAAAATGCCAAAGATAACATATAAAAGCCTAATTCACCTGAGGTGCAGCGCAGTCGGCATGAATTGGATCCCAAAAGACACAGCAGAAGCATTCCCAGTCATTAGTTTGGACTTCAAAAAGAGGAGCCCTGTTACATCAACAACATTCTAGAACTTAATCTTCTGAAGCTTAACTAGAAAGAGATGTATATCAGACCTATGAAAGCAATTCTCAAGTGCAAACATGAAGGACACATGAAAGCACATGTGTATAGGCATGCACACAAATCGAAACAAGGACAAGAAGGAGAAAGAGAAGATACCCCTGCCAGCTTAGAACATCAAACGTTGCATTTCAAAATTTAAATTACCAAAAAAAGGAAAAAGGAAAAGACCACTAGTTAATACTGAAATCAAGCTATCAACAACCATAATGCTTGCCTGCTCGGAGCAATGAGCAGCCTTCAGTGACATGATATAAGCCAGCAGGAATTCCACTTCTGGATCATGCATAATGTGACACAGTATTTAAATTTCCTTGTAAAGGCCAAGAATGTGGCAGCATTTGGAGGAAGAGCATGTTTCTTATCCAAGAACATTGTCTCTGGCCACAAATCAAGACCTCTCAGTAATCCTATAACCGTTGTAGGCTGAAACACAGCTTAATGATGAAAGAGATTTTCTACTTGCTGAGGTGACTCAATTTATGCTACCAAAACGACCAAATGCAATGTTGGGGTTAGATAAACCCACAGAAGTCTGATGCATGTGTTTAAGGCACTCTCAAGGTGCCAAACCCACCCGTACACCAGTTCTAATATAATGGAGCAATCATATCACTGATGCTATGCGAATTACAAACACCATCCACGCAAAAGAAGTAGTATAACAAGAATCATGCCTTTGAAAAATTATTTCAGGACTGAAACTAAGAGTGAATTGTAGGTGTTTCCTGGCCCAATGAAAATGTATAAATCCCCATGCACTTGGATCTCTCACAAAGCTACAGCCAATGACATGATATAGATAATTGAATTGATTCCCCTTTAATCTCGTACTAAGTGGAACAGAATTTTGAACCAGCAGCACAAGGAAGGGCAGATGATACGATATGTTTACAAAGGTGCATCAATGATAAGAAAGGGCTCATCATGCTTCATACTTGTCAATAGCAATTAAGACAAGAAAATTAAAATTAAACTGGTATTTCGTTCCTGAAATTGCAAGGCTAAGATAGACACAAGGTAATGCCAAAATTAAATAAGTTCAGCACTGGAGGATTTAGCTGAACAATATGAAATATGGGGATTAAACATTCATGGTTGACTTTATTACCTGGTTTCAACTGAGTGGTACAGTAATGCTTCTTCATATTTCATAATTCGTCCTTAGTGAATGTTTTACATAAGACATAAACTGCTAAAAACTTACAATGTGCATTCAGGCTTCATGGTTAAATTCTCCATAACATTTACAAAATTTCGAGGAAAAGCTCTCCTACAAAAGCATTGCTAGGCTGAATATGTGCCTGTACTTGAGATAGTTCATGGATAGCCAAGTGTGGAGAGTTAGTTGTATAAAAATCCTAGTAGAGGTTTTTAATGTGCCCGGGACTTTCCAACCAGTAACTAAAGCATTTGAGTTTAAGGCTGTCTAACTAAAAGCAGGTTAATTAACAAAAACACACGAGCAGAGTCACCCAAGAAAGGAGATCATTATTTGGTTTACCTGCGCCACTTTCCACATATAGTTACATTGTCACCTTCTGCTGCATCATCTATGACCTGTCTACACTGAAGCCAATTACCTATTGAGCCAAGTTTAGTAGGCTTGTTGGACTTCAATTCCTGCAAGAGGATGTTTCAGATCTCTCAAAACACCTACAAATCTACTGCTAAACTAACAAGCTTGAAACTAATAAACAATTTGAAGTCTTACGTGCAAACTGACAAAGTATGATGGATCCAATACCACAGGTTTGTCAATAGTGTCAACATCACTGCATAAAAATCAAAATAACAGATGATGTTAGAAGTAACAAGGCTAGAACATACTGGTGATAATTAGAATTGGTCTTGTATCATTCTTAATTTTTAAGAAACAAGTCCTACAGCAAGGAAAAAATAAAATAAGACAAAAGCAAATAATATCGAGGAGAGGACAAGGAATAGAACACTGAAAACATTTACGTCTGACAAGCCAAGATACTACGCCTCGATACAGCCTGAGGGATCAAAGAAACACAAACCCTTTTAATGGAATTATTCCTGCCTATATATATTTCATGGAACTGAACCTACAATTTCTTCAACTTCTAACTTACACTTTGTGTTCCACAAACTATCAACTACTGCTTTTGTTCTCCCAACATGTTTAACATAGATGCTCCGAAAATGGAAATTTAGAGTTGTACCCTAAAAAATATGTCATTTTGCTTTTATGAAGCCAAATAATCCTTTATTTCCTCTGCATTTGGGTCCGAAAGTGGTAAAGCTGCATGTTTGCTATCAAAGGACCATCTCACCCAAAAGCTTAAGGCTTCAGGATATGATTTATATTATTCTCTAATACACTCCCTCAAGTAAAAGCCTTTTTGGCTAGAAACTTGCAAAAACCCACACTACCTTGCACTTAATTAATTAGAAGAGAAAGTGGGGGTGGTAGGATTCAAACTCACAACCATTTGATCATCAAGGCTCTAATACCATGTTAAAGGACCATCTCACCCAAAAGCTTAAGCTTTTAGGTAAAGCCCTAAGATATAATCTATATTATTCTCTAACAGTTGCCTCCAAAAATTTTTAGCTTAAGGCCATTTAGCATTGCTACCTGCCAAAAAGGTTCCTGAAGAGTCAAGTCTCTCACCTTCTAAACATGCATCCCTCAAAGAACCCATAGTCAACTCAAAATAGAAATCATGGGGCCACATTGTTGTGCATCAACATGTTGAAAAAGAAAAGAGACGAAACCTAGTCAATCTACAAGCATGCCTACACAATGGCCGCCATGTTTGATCCTACTAAGCTACTAGTGCCTATGCTACTAAGTGAAAAAGGGCACAAAAGATCCATCTGTACCCCCTATGATGTATCAAGCTACTACTTCTGATAACATCTCGAAAATGAAGATTAATTGCAAGACCAAAGGCTACAGAACAATAGAATGTAACATTTTTAATATATTCACAACACGGCAATTCTTGGCCAATGCCATTGCTCCTTCTTCCTAGCCTATTAAATCTTGTCAGGTTGCCAGCAAGACTCTTGGACACTTGTATCTCTAGGAACAGGAAGAAACAGCAACGGACTGCACAAAAGAACACAGGCATGAACCATATGAAAGACTTAATGATCCCATTCTCGAAAAAGTTGGAGCAATCCAAGACCATGAGCATCAGGCTTATTTTCTTTCTGAATGAAAGTACCAATTCTCTCCTTCAGAAAAAGCCTCTACAAACAACTTATACGATCTCTATTTTGTGGAATCCATTAGAATTCCCCAATGACATCAAATCTAACAAAAAAATCTCCAAAAGGAAAACAAACGCCTGATAGGAACATCCTTTAGTTAACATGGAATCCAGTAACTTAGATGGAACATATGCATTAAAAAGGGAGGGAACCAACTCTCATATGTCAAACTGTATAGCTCTCTGAAAAGCAAATCAACCAAATAAATGAGTTCACACACTGAAGTATTAAACAATAAAAAATGACATGGATATGAATGCTAATAGGAGGGTCTATAAAATAAAATTGCACGCAATATTCAGACTAGCTATTTCTTATGGACGTCTGCTTCACAAATTCAAAATTAAGAGGATTAGCAAAATGACATACTTGATAATTGGACCTGACCAATCTGGAACTTCTACTTGAAAACCTTTACCAACTCGAACACCACCTGTATATGGCTCAGTGTCTCTCAACATTAATGCTATACGATTTGATTCACCTGTAGATGAAGCATCTCTACATCTGCCCATATCACCAATTATATTGAGAGGTTTTCTGGAAATTTTCTCCTTGGGAATTATTCGTTTCTTCTTCAAACATGAACAACATAACCATTCACCATTTGGTATTCTTTTTACACGAGGATTGCAGCAAGATACATGAAATGGATCCTCACAATTATCACAAATTAGCATCTTTACAGGGGATTCTTTACGAAAACATTTTTTGCATGACCAAGAACTGCTGCTAACACTACCATCACCAATTCGTTTGGCAGAAGCACGGGTCCTGCCAGGCCAAACTCCCTCAAAAGCCCCCTGCCTTCCAATTATAGAGATACACTGCTCCTTTTCAGACCGATCTTCCCCTTCAACCTCTACTGCCATTACACTGGATGAAGAGCACTCACCATTATCATCTCCTTCAGACTTCGTAGAAGCTGAAACAAGCTCCATATTTGACTTTGATGATGAGCAACTATCATTTATACTGTCAACCTCAATGATTTTCGGCCTGCTTCTTTTTGAAGCTTCATCAGAAATCAGGTCTTCAACAAGAGAACATCCACTGCTAGATTCTGATTTTGAAACATGGGGCTTTCCATTGCTTACTAAAGGTGGCCTGGGAAGAGCTCCACCAGTTCCACTTTCATGTTGATCTTGAGAAACTACACGTGCCTCCTCAACTGCAAGTGAAGGACCATCAGAACTGATAATTGAAACACAATCTTCACCGCTTCTCTTTGTGATTCCAGGGACCTGTGCTGACAAAAAGCTAACAGAGTTTCCTTGCCGCTTCCTTCTACTGTATACGAAGTTACGTGCTGAAATTTCAGACATTCTACTGGCAGTTGGTAGCTGAGGACATCTTTGCAAACTAAATTTCCATGGAGAGTCATCTCTGTTGTAGGCTGTAGGAGGAGGCATAAGGGCAGCTCCATGCTCATGTTGAGAAATTAGAGGTTGCTCCTTACACGTAGCTGAAGGACCATCGGAACTGATGATTGAAACACAATCTTCGCAGCTTCTCTTTGTGATTCCAGGGACCTGTGCTGACAAAAAGCTAACAGAGTTTCCTTGCAGCTTCCTTCTGCTGTATACGAAGTTACGTGCTGAAATTTCAGACATTCTACTGGCGGTTGGTAGCTGAGGACTTCTTTGTAAACTTAATTGCCATGGAGAATCATCTCTGTTGTAGACTGTAGGAGGAGGCATAAGGGCAGCTCCATGCTCAAGTTGAGAAATTAGACCTTGCTCCTTACACGCAGCTGAAGGATCATCGGAACTGATTACAGAAAGACAATCCTGGCCCCTTCTCTTTGCCATTGCAGGGACCTGTGCTGATAAAAAGGTAGCAGAGTTTCCTCGCAACTTCTTTCTGCTGTATACAAAATTTCGTGAAGAACTATCAGACATTGTACTGGCAGTTGGTAGATAAGAAGTTCTTTCTAAACTTAATGGGCATGGAGAATCAGCTCTGTTGTACACTGGAGGATGAGGCATAGGGGCATCTCCATGCTCATGCATAGAAATTAGGTGTTGGTCCTTCCATGCAGCTGAAGGACCATCAGAACTGGTTAGAGAAAGAGAATCCTCTCCACTTCTCTTTGCCATTGCTGATAAAAAGGAAACAGAGTTGTGTCGTAGCTTCGTTCCCCCATTAAAAAAATTAGGGGCAGCACTTTCAGACACTGAACTGACAGTTTTGAGTTGAGTACTTGTTTCAAAAGATGAGAGGCGTGAATATTCTGCTCCATTGCATACTATCGGAGGCCTGAGAGGTACTCTAACAACTTCAGTTTCATGCTCAGCTTCAGAAACTACATAGTGCTCCTTAACTGGAACTGAAGGACCATCAGAACTGATGACATAAAGACAATCCTCTCCGCTTTTCTTTGTGATTGCTGTTAAAGAGTCACTAGTGTTTTCTTGTAACTTCCTTCTACTATACACAGAATTAGGTGCAGAACTTTCAGACATTTTACTGATGGTTGGTGGATGAGGACTTCTCGCAAAACTTAACGGGCATGAATAATTGTTGCTCCCCTTTTCCTTGGTGATTGAAGCAGCTTCTTTACAGCAATTGTGGCAGTGTTCGTGACATTTTGGTGGCATCTGCCAAATTTCAGTACCAGGCATCCAGTCGCAAAATAAATTCTGTTTCCTATGGTCAGACACATCAAATGGAGTAGGTTCAACTGAATTAGGTAGGGAACTCTGTATCAACATTTTCACCTGAAAAACTCAGCTAACATCTGCCACATGTCACTTTTGCACTCTAAATCAAGCCACTGCTTAGCACCCTTCTATGATTCAAACAAGTGATTGATATAGACCATAAAAATGCTCCCCTTCATTTACTGAAGAAATGATACTGATCATTTTCCAAATCGAAAACATCAAAGAGGCAAACATTACACAGCACAATACTGAAGAAGTCTGCAATGCACTCATATCGGTATCAACAAAAAGTTCAAACATTCTAACTCCTAATAACATCCATTATTTTCCACAAATACCAAAAAGCTAATCAGCATACGTTAATAACAAGACAACTTTTAAGGAGGAAAAAACCCCTTTTCCCCTGATTCTTAGCATTGTTAGAACCTACAACACATAAAGCATCATGATATGATGCCTTATAATCTCCTCAACTGCACCAGGCTTTTAGTGCTCGTCCTATTGAGAACCACTTGACAACTGTTGAGGGCTTTTTTGAAGGGGGGATGGTAGGGAGAGAAATCTTCCAATAGTTTTTTTTTTTTTTTTTTTTGGTGTGTAAGTTTAAAGAATTGCCATAAATTTATGAAATCAATCACATTGTAATCAACAACTAGGGTTTGAGTGATTTTCTTGGCTTCTGACTGATATCCTATTAATAGAGCTTGGTGATTTTTGTCTTCATTTTAGAAGATACATATCATTTTCTAGTATTCTTTATTCACGTTCTTGCTCAATAGATTCTTCCTTTCCCCAAAAGATTAAAGGTTTAAAGTTTATTTAGCATAAACCCACACTACATTATGGCAGCTTGTCAGAGATTACTATATGAAACTAAGAACTCTCTAGCCATCAACTTTCCAAGTGAGAAATTAAACAGCACCCTTAGTAGCCAAATTTTAGGGCTTATAACATTTGTATTCACATCCAAGTTCAAACTTCACCAAAAACGAAAAAACCCAATCTTCCCAAAGACCACAAGAATCATCCAAACAACAAATTAAGCTTAGGGAATAAACCATAAAAAGAAAACCCGAACACATCTTCTTTTACCCACAAAAGAAAACAAAAGACATTCTTAAATCACAACTATCCAATCCAACCCTACAAAACCTAAACCCAACATCAACTAGAGCTTCAATAGACATTATTGACTAAGTTTCAAGAAACTATTTTGACAATGCTAAGTGGGATTTTCTTCAAAATCAATAATGGGTTTGTTGGGTCCTTTTTAAAGACAAAAGAAAATGCCCTAAACTCTTTATTTGGCTTCTAAAACTCCTATAATTCAATTTACAATTTCCTACTTTCTTCTTCTTTATTTCTTCCGCACAAAGTTAAAGAAAAACTACAAAAACAAAAAAAAAACAAAAAAATGCAAATATGCATTCAAGAATCACTGTAAATGCCATACAAACATCAACATTCAGATATCTGAAATGTTAACGAATGAAAAAAACTAACAGAGAAATTCAAAACCCAGAAAGCAAAAAGGACAGGAAAGTTATACCTGATCGCCAAAACCTTCCAAAAATAAGGAAACGGCTTAACAATGAGACTTGCTTAAGAACCCACTACGCAAAGCCCCTCTCTTTCCCTCTCTAAAACTAAAAACTCTCTCTCTCTCTCGTTCTCTCTCTTTAAACTCTGTTTTTTTCTCTGACCCTTTTTTATATTTTCTGTGGGCAGAATAGTTGTGCGTGTGCAACCGTTCATAAAGGTGTTCTTTTTTTCAATTGCCATTTCATTCATGTGCTTATTATAACATTTTTTTCTTTTAATGATATGCATTCCAAATATTTTCAAACCAGTTTCTAAGCACTAAAATTAAACTGTATATATATCGGTTTTAACAATCATTCATATTTCATTTTTAAATAGTATATTTATGAAAACTTATCATCCAAGTTAAAGTTAATAATACATGTATATTATGAGATGCATCCATAATAATAGATTCAAACCATTTTTCGCATACTAAAATTAAATCGTTTACAAGTTGAGTTTTGACAACTATTCATGTTTCACCTCTAAATATTATATTTACGTATAAATTTTATAGCCTTGTAATCTTTCTTCAAACTTAAAATTTAAGTTGATAATATGAGATAAATCAACTTATTATCGAAACTAATAATACTTATGTATGATGAAACATATCCATAATAATAAATATTTATGTTGTTGCAAAAAATGAAAAAAAAGAAGAAGTTGTTTGTTGCTAATCTAAAATTATTCTGCTTCTTAAGAGTAGAAAACAAAAAAAAAACAACTTTTAACCTCCAGATCTGTCTCCTCTTCCTTGTTTTAAGAAAATTGATTGCGGATTGTAGGTTAATTATGTCATGTCTGTTTCTGTTCTTAATATTATTTTCTGCCACTAAGTTAACAGCAAAAGCATCATAGATAGTTTGCAGTACTAATGTAATTAATTGACTAAAGCTTTCCTAGATTTTCACTACTTACCTGAAAAGGCTGAAATGCTTCAAATTTCCATTCAAAGCATTCAAACATTGTTTACATTAATGATACTGTTGTTATAAATCTTTAGATTTGCCTCAAATTTATGAAATCCAACACATAACATGTTGATAACTCAGTTGTGGCAGCAAAGTAATGGCCAAGATAGCAGCTGTCACTTAACTTCAGACTGTGCATGGCATTACACATTAGGTCAAGAGCATTAAAAAAAAAAAAAAAAAAGAACATGGCATTAACATAAGACAATTTCCCTTCAAATGCATGAAATCAAATGAAACCACAGACTATCTCTTATTGTGCAAAGAACTAGAAAAAGAGCAGCATGTTTGCTCCATTCATTGACCAAAGGAAATGTAACATGAATTCAACTGCTGGTCCACTATATACTGTTTCTATGTAAAAGAAATCCTGTTTAAAGTCCAGATTTTATCTGGGTTTCTAAAAGCTACTGATGAAGAGTTATGCAGTAGACGGTTACGTCATATGCAAAATCAAATCTACTAATTCTGAAAGCTTTGCTCCTGGATCCTAGTAAATAGTTGAAGCGATACTGATGATTCGGCACATTCCTCTTCCTGCAGATGATGAAGGTTCTTACTTTATCTCCCTAGTCTTAAGTGAAGACAACTGGAAGCAACAAAGAATGGAATATTGTTTGGTAGTCTAGTTGTTTGTTGCCTGTTGAACCAGTGGCCTGTGAGGCTTCGGAGCTGAAAAAGAAAATGTTAGTGTTCAGTGTCAAGTGAAGACAATTCAACCAACAGAAATTATGTTACTGTCTGCATGCATAGCAAATATATTGCTCGTAGGACTGGCTCGATAAGCAAACAAGGTAGCTGCATCCAAACCCGTGCGACATAATGGGATTGATGAATGTGCATTGCAGAATGCTAAAACTGACCTCAATATCCAAATGAGGCGTGTGTGTTTGTGTGTGCATCCGTATGGTTAAATCTTTCCCAAAGTGAGATCAGAGGTGAAAGTAATGTCATTATAATAACTTTATAAAGATCTCCATGCAGTTCAGGGAATCATCAACATCCAAGCATGGAAGAGAGACTATGACTGAAATAAGCCCCATACCGTCACATAATAATTGCTCGCAGGTTCATGCGTGTCCAAAAAGCAAGTCATTTCACACTCTAAACATGGTTTTGTCACAATAATTACCAAAAGACATTCAAAAAATGCCTTCGTTCCCTTGTTCATAGAAACTTCATAGAAGAGCGACCTCTTCTAATGCGTTATTCCTCCAGTACATTTAAAATCCTTCCTCTGTACAATGTCCCCACTAACAAAATAAGTAACATATGGTAGATGAATTCAATTGCACAATTCCCTAATAAATGGAAGATGCATCTGAAACAAAATCTCTAGATTCTCTAGCAAACAATCAAAGGACCTTGCATCGGTAAAAAGGATTAACACAGTAATACATAACAGTAAACTAAACCTCGACCAAAAGAAGTCCGTTATGAGTTACGATTTTTGTTTGTTATAAAACTTGAAAGCATAGGATTGATTTTTAAATCCAATCCATAAAACACCCCCAACATATCCTAGGTATCATTTTCCATCACTGAAGCATTCATAACAAAATCTCAGAGGGGCGTTCTCTAACTTTTTTCAATGTCAAGCAACAGTAAGGATTTTTTATTAGTTGCTTTATCTTAGGTATATTTCCCAGACTGAATTCGTCCATTTTTCTCACTAATTACTTACGCAATGTCAACAACTATGGTATACTTTTTAAATCCAGTAGGAAATATCTACTTATCAAATTATCAGGACTAATTGAAAGAACAAACATAGAAATATACTTATTAAGTGGTTGAGAACTGCTTGAATGCAATGACAACATTGATCCACACCTTCCAAATTTATCATTTGCACATCCATGTTATACATCCTTTATACCTAATTTGGGGGATTGAATTTGGCATTAATTGATTAGACTCACTGAAAATAAGAAGAAATTGAATTACCAACAACTGGAATATTGCTATTAAAGGAGCATCCACATACCAAGGATTGACAAAGTTGCAGCACACCTTATACATGCTTCACATGTAGCATAGAAGCACATGTTGAAAATTTTCAGCAACTTCTGATGCTGAAAGTCCACTTTTTGGCCACTGCTAAGAAAAACATAAATTGCTTCCATCTCTGAATGCCTTGTAGCCTGCCGAAAGAAGTAAAGGGAAGTGTCACCTTATTAAGCAGTGCACACTATCAAAGCACCCTGTAATGGCTGTTATTTAATGGAATCGGAGGCCTCGTTACTGCTAATTGGTGTTGTAGTACCTCTAACAATGTTTCACAAAATAATGGCTATAAATTGGCCTGTATACTGAAAATAACAGGAAAATGACTGACTTAATTGACTTTCTGATAGTTTTTGTATTCCAAAATTCATGTTTTCATATTCTTTCACTCTTTTGATAGCTATAATAAACTATTTGTAAGACTTTTAACTACTGGAAGTGTTATCATTGTGTATATTTAGTAAAATTATTAGAGAAGCATGTAGTACTATAGTTTGTTAAGAATTACTAATGAATTCATGACAACTATAATCACAACTGTTATTTAACACCCATGGAGTCCACAATCTGTGATACGCAATCACAACTAAAACCATGATTTAAAATCATGCTCCCACTGCAAACCTATTGAGAACAACTAACATGAATACACGAATTTAGAAATGGTAAATTTTCTGCCTTTAATACCTTCATGATTATACTTGGTGTCCGATTCTGTCCAAATCACAGCAAACCTTTTTTCTTCTTTTTGTGCTTTTTGGGTAAGGTCAACCTAATTTACAACCTCAAGTTTCTAAGATGAAATACAGGCCAAAGTCCTGTATCATGACAAAGACTTGCTGATTGACCTCCAGACCATAGTGGTGACTTACTAACATTAAGGCAAAAGAATTCAGCTTTCAAGAAACATTAACAGAGGCCAAAGTAGTGAAAGCTAAACATGTCCTGATGTTTGGTTTGCTTGCTTAGCTAAGCAACTTGGATGGCTCAAAGTTTAGCTCAAATTCAACTAAATTTGGGCTCAGATGCATTCCTAAGACCAATTAGGCTGAGTTGCACATTGCATTTGAATAGAAAGACGACACAGTGAAAATATTCAAGCAATTAAACATCAAATAATACAACTAAAGAACAATAGATGAGTTAAGACCAAGGAAAAAGTTGATCAATTGGTAAGCTTACATTTCTTGTCTCCATTTGATTGCTCCAAGATGTAATGACTTCCCCATCTTCAACAATAACGCTACTAGTCAAACATTATATAATTTTATGTAAGGATCTATTCAATAATCCTACTGACGGAAATATAAAATTAACCATTAGAACAACAGAATTGCAATTGGGCTGCATCATAACAGAACAGTGCATAGAAGTAGATGCTTTAACCAGTAGATGGTACACTAGGGTCACCTTAGTCGGATGACCATTTGAGATTGCAGTATGCTCAGGGACATTCACTCAGGTCATTTTGATACATATGCAAGCAAAATAATATAAGCCCAAAACTCAATGTAATTTAATATTCATGGAGTTATTAATATTTTCCAAGAAAATCCGGCCGCGGTTTTTCATAAATTTTCCTTTGGGTGATTCATCCGTTTCGGTACTTTTGAGCCACTTAACATCTTAGGTTTCGGTTTCTGTCTCTTATGATCCAGTCATCCAGATCAAGGTGCCAAGATCGGGATCATAGGATCTGAAACATGGTTAAGCTGAGGAGGCAGGTGAACTGACAGAATGCCAAACCTGATTAATTGAGGCATAACTGGCCCAACAGTTAAGTTGCCAGGAGATTTATGAGAGGAGACACATGCAAGCCAGAAGAAACCTGGCAACCTTCGAGCACACATAATTGAACTCAAATTTGAAGTTGGGTAGAGATGTACTCAGGTTTGGCAGTAGCAGCAGTAGCTCTTGGTGGGAGAAAAAAAAAGGCAAGAAAAGCAAACAAAAGCACATACAAGAAGGCTCAGCTAAAGGCTCACATATTATCACATTAATCATTTAAAACCAATTTGCTGTCTATGATAATTTTGTTTCTGCTATGATAAGAATACCTAACTCCAAATTTCAGCTCAATTTCTGTGAGAATGAATGTACAAGGCAAGCTGTAAGGATACTTCCGTGAAATCATTGAGCAGTTCTTGCTCATTCTAGTAATTTTGCATCTGTCATTCCTTTCTATCATCCATTGGATCGCCATTGTTGGCACGCTTCAATCTCTGCCGTTTAGCAGCTATTCGGGGTCTCAGCTGCACAGCATATGACATGTTAACAAACCAAGATAAGAGAAAATTTGCATGCCATTCATGAAAAGCAATGACAAGGATCCTAAACCAGGTGCAATTAGAAGAACTGCGTTAATAAGTTTGACGAATTACTGTCAGTTGTCAGTTGTATTCCAAATTTATTAATCCAACCACCAAAACTGTGTCCAATGATAATTTTCAAGGGTTTTTCTACCAACTCTAACCATGCCTCTACTCTGAAACTGAATTATTCTACAGCAGTCATTGTCTATAAATTTGGCCCTTAATCAAAGCCCAAGAAGTGTATTGTTGGACAACGTAACCAGAGCAAGCGTGTTTTGCATGGCATCGGAGGATTCAAGAAGCTAAAGAAAAGCATTTAAGTAGACATGCAGTTTGCGCAAGCAACACACAAGATTATTAAATAACTTGGGCAATGATGCAAGTGCTAACACTCTAAAACCATGAAATATTTGTCCAAAGCATACCCTCTGAATATACTTTAGTTGCTTCATAACTTCATCTGTTTCCAGTTCCTGAGGCAGATGCATGGGACAAGATTTGGTTAGGATGAAAAATGAGCTATATGATATAGCTCAAGAATATTCAATAATCTCCAAAAACTTGTACTTGTGATGACAAAGAAGCAGATAATAGAGAACCAAAAACAATTTTTTGCAACTGAGAGAGTCCACAGTTCCAGAGAACATATAGCCCAATTCACCTGAGGTGCAGCACAGTCCGCATGAATGGAATCCCAAAAGACACAGCAGAAGCATTCTCAGTCATCAGTTTGGACTTCAAAGAGTGGAGCCCTGTTACATGAAGACATTTTAGAACTTAATCTCTAAATGCTTAATTGGATCTATCAGATCAACTCCTAAGTACAAACAGGAAAGCACACGTGAAGGCACATGCTCATAGGCATGCAACACAAATAGAAACAAAAAAATCCAGGAGAAAGAGAAGATACCCGTGCCAGCTTAGAACACCAAAAACTACATTTCACAATTCAAATTACCACAAAATAGGAAAAGATCACTAGCTAATACTGAAATCGATGTTATCAATAACCATAATGCTCAGAGCAAAGAACAAGCTTCAATGACATGACATAACCCAATGCAAATTCCACTTCTACATCATGCTTAATGTGACATAGTACTTAACTTTCCTTGTAAAGGCCAAGAAGGTGCCAGCATGTGGTGGAAGGGCATGAGCCTCATCCAAGCAGATTCATTCTGGCCACAAATCAAGACCTCTCAGTAATCCTATGACCATCATGGGCTGAAAGATAGCTTAATGATGAAAAACGTTATTGTGGCAGCTGATGTTGTCAGGAGTTAGGGCTGAATGTCTAACTACTGATGTGACTCAATCTATGCTACCAATTCAACGAACGCAATTTAGTGGCTAGATAAACCCACAGAAGTCTGAATCATGGGTTTCAGGCACTCTCAAAGGTGCCAGACCCACCTCTGCAACTGTTCTAATATAATGGCACAAACATATCACTGATAGTACACAAAGTAAAAACACCATCCATGCAAACATAGTACAACAAGAATAATGTGGAGGAAACTTTATTTCAGGACAAAAACCTTAGAAATTTTATTTCAGGACCAAAACCTTTTAGTGATTTGTAAGTGTTTCCTGGCCCAACGAAAATGTATACATCCCCTTGTACATGGAATCAAAACCAAAAGTTCAAGTAACATTGTCCAGACACATTGACTCAGAAAAAAGGAGGTCCCCAAAGGCAGCAATCTCCCTGCTGTCTAATCCAGTAGGCATCGAATCACAAAAAAACTGCTAGTATTGCAGCAGATCTTTAAAAAAAAAACAAACAAACAAAACAAAGAAAAAGAAAAACAAAGAAAGAAAGAAAAGAAAATTCCTTTCACCTCAACAATTATGTCTTGGTGGGATTGTCTATGGGAAAAAGTTAACTAATTTATTTTGGACCTCTCAGGTGACACAATATGTTCACAAAGATGCATCAATGATACGAAACGAAAGGAATGGACAAGCTTCATACTTGTTTGTCAATAGCATTTAAGACAAGAAAAATAAAATTAAACCTTATATTTGGTTCCAGAAATAGCAAGACTCAGTTAGATACAAGGTAATGCCAATATTAAATAAACTCAGTACTGGAGGATTTAGTTGAACGATACAAAATAAGGACAATAAACATTCATGATTAACTTGATTACCTGGTTAAATTGAGTGGTACAGTGATGCTTACTCTCATTTCATAATACGTCCACTTAGTGAATGTTTTTGCTAATGACATAAACTGCTAAAACTTACGATGTACATTCAAGCTTGATTATAAAAATCTCCATGACATTTATTGTGGTTGCAGACATCATTATTACAAAATTTTGAGGAAAATCTGTCCAACTAAACCATTGCTAGGCTGAAGACCTGCCTGAACTTGAGATGGCTCATGGTTGGGCCAAGTGTTGAGAGTTAGATTTATAAAAATGTCATGGTATAGTTTTTTTATTGTGCATAGGACTCTCCAACCAATAACTAAACCATTTGGGCTGGAGGCTTTCCATCTAAATGCAGGTTAATTAACATAAACACACGAGCAGAATCATTCAAGAGGGAGATCATTATTTAGTTTACCTGCGCCACTTTCCACATATAGTTACATTGCCACCATCTGTTGCACCATCTATAACCTCTCTACACTGAAGCCAGTTTCCAAAAGAGCCAAGTTTAGAAGGCTTGTTGGATTTCAATTCCTGCACATGAGGATGTTTCAGTACTCTCAAACACTGACAAATCTACTGCTAATTGGAAAAAGTTGAAAGCAATAAACAATTTGAAGACTTACCTGCAAACTGACAAAGTTTGATGGATCCAATACCACTGGTTCGCCAACAGTGTCGACATCACTAAATGGAAATAAAGATAAACGAATGACATTAGAAGTAACAAGGCTAATACATGATGATAATAAATAAAATCAGTCTCGTATCAATCTTAAATTTTAAGAAAGAAAAGTTCGGCAAGAAAAGAAAAACCATATGATATAGAGGAGAGGATAAGGGATAGAAAACTAAAATATTTATGCTTGACACAAGCCAACGCACTGTGGCTCAGTACAGACAGATGAATCAAAGAAATGCAAAGCCTTTTTCATGTGATGATTTCAGTCATTGGCAATACACCTCTTGTGGAGCTAAACCTACAATTTCTGTTCCACAAACTATCAATTACTACTTCTAGTTCTTCCATCACATTAAACATGGATGTCCTGCAAAAGGGAATTCATAGTCTTGCCCTACAAAAATGTCATTTTCCTTTTATGAAGCGAAAATAATTCTTAGTTCCCTCTGCATTTGGGTCCAAAAACTGTAACGGCTACATGATTGCCTCCAAAGAATTTAGCTTGAGGTCATTTAGCACCGTTAGCAATCACAAAAATTCCAGAAGAGTAGACTCTCTCAACTTTTAAAAATGCAATCCTCAAGAGTTATTTCCAAAATCAATTTGAAGCTCAAAACCAACTCAAAATAGAAATCATGAGCCACATTGTTATGCATCAACATGTTGAAGAAAAGAGACTAAACCTGTTCATCCTACAAACACGCCTGCCTAATGGCCTCTATGTTTGGTCTGCAACTACCAACTAACTATTGCCTATGCTACTAAGTGAAAGGGGGGCATAAAGGATCCATCTGTACACCAAGGGATGTATCAAACCATTGATTCTGATAACGTCTAGGAAAAAAAAAAGATTCATTGCGAGACCAAAGTCTATAGCAAAAGCAAAATACTATATAACATTTTTATAAATTCATAACACAGCCATTCTTGACCGATGTCATTGCTCCCTCTTCTGAGCCTATTAAATCTTGTAAGGTTGGTTGCCAGCAAGACTCAGGAAAACTTGCAGATTTACTGAGAGGAAGAAAGAGCAATGGACTGTACATAAGAACAAAGGCATGTGCCATAGGAAACACTTAACAATCTCATTCTTGAAAACGGTCAAACAATCCAAGACCCTCAGCATCAGGCTTATTTCCTTTCAGAATGAAAGTACCAACTCTCTCCTTCAGGAAAAAAAGAAAAGAATAGGTTCTACAAACAACTTATATGATCTCTATAGTGTGGAATACATTAGAATTCCCCAAAGTCTTATCAAACCTGACAAAAAAGCTATGAACAAAAGCATGATAATGAGCATCCTTTAGTTAACATGGAATCCAGTAACTTAGATAGAATGTATGCATTAAAGAAAGAGGCAATCAACTCACATATGTCAAATTCTAAAGCTCTCCGAAAAGCAAATCAACAATAAACAATGACGTGGATATGAAGGCTAATAGGAGGGTTATGCAACATTCAGACTAGCTACTTCATATGAAATCTGCTTCACAGATTCAAAATTTAAGAGGATTAGCAAAACAACATACTTGATAATAGGACCTGGCCACTCTGGAACTTCTACTTGAAAACCTTTACCAACTCGAACACTACCGGTATATGGCTCAGTATCTCTCAACATCAATGTTATAGGATTTGATTCACCAGCAAATGAAGCATTTCTACGTCTGCCCAAGTCACCAATTATATTAAGAGGCTTTCTGGAAATTTTCTCCTTGGGAATTGTTCGTTTCTTCTTCAAACATGAATGACATAACCACTCATCAACTGGTATTCTTTTTACACGAGGATTGCAGCAAGATAAATGAAATGAATCTTCACAGTTATCACAAATTAGCAACTTGACTGGGGCTTCTGTATGAAAACATTTTTTGCATGACCAATAACTGCTGCTACCACTACCATCGCCAATTCTTTTGGCAGAAGCACGGGTTCTTCCAGGTAAAACTCCTTCAAAAGCCCGTGGTCTTTTGAGTATAGAGGTACACCGATCTGCTTCTGACTGATCTTTCCCTGCGACCTCTGCTGCCATTACACTGGATGAAGAGCACTCACCATTATCATCTCCTTCAGTTTTTGGAGAAACTGAAACAAGCTCCATATTAGACCTTGATGATGAGAAACTGTCAACCTCAATGATTTTCGGCCTGCTGTTTTTTGAAGCTTCATCCGAACCCAGATCTTCAACAAGAGAACATCCACTGGCAGAATCTGATTTCGAAACATGGGGCTCTCCACAGCATACTAGAGGAGGCCTGGGAAGAGCTCCACCGGCTTCACTTTCATGTTGATCTAGAGAAACTGCTCGCGCCTCCTTAACTGCCAGCAAAGGACCATCAGAACTGATGACTGAAAGGCAATCTTCTCCGCTTCTCTTTGTGATTCCAGAGACCTGTGCTGACAAAAAGGTAACAGAGTTTCCTCGCAGCTTCCTTCTGCTGTATACGAAATTACCTGCAGAAATTTTGGACATTGTACTGGCAGTTGGTAGCGGAGGACTTCTTTTTAAGCTTAATGGGCATGGGGAATCCTCTCGGTTGAAGACTGGAGGAGGAAGTATAACAGCAGCACCATACTCATGTGAAGTAATTACGCTTTGCTTCTTATGTACAGCTGAAAGACGGTCAGAAATGATTTCAGAAAGACAATCTTCTCTGCTTCTCTTTTCCATTGCAGGGACCTGTGCTGATAAAAAGGTAACAGAGTTTCCTTGCAGCCTGCTTCTTCTGTAGACGAAATTACACTGAGAACTTTCAGACATGGTATTGACAGTTGGTAGCTGATGACTCTTTTGTAAACTCAAAGGGCATGGAGAATCCTCTCTGCTGTATACTGGAAGACAAGGCTTAAAGGCAGCTCCATGCTCCTGTTGAGAAATTAGGCATTTACATGCAGCTGAAGAACCATCAGAATTGATTAGAGAAAGACAATCCTCTCCACTACTCTTTGCCATTGCAAGGTCCTTTGCTGATAAAAAAGGAACAGAGTTTCCTTGTAGCTTCCTTCTCCCATATGCAAAATTAAGGGCAGAACTTTTTGACACTGAACTGATGGTTATAAGTTGAGTACTTCTTCCAAAACATAAGGGGCATGGAGAATCAGCTCCATTGCATACTATAGGAGGAATGAGAGGTACTCTAACAGCTTCGTTTTCATGCTCATCTTCACAAACTAAATGGTGCTCCTTAACTGCAACTGAAGAACCATCAGAATTGATGACATGAGGACAATCCTCTCCACTTCTCTTTGTGATTGCTTGTAAAAAGTCAGTAGAGTTTCCTTCTAGCTTCCTTCTACTATATACAAAATTAGGTGCAGAACTTTCAGACATTTTACTGATGGTTGGTGGATGAGGACTTCTTGGAAAACTAAACAGACATGAATAATTGTTCCTCTTTTTCTGAAGCAGCTTCTTTACAGCATTTGTGGGATTGTTCACGATATTTTGGGCACATATGCCAAATTTCAGTATCATCCCCTCACAGAACAAATTCTGTTTCCCATGGTTAAATGCATAAAATGGAGTAAAATCAATTGAAGCAACATCCACCAGGTAGAGAACTCTGTATCAACATAATCACCTGAATAACTAAGTGAACATCCACCAGAAGTGATTTTTGAACTCTAAAGCAAGCCACTGCTTAGCACCCTCCTATGATCTAAATATGTCATTGATAGATCACAAAAATGCTTCCCTTTGTTTACTGCATGAATATGATATTGATCATGCTCCAAATAGAAAAATATAAAAGAGGAAAACATTACACAACACAATGCTGAAGAAGTTTACAATCCCTCTCATAACAGAGGGAAAAAAAAAAAAAACTAACAAAACTCCTAAAGACATCAATTATTTGACAAACCCCAAAAACCTTATAGGCATTCTTTAATAACAAGACAACCCTAAACACAAACAAAATCCAGATATGATGCCTTACAATCTCCTCAACTGCATAGCACCCTCCTATGCCTTATAGCCTACTCAACTGCACTAGATCTTTAGTGCTCATCCTATTGAGAATCACATGACAACTACTGGGGGCTTTTTTGATGGGGATAGGGGGAAGAGAGATCTTCCAATAGTTTTTTTTATTTGGTGTGTTTGACGAAAGAGATGGTAGAATTGAAAAAAAAAATCACATTCTAATCAAAAACCATGTTTAGAGTAATTTTCTCGGCTTCCTACAGTATCCTACAAATACAGCTTTATAACATTCCTGTTCATCTAGGCATTCATGGATGGACACAGCAAAGTTCGAACTTCACCCTAAAAGAGAAATCCAGATATTCTCAAAGACAGCAAGAATCATCCAAACAACAAACAAAACTGATAGAATAAAGCATAAAAAATTAACCCGACAGCTCTTCTTCTACCCGCAAAAGACACCCTTAATGTAAAACAAAGGAAAGTACATTACAAACCATAACTATCGAATCTAACCCAACAAAACCTAAACCTAACAATAATTAGAAAAAAAGATGCCCTGTGTTCTTTATTAGGTTTGTAGAACTCCTACAATTCAATTCACAATATCCTTCTTTCTTCTTCTTGATTTCTTTCATACAAAGTTAAAGCAAGAATCACCAAAAACAAAACCAGTAAATATCCATTCAATAATCACTGTGAATGTCATACGAACTTCAACATTCAGATATCTGAAACTAAAGCAATGAAAAATACTGACAGAGAAATTCAAAACCCAGAAAGCTAAAAAGGACAAGAAAGTTATACCTGATCGCGAGAACCTAACAAGAATAAGGAAACGGCCAACTAATAAGTCCTCTTTAAGAACCTGGCTCGACACAAAACCCCCCTCTCTCTGTCTCCTTCTCTCTCTCTCTCTCTATATATATATATTTCCTTTAGGCTTTCATTTACGTGTGCAACCACTTATAAAGGTTTCCACTTTTCACTTACCATTTAATTTATGTGCTTATAATTATTTTTTTGCAAACCGTGTTTTGAAATTTTTATGGTAAGAGAAGCAAAAAATATTTTAATGGTCAAGATATTTTCGGACGAGCATCAAGGTTAAATCTATTTTCAGTCAGATTTTAAACTTTATTATAGCATGAGTATGTAGTAAAAAATACTTATAAATAACACAATACATGTAAACATAATAATGAAAAAAAAATTATTAATAAAAAATTATTTTGCTTCTTAGAGTGGCAGGATTAAATAACACGTACATGTTTTTTTTTTTTTTTTTTTGGGCTTTTCGTCATCGGCAAATCCTCAATGGTTCAACTGTTTTGCTTGGATTATTCAAGTTGACTAAAGCTTTCAAGATTTTTGTCCTGCCACTCTTCTTCTTTACCTGAAATGTTACCTGCAACCAAATTTCCATTCAAAGAATCCAAACTCCGTATACATTGATGATCCCATTGTAACCAAATCAAATGTAACACAAATTTCAATCTAATGTAAAAGAATACATATGACTAGTCTACGTGTTATCAGGGTTTTACAAGCAACTGATGAGAAGAGTCTGTACAGTAGAAACTGCAAAATCAAATCATCAAATCATGAAAGGTTTGCTCTAGATCCTCATAGATTGTTGAAGCAATACCGATGAATCGGCACATTCCTCTGCCTGAATCCCACGGATGATGAAGGCACTTAATTATCTCCCAAGACTTAAAACAAGACAACAGGAAGCAAGAAAGTATGAAATATCGTTTTGATAGTCTAGTTGTTTGTTGCTTGTTGAACCAGTGGCCTGTGGGGCTTTGGAGCTGAAAAAGAAAATGTTAGTATCGACCTCTAAACTTTTTAGTGCTAAGCAAATATAATACTTGAAGGACTGAATAGTTAAGCAAACAAGGTAGCTGCATCCAAACCACCCATGTAACATATTGGACTTGATGGATGTGCATTTCTATGCTAAAAATGACCTCAATATTCTAATGATGCAAATGTGTGAGTCTGTATGGTCAAATCTTATCAAAGGGGAGAAAAGGGATGAAAGTAATTTCATATCTATTTCTTACAGATCTCCACATCCAAGCATGTAAGAGATTATGACAAAATAAGCATCATGCCATGACATAATAATTGCTAACAGGTTCATGGATGTGCAAAGAGCAAGTCACTTTAGAGTCCAATCTTGGTTTTTGTCAAGATAATTACCAAAAGACATTCAAAACATTGCATTCCACTCAAAGCATTTCACAAATGCAGTTCATGTGCCCATATAAATCATATATGACAATAGCTGAGTAATCTACTTGCATACCATTGGGGTTCCCTTGTTCATAGAAACTTCGTAGAAGAGAGACTGCTTCTTGTGCCATTACTCCTCCAGTACATTTGAAATCCTTCCTCTGTGCAATTTCCCCACTAACAAAATGTGGAACGTATTATAGATAGATTGAATTGCACAATTCTGTGGAACGTATCATAGATAGATTGAATTGCACAATTCCCAAATAAACGGAAGACGTAGTCACGTATCGAAAACAAAATCTCTAGATCGTCGATCAATTAATCAAAGGAGGGCATTGGGAAACCAGACTAGCAGGGTAATACATAACAGGAATCTAAACTTCTATCAGTAGAAGTCCGTTAACAAATTACACTTTTTCTTTGCAATAGCTATTGATACCAGAGGTTAGATTTTTAAATCCAAACCATAAAACAACCCAAGAGACCCTAGGCATCATATTCCATCACTGAACTATTCATAACAAGATCTACGAGGGGCATTCTCTTAATTTTTTTCAATGTCAAGCAACAGCAAGGTACTTATATTAGCTACTTTCTCTTTGGTATATCTCCCCAGACTGAATTCTTCCATTTTTCACATTAATTATTTATGCAATGTCGACAGACAAGATATATTTCTAAATTCAGTAAGAAATATATACTTATCAATTATCATGGACTAACTAAAAGAACAAGCATAGAAATATACCTATTAAGTGGTTGAGAGCTGCTTGAATGCAATGACAATATCGATCCACACCCTCCAAATTTATCATTTGCACATCCATAATATACTTCTTTAATACCTAAGTCCAGGTATTGAGTTTTGCAGTAACTAATCAGACTAAGTGTAAGTAAGAAGAAAGTGAATTAGCACCGATTGGAATATTGCTTTAAAAGAAGCATCCACATACCAAGGATTGACAAAGCTGCAGCACACATTATACATGGTTCACATGTAACATATAAAGTGCATTTTGAAAATGTTTCGGCAACTTCTGATGTCGAAAGTCCATTTTTCTGCCATTGCTCAAGAAGAACATCAATTGCTTCCATCTCTGCATGTCTTGTAGCCTGCCATGGGAAATTAAGGGAACTACTTATTAATGAATTCATTACACTGCCAAAGCTCTCCCCTGCCCTCAATATATATATATATATATATATATATATGTATTGAGGACAACTAGCAGGAGTACAGGAATATATATATATGTATATGTATATGTATATATTGAGGACAACTAGCAGGAGTACAGGAATACAGAGACGGTAGATTTGTTGTTTTTGATACCTTCCTAGAAACACTTGTTGCATGATGTCCAATTCTTTTTCCAAATTACATCAACCTTTTTTTCCTCTCTTTTTTGGATTAACTCAGGATAATTTATAAGTATTTTCTAAGATGAATACAAGCCAAATTCCTCTCTCATGACAACGGCTTGCTGACTGACCTCCAGATCCTAGTGATGAACTTATTTAACACAAAGGCAACAGAATTCAGCTTTCAGGAAACATGTAATGAGGCCACAATAGTGAAAGCTTAACATATACTAATGTTTGGTTTGCTTGAGATTTGACCTTGGGGAGTTGATGATGCTGCTCCTTCAATGAATAACAGCGCTCCACATTAGTCCATTTGTTTCACTATTATGTGGAGCACCATTATGAAATGGTGGAGTGGCAGCATCATCACCCTTGACTTAGCTATGCAACGAGGATGTCTCAAGGTTTAGCTCAAACTTCAACTGAATTTGGGATCGGATGCATCCCAAAGACCAATTAAGCTGAGTTCAGCATTGGCGACTTGAATAGAAAGACACAACAGTTATAAATGTTCAACAAATTAAACTATCTTATAATGCAGCTAAAGGACAATAAATGAGTTAAGCCAAGGAAAAAATTGATCATTGGTAAACTTACATTTCTTGTCTCCGTTGTTCGATTTCTCCCAGATGCAATGACCTTCCCATCAACAACAATAACACAACTGGTCAAACATTATAATTTAATTAAGGGTCTATTCAATAATCCTCCTGGCCCTAAACGAAAAAAAAAAAAAAAAAAACTTAGTTGCATCATGACAGACCAGTACATAGAAGATAAGGTGTGATACTTTAACCAGTTGATGGTACAACAAGGTCAATTTAGCTGGATCACCATTTGGGCAGTATGCTCAGTGGCATTCACTCAGGTCATTTTGATACATACTCAAGCAAATAATATAAGGCCAATACTCAATTTAATTGCAAATTCATGGATTTATTCAATAGTTTCTAGGTAAAACTGCCAAGGTTTCTTGTAAATTTTCCTTTGGGTGATCCTTGCTTGTTGTTTCTCTTGAGCTTTTTCCCACTTAAAACCTTACGTTTTGGGTTTCCATTTTTTATGATCCAGTTTTCCAGACAGTCAATATGCTGAGATTGGGATTATAGAATCTGAAACATGGTTAAGCAGGGGAGTCAGGTGAACTGACAGACTGCCCAAATAGTCAAGGTACCAGGAGATTTATGAAAGGAGACACAAACAAGCCAGCAGAAGTGTGACAAGCTTTGACCACACATAATTGAGCAAAAATTAATAGTTGGGTAGACATAAACTCAGGAGCTAACTCTGTCTACAAGGTCAGGCATGGGCCTAACACAACCTGACTTCATAACTCTGTCAGACTTAATCGTTATTCAAATCCATCCAATGTCAGAAAGGACATCATAAATGTTTTGAAAGAACAATACACTTTTAGCCTTAGAATCTCAACAGTTAGATTGGAATGGAAGGAATGGCAAGTTATGATAACATTGCTGTTAAAATTCACTAGCCAAAACAAGCAATACCATCATTGTCAAAATAAGAGCAAGTTCTATTTTTATAAGGCAAGACTGATTGGCACAAAAAGCATTCGGGATAGCTCAAGAATTTAATAGGCAACCTACAAGGCTAAGGTTTCGAAGTTGCTTGGTAACAAAGCTTCAGTTACTTGGTGAATTGCATTAAGATTGATAAAGCTTAAAACACAGTGAATGTTCAGATAAAATTGAAAACATATATATATATATATATATATATACCATAACTTCAACCTTCTCTTATCCTACATTTTAGTTACTTCTAAGGTTAAATTCATGTCCAGGCTATTAGAAATAAATATACAAAAGCAAGTATGATAGCCACGTTTTATTATAGTTCTAAAAATCTTGTCATAAAAGGCATCACGGCATTCACTAGCTAGTAAAGATGCAACTGCTCGTAAAATAAAATTGTAACTCACCGGAAGATTCTTCCCGAAAAATCTCACCCTTTGAATGAGTACACCCCACAAATCCAAAGGGTGCGATTGCTCGGGAAGTGATTTCAAGAAAAATTTTTGGGTAATATTAACATCGTTCCAGAAAAATAATAGAATAAAGCTTACCCAACTGGCACTTCAAGGGAGTTGAGAGCATCTTTCGCCTGTTACAGGAAAAAGAAAATATGAATCAAACACAAAGATGCCCAGAAAGCTAAACAAAAATCTATCGTGAATGTGATAAAGAAGCATTCCTTAGTTACCCTTTTGCCTGATATAATCATCTTACTCAACACATAGCTTTACAAGGATTACCTGTTCTATAGCGAGCTCCATGAATGCCAAAGTCTCGTTAGAACACCCTTCTTCCACGTGAGAATCCATCTATGAAATAACCACTGAGAGAAATTACCAAAAGAATCAATCAAAACCTGAGTTGTTGGTTTTTCCGTGGTGTGCTTAGCTTGTTTGTCAAATGCCAAAACGAAATTGCAAGCTTTGATGCTTTCGATTTGGGTACTGCAAACTGTTCTTGTTAGTATCTCGGGCGAGGTGTTTGTTTTATGGGGTATTAGAGTGGGCTGGTTGAAGCCCATTTTGGATAGAATTGGTATTAATAACAATTTGGGCCCATTAAATTACTTAGTTCTTAGACCGTGAGAAATGGGGACCCAAGCCCAGCAACGAGCAATCGAGGCAAGGCAAATCGGAAGGTTTCAATGCATAATACATTCGCTTTAGGCGTTATATTAGATCAATTATATTCATATTTATATTTATATTTATATTTATATTTAATTAAGGTATTTTTCACATAATATATTTTATGTTAATAAAATTACTTCGAATTTATATAAAAATAAATTCTCAATAGTTTTTCATAAAAATATTCATGGATTTTTTTGTTAAACAATACAAATCTCTTTTGACCTATAAATCATTAAAAATTGGTCATTCAACTATTAATTTCTATTTGAACCTTCATTCAACGAATTTTCATTTAAAATTGAATCTTTATGTTAGGTTTTCATCGATTTTAACATGCAAAGGCAATTCTTCAACAGTTGAAGACATATCAAAACTTACAGATGTTTTGTTTTTTTATTTAAAATTTGTTTCTTTCCTTTTAAATGCTAAGAAGTAAGCAATTAAAAAATATTTTAGGAGAAAGGAAACAAGTTTTGAAGGAAAAAATAAAGCATGCGTGAGTTTTGACACATTTTTAGTTGTTGGAGAAATTAAAAAGTCAATCACTTATAAGTTATATGTATTTTTATCGTTAAAATTGATAAAAATCTAATAGAACATTCTAATTTCAACTGAATAAATTGTTAAAAGAAAGTCTAACTCGAAATTAGAAATTAATTTTCAAATGACTTAAAATTCAAAGAAGAATTAGACCATTTCACTGATTTTATTTTTTTTATCACAAAGCAATAATGTCTCAAATTTCTAAAAGAGAATTTAACTTGAAATACAAAATATGCAAGCATGGTTTTTGACTAATTTATAATGTTTTTAGATAATTCAGATAAACGATTTAAACCCATAATTCTCTTACAAATGTAAATAGTTTTACTATTACTCAGCCAAAAACTTATTGCTAAATAATATGTTTTGTTTGCTTACTTTGTGGTTTTATCCACGATTTAAGTCATCTTAAACGGCAATGCCTTTTGCTCCACGTTATCTTTTTGCCACAAATTCACATCCAAGGGCAGAAAATTGATACCTTTCTTCTCTTCCTCTACATGTTTGGTATTATAAATCTTATTTGTATTAAATTTCTTAATCATAATCAAACTTAAAACTAAAATAATTAATAAAGAAAAGAAAGAGATTGTATCAATCTTCAACCATCAAAAACTTTTTACCCTCCAAAAATTATACTATTGCTGACTTTCTCGAACAAAGTCAACAACTCATGCATCTTTTCCAAAGACTAGAAAACAAAGAGAAAATATATTGAGAAAATTTGATGCCTTGGCAAAAAAAAAAAAAAAAACTATTTGGCCCTACTTCTTTATCCTCCTCTCCTTGACTAGTCTCCATCTCCTCTTGCTCGTTTTAGTGTAGAAGATGAAAAAAAGTTAAGTAAATATTACAAAACAAAAGATATCATCATCATCAAAGGTAGTGATGATGATCTTCACAATTTAAAAGTCTTCTTTTTCCTCTCCTCTTGTTCATCACTACTTGTGCTTGAGTTTGCCCTTCTCACAAATCTACCCTGCCACATTATAAAAATTACTACAAATCAGGCTAGAAAACACAAATTACTCAAACATTCTTGACAAAACACAAGGAAAACGAAGATTTAACCTTTAAATTTAAAGCCTGACATGTTTATGAAGATATCAATTAATGAAACATGTCACTTTTTAAGTGGAACACTGACAAAAAAGACTTGTTATTCATCAAAGCATAGTTCATGGTAGTCAAATTAAACTTTTTAAAGATTGGGCGTCTATCTCGATTTAACCAAAAATTCATAGTCCTTTAGGATCATTTTAAGCCTTTACATTTTAGTCCTAAAATTGTAAAAGTTTATTTTTTAAAAGATACTAGCACATCTAAAAATGATCAATTAATGAAACATGTCACTTTTTAAGCGAAACACTGACCAAAAAGACTTGTTATTTATCAAAGCATAGTTCATGGTAGTCAAATTAAATTTTTTAAAGATTAGGCGTCTATCTCGATTTAACCAAAAAGTCATAGTCCTTTAGGATCATTTTAAGCCTTTACATTTTAGTCCTAAAATTGTAAAAGTTTATTTTTTTAGAGATACTAGCACATCTAAAAATGATCAATTAATGAAACATGTCACTTTTTAAGTGAAACACTGACCAAAAAGATTTGTTATTTATCAAAGCATAGTTCATGGTAGTCAAATTAAAGTTTTTAAAGATTAGGCGTCTATCTCGATTTAACCAAAAAGTCATAGTCCTTTAGGATCATTTTAAGCCTTTACATTTTAGTCCTAAAATTGTAAAAGTTTATTTTTTTAGAGATACTAGCACATCTAAAAATGATCAATTAATGAAACATGTCACTTTTTAAGTGAAACACTGACCAAAAAGATTTGTTATTTATCAAAGCATAGTTCATGGTAGTCAAATTAAAGTTTTTAAAGATTAGGCGTCTATCTCGATTTAACCAAAAATTCATAGTCCTTTAGGATCATTTTAAGCCTTTACATTTTAGTCCTAAAATTGTAAAAGTTTATTTTTTAGAGATACTAGCACATCTAAAAATGATCAATTAATGAAACATGTCATGACATATGTCACTTTCTAAGTGAAACACTGACCAAAAAGATTCATTATTTATCAAAGCATAGTTCATGGTAGTCAAATTAAATTTTTTAAAGATTGGGCGTCTATCTCGATTTAACCAAAAATTCATGGTCCTTTAGGATCATTTAGCCTTTACATTTTAGTCCTAAATTAATAAAAGTTTACTTTTTTATAGATACATGTTTGCACCTCTAAAAATGATGTATTGCCCAATTGACACCCTCAATTCTTAATTTCTGGTTCCACCCCTCGAAGGGATGCTTCATATAATGAGAGAATTCCTTTATTTCAGTGAATATTAATTTATTCTATACCCTACCATACTACTAAAAAATTATATATTTTCTTGGCATTTTTTAACTAAAAACTATATATATTATTGCTTGAATAATGGCTACAAAACTGTATGTATTTATTTATTTTTAAAGATAGTGGAACAAGTGAAATATGATAAACTATTTTATTTATTAATCATCAAACCTATCATGTCACTATGAATCATTCAGAAAGTTGTCGCATAATCAATTTTAGCCCATCAAGTGGACCCACCCATTCAACTGGGTCCCACACATCATCACCCTCCCACTTTTCAGCATATACTCCCATGATAATGCTAACTTCAATCACCAAAAGTGATCTAAGCAAAAGAAAAACCTTAAAAAAGGAACTGAGTTCAATAGAAGAGGAAAAGTACCTTCATTCTGGGCCGTTGATCAGCGTTGACTTTTCTGACCTGGTACCTGATCTTCTTAGAGAAAAGGCGTGTACGGCGCTTTTCTTTGTAGCGCAGCACGCTAGCTTCCCTCATTCCATTCTCTGAGAACAAATCAATTTGTGCCAGCCTGGCCTGCCCAAAAAATTAAAATAACCAAAATACAAATTAGTGCCTTCAAAACCATCAATCAATCACTCATCAAGTTCACTTCTATTCCATCCCGATTTATTATTCAAAAATCAAGACCTAAAATATATAATTTTCCAAAAATATTAGATGAATCCGATTCATTTGATCACAAAAATTCCATCCGAACTATCGGAAATAAGATAGTTATAGCATGGATGGAAAACCGATCTGTATTATTTCATCCGAACCGTCTCGGATCTGCACATATTTAAATATAACACACATAATTTTCAAAAAAATACTGAAAAAATCCAACCCGTTCGATGTTACCGAACAATTCTATCCGAACCGTCAAAACCAACACAAGTTAGGCCATCTAGAGACAATTTGAATAAATCAATAAATCAATTCTTGTAAGTAAAATTATTGTGAACATATGAAAATAATTGTGATGTCTATGTGATATGTAATAATGTTTTCCAAGAAAGCTACACCCAAAAATTTATCTACTGAAACGCCGTACAAGAAAAAACAAATCTTGGGTCATCAGATTAGATGTTACAAGTTATTTGAATTTGATTTTTTCAAAAAATAAAAACAAAGCAAACGTTAAAAAAGGCTGCAACTATTAATTATAATACAGAATCAAGGCCAGCACCATAAAAAGAAAAAAAAATGAAAATAAGAATTTATTTCAGTTTAAAAAAAAGGAAGAAGAAGAAGAAGAATCATGGTATTTAAAGCTTCTCAAGAAAAAAAAAACAGAAATTTATAATTAAAAAAATAGAGAGAAAAGAATAATATTATAATTAAGGGTCCCACTAATTAATAAAAAAATGAAAAGGTCAGATTATAATCATTATTATTTGATTATGATTGCGACTTTTTCCAAAAAGAACTTTTTATGCCTTTTTATTTTTATTTTTAAATATCAAAGACAATAAAATATTAAAAAATATGAAATTGAAAAAAAAAATTTTAAAAAAAAACTATAGATTAAAAATTGGCAAGCGTGGGATGAAGCAGAAAGCCAAAAACAGCAACTATTTTACCAAACCTTAACGAATTATTAACTGATTAATTTACTGGAGTTGGAAACATTATTTTATTTTAATAGGAAATTCATTTCCCGGCAGGGGATGAGAAACATACAGAGACATCATTTCCTTCAGCACACCCCATAGTTTCGTCGGAAAATGGCGAACCACGGTCGGACCACACGTTCAAAACGGTGTCGTAATTCAATTTCAATTTCAACCCATGATTGGTCCGTGGAATTGAATCCTCCTTGATTTGATTTTCCTCTGCCATTTCCACAATCTTCAATTCCACTGCATCCGGTTTCTCTACTTTCTCCACTTTCTTTTTCTTCTTTTCGCTGCTCGAATTGGATTTCATTTTCAACTTTGGTTTTGGCTTCGGCTTTGGAATTGAATTGCAATCTGGACCCTTGTTGCCATTGGCATTTGTGGCCGTGGCAGTGGCGGCGGTGGAGGTGGTGGTGAGTCTTGGAGAGATTTGTAACATATCAACAATGGGATAATTCCACCAATTTCCTTCATCAACATGTCTCAAAGCTCTAACACCTCTTCTTATTGCAATTCCATGACCATATTGCGATTTCCCGCCAAAATTATATCCCGTTGAATTCCCATTCCCATACCAAGAATTCATTTGACCACCACCATGAGCATCACTAGAACTAATGCCATTAGGCACCTCATCAACCATTTCATTGCTTACACTTAAATTCCCCATGATACTATCGATACCCTCTTCAATTTCCTCATCAAGAATTGATTCTGCGTCGAAGTCCTCATCGAATCCATCACACAATTCCACTGAATTCCCATGGAAATCAACTTCCCCACTGCTCTGGCAAGTGGACTTATCTCTAAAGCTCGCAACTTTTGACTCGTTTCCAAAACTGGGTTTTTCTTGGATTGGTTGGTGGAGTAGGAATCCAGAGTTGTCGAAGACGCGAAAAGGCAATAACAAGTCAGGGGATTGGTCAAGGAGGAGACTGTTGTCATGGGGTTTGGTGAATTTGCTAGATTTTGTGAGGTGTTTGGCGGAGAAAATGTTTGGATAGGCAGTGGAAAGAAGGGCAGCTGCTTCATTGTAAGTTTGATTAGGCCTTTTTCTAGGAGTTCTTGATTTTCTTGTGGAGATTGCTAATGGGGAATTGCTAGATTCAGAGATAGTTGAAGACGGTGAAGATGTCTGTGATGTTCTTGTTGAAGAAGTAGATGAGGACTTGACTATTTCTAAATCAAATCCATAGGTTCTACCACCTCCACTTAAACATGGAGAAGACATTTTAGAGGCGACAATAACAAGGAAAAATATAAAAAAGACTGATATTTTAAGGTCTAGAAACCTTGAATTCAAGTGGGATTTTCAATCTAACCAATATAAGACAATTAAACAAAGTGAAATTGAGAATCAGAAGACTAAAGACAAATCAGTACTAGTAGCCAGGGAATTCAAAGAGAAACCTGGAATTTGGAGGAACCCCATTTCAGATGGAGAAATAGGTGAATTGGAAGGAAATTCTCAGACCCAATTGCTAGAAAAGCTCAAAGATTCCACCTTTTTGGTGATGTAATTGGGAAAAGGAGAGAGTTTCTGTGGAAAGTACCAAAAACCCTAAACCCCTAAAAGTAGAACAAGCAAGAAAAGTACCAAATACCTATTGTTTCTATAGCTTAAAAAAAAAAGGAGAAAAGGCCAAGAGTGAAAGAGTATTTTACAAAAGAGGAAGAACCTAGAACCATATTAAAACAAAAAGAAATCCCCTTTTAAAAAAAAACCCCATTTTTAAAACCTCTAAAAACCCACATGGAAAATAAAACAAACAAAAGAAAAGAAATTGGTACAAAAGTTCTACTTTTTCTTCTTCTCTAACTGAAAAACCCCAGAAAAACCTAGAATTGGTAGAGACCAAGACGAAAGGAGAAAGGAAAGTTAACCAATACCAGAAGCAAAGACTGTTAGTACAGAAACAGTGATAAATTTAGCATATAAAGAGGAGAAAGATGATTAAAACAAAAGGATTTTATTTTGTGGGCACAGCCAGTCAGCCACAGCCAACTTGCTAGCAAGAAGGTCACGGGTAGTGGCAGATAGAAAGCAAAAGATCCGTTGAAAGAGGTTTGTAGATATACAGCAAAAACACAGACAAAATGCCACTCTCTCTCTCTCTCTGGAGTGTGCTGTAAGAGAACAGCGGAGGAGACAATGCTAGTTTGCTGTAGTTCCTGCTGTGGGACCGCTCTTTTGTGGTTTGATGTCTCTCTTTCTCTTTTCGGAGTCCAATTATTTTGTCATGTTTATTTACTTCATTGCCCTTGTTGATTGTTGTTGGATTAAAATTAATTAGGATCACACTAATGAGTATTTTGTGGTATACCTAATTTTGGATTTGTAAAAAAAAAACTATAAAAAATTAATTTTTTTTTAAATGGGTCTCTATTACGTTTAATTACCTTATATATGATTATATATCGTTAACAGTTGATGTATTTGTATCCATGATTATATAATCGTTAATATATTTATATTTGATCATAACTATGAGATTAAATATGTTTGAAAAAAAATCTAAAAGATACGATTTTTTAAACGATTATGAATATAAAGGATTTGAAAAATATAATTATATTAATTAAAATTAACATAAACGAGAAATGACCAATTTCCTAAAAGTGATTTTATGATTTTAGCGTACAAGACTTCCATTTTCTACTTTATGATTTTTTTTTTTAAAGAAAGAAATGTAGGTATGAAGCAATTAAAATTCAAAACGAGTGGCATTTTTGGCATTGAAAGAAATATAATCTGGGCATATTGGTCACTAGAATTTGCAATTCTAATCATGGTCAAGCGTGGACGTCCAAATTTGGGTTAGCCCAAGTACCTGTCACCCATACCTCATGCAAGGATTTTATGGGAATGATTTCTTATCTGCTGAGATGGCAGAATTTGATTGGATATCTGAGATTTTGTCAGCGATTACGTGGCGAAACCTTTATTGGTTAGAGGATAATCACGTGTATCTAGGCAAAGATTGGGTGTTTTTTTTTTTTTTGGATCTCATACACACAAGAGCAATAGCAATGATTTGAACCTTTTTGGTTTCTTTTGCATTTCTGTGTGGCAGATGGGTATCATACGTTGGGCTCATTAGAATCATTAATTTGTGATTAAAAATCAACAACTAGTTCTTTTTCTTTACTAATAGATAATAATAATAATAAATAAATAAATAATCAATTTTTTTTTTTTTTTTTTTTTGGCTTTCTTTGCATCTCTGGCTCTATTAGAATATTGCATGGATTTTTGCATAGCTTTTTCATTATTATTATTGTTATTCTTGAGAAAAAATAAGCCATAAACACAAAATATTATGTTACAACAACGGAAAAAGACAACTCTACATGCATTCTCTTGAAGAAGATTACTACAACTTATCGTCCAAATACAAAATGTTCAAAGAAAAAAATTGTAAGCATACGAAATAAGCCAGTCAATCAAACAGTTGACTTCTCTAAAACTGTGAGTTGCCTATACTTGTTAGATTTTCTTCTGAAAATTATAAAAAGTGAAGATCAACTAATAATATAGCCCACAATGACCCTTATAAGATAGGATTAATTCGACTACAACCAAGGGTTCGATTCGAAAATAATCTATATTTGAAACATGGAAAGGCTAAAAGAAATTGTTTTTTTAGTTTCAAGGAAAAAAATGAGAAAGGTAAAAGAACTTATTTTCCAAAAATAATTCATAAACAAGCAAAATTGATATGACAACAAATAGTTGATTAACTATTGATGTCTTAAATCTTAAATGATTGATGAAATATAAAATATAATATTTGAGGAATCAATTATTATGAAAAAAATATTATTTATATGTTTACATAGTTTTTTATGTGATTTTAAAAAAATGTTATAGTTATAAATTCAATTTAATTGAAGCATAAGGTGATACGAAAATATCTTTGGTCATAAAAAGGATAATAATAAAGCTTAACTTAGCAGATTTTTTGAAGTTTAAACTGAAATTTTGGGTAAGTTTGTGAAGAACATTTTAATTGTGGTAAAAAGATAAAATTTTAAAAAATGAAGGCTCAGTTTTACAAAGACATACTTCTGCTGTTCTGCTGTCCCTTTCTTCCCCTGACACCTTGGGCCTTTTTTTTTTATTAAAATAAAGTCATTTTATTTTGCACTTTTAGGTTTTAGGCCTTTTCAGGAATCTAAAGTTTTTGCTTTTCAAGATATTTTCTCAAAACATCATAAAATATTCCCAAATATCTGGTTTGTTTTTAATCACCTGAACTTTTTCTTATTCCCCACTCCCCCTTGTCAACACAGTTCGTTTTTCTTGAAAAAAAAAAATTATAGTTTATTCATATTCTTGAAATTAAGAAATAATATGGATATAGCCATAAAAATTGTTTGAAACAGATATAAAGTTATTTCAAAATTATTTCCTGTCATTTACTTCACTGATTATTCCATGATTAAAGGATAATTAAGACATAAAAGCAGGAATGGTTTTGAATTTTTTGGTTTTAATTTTTGAGAATATTCTAAGAAAGTTTCATTTACAAAAAAATAACTTTTTTTAACTTAATCTCCATTGAAAAATTAATTGATTTGAGTATATTTTTATTTCTGATTTTCAAATTAAAAAGTAAAAGTTAGCCCCCCTTCCTTCTCAATTAAGTTTTAAACAAATCATTTATATTTTTTTAAATGATAGGCTCTAAAAATAAAATAAAGAATGGTAACAAAAAACTAATTTGTTTTGTCACTGTCTCTCATTCTCGAGATAATTGTTAAACTAAATTTTATTATTTTTTTAAATCGAGTATATAAAATTTTGTTTTTGGATATATCGATATTTTTAAAAAAAAATTGACAAACAAGTTTTTTTAATTCAATTTCTATCGATTACTCCATTATTTGATGACGTATCCTTTGTACTAAACTACTAAAAATTGTGAACTTATCCTTTCATTCTTGAAACAAAATTTTCCTCTTAAATTATTTTATATAATAAATAATCAAATTGTCCTTATATAAACAAAATAGAGGAGGATAAAATAATGTGATACGAAAAGGTTTTTTTTTTAAATAAAAAGTCAACATCGTAATTTAGTAGTTTGAGATGAAAAAAAAACACATCATTATATAAAAACAATAATCAATAAAAGTCAAATAAAAAAAATTGATTAACAATTTAAAAAGAAATTAATATATTTAAATAAAAAATTAAAATTCATATGTTGGACCAAAAAAAATTAAAATTTTATATAATTATAATGTAATTATCCTATAATTCTATATAGTGTCCAAAAGTAAGGGTTTGAATTCAGAAAAAAGGTTGACAATTGGGCGTGTATCGGTTTTGGCCGTAAAAGTACACACCCTCTAGTTGCATCCACAATACAATGACAAAAATTGACAGAACCTTATCTTTTCAAGTGAGAGTTGGAAATCCCACAGCCTTAAAAATTGGATAACCCCTAGCAGAACGTAAGGGTTTATGACTCGAGAGATTTCACGATGCATGTGACTAAGGTTTGGTGCTACAAATGTTAGCCCGTTCCTAATGTTATCTTGTCTATCTTTAGAACCACACGATAGATGATGAGAAAGAATATATGGTGCTAGATCTTCAAGATCATGTCCTTTTCATGATCATTCTTGTCATCGGTTATTGGCAATCTAAGGAACCCAATGAACTGAGGACATATCTAACTTATCTTTTAGAGTTCTGACAAGAGTTTTAGACTGATAAAATCTAGGGTAATAGTCAAAAGCTGGTTAATTTTCTAGATGTTTGGTGATTCATTTAAAACCATGTTTTTGAAACCTTAAAATCATGGTCTTGAAAAAGCAAAAAATGATTTTGGAGTTTTGATACAGGGTATGATGGTCTGTGACCTGAATACCTTCTATGAAAAAATATTTAAAAATAAGAATCCAATTAATAAAATAAAATTTTGAGAGAGTGTTTCGTGATTAGTTAAGTCATAAATCCATAAGTGAGTTTATAACATGATTTTTTTTTTTATCGGAAGAAATATGATAAAAAACAAAACAAGGGTTTTTTCTATATTTAAATGTCGTACTCTTTCATTTTTTTAATTAAAAATTTATTTATTTTTTAGCTCCATCGAGATTTTTTATTTTTATTTTTAAAATTTCTTCCTTCAGATTATCTATTATAATATTACTATTCAGTATCGACACTTGACATTATAAAATAAGAAATTTTAAAAAATAAAAATGACGTATCGATTATTGATCGATAGCATTATAATCGAGGGTTTGAAATAAAAAATTTTGAAAAATAAAAGGTTTCATTTAAGAAAAAAAATCAAATAGTACATAATCTAAATGCGGAGAATACGCATAAAAATAATGGTATTTGTCTCAAAATATTCATGGTAATTATTTCTTCAAACAACATTAACCAAAATGGATGGTGTCACGTGACATCAATGAGTCAGGTCCATCACATGGCAGTGGCAAATAGTCGAGATGAGTAGAAGAATTCATTCAAGATAAGATAAATGTTTCGAGATGAATAGGATAATTTAAGTGACAAAATTGCCAACTACTTCTTGAGAAGACTTTTGGTTTGATTCGTGAGTAATTGAATAAAAAAATCAAATAATTAGTGGATGGTCAATTTAAGGCTTGGAATAATAGTTCAAGTTATAGCTAATTTTCTGTACATACGCATGAGGAAGAAAAAAAGAGAGAGAGAAATTTACTGTGAAAATTCCAGCTAGAAAAAAAAAAGAAGACAAATGATCTTCTGGAGCTTGTATTAATGGAAGATTGGGACGTCCATGATGGTTGAAGGTTAGGCATGCAAAGCTCCAAGAAGAAGAAATGGCCCTTGGTTATGGGGTTATCTCGTCTGGGCTAGGTGCCCCATTAAGCCTGTCATGCAGAAAAACCTGATCCATTTTCTCCAAAAGTGCAGACTCTGTATGTGTTAGCCCTAGGATCATCAGGACCATCTAGAGCAAAACATGCTGATGCTCGTCAACTATGAACTGACCAAGTGCGTACTTATTTGATTTTGGGGGACCATGTCTCCCACCCTCTTCGTGTATGGAGAGTGATATAGTTTTTTAAAGAGTTTTTTAGGTATATAAAAATTAAATTCGAAACTAAATGATTAACGTTTTTTTTTATTCAAATCAACCTCTTAGGTCATGGCCGTGCTTTTAAAACAGCAAAGTCTTGAATTATGGGAGGCCATTGTTGTATCCACTTAGATGGAAGTCCACCTTCAATTACTCGAATGGAAGCATTCATGATGGAGGAGATTTTGTCCCGTACAGGTGGAGGCGCGGGTAAACATACTCGATGGAGACAGGTAGGGTATCTTTTAACTCCATAAACCGTATGCGTACGCGTGTCTGTGTGATTTTTCTAAAATATTTCGAAGATGTTTTGCTTTCTATTTTCTAATATTACATATCAAGATTAACTTTATTTGATACCTGTTTTTCTATTAGGTTATGTGCTTTATTTAATATATTTAATAGAAATAGACTATTAAATATTTAATAATGTGATTTAGTGATAAGAGAATTGTTTAGTCAAATTTTAATTCTTACTATTTACGAATAATTAATCATAATTATTCTTACGTGGTACTAGATTTTAGTGACAATCAAAAATTAAGCATGTTCTAATGCTAGTTTGGTATAAGAAGTAGTTGACTTAATCTTAATATATTCTAGTGCTGGTTTAATCCAAAAAAATAATGAATTGTAAATTTTAATATATATAGACCTTGAATGATGGTGTACAACAAACATGGAAATGGTTATAAGAGGTAGGAAACCTATGTGGAGGTTGAGGCGGAGTAAAGATGGCAATTGACCGAATCCAATAAATACCTATAAAAATGTTCAATGGATATTAAAATAGATAAAAATAAAAATATATATCCACTAGTATAATTCTAGGATATGAGTATCAATTTTTTTACTATATTAATATCCATTAATTTATTTTGATTTTTTTTTAAATATACAAGAATCTAATTGCATAAACTTTAAAAATTAAAGATCAAAATATTTTTTAAAAAAATTTAATGAACCAAAAAACTTATAAAGAAATGACCAAACTAAAAAAAATTTAAGTATAGATTTTAAATTTTTAATGAATTGACCGAACCTAAAAAATTTTCCAATGGATATTAAAGTATATAAAAGTAAGAAAATACATATATGCTAACATGGTTTTACAATATTAATATCCACTTTTTACTATGTTAATATCTATTTTTTTTTTCAAACATACAAGAATCTAATTGCATAAACTTTAAAAATTTAAAATCAAAAATATTTTTTTAAAAAAATTTGAGAACCAAAAAACTTACAAAGAAATGACCAAAATAAAAAAATAAATTATAAGGACAAATTTTTTTTTTAAAATTACAAGGACTAAAATGAAATATTTTCAATAATTATTTTTAATGGGTACTAAATAAGTGGATAAACTAATGTGAACCGAGTATGGATTGGATAAAAATTTATATAATAATTTGTTAACTAATAACGAGTAAGATATTTTTTTATAAATAAGGTAAAAAATCGATAGATCCACTATCTGCTCATTGCCATCTCTAAGGACGAGAATATATATATATATATATATATATTACGTCTTCATGAACCTCCATTGTCATCGATGTTCTTGAGCTTGAAGCAGCGATCTATTTGTAAACCTACCTACTAATAAGTTTGAAGAGAATGAAAATTGAATCTCATCCAATACCAAATGAAAGGGATGAGAATAAAAGAAGGATAATTCTTTATCCAGTCCAAGCATTAGACAAAATCGTGATAATTATAGAAAACTATTCTTTACTTGGAGGGTGTTTTGTCAATCGCGTTGCATCTCCTATTGTAATTCCAACGCAAAATTACTTGGGGATGGAAATTCTTGGGGACCAATAAATTACTTTTCTTTAAGGGTGTTTTAAGTTTTATAAGAACTGGTAAACAGTTCACGATTTCTAGTAGGTTTGTTGTGATTTGAAGACATATCCAAAGTTACTATCGAGAGGAGTACTATATAGAACAAGAAGAAGAACCTTTGCCGCCATGAACGGCCATGAAGAAATTCTTGAATCGACAACGATTTTATTGACTTTCATACGACTTTGAAGAACATATCAAATTTTGTTCCAATTCTTTATCAATTTCGGATTTCTTTTGAAGAAGTTCTTGAATTGAGCTTATTAATATCATATTGAATATTGAAGTTTGGATGGAAATTATTGAAGGAGTCAGGTGGTTGGTTGCGCAGAAGGTCGTGGAGGAGCACGGTGGTTCTGCCATTGCTGCTGGCGACGGTGTTGATGACAAAGAAAGGTAAAGGATGGCTGTGATGGTGGCTGATGTTGTTGAGGTTTGGACGGGAGGAAGACTAATGAAGAAGAAAATATTTTGTTTTAATTTTTGTAATCCGATTTCCAATATTTCTTTTTTGTATTTTATGCATATCGAGATCTTGTATAATTTGAATTTTTTTATTGAGATTCTAAATTTTTTTTGTCTAATTCAAGAGTTCTATTATTATATTTTTATTGTTTCAAACCAGTAACTAATAACAACTTACCATATAAACATATGCGGTAAGTTTTAACTAATGATAACTTGTTAAATCACTAATTCAATCATTCAATTTGGGCCTATCATAAGATGTAGCAAGTTGTTGTTAACCAGATTGCCGTATGTACTTACGTGACATATTAGTATTTGAAACAACAACATGAGAATAAAATTCGTAAATTATAAAATAAAAACTCGAGGTTTCAATAAAAAAATTCAAATTATACGAAGTTTCGATATATACAAAATCTTTTTTTTTTATAAAAAAAATCACGTTTTTTTAGAACACATGCTATGTTTGTTTTTTTTTTAAAAAAAAAATCACGCGTTTTAATAACACATGCTATGTCTTTAGACCATGAAAGAAAATCAAAATTAATTAAACAACCTATTTTTTATCAAAAAAAAAAAAAGTTTATAATACTTAAATTAAACTTTTTCAAGATTAAAGATCTATCCTAAAAAATTAACTCCATTAATTGAGGACGAGGGATCGTTCTGTTGTTCTCTTGCATTTCAATTGGTTTGTTGGTATTTAAATTCATGACTTGTGTTACAAGAGGTACAACCATACAATTAATATTGGACTACAACACAAGCTCTTTGATTTAATTAATTTAAGGTCAAAGCCCTATCAGTTGACCCCACCGACTCTGTAAAAAAGGTCAAAAGAAACACTAATCCTTTACTTTCGTCTTTCTTTCCTTTAAAAAAGTTAAAACCCCGACAAAACCCTTCATTACCCGAAGAAACATCCCTCTATCCGGTTCTATTTCTCTCTCATAATGGCTATCACCAACACCACGGCGGACCCACAAGCCGAACCCGAATCCACCGCACAAGACGGATCCACCAATGCCCTAGATTCCCAAACCCCAAAAGAAGAACAACCCACCACCACGACAATAACCAGCGTAGAAGCCGACCGGCAAGCCACCACTACCACAACTAGTAACGAAGAACCAGGGCCGTTAACCCAAGACCCGGAACCTGACGTGAAATCCACCACGGAGAAGTGGCCAGGATGGCCTGGAGATTGTGTTTTCAGGCTTATAGTGCCAGTAACGAAAGTGGGTAGCATTATTGGAAGAAAGGGTGATCTCATTAAAAAACTATGTGATGATACTCGTGCTCGGGTTCGGATTCTTGATGGCCCTCCTAACACTCCTGATCGTGTTGTATGTCTCTTTATCTCTCTCATTTTATATTTATTGGTTCTTTTTGTTCTGGGTTTTTTTTTTGGTTTGTGTTTTTGTTGCCAATTTGTGTGTATTTAGTTTGGTGGTGTAGAAATCTTGATTAAATGTGTGATTTTTATGTTTTTTGGTTGTTATAATGACGATAAGTGCTTTTAGAAATCATTTTTTGTTTGTCAGCTTGAATTAGTTATTTCATGTTTGATGTCATAGCTGTTGTATTTTTGGCTAAAAATTGGATTTTGATATAATTTTGTTTAGGTATTAATATCTGGAAAGGAAGAGCCAGAGGCACCTCTGTCGGCCGCGATGGATGCCGCAATAAGAATTTTCAAGCATGTCTCGGGATTGCCTGAAGGTGATGCTGAAGTATCTGCAGCGGCCGGAATTGCCTTTTGTTCGATTCGGTTATTGGTTGCTTCGACGCAGGCTATTAGTTTGATTGGGAAGCAAGGCTCAATAATCAAGTCAATACAAGAGAAAACCAAAGCATCTGTGCGCATAATGTCTGAAGGTATGCTTTATATGAATTGCATTATGAGTAATACATTAATAATATAGATGTCCCTGCCAAGTGCCCATCCATTCAATTATCTATTTGATTTCCATGGTTGCCTAGTATCTTCTGAAATGCATGACTTCCCTCATTGGTCTCTTTGAAGCTGTTGTTAGGTTTTTAACTTCTGTGTAACTTGATGCCATCTATGTTGCCAAATGTTTTTGTTTCCCTGTTTTCATGTGCTTCATTCTTTTACCACTTTAGATGCCTCCAAATAAAAGCAAGTAATACTCAAGTTTTTGTGGTGCCAGAAGAGACCCCATTTTATGTTGCTGCAGATGAGAGGATCGTGGATTTTCATGGAGAAGCCTTAAATGTTCTTAAGGCTTTAGAAGCTGTTGTGGGTCACTTGAGGAAGTTTTTGGTTGATCACAGTGTTCTTCCTCTCTTTGAGAAGAATGTAAGCCTGACTTCTATAAATGATTACTAAGTTTTATTTTCTGTATTGCAGTGCACTAAGTATTGTCGTCTCTATTTACAGTATAATGCAAAAATCCCACAGGACCGTCAAGTAGAGACTTGGGCAGACAAGTCAGTGCTGCATCCTAATTCTCAAGGCATGGGTGATCATTACTTGGAAAAGAGGGAGGCTTTGTTCTTCGAACGAGAAACTCAAATAGAGTCCCAGTTAACACCTACATATCCATCAATACGTTCTTCAGCAATCAGTCGTGCTGTTGGTCCTATTATCACTCAGGTTGGTGGTTTGCATGACTTTCTCGCCATGTAGACCATTTAATGCTTGCTTAACATGTGGTTTGTCTCTTACATTTATTTGGGAAATCCTAATGTTATGGTGCTACTTATAAACAGATCACACAGACGATGCAAGTTCCTATTTCTTATGCTGAGGAAATCATTGGGGTTCAAGGGGATAATATTTCATATATTCGTAAATCTAGCGGAGCCACGATAAGTGTGAAAGAAAGTGTGAGATTACCCGATCAGATAATTGTGGAGATAAATGGAACCTCATTGCAGGTTCAGACAGCTCAACAACTGATTCAGGTAGCACATTTGCTTGACATATTTTCAATTGCCTAAGGTCTTGTAAAGTATTTGGGATGGATACTGATTTTCAAAGACATCTTCTGTTCCTTTTAATTATTTCCTTTTCAAGATGATTGGTTGTTGAAGTGAGCTTTGCTAGGTAAGTTCGAGGGAAAAGTACCATGGACAGGACATTGGAATTTTAGAATAGCGTATACTACGACAAGTTGGGACGAAAAACGTGGGGAGATGATGAGATGTAGAACTTTCTGAACATGTTCATTAGAGCATAGACATAACGATACTTGTGCAGCGCATATTATTTATTTAATTGTTTGAACAGGTCTTTGGTTTGGCAATTATAGTTCCCTGTTTCTATACATGCATAATGGTTATGATCTGGTCTTGATTATAGAATTTTGAAGATTCATCTGTACTATGAGTAATTTCTGTTTTCTGCAGGACATTTTAAGCAATGCCAGTCACAAAGAATCAGTCACTAGAAGCTATGACAAATATGAAAGCGGTTTGCGTTCTATGTACACTGACGATACATACTACCCCTCATCTTCAGTGGCGGGACAACTCTACGATGATTATGGATCTTCTGGTATAGGAGACTATGGTAGTTATAGGATTTGAGTGGGCAGCTCATGACAAAATATTGGTCTGGACTCGTTTCTGATTTACGACTTTGAGACTACTAGTTTTTGTACAGTCATAAAAAAATTGTCCAGTTTTTCTTTTCTGCCATCATCACTTAACCAGTTGTAAGTTTTTTTATGAGTAAATTATACATTAGTCCTTTTAGTTTTGAGAAATGAATTAATTAGCTTCTTTGTTTCAAAAACTAATTATTTAGTCCTTATATATATATTTTTTAATTTTCTTGTAATTTAATCTTTTCCCTCTTTCTTTAATTTATTTTGATTTTTAGTTTTAGGAAATAAAAAATAAAAAAATAAATGAAAAAATGGACAAAATATTGCTCTGGACTGCTTTCTGATTTACGACTTTGAGGCTATACTAGTTTTTGTCCGGTCAAAAAAACTGTCCAGTTTTGCTTTTCTGCCATTATCAGTGAAAACAGTTGTAAGTTTTTTCACTTTTTTGTGAATAAATTATACATTAGCCCTTTTAATTTTGAGAAATGAATTAATTAACTTTTTGTTTTAAAAACTAATTATTTAGTCTTTATATTTTTTCAATTTCCTTGTAAATTAATCTTCTCTCTCTTTTTTTAATTTATTTTGATTTTTAGTTTTAAGAAATAGAAAAAGAAAAAAAATAAATAAAAAATATAAAAAAAATTGAAGAAAAAAATGATATTTTATAAAATAAAATGGTATTAAATTAATGATTAAATAATTTGTATTTAAAACAAAAAAATTGATTAATTTGTTTCTCGAAAAAGAAGAGATTAATTTATAATTTATTAGTTTTTTGGTAGCTAAGTTTGGGCAAAAAAGAAAAAAAAAAAGAGCACTGAAATTTGGAATATTCCTTTTTTTTTCCTTTCCTTTCTTATGGCAGTTGCATGAGTATGTCATTCTTTTTGTTTGGGTTAATGAAATTTATCAAAAAAAATAAAAAAATAAAAAAAATTTATTTGATAGGAAAAATTGATCAAGAAATTTCAGAGACAAATAAATTGTAATTAAAAATCTAAATAAATTGTAATTAAAAATCCAAAAACATACGAATTGTTTTAAGTATTATGTAAAGAAAAAAAATATATTTATCGTAATAATTATTTAGTACTATTTTTTTTGAAAATTGAATGGGTCGGAAAAATTTTTCCTACTCATATTTCGAAGTTTAGATTTTTTTCCCCCTTTTCCTCCAATCCAGAAAGGCTCCTATGAGGAACCATTATCTCCAAAACTAGTCCACACAAGTAAAACCCTCTATTTTCATCCATCCAACAAAGAAAACCCATAGCCCATATACCCCTTTTCAACTAGGAAGAAAAAGAAATGCCAACTTTGAATCTCTACACAAACATACCAGTTGATGCTGTTACCTCCTCTGATATTCTCAAAGATGCCACCAAAGTTCTTTCTAAAATCATTGGCAAACCTGAATCTGTTAAGTACCCTGTTTAGTTACCTTATGATAACTAATTGTTTTTTTGCTTTAGTTTCTGGTTTTGGTTTTCTTGTAATTTTTGAAATGACTGCATTCTGTTTGATGAAATAACTCTGTGACCATGAAAATTATTACCATGGTTCGGTTCATAGAACTGGGCAACAACTGTGCTTGTATTGATGTTTTTTTGCATCCCATGTGAAGTTTTATCTTTCTTCTTGTCGTAGGACAACCTTGTCCAGTCCTGTCCTGCCCTTTCAGCAAGCACGTCAAAGGCATCATTTTTTTCACGTGTTTAGTTTAGTTTTTTTGATGAGGTTATTGCTGTACTGCTGTATTTTTCAGTATGTGATGGTCGTGCTGCACGGAGGGGTACCTATTGTATTTGCGGGAACAGAAGCACCAGCTGCATTTGCAGAAGTAATCTCCATTGGTGGACTTGGGCAAAGTGTTAATGCAAAACTGAGTTCAACTATTGCAGATATTCTTCAAACTAAGCTCTCCATTGATAGCTCCCGTTTTTATATTAAGTTTTTCGATTCTCCGGTGAGTTAATTGGCTCTGCTCTATTCTGGTTTTGGCTTTGGTTTCATTTAGTTCTGCTTCAATTGTTTTACAAGACTTTGTGGCTTAAAATTTAAGAGGGTTTTCTGAATATGTATTGATATGAAAGAAATTAGGCAAAGTTGCTAGCATTCCACGGTTAACTTGAACTTGATTAACTACTTGTCTGTTACTTACATCACTGGCTTAGTATTTTTGGCTTAAAATTAAGACGGGTTTAGGAAGGTGTACTAGTAAAGAGAATAGGCTAAACGGTTAGCATTTCACAGTCAATGAGTGTTTGCCAATTACTCAAGTCGCTAGGTTAATAGCTCCTTCACAAAGTTAGGGCTCGGTTTAAAAAGTGATACAAATAGTAACGATAATAATAATAAATGATAATCCATCTGGGTTTATTTCAAGTAGGAGATATTGGAGGAAATTCTACACCATCCACCATTTAATGCAGTGACAGACATAGTATAAAGGGGTGTGTCTTTGTCATGTTTTGGAACAGATCCTTGTACTTCATATATATATATATATATATGCACATTCAAATCTATAATGCTTGACTTGTTATAATATTCCAGAAAGAGAAACTTAGATTTTTAAACCTATCTTGATCGTTGTTTTTTTCTTATGTGTCCAGCGCCCGTTCTTCGGCTTTAATGGCTCAACTTTCTGATGAGCTCCAATTCTAGTTCATACAAATCTACAGGTAAGCCTGTATATGGCCTGTGTAGCATGTCGGAGTCATGTTTGGATTTAATCTGGTGATTGTTCATTCTTAAGCTATTGTCTCGCAAAGGCCGTGCTCCATAAATTCTGTTGTACCTATGAATCAAAGTTATTAAATGTTCAGTATTTCTTTCCTTTCTTTTTCTCCAGATGCTATGCTGCCTTTGGATGTTTGTGGATAGAAATTCTGTTGGGTGCAAGACTAAGTTCTTAATTGGTTGCTTATGAGTACATTGCTCCCTTGTTTAACATTCCTGCAAGATTTTCTTCCAAGTTTTGCATAAATGTAGGAAAGTGAAACCACTTTGCTGGTGTCACCGACTAATTTCTGCATAAAATTTATACCCTAAGAACCTTGTTTCAAGGAAAGATTAGATAAGAAAAGAAAAGTATTTGTTTGCGAGGCTAGAATGCTGACTGAAACATTTCAGATTTTCGCCGTAAGCTTTTTCCATATCATTTTACTGGAAGCAAATGCAAGACAGAGCAGTAGAAGGACTGAGATATGAAGTAATGACCAGTAAAGAATGGTGTTTTTGGAGGGTTAACATTACCCTCCAAGCAATATTAGTTTTTTTTTTTTTTTTTTTTTTTAAATTCAAATTACACATCAAATTAATTTTTAATTGTTTCTCACCCACTGTTTCTCAACTTTTAATAAGGGATTGGATCCCTCTTCAACTTTTTTTTTTTTTGGTCATATTTAAAATTCGGTTTTTTTAGGTTTCTATTAATCCTAACAGTGAAAATACACGTGATTTATAAGTAGTTGATTTTTTTTAACTCCTCGAACAACTAAAATTGTCCCAATTTTCAATTCTCTCTAAAAAAAAAAATTCAATTGCTTACTATTTAACATTTAGGAGGAAAGAAATATGTTTTGGAGGAAAAAAAACAACACATACGTAAGTTTTGGTATGTTTTTAACCATAAAAGAATTGTATTTATAGATAAAATTGATGAAAACCTAGTTGAATCGACGATAAATTTTCAAATAATTTAAATTTCATGAAAAGTTAGGATCGATTAGCCATTTTATTATTATAATCAATAAAACTAAATCATTTAGACTCAAAACTACTTTAATTGAGAAAGTGTCATGGTCACATCCATTTGTCATGTTAATTTTATCGGTCATTTTCAATTTTATTCTAACAATTGAAGTTATAAATTAAATAAATAAAAAAAGAGGAGGAAAAAAAACCGTGTATAACATCTTCCCCTTGAAGGAGTAAATTGTAAATTAATCATTTTCATTCAATTGTTTTTGTTAAAAAAAAAAAGTAAAAATATGAAAAGTCGACGAAAAAAGAAAATTTTAGGATAAAATAATATTAAATCAACCCTAATTAACATTAATAAAAAGATTAAATAATTAATTTTTTTAAAAAAATTATTTAATTCTTTTATCAAAACTAGAGGGACTAATAATAATGCAGTCAACATTTTCTCTTGTAAGCTAAAACCAATACACGTGGCAGTGCCCGAATAACCAACAAAAAAACCTACTCCCTATTTATATATTTATGTATAAAATCCGAAAATGGCTTCCTCGTCTTCTTCTTCTTCTTCTTCTTCATCATCAGAGCAAACAAAATTCTCCATCCGAAACCAAAACTTCCTCCAGAAAACGCTCTAAATTCCGCAAGTTCCTCGACACTTTCTGCTCTCCTTCCGATTACTTCTCCGCCATCTGCCTTATCCTCCCTAACCTCGATCGCGAAAGCGGTACTTATTTCTCACTGGTTTTAATTGTAAGCTTAGTTTTCTTGGGTATTTATAGAAGCTACTTGTCAGTTGTCTATTTAAAGCACAAAATTGCATCTGCTATCTCAAGCTTTAGTATTTTTTTTCCCTGGAAAGCTAAAATTTTCAATCTTGAAAGTCCCAAATCAAACATTAACTTGTTCCATTCAATTAGAATGATAATTTAGTTAAGTTTCAGCCTCAAAATTGGCACTAGGATCATAAGCCTGATAGTTCCTGCCACGTAAAAGGAGGTTGGATGTGCTGACTTTTGTATTTTCAGGCCATAAAATGTATTCCATTGCTTCTGCTTGTAGCTGATGTAGAAAGTTGGCATGACTCTGTGAGTATAGATATGGAATCTACTGTTTTAGGATGTCCTGTTTGAAATTTGATCCATTTTGTGTTGTTATTATTTGGTTAAATTTGTATTTAATATGTTGATGTGAGATGTCGAAATTCGTATGGATAATCTCAGAAAGATGAAGCTATTGTTACCTGACATAACTGCTCTTGTCATCCACTTCAATTGCATCTTCCATTATCACTTTAAGCTCTTCCAATGAGTAAGGATGCTCTGGATCCTTAATTCCTCTAATATGATTTAAGAATGTTAAGAAATTATGCAGTCTAAAAAAGGTTGCTACTCATTATGGAAATTGTCAATCCTTTCTAAATAATTAACAATGCACTCACTTCACACCTACAGAACAGAATCCCGCAAGTTATTAAGCATAAGGACACACAACATATTTCATGTAGCATAATTTGGGTTTAATTCTTATATCCTATTAATATTGCCGAGGCACATCCTAATACATCTCAGAAAAATTATCAGCACTAATTTTGAATTTTCTTTTGAGTTGTTTCCATTTGGTATAAAATTTTGAATTCAAATCGATTTCCATGAGCTTACATGCTTTTGAATGAAAACATTGATTTCTTTGTTTAATTATGTAGTTGCAATTGCAGGTTTTTTTTTCTTAGAGTCGAAGGACTGCAGAGATGCAGAAATTGGGTGACTTCAAACTGCCCCATTTCTTCAATTACCCGCCATACTTCACGTATTCTCATACCCTTTTGCAACTTTTCTACTTTGGTCGAGTATTGTAGATTCTGTAATGCATTGGGTTTTCATTTGATCATCGATGTGTATATTTTGCTGTTTTTTCTCAAGTTTGCAGCCAGTGAGGGACACTCGAGAGAAGCAGGTACAGCTTTGGAAGGAACTTATCCTTGATTACTGTAGGACTCAAAAGATATTCGTGATTGGACTGGAAGAAGAATTTCCTCTGTTCTCAAATCATGTGATTGAAAGTAGGTCTTACTTTTTCTACAAAATCTAATTATGTTGTGCCAATACTGTGAACAAATTTAAAAAAAGGCCACCCTTCTGGTATTGGTAAGACACTTAGAAAACCGTTACATTTGGCTTCAGTAAAAGCATAGCATGGAGATATCAAATATAAAGGAATTTCACCTGGGAGGTACAATGTGTTTAGTTCCATTCAATAATTATATACATCTGCATCTCAGAGTATGGACTTGTTATGCTTGGTGTTTGAGCAAATTGCACTTATGTAGTATGGAGTTTGAAAGGGTGATGATGAAGGTTTAGGCTGTCCTTCAGAACTTACCATCTCATTTCTATGTGTTCACAATAGCATAGTTCCTTGGTGAATTTGACAGTATTGAGTTTTATCACACATGTTGAATTTCAAAAGTATGCGCTTGGATTTCGACGTGGAATACAATTCATGGGAGCTGGAATATTTCACTGCTCTGTAAAAGATAATAAATATTAATTGTAGAGTTAGATCTTCTTGTTCAGATTAAGTTAGCATGACAAATAATTGATTTATATCTTTAATATTTTTGTGAGTTCTTATATGCTTTTCCTTTATCGGTAAAGCAAAAGTGAGCAATGAAAACAATTTGATTCATGGTGCAGGATCTCTTAGTCACGAAGCTAGGGAAGCATTTCTCTCAGCACTAGTATCAGAAGGTTAGTTTTGATTGTGTTGACTTAGACCTTTATTTGATTTTATTTTGCTGGTTAGATTTCTAAGCAGGAGATGCTGTTAGCACTGTATTTCAATGTGTACTTTATTAAATGCTATGTTGTTCTAACAGGCCGTGCAGAATGGCTAGACAAAGGACATAGAAAATGCCTTATTCTCTGGCACCGGATCCAAGATTGGGCTGACATTCTTGTACATTTTGTGAGTCAATTGCGATTTTGATAAGTGGGATCAGTACCTTTAGCATTTTTCTCACAATAAACTTGCTTATTTATTAGGTGAGAGATAATGGATTGGAGGACAGTGTCATGACTGTTGAGGAAATACGAACAGGGATTGAATCTCGGGGAACAGGTAAAGTTTGATGTGAATGGTTAGACGAAGTAGGTTTGATAATGATTTCCAAACCATTTTGGAAAGCATATAAATTTGAATAATTTAATTAAAAACTCTATTCAGCCAATCCTCTTTTTTGGAAAATTTGAATTACGAAATTCAGTTCTATTTGCCTTAAGAAATGAAGAATTATGTACTGATGTATATTACACAAATTTGGGTTCAATTTGCTCGAAATTCTCATGGCTGTCAATTGAGAATCATTATTCTCAGAATATCCATCGATGTAACTTAGCACGTAGGGGCGGAGAGGAGTATGGTAAATTACAGGTTTGAAATTTGCCAAGCTAAGAATAGAGCTTATTGTATCTGGACGTGAATAAGCTCTGTTGCTACTGTTTGTTGGTTATTTTTTAATGTTGTCTTTTGGAATCGCTCAAAGTCGGTGGCATTTTTGGGGATTCGTATTGGTAGTTTCTCACAATGAAATCTAAGAGTGCTGTGTTCCATTTGCTTCTAGTGGTGCAACTCCTGTTATCTGCATATCCCACATTTTTTTTAATGTTTTGTCCATCTCTAGGATCATAATATCAAGGATCTCTCTTCCGTTCTCTATTTATTGAGCATACTTCCTGTTGTATTTATGCTGATACCAAGTTTTCTGTGCCATACACCAGAGCTTCATGGAATAGAGCGCACAATTTTGATGCGAGTGTTGAAACTACTAGAACATAAAGGGAAGCTTGCAATCTTTAAGGGAACTTCAGCCGATGATGAAGGTGTGAAATTCTCTGTCTAATGCTTCAACTGTCTCTTTGAGGAGACTCTTGTTACTTATTATTTAAATATAATCAGACCATGCTGGTTGTTATGGATTTGACCAATGGCATTTTCCGATGTATGAGTTTATTCCTTCTTTTTGTATCATTCTAGACAGTAGTGATTAGTGAAGGTTCTTTGCTTCCTCTGTTTATTGGGAAGTGGTTCCACTTAATGTGTAATGTCGAGTATAAATTCTAGTTTGATTTGCCATGGAGTTTTTCTTCTTTGTTCTCTGTTTAAAATGCTCAACAAACTGTAGATACGCAGAAACCATCCATTTCTATATATTCAATAATGAGAGTACAGAGTTGGAAAAAAAGGGAAAAAAAAAAAAAAAAACTTAAAACATACAAACTGCAAACTATTCTATCAAATATAATTGATTGCACATTTAAAAGAAAGACCCCATATTTTCCGAGCTAATTAGTAGCAGAAACCATCGTATTTCAATAAGAGAGAAACCATGGAGAGTTGGTGCTAATGGCATGTAATGAAAAGCAATAGCAATCATAGATTTAAATAATGAGTATTATTTTATATAATGGTTTCAGAAAATTGCATGAAAGTTATTTTAGTATTGCAATAAGTCGTACTTTGCAATGATGATTGCAAGGTTTTTCAAACCGTTTGCGATGTAAGACTATAATAGCAATATTCCATTATAGTTATTTTAGTATTGCAATAAGTTGTAATTTGTGATGATGATCGTGAGGTTTTTTTAGTGTCTGCGATTTAAAACTATTATAACAATATCGTAATCAATTCCAAGAAGGAAAAATTATATTATCAACTTTGCAAGTTTAAACAAGAATAATGGAACAATGATGTTGCCATTGAACAAGGAACACACAATAGGATTAAGTAAAATCCTATCATTGTAACATGAAAAATAAAAGAGATAGAGAATCAAAGAAAGAAGAAATTGAACAAGGAGGCTTGAAAAATGGAAACCCTCTATTTTGATATACATCATTTTTCATGTTCAATCATTTCTTTTTTTAGTATCTTAAACTCTTAACAAATTATTGTACAACTTTCTCATTATCATCCCGATCAAGAACAAATAAATGAATCCAAACTAAAAGAATTTCAATTATAATTTTAAATCACAAACACGGTTGAAAGAGAGTAGGACACAGCTTACTGTAGTGGTAAAATAACAATTGCGACCGTTACATAACATTGAATAACAACAACAGAATACTTCAAAACTGTTATTTAACCAATATTACATAACGCATCGGACATTATTTAAATCAATATATAATTCCAATTATCGAAAAAATTCACTAAAAGAGGAGTAATTATGGGCACATAACATAATCATCTGGCGCGGACGATTCACTCTGAGCGTACGGGCCAAGCTTGTGATGGCATAGAGAAGGTCCTGAAGGTGGCACTGGACCTCGTGGAAGCCTGTTATCAAACATGTAATAATAATTTGTATCTTTAATCGGTCTTGTGCATCTTCCTGTAGAGACCAATACTGCCAAAACAATAACAGAGAGAAGAAAAACAAATCTCAAGCCCACCCGTAAACAAGACATGATCACTTTTTCTCTGTTCTTGCTCAATTGCTTTCTGGTTAGTAACTTTTGTTTTCTTATAAAGTAGGAATGTGTACAAGAAAGAAGCATATATAAGTCAGAAAGAAATTTAGAGAGGAAGAGATGGCGGGTGAATTAGAAGGCTGTTTTTGTTGGACTAAAAGGGATGGTTGGAATGTTATAAATTTGAAAGTCAGTGGGCCGTAATTTGCATTCTTTTGAATATTAGCTTGTTAAGTGAAAGTCACAAGTCCAAAATACAAGCAGCCATTTTAGAAACAAGGGAATAATTGATTCTGATATTCTGTAGCTTTCATACTCCTCAATGTACTACCATACTCTTCAAAGTTAGTTTTCCACCAAGTAATAAAAAAATGAAAAAAAGAAGAAGAAAACAAGGCCATAAGAAATTGTACAGTGGCAATGAGAACCAGAGAACAGCTCTACCAAAGGCATACGGCTTTCAACTCCATTCTGTGGTTTTGAACCTCATTTATGTATCTATACCGAAACGATGGGATGGGAGGAAGAATAACAAGCAATTGTACAGTGGTCATGATAACAAGAGTTGCCTTGAGTGATGTGCACAGAAATATTTCAGCTATGTGTTATGTGGAATATTTCAGGCATATGACATAGCCAAACCTTCATCAACCATATCCACCAGGTTTGGGTTTTCCAACGCTGCAGCTGCTCGCTCTTTATCATTTAGTTGTTAATTAACTGCATAAAAAATGTAGATCAGGAAAGAAAATGAATGCTGTTTCATAATTCATAATCTTCCATCAATTGAAGTCTGCATGCCACCTAACCACACAATTAAAAGCATTCAACAGCCAATTTCCTCCACATACCAAGACAGAGTGATTACCTGCAGCTTCAGTTGCATGAGTTCCTGGTGCAACCCTGATATCCACCTAAACAAAATAGGGAAAGAGTGGTGAGAAGGAGAGGAGAAAAGGCAGAGTGGGGGTAGAAGAGAGTGACAAAGTTTAAAAATTGCATGGGGCAAAAGTAGTTGTTAAGAGCAGCACACATTAGAATAGTCAGATAGAATTCAAAGTTAGCCATGCTTCTTGACCTACACCACAATAAGGGAAAAACTACAAGACATTGCCTGGTTTCAATTACCGAATAGGTTCCAGTCATGGACTTTGAAACTTGAAACAGCAAGCTTAAAAACATCAGCCATTGGCAAGAAGCCTGATTGCACTGCCGGAGCAGGTAAACCAGCACCAACAGGCGCAGCACTTTCACTCAAAGGACTAATCAAAATCGGTTCATAAGCAACAACAAGAACGTCAGTGCCAACATTCTTAAGTCGAAGATTAGCCAAATAAACCTGCACAACATTCTGGGCTTCCCTTCCTTGCCGTCCTTTAGAAATCGCCATCTGCCCAATTGCTGTAGTAATAACAACTGAAACATTCCCCATTGGAGCCTCAACCACCCCTGACTGCTCAACTAGAGTAAATCCTTGAGCGTGTTGCTCATTGGCAAGGTCTTGAAGAAACCAAACGGCACTTCCATTATCATTCACATCAGGCTTGAAATCTAGTAGCTCGAAAACCAAGCTTTCATCACGACCTGGGTCCACAAATACCTCTTGATGGTCAGGAACTTGTCGAATATTGCTCACATCCTACAAAACAAAAACAGTTTTCACAAATTAATTAGTGAAAGAAAAGAAAAGCTTAAAAGGAAATGATCATAGTAAAAACTGACCTGGAATCTAACAGGGAAGTTGCTGGAAACTGCACCGCCGTAGAGAGGGCGCTCGGTGCTAGAATCCTCTAGCATTTTATTTTGGGAAGAGGTTAGGAGAGTATCGAAACTTCACAGCCTGTGTTTGGTTTATATAGGAGTTCAAGGGGTGTATATTAGAAACCATTTATAAGCTAAACCGTCTGATTTTTAAACAAAAAAATAATTATTCAAATTTATATGCTTTTGAAAATGGTTTGGAAATCATTATCAAACCTACTTCGTCTAACCATTCAAATCAAACTTTACCTGTTCCCAGAGATTCTAGTCTTTAACAACTACTTTTGGTAAAGAACATTTCACCCTCATATTCATCATATTCATAACAATAAAGGAGACAACTAACAACATTAAAGCAAACATCTTCTTTCATCTTTCTGAGATTACCCATACGAATTTCGACATCTCACATTATCATATTAAATACAAATTTAACCAAATAATAACAACACCAAAAGGGTCAAGTTTCAAACAGGACATCCTAAAACAGTAGACTCCATATCTATACTCATATAGTCATGCCAACTTTCAACATCAGCTGCAAGCAGAAGCAATGGCATACATTTTATGACCTGAAAATACAAAAGCAGCAGATCCAACCTTTTCTGTGGCAGGAACTATCAGTGCCAATTTTGAAACTGAAACTTAAATTAAATTATTATTCTACTTGAATCGAACATTTGATTTGTGACTTTTAAGATTGAAAATTTTAACTTTCAAAAAAAAAAAAAAATCTAAAAAAAGCTCAAGCTTGAGATAACAGGTGCTATTTTGTGCCTCAAATAGACAACAAAGTCCTCTTTTACAATAAAAATCAGTGAGAACCAGCCCAGATTATAGAGTAAAGAAACCAAACACACCAAAAATTGCAACATCAAAAGTGATTAAAAAAAAACCCCAAAAAAGCATAAAATAACACAAAAATCAAATGTAACGTATGGATAAGGAGAAAGACATGTACCAGCTGCAATCGATTTAAGATTTTGTTGCTTCTCTTTTTTGCAGAGAGAGAGAGAGAGGGAGAGAGAGAGGAATAAACCTGGAGAAGGAGGTTTTTGATGGTTTTGTTAGGACTAAATTGTAAACTAGTCACTCTAGTTTTACAAAATAAATTAAATAATCCTTGTTATTTCAACAACTAATTAAATTGCTCGTAGTTAATTTAATATTATTTTGTTCCATAAAATATCTTTTTTTCTTATTAGTATTCATATATTTTTTTCTAATTTTATTTTATTTTTATATTTATTTAAAAAATAAAAATAAATTGAATAAAAGGAAAACAATTAAGTTAAAAATAATTCAAACATATAAGGACTAATTAATTAGTTTTTGAAACTAGAGATGCTGATTTATAATTTACTCCATCCTCCTCCGCAAGCTGAAATAATACACGTGGCACTAACCGAATAACCAACAGCAAAACCTCCTACCTATTTAAACCTCCAAAAAAAAAAAAAAAACAAAACAAATTCCAAAAATGGCTTCCTCTTCTTCTTCTTCTTCTTCTTCAACAGAGCAAACGAAATTCTCCGTCTTAGTCAGTCTCTTCAACTGGATTTCAAAGACCAAAACTTCCTCCAGAAAACGCTCTAAATTCCGCAAGTTCCTAGATACTTTCTGCTCTCCTTCCGATTACTTCTCCGCCATTCGCCTTATCCTCCCTAACCTCGACCGCGAACGCGGCACTTACGGTCTCAAGGAATCAGTTCTCGCCGTTTCCCTCATTGACGCTCTCGGCATGTCTAGGGATTCTCCTGACGCTTTGAAGTTGATTAATTGGCGTAAAGGAGGCCCCAAGACTACTGGTGCTAATGCCGGCAATTTCCCTCTCGTTGCCGCCGAAGTAAGAAATATTAAAAAAATCGACCTCATTTTTTCTTTTTGATAAAATTGAAAGCATTTTTGTTTGGTTAAATAGATGTTGCAGCGGAGGCAAGGAATGGCTTCGGGTGGGGTGACGATTGGGGAGCTAAATGAGTTGCTTGATAAGTTGGCGTCTAGTGAAAATAGGTATTGAAGTTTGTTTTTTTAGTAATTTTGATAATTTTGTATAAGTAGCATTTAAGATTGAGTGTTGTTAAAAGTGCTAATTAACGGCGAGTAAGCATGCATTGTTGAAGTTATGATGATAATTTTATGTGTGAATGCGTTAAAGCTGTTAAATTAAGTTTGTGGATGTAGGAGCTAGTGATAGTTTTGGGGAATTGTGGGTGTTGAGAGGGAATCATGCTAGCTTTTATGTATTTTAGCAAATCAATTGTGGGTCACACATGAGTTACAGCACGAATTATTCAAAGAGCATGAATCACATTAGAAGAAATCAAAACCTTTGATTTGTGGGTCCCATCAAATCAGTAGTTTTGCATTGTGATTCTTGAATACTTTTACAGATTTTTCCCACAGCAGGTTTCACTTGCCGTTGAAAGTTTTTTTTTTTGCTTTTTTCCGTAGTGGTGTTTTATGTACTAGCACTACTAGTATTTGTTATATTTTATGAGCAGGGCAGAGAAAACTGCAGTACTTGCTACTTTGATAACGAAGACAAATACGCAGGAAATGAAGTGGATTATTATGATTCTTCTTAAAGGTAATAATTGCTTTAATACTAGTTTTGGGAAATTATGTTTTGTTTTTAGGAGTGTGAGTCTTTTTGAGGCAATTTTTGTAAATATGTTACAGATTTGAAGTTGGGGATTAGTGAAAAGAGTATATTTCATGAATTTCATCCGGATGCAGAAGACTTGTTTAATGTTACATGTGACTTGAAATTAGTTTGTGAAAAGCTGAAGGATCGAAATCAAAGGCATAAACGTCAGGTGTGTGTTGCTAAACTTTGAATACAGCATCTTCTTTTCCTATAAAAACCTTATGCATAGAATTTGGATTCAAAGACAGTGTGCATTGTGTAAGCATTTTAGGAGATAAGAGAATGTTGGCTATCTCTGGCTATCAGATGATTTTCTTGTGTTGTTGGTCAGTCTTGCAACTTTCATTGTATGTTAATGATTAGTATCTTGTAGAATTTTGATATTTGCTTCATTTTATTTTTTCAGGACATTGAAGTTGGAAAAGCTGTGCGTCCTCAGCTAGCTATGAGAGTTAGTGATGCACATGCTGCATGGAAAAAGGTTTTCTTCCAGCCCTTTTTTATTTTTATTTTTTTTGGATTACATGCATGCATGTGCAGTGCACTCATCTTTTTTTCCTTAATGTTTATCAGTTCTAGCATCTCATTTTATGTTTTCTGCAGCTACATGGGAAGGAAGTGGTGGTGGAATGTAAATTTGATGGTGATCGCATCCAAATACATAAGAATGGTGCAGAAGTACATTATTTCTCAAGGTAGCTCTTCTTTTAAAGAAAAAGTTGTCTTGGTTAGTTGTGCTGCTCATTCTTTGCATACAATATTATTTTCACCTTCTTATTTATGCATAGCCATGTTGTTTCCTGAATCTGAGTAAATGTATTTTTTTAGTTCCTAAAATCCGAACTCAAAGTCTACATTATGTCCATACTGTCCCAAGAATAGCTATTTTTCGCCCATATGAAATTTTGCAAAACTCGGATCACTGAAAACTTAATAGTTCTTTAAGATCTATTATGTTAAGAATTGTCAACTGCATATACTTCTGAGTCTGCTTCATAGATACCATCACTCATGGAGGACATTGGTGCAGGAACTTTCTAGATCACTCTGAATATGCTCATGGAATGTCGGACATTATTGTACAAAATGTTTTGGATGAGAGGTAATGCCCCATCTCTGGTTATAGTTGTCTTTTTTTCTTCTTCTTCTGCTGTGTGCCTCCTGCAAGTTGCTCGACGCACATGTAGGCCAGACTATTTTCAGAGTGGACCATTTTGCATCTGGTGTTCCCATTCCTTATTTCCATGGTTATTAGGATAATGTGTTTATGTATGTGTGTGCTTTAAGTCATTTTTTGTTTATAGAACTTGCAAATATATTTATTACCACAGGCATTGTAATTTACATGCTAGAAGTGTTCGAAGATCTAAATGACAAGGCAGGACTTAGATGCTAAATGAATCTTGTTAACATCAGGATTGCAAGTTTAATGCCTTACCTTGTAAACCGGGCATATTTCTTCATTGAAATGCTTTTAAAGTTTAGAAATGTTAGATTCTAATAATTTTCTTTCCTTTCAACATTGTATAGGTGTATTCTTGATGGTGAAATGCTGGTCTGGGATACTTCTTTGAATCGGTTTGCTGAGTTTGGCTCAAATCAGGAAATAGGTTATTTGACATATTGATTGTGTTTGCCCCTTTTTGTTTTTGCCTTTTTGTGTGTGTGTGTGTTTTTTTTGGGGGGGGGGGGTTGGTTGGTTATGCTGCATGCGGATTTCTTGTAGTAATGATCGCTTATAGCTACTCATTATCTTTTGCAGCAAAGGCAGCAAGGGATGGGCTTGATAGTGATAGACAGGTTTTTCTCTCTTGTTTAGCTAGTTATTTCTTTTCCTTGTTCCGACATTATAAAACAATTTTTTGATAGTTATTTATTTTCCTTGTTCCTACATTATAAAATAGTTGGTTAAGATAACATGCACGTTTATTTCTCATGCAGTTATGCTGTATCCTTTTTGTCGGACAATTTGAAGTTCAGTTCAGATTCAGCTTTTCTAGTGCTTTGAGATAACAAAATAGTTGTGAGTAACTACGCAAATTTATCATCAAAATCACAACTTAAATAGTCTGATGGATTCAGTTTACCTTCACATTATTGCCTAGATGTTGCTTTTGATATTCTTTATGTTGGAGACACAAGTGTGATTCACCGAACCTTGAAGGAAAGGCAGGAGCTACTCCGTAAAGTTGTCAAGCCAGTGAAGGGTCGTTTAGAGATCATTGTACCTGATGGGGGTCTTAATGCTCACCGTCTTCCTGGTAGCGAAAGTAACATGGGTGTTATTTTTGCATAATTTGATGCATTCAATAATATTCTCGTTGTGTAGACTGTAATGCATCAGAAATGAAGTTATTCAAGTTATTATTGTTTGATCCTAAAAAGTAGACTTAAGTGACTTGTTTCCTTATGAGTGCTGATCATTGTGTATTCTGGCACTAATTGTGATTGCAACTTAGGTAGCGACTAGAATTTTCTATAGCATTAAATCGTGTGGTTATATGTAAAATATATTTATGGTTTTAGGAGGCATGTGTTGGTTCAGGCTGGTTGGGTCTACTTGGAGCCCAAAATAAACGAATGAGGTTAGATTGATTCTACTTACTGGTTTGGTTGGGTTAGATGAACAGACATAATGAATGTTATATATTACGAAGTCCATGTATAGATTAGAATTCCCCACCCTTTCACTCCCTAATTGTAAAGTCCAGTAATGAATTTCAAGATCTCCCACATATTTTATTTTGGATTGTTTTTTCTCTGTTTGAATCCTAAGGTCAAGCATCCTTGTGAGGTTATCAACCCAAGTCATATGGTGTTCAATTCCTAGCTATAGTACTGTATTGCTTGACATGTTTACCTTAAGCCATAGTATGTGTATGTATAAACTTGTTTTACATAGATGTTTTAAGCCGATGGCTATTTCTATTTTTATTATTAGTAATTATGCCGACACTAATCATACAGGGGAACCTTGTTGTTCGCTCATTGCTTATAACGTGGATGACATTGAGAAGTTTTTTAAGGAAACCATTGAAAACAGGTTGGTATTCTCTTTCATTTAATTGACAGTAAAAGCTTTCTTCTAATAACTCATTCTTGTTAAATATGCACTTAAATTTGTGAGGTTGGGTAGCTGTTACTTAGTGTGGCCAGTTCTTGCCTTAATTTTTCCAGTGATATTGAACCGTAGGATGTACTGACCTGCTTCAATACTCCTGTTTGTTGTCTTTTTCTTATTCACCTGATTTTTAATTGTTCTCTCTCCCTTACCATACAGACATGAACTTGAAAAGTTGAGCATTTCTGAGAAAAGATATTTTAGTGTCATTTATATAAGAGTTCGCTGCCATAAACTGTGAAGGTGGTTGTGGGTGTACACTGCTTATAACATTGTTAGGGAGAAAAGGAGAGAGAAAAGGGGTCCAGGCAAGGGTGCTAGGGGGCAAGACTGTACGACATTCTTTTTTTGGAAGCTGCTTCCTAGTACTTGCATGAAAATTTTCTTCAAACTAGGGAGAGTCCCTCCCACAACAAATTTCATTCCTGGAGGAAACATATCCATACTGTGTGCATACATGTGTGAAAAGTTTTTGTTGTTTGTCAATTATTTATTTATTTATTCAATGATTTATGCTTTCAGGGCTGAAGGTATTGTGCTAAAAGACCTTGGTTCCAAATGGGAACCAAGTGATCGGAGTGGAAAGTGGTTGAAACTTAAGCCTGAGTACATTCGTGCTGGTTCTGATTTGGATGTTCTTATCATAGGTCTGTACTTGTTTCTCTTAATTGTGGTTCCTCTAAAGCAACTGAGTAAATTTCTCAAAATCCAATTTTCACTGTATTTCTACATGTCAATAGGGGGATACTATGGTTCGGGACGTCGTGGAGGAGAGGTTTGCTTGCCATCCTTCTTCCTAATTTTCCCTTCCATTCACTGTTCTAGGAAAAATGAAATATTGGAATCATTATTTGGACTTGGCTTGCCACTCCTTGAAAAAGGTGCTGCAGGACAGGATTTTTTCTTCGGCTTCTTTCTTAGGATCCTGTTGGCAATGCTATCTTTATGTTTGACCTTCAGAGGGATGAGATAAGAATTTCCTTATAAACTGCAGGTGGCTCAATTTTTGTTGGGCCTAGCAGAGCGTCCTGCTCCTAATATGTACCCGAGGCGGTAAGTATTTATCTATTGTTGACAATTTTCTGTAAAGATGGTTATGTTCTAGTTGATGTTCTATAGAGCTCAATGCACATGGAGTTGCTTTTTTCTTTTGTAGATTTATCTCCTTTTGCAGAGTGGGCAATGGGCTGTCAGATGAGGAGCTGGATACTGTTGTCTCCAAACTAAAGCCTTATTTTAGGTACTTGCAGAATTCTGAGTTTATAACATTTTCGAATCTCCCACTCTAGAGAAGCATTGTATAGCTGTGGATGGAACTGAAATTGTTCGACAATAAGCTTTACTTTCATCATTCCTTGCCATATGGTCTCAGGCAACAAGCATTGCCTATCGTTTTAAAGAAAGGGCCTTTTCTGTGTAGCCTCAGAACCTTGTCATAGTTGGAAGATTTGGTCCATCTTTGAGAAGCTTGTTGTGCAATCCTGAAGATATTTACTTAACTTTTTTGCCTTTTCTTTTTCTCAGGAAAAATGAATACCCAAAGAAGTCACCACCAAGTTTTTATCAAGTTACTAATAATTCAAAAGAGAGACCAGATGTGTGGATTGAAAACCCTGACAAGTAAAAATTTCTGTCCTGGTTTCTGTTACATTGGAAGGAATATATATTTTTCCTGACAGTATTCTGACCCATAATTTTTTTCTTCATGCTCCTCCTATCTTTTTCAGATCAATAATACTTTCCATTACTAGTGATATTCGGACCATAAGTTCTGAGGTATGTCTCTGTATTCCCATTTAAGTGAACGAAGCGTAAGATTTAGTTCATTTTTTTTGGACAACAAGTGTTTTTGTCCTTGGGAGATCTGTTATGCTTCCTTAATCAGTGTTCCTGCTTAAACCTGTGTGATCAAGACTGAACTCAATTTGCCTGTTCCAATTTCCAGGTATTTGCTGCTCCATACAACTTGAGATTTCCACGTATTGATAGAGTGCGATATGACAAGCCTTGGCATGAATGTCTTGATGTGCAGTGTAAGGAAACATAATCTGTTTTTTTCTTTCCTTTCTTTCTTTTCTTTTCTTTTCTTTTTTTTTTCCCCCGTGCATCACTGGTGTTGTATAAACTCATTTTTAGACCTATTGGACTTGGGTACTCTCTCTTGGTAGTTTGGTAATTGTTTCCTTTCACTTATTGCAGCATTTGTAGAGTTAGTAAATTCAAGTAATGGTACCACACAAAATGGGAAAGAGTACAGAGGTGTGCAAGATAACAAACCAACAGGCATGAAATCCTCCAGAAAAGGAGAGAAAAAGAGCGTGTCTGTTGTTCCATCTCATTTAACTCAGACTGATACTTCTGATGTCAAGGGGAAAACCTTGATATTTTCAAACATGGTGTTTTGTATCCTTCATCTGGTTATAACATGCTTTCATTTCTTTGCCTTGTTGGACTGACAAAAATATTTCAATTCTGCAGTAGAAATTTTCTTTGAGCTAATTGAACTAGAAAGTTTCTACTTTTATTGACTGTGCTGCTTTCTGGGTTTTAAATCTCCAATGCTGTACTAACAACTTTTTCCTTGGCTTCCCCCATTCCGCAACTTATTCCCTTAACATGTACAGACTTTGTTAATGTGCCTTCAACCAATTCTCTTGAATCCTTGCACAAAATGGTTGCTGAAAATGGGGGGACTTTCTCAATGAATTTAAATAACTCGGTGACCCACTGTATAGCAGCTGAAAGCAAGGGTCTCTCCCTCCCTCCACTCACCCCCCACTCCCTCTCACTGCACGCACATCCAGTTTCTCTTGTAAATACTGCTTTTTTTTAAGGAGAAAAATAATTTAGAGGAGTATGTCTCAGGAATTAAATATCAAGCAGCAAAGCTTCGTGGAGATATTATTCATTATTCATGGGTCTTGGATTGCTGTTTGCAAAAAAAGCTCCTTCCATTACAGCCAAAGTTAGTCCTGCCCTCATTTAGTTTATTGCTTGGCTTTTTATACTTTCAATTTAATGACAAGATGCGATGGTATATTGCTTTTGACTACGTATATGTTTTGAAGGTACTTCCTCTTCCTCTCTGATTGTTCAAAGAAGAAGTTACAGGAAGAAATTGATGAATTTTCGGATTCTTACTACTGGGACCTTGATCTTTCAGGCATCAAACAGGTGCATTAATTCGTTTATTATTGTTCACACATTTTTGAACACTTGATGCATTAATTCCCAATCTTATAATGTTTATGTATTGGAACTACTATAGACATACATGGAATTTTGAGGGAAATTCAATTCATTTTATTTATATAATTCTTTCCAGCTTTTGAGCAACATAAATACATCAGAAGATGCCAAAGCAATAGACTACTTTAAGAAAAAGTACTGCCCGGAGGAAAAATGGTCTCTATTTCATGGCTGCTGTGTATATTTTCACATTTCAGAAGAGTCTTTGTAAGATTTCATGACTTTTATTACATCTTTCTTGCCGTATATGGTTGAATGCCTTATTAGCTGTAGAGTTGTTCACCTGCTTTCTTGTAATTCACTTTTTCTTGAAGAACACCCGATTGGGAATCCTTGTTGGGACTTGCACTTAGGAGGTTGAAGCTTGAAATTTTCATGGGTGGTGGCAAAGTCAGCAATAATCTTGCTCATGCTACTCATTTGGTGGTCCTGACCATACCAGCATCTGATGTGGATTTTGATTCCCTTGTGAAAAGGTACTCCAAAGTTTATTCATTGTTTTCCTGCATGATCAAGGGTGTTTGGTAGCTGAAACTGTTGGTTACTTAGACCTCCTTTTTATGCAAAATTTTTAACTTTACGTTTGAATGTTAATTTCCATAGTAGAAAATCCATGAACTGTGAATAATCAGGCTGGTTTGAGTGTTATTATTTGTTCAATCTTTTCCTGCTAGTGTTCAAGTTTTTCTTAATCAATTGCCAGGTAAGCTACTAAGTTTTGTAAGAATGTGGAGCGTTAAACTGGTCCACACTTTCTTTCCTTTTTCCCCTTTTTGGAAATAACTTTTTAAGAGCGAGCCCATTGGTAGTGCAGTAGCAATACAACATTGTGTTACAAAGGTTATAGCCTTTTCTATACGGATAAAGAAACAGTTGAGTGGTGATTTCATTTATTACAACTATCAATTGAAGTTAATGGCAACACTTTGTTGTGTGATGCAGCAGAATCTATCAATTACATTTATTACAGCTGCTCCAAGAAAGATTTAGTTAAGGTTGCAATTTCATTTACTAGGGCTGTCAATTGAAGTTGGCATCATCATCTGTATATGATGCAGCAGGACCTGGTTTGCTAGATTTAGGTGGAAATTGAAAATTGATTATATTTCTGGGTGCTGATTAAATAGACCTACAATGGCTTTTCTCGGGATGGTCTTTAACAAGTTGAATTGAATCATTTGTTCCTTAGCTGGTGCATCTTTGCACATAACTCATACTTCCATGCCATCGCATATTTTCAAATCAACATGATTATTCGGAAGCATTTGTTGTGGCTCCAGCATATTTTCATGGTTTAATTATTTGGTCATTGTTCTGTATTGGAACATGAGAATCAGATTTGACACAGCCGCTATATTTTGGGTGTAGTGGTCCCTCTGTTTTATATCGCTATAGCTCTTTGTTTTATATTGTTGTAGTTCGCAACCAATTATTACTTAACTCTATTGATTGTCATGGTTTAACATTAAATAATACAACAGAGCAGTCTTAGAAACTTAATAGAGGTTGCTGATTGTGTAAGTGATTCGCCCTGTTAAATAATCAAGAAAAAATTGCATTTTTTGTTTTTAAATACTGGATCTTCTTTCTACAGTTTTACAGCTGGAGAAAAACATTTTCTCCTGAATAAGAGGTTGTATGTGGTTGGATCTCAATGGTTGGAGGACTCTTTGAAGAGGGTGCAAAAGTTGCCGGAGGATGCATATAACTTGAAGCCCTCTGGTTTGGAAGAGTCAAACTTTAAAGAATTGTAAGTGCATATGTACTTTAGTCTGAAAGAATTATAACTAAGATATCATCTTGTCCTTACTAAGAAGAAGAAATTCAAACACCTAGTCAGAAAAAAGCAATGCATTGGGTGAAAAGTCGTGCATTTGGTTGTAATGTTCAAACAGAAATCCAAGTCTTAATAGTAAGCTTGAAGACTTACTACACCAATATTCATAGCTTCCAACGATGCTACCTTCACCATTTACCCATCCCCTCGGACTAGAAAATTTTGCCTTTTTATTTTGGGCAGTCAAATCCTAGCTTTGCTATGACTTTTCACCTGCAGCTGGCCATATTTGATATAAAATCTTTATTCAATTGCATGTAGATGAGCTATTTTAGTTTGTTGCGACATCAATTTGATGGTCGTTTTTTTGGGACAATCATTTTAAACTTGTTAGTGAAAATGGTGATCAATATGCTGAAATTTCTGATGATAGTTTTTGAGATATTGGCTTATACTTTGTATTGACGAATATTAGAGAATTATTTTAACTCATAAATATAATTACTCATATTTTGGTTGGATTTCAATAGCTTGCTCACATATTCATAACCGTGCCTTCAAAAATTCTTTTATTCAATTTTATAGGCAGTGAACTAACACCACTTGTCTACACTTTCTTCTCTTTACCCCCAGTGTATGTGACCTAGTTATAGAAGAAGCCTCTCCCATTTTAGAAGGTGCAGGAAATGAGAGATTGCAATCAGTTCTTGACAGTAAAGCCAAGGAGAAAGGAGGCAAAGCTGCTTTGAAAGATTCTAATATATTGTTCTCACCAAAAAAGGAGACAAGGAAAAGAGGGAGGCCTGCTGGTGGGAGCACAAAGAAAGGAAAGCTAGGTGTTGGCCAAGCTCGAAGAACACGTGCACGCATAACAAACAAGCCAGCAAAAATATGTGAAGAGGATTCAGATGCAAGTGGTTCACATGATGATAAAAATGAAGAAAACGAAATGAGTGAAGGAAATGCGGAAATTCATGGAGGGAGGCCTGCTCGTGGGAGCACAAAGGAAGGAAAAATAGGTGTCGGCCAAGTTCAAAGAACACGGGCACGTATAGCGAACAAGCCTGCTAAAATAACTGAAGAGAAATCAGACGAAAGCTGTTCACATGATGATAAAAATGAAAACCAAGTGAGTGAAGAAAATGATGAAATTCATAGAGGAAGGCCTGCTGGTGGGAGCACAGAGAAAGGGAAAACAGGTGCTGGCCAAGCTCGAAGAAGACGCGCACGTATAACAAACAAGCCTGCTAAAATATCTGAAGAGAAATCAGATGAAAGCTGTTCACATGATGATAAGAACGAAGAAAACAGAATGAGTGAACGAACTGATGAAATTCATGAACCAGTGAGGAAGCCCAATTTGGATATCGAACAAACTACAATCTTGGAAGATTCAGAGTCATCGCATAGAGGTAAAGCAAAGGAGAAGACTGCTGAAGAGAACAGACACAAAGAATGGTTGGATGAGGCTCCTGATGTTGAAATGACTGAGAGGCGTTATGACCGGGTGAGTGAGAAGCCTGAGAAACTAGAACTAATGGCTGATCCAGTTCATGCCATGTTAATGGACATGATTCCAAGCCTTGGCATGAAGAAGGTGGAAACCATAAATCCAACTCTTGATAATAAAAATCGAGCTGAAGATCCCTATGCTCGGCCAAGCCTCAGTACAATGGTGGAAAATATAAATCCAACTCCTGATAGCGAAAAGCCAGCCGAAGATACCAGCGCCCAGCCAGTGAAGAAGAAAAAAGTCAGCTTCAAAGATCTTGCTGCCAAACTTCTCAAGGATTAGCAACAACTATGTATTTATGTATTTTGTTGTATATATCATCCATGATCCGAACAATGATTTTGTACCCTTTTACAAGTTTACTTTTCAAGAAGGTCAGCTGGCGCACGGTGAGCAATGAATTTTTTGGCCCTCAGCCCTGGAGCATACCGGACAGGTCATTTTGGAGATTTGGTTAAATACTATATGGAATTAATAGTTTAATCTATCTTCATATAATAAAATAAATTCTCGTTTCTCAATTTGTTTTATATCTTTAATTAAATTTATTTTATCTTAGAATATATGTTACATTTTTAATTTATTTTTTTGTCAAAATTTTCAAGTCAAATCACTAAAATTATTCAAACGGTTGTGTATAACTAATTTTTATTTTTAAAATATATTTACGAGCAAATGAAATAGAAAAGTTTTCAAGATTTTTAGATTAAATCACTGGAATTGTTTTCCATCTACTTTTTAATCAAAATTTTAAAGCCAAATTACTAGAATTAATCATATAATTTGCACATAACTAATTTTTATTTCTAATAAAATATTTTTACAGATCAATCTGAAAAATCTTGTCAAAAGAATAGACTAAACACTTATGGTATATTTAAGATAAAATTGGTAATTTAATCTAAAAATTTTGCCAAAAAAAATAGACTAGCATTTATCGTATATTTTAAAAATAAAATAAAATTAGTTCAAGTAGAAATATAAAAACAAATTAGAAAACTACCTTGTCATACGGGCACAAATTGACCCATTAACCCCACTATATGGGATGAATTTAACATGTTTGCTTGTTCATACATTGAACACCACATATTTCCACTGCTATTTTGTCATCTATTACAGTTGTTTGTCATAAATTTAGGGATTTATCTTACTATCATTGAAGGGATTTTCTTTTGAGGAAACTGAACCACGAGAAAAAAATTGAATCTCAACATCTCCACAAAACAAAACTAGAGCCAGCCTTAAATACACCATTTTTTTAGCATTCAACGGCCAGAAGAACAACTCAGGCCGCTGTGGTCTCAAGCATCCTGCTCTCTATTTTTTGCGTGAACCGAATCATATGCTAGCTATTAAGTTTATCATTACCTTGCAAAATATTCTAAAACAGTAGTAGCATTAACTACACTACTGGTAAGTGATAACCATCAGCAGGGTCTCTGTGAGCCGAATCGAGAAAAAACAGTCTGCACGGTGATAAATGAAAGCAAGAGTACGATGATAACATCTGAGGAGAGCCGAGATTAGCTGTTTGATACCAGAAAAATGGAAATCATCTCAAAATCACCATCCATACTTGGCGTGTGTTTCAGCTTTAGTGAGGAACCCTTTGGAACGCCGCTCTGCCAATTCTGTCTCCTTCTGCTTCATATCAAAGTACAAGGTACTGATTTGATGCTTCCTCTTGTGCAGCTTCGATGGCTTCCCTTTCGATGAAGCAGGCTGCAGAAGAAGGCAAATATATATATATATATATATATGATTACATAGAGAAACGAAATTAAATATACAGCTTGGCAAATTTAAAGGAATTCATACATTAAGCCAGACCCATGCTCACAAAAGAACAATAAACCATCGATTTTGATGGTCATGTTATAATTTTAGCTTAACATCTAATCAAAATTAACAATTTAGCACATGGCAGAGGTATCTTAGGCCTTTATGCTGGGGTCACAGCTCTCCATGATATGAAGCATTGTACTGTCCTGCACAAGTAAGCACCTGCTTTGCTTCCATTTTTTCACTTTTCTTTCCACATGAATAACCTTTCTGCCTGCCTATTTCCTTCTCTTACTATCAGTAACCACATGATGGTATAGATGAAATTTTTTGTCATACTTACAGTTACATTTAATGCATTAAAAAAACAAAAACTTTAATGGATAAGACCCAGCAAAACTAAGTATAGTGAAGGTCCTAATCTTCAGTGTTCAGCATGGAGTCACTTCTCTCATGCCTTGCCTCCACTCTCACACTCAACAGCCAAACTCTTACCACTTCACCGGAAAATGGCCTCTATCTAGTCCTTAACCTTTATAATCAACCAAAATAAAACAGTCACTAAATATTTGTCACCTAATGATGAAAATCTGAATTTATTACCTAAAAGAAATAGACGTTTTCCTCCAGTAAGTATTCTGGTGACAAGGCATTAGAAATTACTTTTCCAACTTATTGATAGCTAATATCACCTAAACTAATTTTTGAATTTGTGGAATTCGCTCTCAGACCTTAAGTCACAGATAATACATTTTCTTTCTTTTTTTTTCTTGTTTTTTTTTTTAAAGAATTCTAAGAGACACAACTAGAGAATTATTCCAGGAAGGGTCGTATTCTTCAATATTCTTGATGCCTGGCTACTCTCATGACTTGCTGATGCTCTTTCACTTGACAGCCAGATTCTGACCAGTGCACTGGAAAACGGCCTCTCTTGTTTTCAACCTTAATAATCAATCAAATTGAAATGGATAACAAGGTTTTGCCTCCAAATGACCAAGATCTTAGTGTTTTATCACAAAAAAGATTGATGATTTTTCTCCAGCAAGTACTCTAGTATTCCTTGAATAGGCATTAAAATGACCTTCAACTTATTGATAGCAAATATCACCTGAATTTAAAGCATCGTGAAAGATGAAACAAATTATCTTTCACCTTGAAATTTGAATTTTGAGTCACCAACATGCTGAAAGTTGTGAGGTTCCGGTAGAAGTAATCCTTTCATGGTTTTATAGGTCAGACCATAGTATTCTATGCTTACGTTCTTAAACTTATATGATTTTCATGGACTCTGTACTTAGAATAGACTAAAATTATTTTCGTAATTTAGTCTTGGCAATCTCCAGGGAATTGAGTGTGTGCTTAATCGGGAAAGAAAAGGCATTTTGTGGTGGACTTGAAAAATATTTATGGAGAACTGCCCATTTTAAGAAAAAGCCTCAAAGCTTATTCTGCTATTTTCTACGAGCTCCCCATGATTAGGAACAAGATGAAATAAAAGAGTTTATGATTCTTGGATATTCAAGAATCTAGGGTTTCTCATCTCTATACTCCAAATGGGAGCATTTTGCAGTCCTCACAGAAAGCCACTAGGGTACATAAAAAGAGATCCTTCACTTTAGTTGGAGACACACACTGCTCTCCTCAAAACGCCAAAAGACCGTTACACACTATCTCGTGTCACTATTATGCAAGGAAAAATGACTCGTTGTGTACCCACTATTAACACAAGACACAGGGTTCAAGTGCCATGCTTTGCAAGCCCTTGCCAGTTACAGTAGTCCAGTGGTGTTTTTCTTATTAAGAACCAACTTCAAATAAAAGTCTTAACCTTGGATGGGACCTTAAGCTTCATGAATATGATTGACCAGAAGGAAACAGAAAGAAGTATAGAACTCTAGCTTAACTAAATCAATAGATCAGTTTAAAAAACCTATATAACCATTTTGATACACCAGTAACTATTTTGCAAAATTTAAATTATCAATCCATGCTTTTGTTTCTCGATGTGCATACATAAAATAAAAACCCCATATCCCTCTTCAGCAAAACAATTGTAAAAGCACTAAAGCAGTCAAGAAATTACGTAGGCATGGGCAAAGCAAATATTGATGAAATGAAACAAGGACATTATAACTCATTGAGACAGGACACATTATAATTCAGAAAACAATATAATTTATGCCATATATGTATAAGAAACACTCTATCAATTCCAAAGCACCAAACAATGCAATAAAACATTAGTTCCCCAACTACAAATAAACAACAAATCAAAATTTCCACACATGTAAAAATCATCATCAACAAATAAACCAAACAAACCACATATAAACAAGAAGTAATAAATTCAATACCTGATAAGCCGGCCCAAAAGCAATTCCAGTTGACTTAACCTGGTCCTCCCTCGGCCGATTCTTCATCAACTCATCCTGCTTCACCTCAACAATTTCAGTTGGTATCTCATTCCTTCTTCTCTTCCCCATCGCTCTCATTGCAATTTCAGCTGCCCCTTCACCTCCAGTCTCAGCCACTGCTGCCACTGAACCACCACCCCAATTATTCCCATACTGCCCATAACCACCACAACTCTCATACCCTCCATAACTACCATCATCACCACTAACACCAACAACATTTTGATCAACACTTTGATCAACCCCAGATTCATAACTACCATAATTTACATAATCCCCTCCACTTTGATCATAACCTGCATAACCACCATCATAACTCACATAACCCTCACTACTTTGATCAACCCCAGATTCAGTTTCTCCACCAACACCACCAGAACTAGAAGTAGGCCCCTCAGTTTCAATCACAGACCTCCTTCCAAACCCAGAACCCAATGAACCAACCCCTAAAGTAGATGAATTTCTAGGTGCAGGTATACTAGACAAGAAACCCTTCCCTGAAGAAGAATCAGATTGCAACAAAGCCTCATTCTTTTTTCTTTTTCTCTCCTTTTCCTCCTCCTCATCTTCTTCATCTTCCTCGTCTAAAATTGAGGGTCTGTTAATGGGAGGCTTAAATTGAACAACCCTTTTAAGATTAGTGTCTGAAACTGTTAAATTTGATATGGGCTGCTGTAAAGTTTCGGTTTTTGGCTGCGGTAAAGAAGAGAAAAGAGCGGTTCTAGATTTAAAGGTTAGCTTTTCATCTTCTTCTTCGATATCAGCAATTCTATTGTGTTTATTTTGGGGTTTTGCGGTGGGTTCTTGATGTTGCTTTTGTTTGGGTTGTGGAAGAGAAGAGAAGAGAGAAAGACCAGATTTAGGTTGTGGAAGAGAAGACGAAAAGGAGGGTTTCCTTGGAGGAGAGGCTGGAGTTTGGTGCTGTTTCTGGGGTTGGGATTGCTCATCTTCTTCATCTGAAGAAGCATAGCTGGCTAACAAGTCCATGGTAGAGAAGGAGATGGAGGTTGATTGAGGTTTGAGAGAGAGAGACTGAAGAACTTTGAAGGAAGATTTTGCTCAATGGACCGGTCACAGGGTTGAGGCTCTTGAGGCTCTATGCTTGTCATCCAAAAAAAAAAAAAGTTGAAAACAATTTATTGATGACTAAGTTCAAATATAGGTTGTGATTGAAGGACTAATTTAATGATCAAACAAATTGAAATACAAGGATGAAACTGATAATTTTTAAAATATAAGGGCTGGAGTGAAATTTTGGATCAACTTTCAATCAATTTTAGACTTTTTTTTCGATGAGAATTAATTTTGATAATTTTTAGGGACAATGTAAAAACGATAGGTCGTTTAAGGAATTTTAAAGCGCGCTTCTCAGAATATTTATTTTAGACGGTGCGTTTTGAGAAAACTATAAAAAATTCCAGTTCCCAAAATTCCCTCCTCAGCAAAGCACGGCGCAGAGAAGTCTCCATCGCCGTTAAATATGGACAGCAAACCCTCCGGTTCGCCGGCGACGTTTGTAGATCACTTAGTGGTGAGTTTTCATCATCTCCTCGAATGTTCTAGTTTTCTTTCCAATTCGTACATTTATCAAAATCTTTCCCCTTCTGTCTCACTGTCAAATTGTAGGTGCCAGGAGATTTGGTGGTGGATCTTTCTAGCATGACTAACCAGACGATTAAGCTTGGTGGTGGACTCCGTCAGGTCTCTATCTCTTAGGGTTTTTTATTTTTATTTTTTGAACTATAAAGTTTGTTTCTTTATTCAAATTTTCAGTTGCTTTAAATTTGACAGGACTGTGATGCTATATCTGTGATGAAAGCAGGGAAATTGAGGTTCTCAAAGCCAAATAAATATTGGGTTGAAACCTCCCAAAAAAGGGTATGCTTAGTTCTTTGGTGATGTAGGAAGCTGCGAGTTTGCTTTTCATTGAAAATTTTAAAATAGTTTAACAGTTTGAAAGGCATCACAATTATGAGCTAAATGGAAGGATTTATTTGTTTTAAATATTTTTTTGAATGGTTTAGAGAAAATAATGGTGGGATTTGAAAGGCATTTCAGTTTTTGCTACGAGGAATGAGCATTTTTGGTGATGGAATTTATTTATTTGTTTGTTTATTGATCAGTAATCTTATTTTTTAGGTTATGCGTTAATGCCACCAATGAATACTCCAGCAGGGTGCTCAAAATTGAAAAAAATTATATATATAAAGAAGAAGAAATAGTACTTCTTTGTGATTGAGTTAGTATTTTGTGTGGTCTTGTATCCTTACTGCCGCTGCTTTTGTCATTTTTTCATTTTAGATTTCAATCTCAACTTGATTTATGTAAAATTATATGAATTCTACAAATTTTACGGAAAGTTCCTTCCCTAAATCACTATAAAAATCTCATTCATTCAGTGGATGGGATCCATAGTGAGACACGCTTATCAAATGAATAATATTATTATGCCAAGTCATTTCTGGAAGGAACTCTGCGTTAAGATTAGCATTACTTTTGTCAAATTATCTGCTTTGTTTCAAACATAACTTTCAATATTTTTGGTGGTTGATAGTCATTATCTTGTGTATGATGGTTTGTTTGTTTGCGTACAGTACGTGCCGTGTGTGGAGGACACTATTCTTGGAATTGTTGTAGATTCTAAAGCAGATGTAAGCTGTGTTCTTAATCAGTTGATGCATGCCAACTTTCTTCCTGCTTTGGCTTTGTGAAATAGGCTTTTGCAGTTTTTTTTTTTTTCTCCAAAAAGAAATATGTTAAATTGGAAAGGCAATTGGGAAATTCAATTTTTATTGTTAACATGCTTATTCAGGTCAATGAATTTGATATCATTATATCATCTATTAACAAGGTTAATCTTTAACAAGCAAAATTGACTGAATGGAATTGTGGCATAAATCAATCGGTTTCTTAATTAGCTTGGAAGACAAGGAAGCATTAATAGGAAAGACCTGATACAATTTATCTTCTTTCTTGCGCTATTCTCTGTGATCAATAACAGCTAGACCAGTGAATGGATATTGAGAATTCAGTGTAATGAAGGGATACTATTAACTACTAAGTGCTGAATCATGTACATTTTCCTGATTTGTGTACTTCATGTAAGGTCTTTAAACTGTTGCAAGGGTTTTGTTTATGAACCAGTGCTCATATTTGTTCTATTTATTTCTTCTTTCCATTTGTTATGTTAAATGCTTGTTCTGTATGTTTCCCATATCCTTCCCACAGTTTGAAAATACTTTATCTTTATTTAGATTCGTAGTGTTTTACATCCATCTTGCATTATAGTATATCATTGAATCTAAACGCTGGCCTTAACTTTTAATTTGCAGAACTTTCTTATCGACATAAAAGGACCTGCCTTGGCATTTTTGCCTGTGCTTGCTTTTGAAGGAGGGACTAGGAGAAACATACCCAAATTTGAGGTTCATACTCATCAAGTCATAAATATCCATTAGTGGCAATGTTTACTTGGTCTATCCTTTGGTTTCTGTTGTGTAAGGAAATTGTATCAAATAGTTTGCAATTATGATATCTTTTCAAGACTCAAAAGTCTGAATATATCTCCAATAATCACTTCTTATTAGTCTCATGGACTGCATCATAAGTTTTGCTTGTCATGGTGGAAAACTAGAATTATGAGGATTCTGTAAAAGTGAAATTGATCATGAGGAAACTTTATTTGCTGCAATTCGAAATATGAGACCTGGGAAAAATATACACTATATTACTATAATGAGGCTACTGTTATACCAATTTTAAGAATTCATCATAACAAAGCACATAGTTTGTAGCTGTCATAACAGTGTCTGCGTTTTGGCTTGGTGCACAGTCTAGATTATTTCTCTCTTCAATCATTCATAAATGAAAAAAAAAAAACCTGTGGCTCAACCCTTCGAATTTCTAATGTTTCCTTTGACTAATGCTTCTTGGCACAGGTAGGTACTCTGCTTTATGTTCGAGTTGTGAAGGCAAATCCTGGAATGAATCCTGAGTTGTCATGCACTGATGGTTGGTTAATCAACATGCTTGTTCTTATGTCATTTTAGTGTTTGGTTTGTTTGTGAATCATTGCAAACTATTTCTTGAGCTTTCTTTAAATGTTTCTGTTTCGTAGCCAGCGGGAAGGCAGCAGAATTTGGTGCTCTCAAAGATGGCTACATGTTTGAATGTTCAACCGGTCTATCGAGAATGTGAGACATGTCCCTTCATAACTTTTAATATACAGCCACTGCCTTAAGATGGTTACTGCATAACAAAATTACTTTGCTAGCTTCCCTCTGTATGTTGCATGATGGATTCTCCTTCATTGTTAGGCTGTTGAGCTCACCAACATGTCCAGTTCTTGATGCTCTTGGCAAGAAGCTCTCCTTTGAGATAGCAGTCGGCTTAAATGGCCGTGTTTGGGTATGTTTTTTTAGCACTGTTACGATATTTGTTTTCAATTTTTTTAGTTTTCCTCGCACTTCATTCATTCTTTTGTTTCGTTACCCATCTCTGCTTTAGGCATGTTTGCCTTACTATGCCAACTTTCAATACCTCAACACTGCTCTGTTTTGCATGTGTAGATGAGTTCGACTTTTAATAAATATTACCATTTCTTTTTCCTTTTTGATTATAGGTGAATGCTAATTCTCCATCAACAGTTATTATTGTTGCCAATGCAATTATGAACTCCGAATCTTTGAGTGGGGTGCAGCAAAAAATTATGGCAGAGAAATTACTTCAGAAAATTCAGGTAAATTCATAGCGTTTATGATTCAACCCCCTATACTTAGTCCTGACATCCTTGGATTGATTTTTCCCTTTTGCGATCATGAGTCCAATTTTCTGAACTTCAATAACTGCAGAACGATTAGAGAAGAATTGCAAATGTTGTCTCTTGTATCTACCATATTCATTGATTGGAGGGGACAGGGTCATATGCATGCAGAAGTTTCAAGGCACCAAAATTTAACTGTCACCAGCTCATGGTTTCGGAGGCTAATAATGACAAGTATTTCTTGAATGTACATGAACTGTTGTGGACAAAACTGCCACTTTTTTCTGTTATCCTGCAACTCTGAGACTTACTTATTGATTGTCTTGGACTGTAAAGACAAAGCACCGACAGAAGATCTATCGTGGATGGCTTTTGCTCTGACCAGACCATACTGCAGTGTACAAGGAAACAACATGCTTGGTTAATTTGGTTCTATCTTCAACTGCCAGTTTCTCTCTAAGGCTTTTCAACTTGGTTCGGTTGCTCCAGGAACACAGCACCTTCATTGCATGCCATGCTTCTACCTAGAAATCTAATTCCATTCCTAGCTATATCTGGTGGAGAAAGTTCTAATTCAAAATCTAAAATTTTCATCGTCATCACTGGACCAAAAGTTCTTTTTTTTATTTTTTAATCCAGTGGTTACTGGAAGTGGCAATTGATTGGCTGCAGTTTTGATTGAAAACTTGGGTTTTAATTTCTTTAGAGAGAATTCTTGATTTGGGTTTTCATTGAAAATTTTGATTAGGGTTAAAATACTGAATTCCAGAAACAAAGTTATAAAAAAAAAAAATCAGAGAGAATACTTCAGCTGGACAGCATTGGCATGAGCTGTAGTCAATTTTGACCTCGTTGACATGCATGGAAAATAAAAGGTTTAATGTCATAATTTGAGTGAATTATAAATTGCTTCCTCTTCGTTTGAAAAACGAATTAATTAGTTTTTTTGGTTTTAAGAATTAATTACTTAGTCCTTCGTCGTTCAGTTGGCGCTGTTTTGGGGTTGGGATTGCTCTTCTTCTTCGTCTGAAGAAGCATAGCTAGCTAACAAGTCCATGGTAGAGAAGGAGATGGAGATTGATTGAGGTTTGAGAGAGAGAGAGAGAGCGAAGAACGTTGAAGGAAGAGTTTGCCCAATGGACCCGTGACAGGTATGCTTGGTCATCCACAAAAGAAAAGTTGAAAATTTATTTATGACTAAGTTGAAATATAGGTTGTGATTTAAGGACTAATTTAGTGATCAAACAAATAGAACTACAAGGTTGACACTGAAAATTTTTAAAATACAAGGGCTGAGGTGAAATATTGGAAGAAATCAGACGCACGTTGTCTGAATAAAAAACTGATGATGATACCAATTAATTATGGCAAAATCAATGATTATTGCATGATCTAGCAATTGGCAAAGAAAAAAACACATGATCTATGCATTAAAAATTATTTCTATCATCGGAAATACACCAAATTCTTAGTTTATAAGGGCATTGCAAAAAAAATGAAATGATGGAGAGCACCAAAATTTGCTTTGAGGGCTTACATGAAGAGGTTGTGTGTGTCATTCAGCCAGGAATGACCTGCCGGCAACGACGAACACAAAGCTTAAGTAGAACAAAGCTATCGTTTATTTTCTCGCCGGCAAGTTGTCTTTGGCTACATTGTACTCTCTTCTTCTCATGTAAACCCTACTTGGCAGCAAGAGCAAGAAGAAGAAGAAGCTAATCCAAAACACTTGGCCTCGAGAGGATTAACAACCGGTAAAGTTTTGCTCTAATATATATATATATATATATATATATATATATATATATTTTTTTTTTTTTTTTTTTTTTTTCATTTCATAAATTATGATTGTGCTATTAAACTTGATAAGATAAACATTTCGTTGACGTTTAAGGCTTCCCAAAAGGCAACTGGCAATATACTCTTCTGACGAGAACAATTTATCAACCACAGAGATGAAATTCTTAATCTTACTTTAAGACTTGTAAACTCTTCCATAGGATTAGTATAAACCATAGGTCAAAATCTACTATTCAATGCATCAACATATTCTACTCAATCAATACTAATACCTACTTCTTCAATACTGATAATGTTCAGTATTTGATTTAAATTGAAAAACCAAACGAATTATCAATTTCGATTTTATTTTTAGCTAAACAATTTATAAAAAACTGAACCAAGATTATGTGGGTTTTTCGGTTTTTGGTTTGATTTTTGAGATTTTAGGTTTGGTCTAAACCGAAAACCGAATGTTTTTTGAATTTTTTCTGAATTTTTTAAAATTTTAATAAAAATAAATAAATAACTCGATACCTTAAAATTATTATAAATGTGCGATGGATTGAAAGTATTTTTTATCTATTTATATTATTTTAAAAAAATTACAAAAAATTGATTTAAACCGAAAAAACCAAAACCAAAAATTGAAATTTTGCTTTTTTAATAAAAAATCGAATTAATATTCGATTTGAATTCGGTTAACCAAAAATCAAATTAAAATATTACAAAATCGAACCAAAAAAATGAATGAACACTCCTATTCAATACTACTACATTTCAATTAGCAAAATTTCCATTATAACCATGGTTTCTACCAGTTTGATCATCGTTTGCTCCTGCATTAACCCCAACTCGAAAGCTTTTTTTAATTTGTGTCATTTCATAATTATGTTGTAAAGCCAAATTATCTCATTTTTTTGTAGGAATTAGAAATTCCCCTGGTGAGATTATCCATTGACTCCACCTTTTTGGATCTTCATTTCTTTTCCTTTACCATTATTACTTTGCTATCTTACTGCTCTATAGATGCCAAGATTTGCTACGTTACCAAACGTTGCAATTTATAATTCCAACAATTAAAGAACTCAAGGGAAAGAATGAATCAATCTATGATTTTGTTATTAAAAATCATAGAGAAAATCATGAAGAAAGTTACATATAGATCCGAGACAAATTCATTTTCCACAATTATCTCATTTATACAACAACCAAGAAAAAATTAATTTTAGAATAAAGACAAAAAAATTACAGATGAATATTATAAAATATTTTTTAATTTCTTTTCTACTTCACAAAAAAAATTAAAGGAATGATATATAATATTGCAATTACATTGATACTCTTATGAAAACATTGGTTAGATTAGAACTAGGAGGATCAAAGTGAAATTTATACATAGTTGGAAGGCATAAATATTTTGTTTGTTGCATGATTCAATATATATTGCATGTAAGAACTAAAAAGCCAATCCTTTCTGTATGACACTGTATTTGAATTTCTAATAAAAAGCCAATTTTATTATTGATTTTATTTATCATTCAAGTTAAGATGTTGGAGATAACTTAAATTAACTTAATTATACTTAACTCGAAAGTATTAGATTATTATTTTATGACAAATAAAATATATCTATGTTATTTTATCATTATTCTAATATTAAATTCATATAAATTCAACCATAAATATTTTTTTAATATTAAATTCATATAATTCAATTATAAAGATATTATAACAATGGTTTTACCTCGTAATTTAGTTATCTGCAATAATTTTATTGGGTTAGTCAATAATCTTGATTGGTGAATCAAGTCCGTATAATAATATCTTAGGCTAAACGATGCCTTGTTAAGAATCAATTGAATTTCCTAATTAACACTCCATTTTTTTATGATAGAATTTATTACAAACAATCATAGAAGTTTGTATATTAAACAGATTTCATTTAATATTTTTTACTATAATAATAAAATTATAAAAATAACCATGACACTCAATTATAGTTTAAAATCGTACATATATATGTTCTCAACATTTGTTTGAACATGAATTTAGTTTTGATCGTTGTGCAATCTGATTTAAAAATAATTTTACCGTCAAACAAAAAAAATATCATATATAGATTTCTTTTTACAATGTTAGGTTCTAAAATATACTAAAATCAAGGAAATTATAGCAAGATATCAATATAGTTTTATTTAAAATCGACAATATTGATATAATCGTACCTAATAGTGCTAACGTTGCTTTTGTACTTTTTTTCAGCATTTGAAAATAAAAAAGGTATGTTTAATGGAAAAACAAAATAAAAATAAAAATTGCTTTGTTGGGAAGAGGAAATTAAGTTTTTTTTTTTAAGCATACTTTTTTTATATATATAAAAGTTAAATAAAGGATTTAAACGTAGATTTTTTTCTGTCAATTATAATAAAATTCAATAAAAATAGAAAGAAATAAATATGTTTAGGTTATCCTTATCAAGCTACCTACAGTATCTCCCTTTCTACGATATATTGGTTAAAAACACATTGTAGTCCTCTTAATTGTTATTTGGTAATAAGAAATAAAATAGTAGGAATAAAAATAAAAAATTTATTCCCACTTTGTAGATGTTTGAAAAAAAAAATGAAAGAGTGGAAATCAAACAATTACCACCATCACCCCCTTCGAGTTCATCATCCGAGATGTGAGAATAAAAATAAAAAGTGAGAATGTAATTTTTTTCTTTAAAATAGTTTCTTGTTATTTTTATTTATTGTGTATCGAGTTATTTCTATCATCATCATTGCCTCCACCTTCACAATCACCACCGACGGTGGTGTTAAATTTTTTAAAAAAATATATAATAATAATTATTATTTCGTCCCTATTTTTTTTCCACCACCACCATCACTTTTATTATTTCACCACTATCATCATCATTCTTCCGTTGCCACCTCTTATAGTAGTAGTATCATTTTTTAAAATATATATTATTAATATTACTATACTACTATTATTATCACTTTCTCTTTCTCCACCACCACCATCATCACAATCACTCTATCATTTTTACTATTGTCATAATTGATAAAATTATTTTCTTAATCATTATTTTTATTTATTTTAAAAATCAAATATTCAAAATTTTAAAATTTCATTTCAATTTTTTATTATTATTCCAAACACAATATAAAAATACAAACCCTATTCTAATTTCTTAATTTTCATTCTTATTCTTGTTTTTTTTTTCAAACCTTTCATTTTCAAATTCTTAATAATCATACTGATTCTTATATTTTTATTTTAAACCTTTCATTCTTAAATTCTTAATAACCAAACAATACTTTAAAAAATTTAAACACAGATTTTTTTTTGTCAATCTTTTTCCTTGAAATGTCACCATTCTCATTAACTAAGTCAAAGAATTTTGAATTGAAGTCACTTCTAAATTTCCTTTGACGCAAGAAATGTTATAGTTCTTGGAGGCATGGGCCACTAAAAGAAATTGCCCTCCCAAGATCCATAAACTTATTATATCAGCCTATGTTTTTCCTTTGGTCCATTATACTTTTTTACTTCTCCAAGTTAGTGTGTTTTTTATTTATTTTGAGTTGCAAAGTCAGGGAGAACTTAGGAGACATATACTTGGAAAGCACAATTATTATTACATGGTTCTTCCCCTTTGCAACAAAAGGAGAAAAACACCAGGAGGAAAAGGGGAAAAGAAAAGAAAACTAAGACTCTTCATCAAGGAAACAAGGAGGAAAAACCTCAACAAAGAGAAAAAAAGAACTAAGGGGGAAAAAACCCATGGTTACAAAGTGATAAATATGTAGTTACATGCTCATAGGACTTAAAGGATCATTAAGAGCTGCAATAGCTGTTTCAATTCTTATCTTCAAATCATCTTTCTCTTCTTCATCTGCCTGCAACACAAATTATAAATTATAAATTATAAATTAGTCCTTTTATTTAAAAAAAAAACCCAAATGTGCAAAATCATGAATGCAATTCCAAGATCTTTTGCTTTCATTATTGAAGCCAAGAGTAAATTATAAATTAGTCCCTTTATTTAATAAAAATAAATTAATTAATTCCTCTTGTTTCAAAAGCTAATTAACTAGTTTTTTAACTAGTATTGATTATTATTTAAAACTTGATCGGAAATAAATTTAATTTCAATGCATGAAAACTAATTTGAAAAAAAAAGCTTAATGTGCTAAAACTTGATAGGAAATAAAATTTAATTTCAATAGGTGAAACTAATCCCGAAAAAAAAATTAATGTGCTAAAACTTTATAGGAAATAAAATTTAATTTAATACGTAAAAACTAATTCGAGAAAAAAATTTAATGTCCTAAAACTTGATCGGAAATAAAATTTAATTTTAATACGTGAAAACTAATCCGATAAAAAATTTAATGTGCTAAAACTTGATCGGAAATAAAATTTAATTTCAATACGTGAAAACTAATCTGGAAAAGACTTAATATGCTAATATGATGTATTCTTAAGATTCTTTGGGTTAAAAAAATAAAAAATAAGGACAGTGGAGTATAAATTCCCCTAAGTAGCGTAATCCAGCCGTGGAACAAGGAAAAAATTGTCTTAATCGGGTGATTGATTGACCAAAATTTTCAAACATAGCAGGTGTTTTAGTTTCCAATTTTTTAAATGTAATGAACAGAAATCATTTAAATAAACAATTCAATAAAATATGTAGACGACAAAATGCTGATGAAAACTAGTTTTCCAAAAGATCATGCTATCAAAATCACACATTAATTAAATCAAAAATTTATTGTTGTGAAGTTTTAAAATATTAAAGCATAGGAATCAATTCATGATTTGAAAATTACGTGGAGCCTAAGCATCACATCTTGAAAAGATTTCATAATATTAAAAAATGATACCATGGGCCTACGAATAATCTAAATAATTTAATGCTTTTATATATATAAATAATAAAAGATTTTCGAATCAATTTTTATTTAATCGAGACTAAATTGATAACTTTTTTGTTGAATCACCGATGGATTTTTTTTTCCCCCTCACAAGTTAGGATAATAAGCAGAATTGTCATGTAGCTAATCATAGTCGTGGTTCAAGACATATTTAATTAATTAATTAGAGCACGGTGCGCAAAAAACATGTTGACGTGATGCACAAAATTTTCTCAAGATGGGTAAAATAGTCGGATTAAGGGTGCGAAAAAAGATCTTGTAATCTCAGCTGATAAAGACTTTCAACCAACGTATTAATGATAACAATGTGTAATGTTTTCATCTTTATGTAAGCTTTTAGGTCAAACAAGAACTTGGGGTGAAAATAAAAATTTGATAAGTTTTATATCTTGTAAATAATCAAAATTAGAGAAAAATTAACAAGCTCACAAAAAAAAAAAAAAATTGCTAGAAATAATATCTATTTAATTTCTGTAAGGAAAAAAATTCCAAATCAAATCGCAGCTCACAATCACTTTGCAATGGTACTATAAAGCTGTCTAAAAGGTTATTAAAAAAAATAAAAGAAAAGGCCATCCGTAAATTTAATAGTTGCCAAATAAATAAATAAAAGTGACTAAAGCACAATTTATTTGGAGGTTGGCAATGAAATGACAGGTAGCGTTAACTTTTGAAACTCCAAACTTTAAGAGTTAATTATAAATTAATCTTTTTTTATTTTTAGAAAACAAATTAATTAAATTGTTTTAAAAAGCTAATTACTTAATCTCTTAATTAGTCTTAATTACTTATTATAATTTTTTTTTATCGATCTTTTCATCATATCTACTTTTTTATTTAAAGAAAAACAAAATAAATTGGAAACGGACATAAAAGGAATGGAAAGGATTAGATCATTAATTTTTGAAAAAAATAGACTAATTAATTTATTTCTTAAAACTTAAGGGACTAATTTATATAGTATTGGTCAACAAACATGGGAGGCATGTGTTTGAAGGTTTGCTTTAGCTCCGAAAGCAAAGCAAACCTCGTCTATTACATGAGCATGAAGAAAACAACACGGTTTATAAAATAGAAAACATTGTCTATTGCATTTGCATGCATCTCATCTCTTTTTATGCCATGAGTTTTGTATGCTTTTTCTTCGAATGTTTCGGGAAATCTCGATAGTGGAGACACGTTAGGTGTAATTAATCACCTGTTTTTATGAATCATTGAGTTTTACATTTGATTTACATGATTTTAGTGTGACTAACAAAATTCATAATGTAATAATAGTGGAAGAAAATAAGTAGGTAAAGATCTTCATCAAAAAGAAGAAAAAAATTCCCACTTCCCACAAAAAAACAATAGCAAATTAATGGGGTTAGATCAGAAAATAGAGAAAAGGTGAGTTGTGCTTGTAAATGGTGGGAAATTGATGGGTCCTTTCATCACTTTATATCTCGACTGGTTTTATTCGAAAACTCTGGCTTGCACCAATACCATTCATGATTGCCCTGACTTGCTAATTTCATAATGGTATGATCCCACTTTATTAAAGTAGTCTTATCAATTTCTACCTCTTCATGCCCCACTCTTTTTTTATGCCATTTTTATCAGTCCGTCCTTCTATTTTTTTTATTAATTTTCTCCTTCTGCTTTTATTTGTTTTAATGTCTCTTCTTTATTTTCGAAATCATCTTTCTTCTTCTTTTTTTTTTTTTTTTACCAGTATCATGATCTCTAGTTATTTAGACAGTAACCAACCTAATTTGCTGACATACGGAGGAAAATCAGTACAAAATCAAAACGATTTTGACTGGCAATCATGGATTTCGGTCAAATAAGAGCCTAATTAAGACAATTTTAAAAATAAAATAAAATAAAATGTTTGATGTATTTGGGTTTAGGGCCGTACTTGAGACATGTGGGGTAAGATGATTTGTAGAGAGAAAGACGGAGAAGACAAAGGAAACTTACCTCAATGAAGACTGTCTTCAAGACTCTACCTGAGACAGATGTGATATTGGCTGTAATAATTTTGAGTCTGAGAGATTCAAAAACCTCGCAAAGTTTCACCATTGTATCTGTTCTTTTACTGCATGTCAAGCTCACCAGTAATGTCCTCTCTCCCATGTAAGCAACCCTTAGCTGTAAAATAAATAAATAAATACCCCACTAAAGTATGAATATATTAACATACAAAAAAGAAAAAAAAATCAATCAGTAGTGTCAGAAGAGAAGGGACATACTTCAAGAAGTTCGATAGGAGAATTCTTGGAGACGCCGAAATTGCAAAATTGTTCAGTAATTTTCTTTTTCTTGGATCTCAACAAGACTGGTAACTCTTGCTCAAGTGCATCAAAACCAGGATTTTTCTTCGATTTCCCAGATTCTAGTTCATATATTTCAGACTGAATTCTTCTCTCTTGTTCATGCAATTCTTGGATGTAATCAATAGCGTCTTTGATTATTGATGCCTTGTCCATCTAGAAGAACAAAAACATTAAATAATTTTTAATAAACAATAATAAAAAGTCACTCAATAATTTAGCTCAGCAAACTATAGAAAACTCGAATAAATATTGTTGTCAATGTCATCACCTTAGTAATGTTGGGGACCACGGCTCTAAGTGCAAAGAGTCTTTCGTTGAGTTTCTTCCTCCTGTTCCTTTCTGAAACAATGTTCTTAGAGGCTGCCGATGAGGCTGCTCCGTCCGGCGAACTCGAGTCATAGTACCCTGAAAAAGCCTCGTCTAGTGGCCAACTGCCTCAAAATTAAAAAGATCAAAATTTGTTTCTTTGGTAAGTTACAAGACCCCAACTAAGTGAAAGGATTAAGAAAAACAAGAAGATGGAAAAAAAAAAAAAACAAGAATCTGTGCATGGAGAAGGTATGCATATACTATACCTATCAAGCTCTTCATTTTGGAGAAACATTTTTGTTTCCCAATAATTTTGGTATTCTTCTCCAATATTTTCCATGGGCTCCATGGGTAAGAAAGTGTGAGCTTGTGTTTTTTTCTTGCGAGAGAGACAGAGAGAGAGAGAGAAGGGAAATGATGCCTTTCTCAAATAGCTAGTAGGTCTTCGTTTTTAGTTTTCTTTGTTTTTTAGTTTTTTAGTTTTTTTTTTGGGTTAAGAATCGACAAGATGTGGAGCTTTTATAGGGAGAGAAGGAGAGGGGAAAGAAAATGGATTAAAGATGGGAGGAGAGGGAGCACTTCAGCCATGTTTTGATGCTTCCTAGAAGGATCATAACCGTCCAACATAATGAGACTAGAAGCCGCGTAGGAGCTTGATCATGTATAAATTTTCTTTCCTAAGATAGTGTCTCCGTCCGTGATTAGTGATTAAATCGTTACAAGATTAGCGTTAATAGTTAATAAGACTAAAAAAAAGATATTGTATTGCTACAATGATGATAAAATATGAAATAATTACAAGAGATTTATAATAATTATGTATTTTAAGATGGTTTGGTTGTTGGGTGATGCAACATCCAATTGCATATTCATGATTAAAAAAACTAATCCAATTACATATTTACATGTGAACAAAATCTCATGGTTGGTGATGCTAAATGCACGTCACTCAAGTGTTAAACATATAACAATAAACAAAAAACATGTATATGGGTTAATTAATGCGGACTTGACATTTTCAATAATGTTAGAGTATACAAAATTTTCATAAGTTAGTTTTTATCTATTTACTCAAGTATTTTTATGTATTTCTATATTAAACTTATAAAATTTTTTATTTTGGTCCTTGATGGAGTATTATTTCATACTAATAATTATATATCGGCCCTTCCTAAAATAATTTATTTCTCTTTAAGTTAATCACTTTTTACTTTTAACCCATTTCAGATTTATCCTAGCATTTCTATGATGGCCAGTCTATTTATAAATTTTCAGTTCTACCTTTATAAAAGTGAATATATATATATATATATATATATGGAAAAATAAGGAGGTTATTTCACACTTTATGATGGAAAATATTATATCCATATCACACCATCGTTTTATCTAATTCTATCCTTGATCGACATTACAACACCTACAGTTTTTTTTTTTTTTAACTAACAATCAAAAACTTCTAAAAAAAACATCAACGTAACATGAAAATATTTGAATGCATATATAAATACAAGTGAGATAAACAATATGATTAGTTAAGTAGAAAGTAAGCTAATAACTAATAGGGAAAAGTGTTTTTTATTTTCACTATATTAGAAGTTCAGTTTTTATTTTTTTTTCTTATTTTTTTTTGTTAGAGGTTAGTATAAATTATATTCTAGAACCTAATCTATCGACTAAAGTTTTTAGGTGAAATGATCATTTAATATGACATCGAGTTTAATTGATCTTGAAATTCTGAATTCAAGTCTCATAATCACTAATTTCTCAAATAATTGAATCTTAAAAAAGATCTAATAACCTTAAACTTAATATTTGACCATCTCAAAAGATAATAAATACGAAAAAGCATTTGGAATAAAACTTAAACTCAATTATTAAATTTAATACACATCAACCTGTCAACATTTCCAAGTCTCTCCCTCGATCTTCAATGAACTCTCTTCCGTCCATCACATTTCTTTTAAGAAAAACAAGAACCACCAATCCATCTACACGTTCTAGTCTTTCATTCAAGCTGACTCTTATCCTTTCACATATCTTTTAACAAAAAATGTTCCGGCGTCACATGCCAACATGACCCGGTAGAATAAGATTTATTTTATTTAAAAATTAGTAACGATTAAAAATATTTAACAAAACATTTACTTATAATAATTTTTTAGATCAAAGCAGCATTTACATTTTTGTAGTAGATCTCTCCTCTCCTACTATTATCACAAAGTTTGAGATTGCCTTTACTATTTACGCTTGGTTAAAAATCATTTGAAGCTGAGTCTTTGAATTTTTTTTTATTAATTTTGATAGTTTCTGAATTTTAAATTTTTTTGAGATTTAATTCATTTAATAATTTTCAGCTATTATCTTCCTTTCTAAAAAAAAAATTAATTCTTCGTATTGTAAATTAAAAATTTGCACATATATTGGAAAAAAAATTCAATCCATTTTTTTGAAAATTTTCATAATTTTTCAAAATTGAAAACTATTTTTTTATGAATATTAAAATATAAAAAATCAGGAAAAGTAGAAAATAACATCGAAACAATCTCAATTTTTTTAAGAAAACCCACATAAATCTCATTGAATAATTTTCATCATAAAACTATTTATGTAATTGTTTTTTTTTTTTAAATAAATGACACAAATCCAAAAAATACAGAAGTTTATAGAACTTCAAAATTAATAAATAAAAAAATTCAAAAACTCGGCCTCAGATAATAAACTTTAAAGTGGTTAGACTCTTTCAACCTTTATGTTTTACTGAATATAAATAGTAGGAGGATGTATGGTCAGGAGATGTGGTTGAAAAATAAGAGAATATCTTAGTTTGATCAATATTAATATTCAATTTTCATCATTTATGGATACCTAGTAATTATCTCTTAGCGGTATCTAGTTTAGGTTGATTTAATCTGAAAACTAATTCAATAATCTACCAAAAAATAGATGGTTTTTGACGCTGACTTGTAAATTAGATAAGGTAATAAATTTCGAAAGATTCTACATTTAAAAAAAAAAAAAGACAGCAGTTTGAGATTGTCTTTCCTGTGCGTTTGGGGTGATTCTAGAAGTCTTTGGACCAATTTTTTCGTTGTTTATGCTTTCATATCCCATCAAACATTGAGGACCAAATGGTACACGGATTTTCGTCGTGCGGGCCATGCTTTCATGTGTTCTGACGGAGACGAGAAATCGGACTGCTTGTCTTGACCTTGCTTGGTAGAACTAGCTAAAATGGTATCCACGTGTGGCAGTTGAAGCAATAATTTTTGTTATAACATCTCTAACAAACGGTTACTTTATTTTATTATTAATTCAAGAACGTGTGTTTTTATTATTTGCATATGTAAAATACTATTAAAAAAAATTTACTTTTTTTAGAAAGAAGTTAATGATATATATTTGATCTAGTTTAATATTAAAAGGTAATTATATATCATTAGTATTAATATAACATAAATTATTAGATAATCCAAACTATTTTTCTTTTATTTGAGTAAATTATAAATTGTATCTTTTTTTTATATAAAAAAATTAATTAGTCTTCCTGATTTTAAAAACTAACTATTTAGTTCTTATTTTTAATTTTAATTTATTTTGATTTTTTGTTATAAGAAAAAATAAAAATATAGATAAATTCATGAAAAAATATATTTTATAAAATAAAATATATTAAATTAATTGTGATAAGTGATAACACTGAATAAAAAATTAAATGATTAAGTTTTGAAACCAAAAAGCCTAATTAATTCGTTTATGGAAAGGAGAGGGATTAATTTGTAATTTACTCTCTTTTGTTTACATAAAAGTGGGACCATTACGATAAGATTGGTAGATACCATGATTTTATGATTGAAGGAATATTACTCAATAAACACCTTATAGTATGATTTATTGTATGATTTTTTACAACACCTAAAGTTTTTTTTTTTTAATTATGAACAAAATTTTTACAAATTTAATTATCTTATTCATCACAAACTTCTAATAAAAATCGACATAACATACAAAGATTTGAATGCGTATACAAATCCAAGTGAGATAAACAATATGTTTGGTTAAATAGAAAGCATACTAACAACTCAATTGAAAGTTATACCAAAAAGCTTATAGTTTAGCAGTAGTAATCTCTTACGGTAAGAAGTCACGTATTCAAATCTTAATAGATTAATTTTGTTAAAATGTTAAAAACTTTGAGTGTATGAATTAAAAAAAAAAACTAAAAGTTGTAAGTATATCACTTGTTAGAGATTCAATTCTAAGGCTTTTTTTTCCCCCGATTCAAGTAAGAACCGATTGGAAGATATTTGAATTCAATTATTGTAGCGAAGCGGATCTTAAAAAAGATCTAGTAACCCAATAAATAACCTAAAACTTAATCTATTTGACCATCTTAAAAGATTCGTAAATAAGAAAAAAGCATTTAGAATAACACTTAAACTCAATTATTAAATTTAATGCAAATCAACCCATCAACATTTGCAACTCTCCCTCGATCTTCAATGAACCTTCCTCCGTCGATCACATTTCTTCATCAACTGATCCATCAACACATTCTACTCTTTCATTCAAGCTGACTCTTATCCTTTCACGTCTCTTTTTTTATAAAAAAGTTCCGGCATCACATGCCAGCTTGACCCGGTAGAATAAGATTTATTTTAACGATTAAAAATATTTAACAAAACATTTACTTGTGATAATTTTTAGATCAAAGCAATATTTACATGTTTGTAGTAGTTAAACCATTTGGCAGATCTCTCCTCTCTTACTATTATCGCAGAGTTTGAGGTTGCCTCTACCATTTACGTTTGGTTGAGTCTTTGAATTTTTTTTTATTGATTTTGATAATTCTTGAATTTTAATTTTTTTGAGATTTAATTCATTTAATAATTTTTAGTTATCATCTTTCTTTCTAAAAAAATAATAATTAATTCTTGATATTTTGAATTGAAAATTTGTGCACATATTGGAAAAAAATTCGATCCATTATTTTGAAAAATTATAGAACTTTTCAAAATCAAAAACTATTTTTGTTTATTTTTTGAACATTAAAATATAGAAAATCAAGAAAAGTAGAAAATAACCTTGAAATGATCCCAATTTAAAAAAAAAATCCCACATAAATTTCATTGAATAATTTTCATCATAAAATTATTTACGTGATTGTTATTTTTTAGAGATAAATGACACAAATCTGAAAAATATAAAATTTCATAGATCTTCAAAGTCAATAAATAAAAAAAAATCAAGAAGAGGATCTCAAATAACTTAAATTACAAGAGTGGCTAGATTCAT